AACCTTATATTTTTCTAGTTTAAAAATTTTAAAATTCAAAATGACGCATCCAATATGGCGAATAAAAAAAATTAAAAAATTAATCGGATTCGTTTGAAACTCTTTACTCAGGTGTTTTCGGTTTCTTTAATAACGAATCTGAATCCATTTTTAAAAATTCAAAATGGCGCATCCAATATGGCGAATAAAAAAAATTAAAAATTTGATCGGACTCGTTTAAAACTCGTTACTTGGGTGGTTTTTGGGGTCGCTGATTATGAATCCGATGTTAGTTTTTTAAAATTCAAAATAGCTTCAAAACTTGTCCGCCATATTGGATCCGCCATTTTAAATTTTCAAAAACGGATTTCAGATTCGTAATCAGCGACTCCAAAAACCCTTGAGGGTATACAGTGATATACGTAAACTGAAAGGGTTAAATAAAAAATAATATTATTAATTTTAAAATTAACTATAATAATTTCTAAAAACTTTATAATAATTAATTGAAAATAATAAATTTAATTGAAATAATAAATATAAATATGTATTATTTTATTCTTTATTTCCAAATTGGGCAACAGGAAAAATAATTAGACTGCCATCTATAGTATGAAGACGCGAAGCAATTATTTTTACCGATAATGTCACCACCTGTTTCACAAGAAAATAATAATTTTAACATTAAATTACATTTAATATAAGAATCAATATAAATTGATCGTTAATTCCTTTATATTATTCTATATAAATTGGTAACATTAAAATTATATACTTATTTCTAAAATAATTTCTCAGTTTTTGCACTTTTTCGCACTGTTATTAAAAATAATAAATAGCATATTTTTCATAAATTTTCATTCATTTTCCACATTATTTTCATTTACTACGAATGTTCAACGGTTGCAACAAATTTTTGTCGCACATTCGTATAGTTTTTGTTCTAAATTTTTCATTCATCCTTTTTTCTTATTTCAACAAGACATATAATGTATATAGAAGAAAAGATGATCTTTAAATGAGAGGAAAGTTCCTCGTACTAAATCCACTAACTTAATTGTCTGCTGATTCATCATCCAAAAAGACAATCCCTCCCCTCTTTCTTTATATTATAGTCGAATGGGCCGCACAGAGACAGAGAGAACTCGTCGCAAGATAACGCAAACAGTATATATAAGGAAATATCACACATTGAATAACGCAATTAAACGTTGTTTATGTCTTAAAGAACAATCAACTTTTTATCATTATTATTTACGTATATTTCATAAATAGTGTCTTCAAATTTTTCTCTCATTGTCATATAATCGCAATATACAGAGACGATCACAGGAAAAACCAAACTCATTAGAGAAATAATGATTTTTAAAAAAGTAAATACAATATAAGTTAAAAATTAAATGAAATAAAGTTGAAAAAAGCCAGATCTTCCAGTAGACGCTTTCTAACTTGCGCCAGGCTTCACTCTACTATATACAAGAAGCACGGCTTCTTGCTGTGAGGTTACTGTAAGGATATCTGTAGGGTTTGTAAGGTTACCGTGTAAGCCTGCAGTAAACTTGAGGTAATCTTAAAACTTCCGCCTTACAGTAAGCTTACACAGTAAAGCTAAGGTAAGCTTACACAGTAAGGTCGTGGTAAGGTTGTGGTAAGCTTACACAGTAAAGTTGCTGTAAGCTTCTTTTAAGATTACTGTAAGGTTGCTGTAAGGTTACTGTAAGGTTACTGTAAACATATAATGTTGTTAATAAATCAATTTTATTAATATTTATGCGCAGTAGTTTTCTATGACACATACGGCTGCGCAGTAAATTTTATTTAACAAACCCTATTGTGGTTCATAAAGTACTTTACCAAATATATAATTTTTTATAAAAAAAAATTTATAATATAATATATATATATATATTATAATGTAATTATTTTTAATATATTTTCATATTACTTTATGTTCACAGTAACCTTACAGCAACCTTACAGTAACCTTACAGTAACCTAACGGGAAGCTTACCTTACCTTACCGTGTAAGCTTTCCTTATAGCTTTACTGTGTAAGCTTATACTGTAAGGCGGAAATTTTAAGATTACCTCAACTTTACTGCAGGCTTACACGGTAACCTTACAAACCCTACAGATATCCTTATAGTAACCTCACAGTCAAGAAGCCGTGCTATGTGGGTATAGACGTTCCGGAAGATTTTTCTACACGGAAAATACTTTTAACCCTTAAATGGCTGTACAATACACGTTTGAATATGTCGGGTCCAGCAGACCCGTTGTGCCATTTACGTTCGAACGTAAAATTGTGCCATTCAAGGGTTAAGTAAAAATTTTCTTTCTGTTAACTATAAATAAATTGCATTTATCGAAATGAAGCAAATTTTTATTTGAATTAACTAAAATTTTTATAATTATATGTCAAAATGGTTAAGTCAAATTAACTTTTTCTTTGAATGTATAAGAAAAATATATAGGAGACCTCTACGAATTCGGTAGGTCACGGTCTCCCCAGGGGGCAATATAATGTCTTATCGGTTTATTGCTATGGCATCCTTCGTTCTTAAAGAGTTCAACCACAGTGTCACTCGCCAATTAATTCTTAATCACTCGACGTCATTCTTCATCGTCAAGTCATCAAAAAAATTGCAGTTGATAATAATATCGCATATACAAATTTTAACACTAAATATATAAATGTATATATCGCGTTAGGATCGAAGAACTCATAGTCACCCACTCCACTTGACTTAACACTGTTAAACGAATTCTAAATTTTTATAAATACTAAGAGAAAATTAAAAGAGATTTTTTTTTAAAAATAAATTTTTCATACCAGACAAGAAAATATGTAATAATTCTCTTTAATATGTTCTGTATACTTATATTTATTGTGATTGTGAAAATTATAAACACACACAATTGTAATTTTTTTTATATCTTTTAGCAAAACCAATCCTTTATAAATAATAAAAGATTATTTGAATAAAAAAAATTTATTTTTATTATACACGAAGAAAAATTGGATAATGCATACCATATTTTGGATCCGACATTTTAAATTTTGAAAATCTGAATTGTGAAACGTAATATTTAAAAATTGAATTAGTTTTCAATTTTTTAAATCAATAATTATTCTTTTTTATTAAAAAAACACATATAAATTGCATTTTTCAAAAAGCAGTTTTTGGAGAATTTTTCAAATTACTTATCTCAATGTTGTAAAAAATAATGGCTAAAAAGCAGATTATTCTTCAATTTTTTAAATAAATAATTATTGTTTTTCATATAATTTTTTCAAAAAGTACATATAAAAAAGCAATTTTTTTAACAATTTTTTAAATTGCTATTCTCAATATTGTAAAAAAGGAGATTAAATTTCAAATTGTATTTCAATTTTTCAAATAATTAATTATTGTTTTTTATCTTTTTTTCAAAGGAGAACTTATAAAATAGCATGTTTTTTAGAATTTTTAAAATTACTCATCTCAATGTTGTACAAAAGTTTGAAAATCCAATTATTTTCAATTTTTTAAATAAATAATTATTGTTTTTTTATGTACTTTTTTCAAAAAGCACATATAAAAAAACAATTTTTTGAGAATTTTTTAACTTACTCATCTCAATGTTGTAAAAAAGGTTGAAAATTCAATCATTTTTCAATTTTTTAAATAAAAAACAATAACTATTTAGTTGAAAAATTGAAAAATAAATTGGGTTTTTGGCCTTTATTTTTTACAAAATTGAGATGAATAATTTAGAAAGCTGTCAAAAAAATGCTTTCTTATATGTGCTTTTTGAAAAAAGTAAATAAACAACAACAATTTATTGTTTAATTAGTAATAAACAATTTTAATTATTAATTATAATAAAATTAATTTAAATAATTGATAAATTAAATAAGAATTTTCCAATTTTTATCCTGGTCTTTCCAAACAAGGGCCTACATATAAGCAATTTGTGTATTTTTCCTTACTTAAGGTAACTTAAATTTTCCGCACATAACAGACAGAGTCTATGTTAATCTGAACATTTTCCAAAAGGTTTTTTTTTAAAAATATTCAAAATTGTGCTTTTCACATACCTGAGAAGTTTGCGTGTTATGTGCCATGATTTGTGACGTCACGAAGGTTCAAATGCTCTTAAAATGCATGGGTTTTAGAGCAAAAATTGATATTTCAATCTCGATTTCAAAAAAATTACATTTTTTTCCTAAATTTACGATTGCGGGACTTCTTTATGAAATAGGGACTTAAAATTCTGGTTAGTCAAATATTTTTCATGGTAGAAGCCCACCAAAAAAAATTACAGCCAAATCCGAATACCACGCTGTATACAAAGTGTGTATTCTTTGGCATATGGAATCTCCCAAACACAGAAAATTATAAGGTATTAAAATAAGCTGCAATTATTTTAATCCAATTTTGCTTATTTTAATACCAAAATGGATTAAAATAAGGAAAATTGGATTAAAATAATAAGCATTGCAGCTTATTTTAATGCCTTTTAATTTTCTCGTGAAAAGAATTTTTTTGTTAATTCTGGTTTTGAACAACTGTTTTTTTTTAATTACCTACTTTTTTGAGCTTATTTTTTTCAAATTCTAGTCTTACTTATTAATTTTTCAAAAAAAATTCTTGCAGCCCAATAAAAGTTGGTGCAAAAATTATTTTTGAATCGTTTGATTTTAAAATTGACAATACCTCTTCTTAATGCGTTCTATTTTATAATTGAAATATAAATAATTAAATTCGCAGTATTTAGGCTTAACATTGTCTGCAATATTAATTTAATAAGACTATGTAATCTTTATTGAGATTGAAATTCACGTAGACCGTGCGAAGAGGAATAAATTGATGCTGAAGATGGAAACTTGTCTGTCTAAAGTCAAGTGGCTTTGTGTGAATTGTATTTCATTATCAGTTGGCGCGAGTTGATGTCGCACCGACGGGACTACAAGAGGTTTAGGGGGGTGGGGGAACGTTGCAGAGAGAACTGATAGCGGGCCTATTTATAAGAGGTTTCAACCATCTGCAATATTAGTTTGACATTCGTCTCTTCCGCTATAACAGTAGCTAGTAAATTTTTTCTTTCTTTTCCCATCCGATAGTCAAAAAACGACGTGTCATCATATCCGTAGATTGAATCCCAATTTCTAAATATTCCTTTTGAACAAATTTTAAAGTGCAAAATTTCGGAATATTTCATAACTAAATCACTATGGAAATTTACATTTCCTAGCGTTACCAAATCCTTTCATTTTTTTTGCTTTCATAAAAATCAATTATAGAAACTGATTTCCGTTTGTTTGAAAAAATAACAATAATTATTAAATCTGTGATTTTTTCAATTATTCTGTCTTATGATTTGTTTTGTGCGTCCCAGCCTAGTTATGTTTTCGATCGAGTACAGCAAGCAATTCCTGAGCTATCGCATTCTCAAGTCCAATCGGTTCAAATATATTTGACGATACGGACTCGGACCAAGTGCTAAAAAAAGGTGCGTGAGTGTTTTTGTGCGTTTAGAAAGCACTCCCTTTGGTAAGACCTGGAAAGTCTTGCCATTTATGAAAATTCGCATATCTCCATCTAAAAAGCGATTTTCAAAACGGGTGAATTCAAGTTTTTTGACGAAGGATTCCTTGAGGAATTATTTTTCAAATTCAATTATATCGAATGTCTAAAAAATTCAGAAGTAAAAATAAAACATCAAATTAAGGAAAATTGTTAGAATTAAGAAAAAAAAAACAAAAGAAATTGAAAAATTTGTAAACGAGATCTGCACGTATTTAGTGATTGAATTTGACAGTAGTCAGAAACTGAAATCATGATTGTTTATGTTCCGGGCAGAATGCCAAGTCACGTTGGTCCGTACGGTGTTGCTCGCTATCCGGGCAGCCTACTTGGTGCGGTACCAGGTTACTATAATCCGATTTCTGGATATTCAACCAGCCAAAACTCCAACTACTACGGAAATTTGGGTGTTCACCAGCCGTCGCTGGATCTTCCGCTTTGGCCACGGAGGATGCCGGCTGAAGAAGAATTGGTAACATCGCCCTCTGCAGGATTGGCAAGCCTGGGGGTCTCATCTGGTATCCTAGGAAATGGTGGTCCACCCAGTCCTGCTCATAGCGATTCCGATGCTTCCAATTCAAGTTTAGAACTTGGCTCCGATAAGAGAGGAGATAACGCTCAACTTAAGTGCAGGTAAATTTTTATCAATTTTAAATCATTTCTTTCAGAAACAATGTCGTGAATGCTTCGGATTTTAAAAAGACAATTTGCATCACAAGTTTTGGTCTCTTAAAATTTTGAAATTTATCAACTCACAGAAAATTAAAAGGCATTAAAATAAGCTGCAACGCTTATTATTTTAATGCCTTTTAATTTTCTGTGTTTTAACAGTTATTAATTCTTATCTTATTGGAATTTAATTTCAAAATTTTAAGAGGCCAAAACTCGTGATTGCAAAATTTTACCCTATTCAGATCCGCAGCCTCAATTATATATTTGTCATAGCGATAGCCAAAAAAAGTCGTCCACATGCACTCAGTGGGCAAAAAACCATGTTCGTTCCAAAAACGTTTTTAGAACGTCTCATGTCAGCCAAAAAATGTTTCAGAACATTATTTGAACATCCATGTTCTTAAAATTTTTTAGAACATTATTTGGAGGACATTAAACGTTCAAGTGGCTTTTTTTTTGTTAGATCTAACAATTAGTTGAAAATAATTTCACTTAAATGGTAATATAACTTCTATATTTAAAGATACAAATATTGACATCCTCCACAGCACCAAAACTTTCCTAAAGATTTATTTAAAATGTTTGGAATATTTAATTGCAATGTTTAGTGAAAATTGTTTAAAAATTTAAATGTCCTACTTGAATAAATGTTCAGGAAAGTTTCACACTAAACATTTATTTAATCGGTACATTTAAATCTTTACAAAATTTTCACTAAACATTGCAATTAAATATTCCGAACATTTAAAAGAAATGTATCTTTAGGAAATCTTTAGGAAAGTTTCGGTGCTGTGGGGGATTTTTGTATAGTTACTTTAAGTTGATAATATCGGTCGCTTCTAGTCAATTAGAAATTGAAGAATATTACAATAATATAATTACAATAATAATTAATATAATAATAATAATAATAATTAATTCATAATAATAATAATAATAATAACAATAATAATTACAATTCTTAATAAATTATTTTAAAAAATTCGGTCGTCTGATTTTGGGAAATGACTTTCCGAAGTCAGACAACCGAATTTTGTTTAGGCTTAGTGTTATAAACACAAAAAAATTTAAAAGAAATTTAATCTAAAAAAAACAAAAATTCCAAACTGTAGATTTATAACCTCAAAGTGGAAAATTTTTTAATTCTTATAAATTGGTGATTATACAATATTATTTTTGATAGGACACTAATTTCACAACCTATCGCATATTTTACAAGGAACAGAAATGAATCTATCGCATTTAACACACATATTGTGTGCATATAGTATTATTAAACATGGATATTAGTTATTTTCAAAAGGCAATAAATCATTTATATTATCAGTGACCAGCGTGTTTAGAGAATACTGTCTGAACTGATAGTTTATATATTTTACTATATGAATATCAATTGCACACAGTGTTATAAAGTATAAACTAAATACGCATTAAACTATTTGCCAATATACACACTCCGGTATTTTTATACATTATAATATATACATATAGGTTATGCTACATAATCTCAAAACTGAAAAATATTTTTTAACACTTAAATTTAATAATAATTAATTTCTAACCAATTTTTAGAAACAATATATTCTATTCAGTGAAACATTTTTTACAATCGTAAATTTTTTTCATTTAATAAATTATAAATACAAATTTTTTTTTTCATCGTCTCTGAAATTTTTTGGCAAAGAGAGAAAGACCTTTAATTATCGTCCTATAAATCCTAAATCTGATAGATTGTCCGAATCCGCATGTAAAAGCGCGATTGCAAAATTGGAAATGAAAGCAATATATAATGAAAGGTTTATTACGTTATGTCCCCGTCAGATGGCGGAAGCATGCAGTCGCAGCTGTCGCATATATTATATTACTTTCCTATTTCTACCTCATTTTGCCATCGCATTTTAGCATGGATTCGGACAATCTTCCGGATGTAGGAAATTTATATGATAAATATATTTTAGCCGATTTTATAAAAAGTGTCCATGTTTCTGGAGTACAAAAGTACCCCAGAGAAAATTCAAACTAAGGCACCTGGCTTTGTATTAACTATCATAGCGGCACTCTAACCTCTTACTTCAGTTTAATTATCGAACTATCAATTTTGACCCCAGCGGCGATTATTTGAGGAACAAATTTTACTATTTCTCAAGTAAAAATTGCTAGAAATGCGTAAAAACTGCGACCACTTCTGATTTTACTTTTAACCCTTAAGTGGCACAATTCCGTGTTCGTATACGTAAATAGCACAACGGGTCTGCTAGACCCGACCTATATTCAATCCTGTATTGTACAGCCGGTATTGAATATTTTAGCACAAAAATTTAATCTAAAGTAGCTTATGATGTGTTTTTTAAAATGTTACTAATTTTACAGGGATTAATTTATTTTAAGTTAGTTAAAAAAAAATTGTAAAAAATAAAAACGAAAAATTACGTATTTTAAAAATTTATCAGTTATTTAAATTTTAATATTATGACTTAAAAAATTTAATGTTATATACTATTTCTTTTTAAGTAAAAAATTACCACAACAGCAGAACTTGCAAAAAAAGGTATTTATTTTGTAAAATATGTGAATTTTTAGGTTAAAATTAAAAATTGATAATTATTATTAATGTTTGAAGCTAATTTATTCTTTTGTATCGAATTAGTTGTAGCAAAAAAATTTACAAAATTACTAAGAATATGTCAAACTAATATATTAAAATATAAAAAATATTCAAAAACTACACATTCAATTAATTTGAGCTCGAAAAAGTGATCGGGTCTGCCAGACCCTTGATGCCAGTTAAGGGTTAAAAGAGTTTTTTGATTTAGTGGAAAATATACCCTAGTTCTTAAATATAAAAATTCATAGCGCAATTTTTATGTAATTGTTAAATTATTCTTATGCTAGATTGAAATATTTGCTGAAATGTGATATAGTTATATTTATTATTAAGACTGAAACACATTTTTTTTGGAATTTCTTAACTTAATGAACGTCATAGGAACATTAGTCCAATAATTTGTAGCATAATAATTAAGAGATAAAAAAAAATTACATTATCGCATTTATCAAAGTGAAAATGTGATAAAAATAAAATATTTCTTTTTAAATATATAAATAAATTTTTCTTAAAAGCAATAATCCAATTTTAAAATAAAATATATATAATTTGAAATATATTTGTAATAAATAATTATCTTACTATAGATATAGTAATAACAAAGAAATTAAGTCAAAACACCTATTACCTTATCTATTCCTAATCGCAATTATAATTTTAATACTAAGTCAATAGACGTTCAGAAATCTAGAAATATCCAGTTTTTTTTTCTTATATTGAGACATATTCACAATAACATATTTCATTGCGTTTCAATATACGATTATAACAGTATAGACTGCGAAAGAGTCACAGATTGGTCGGCGCGTTCCACGATATCTAATAACTTATTCATTTTGCACTTGTATTTACACAGACGTACAATTATATATTCTCATCTTAAACAATTTATTAGAAATTGTAAGAATGAAGAAAGACAACTCTCCGTTTATTTCAAACTTCACTGAAATTACAAGGATCGAAAGCTGATAAGATGTGAATCGCGGCCTTTGATACAATTTCCAATAATAATTTTCATCTATATAATAAATTTTATTTATATACAATTTTAGTATTAGTCTTTTATTTATGTCTGTATAATTTGTATTCTGAAATTTAAATCAAAAGTTTAGTGTTCAAATTAATAAATTCTGGGTAAATTAATAAATTTATTGACTTTTATTAGTTTCTTTGTTTATAATATGTATTATGTCTCGTATCATGCACATGGCATTCACGTGCATCATGTAAACAGTTTTAATTCAAGAAATTTCTTATCTCTTCCAACATTCTATCTTTTTATCATTATTGAATATTTAAGGAAATCATATATTAATTCGAAGACAAAATTTTTTTAAATTATCTACTGAAAATTTCAAAAAGAGATTTTATAATGTTAATATAAGTAGCAACTATTTGAAAAAAATTGAACTTATATATAAACTTAAACTTAATCAGAATCAGATCTCTTAAGGATATCCAAAAAATCGGCGGTTTGGATATCCTTTGGATATCCCATGGATATCTGAGGATATCCACAGGATATCTTCTGGATATCTCTATAGACTTTCATAAATGTCCTCCTGATATCCCATAGATATCCTAAGAATATCCCACGGACATCCTGAGGATATCCCGTGGATATCCTGCGATATAATATCCAATAAATATTTTGTGGATGTCTTAGGGATATCCTGAGGATATCCTATGGATGTCCCACAGACCGGCGTTTTGGATATCCTAGGGATATCCCTAGGATATCCAAACCGCCGGTAGATATTTTGTGGATGTCTTAGGGATATCCTGTGGATATCCTATGGATGTCCTGTTGATGTCCTACAGACCGGCGGTTTGGATATCCCAAGATATCCTGGGGACCATTCTAGGATATCGACCATTGATATGGATATCCTATGGATATCCTAGGGATATACTTTTGTTATGAGGGATTATTTTTAATTGCAAAATAAACAATGTCAATAAATAATTTTTCGATTTAAAAACAATGTACAAAAACTTATCAACGTCATTTTTGTTTTGTTTTTTTTAAACTAGGAGGGCTTCGCGTCCCAACTTCCGGTTTATTTTTGTTTTTGTAGATGGCCTTATGATGAGTTTATGTTTGACCAATAACCATGGGAGTTGTATTTTTGGAATTTAAAACTATTGTTAATATTTCATTTGAATTTTTAAATATTATTATTAATACCTATTGATTTTTAGCCAAATTTTATGACAACGCAAATTTTTATTCTTTATTATTCATAAATTTTTGAATTAGTATTTTAAAAAAAAATTTTAATTTTATATAAATTTCAAAAAATTTGTTTCCAATATGTATAACACAAGGAGATATAATAAACTTTAAATATTTAAAGTTCATTACAAACCAATTTTACATCTCACCTAAACTAAAAAATCATATAAATTGTCGATTTCCGATAAATTGTGGCCTAACTTTTGACGTTATGTTTGTTTCTTGGTCTTTTCCCGCCAATATAACATAACCTCAAAATTTAAATCATTTTTGGCGGGAAATCTACGCCCGTTCCTTTCAATGAAGCGAGAAAAGAATTTGCGGCTATATTCAGAGTCTTGAAACGAACATAACCTCTTAATTTATGTCGTTTTTGGCGGGAAATCCAACCCCCCCCCCCTCAATGAAGGGGGGAGGACTTGCGCCAATTTTTACTACAAACATTTTTTTTTGAAAAAATACTAATTAGGACTTGAATTTATTAGATATAATTATTTTTTAGAGGAATTTTCATTTTTCAGAAATAATGAAATTTTAGATTTTTTAAATTCAAGTTTTTGAAAATAAAGAAATTTCAAGTTATTTTGAATTAAAATTTTTGGTTATTTTTATTCGCTAATTTTTTTTTTTAATACAATTTTTGAGCTTAAAAATGTCTTTTTCAAATTCTAGTCATTATAATTTTTCCAATAAAAAAAAATTGTTGAAGCATAAATTGGCACAAATTTTTTTTTTTTAAATAATAATAACACGTTCTTTCATGTATTAACGTAAAAAATAAAAAAATACAATTGTTGCCATTGCTATACTCTTATATTATTTCAATAAATAATATTGATAGATTGCTTTTATAGATATTAAACAGAAAATTTTTATTTTTTGCACGATTAGGCCTAAAAGATATAGAAAAACACGAAATGTCACGTGAATATTGATCTTATCACCTGTGCAAACAATATCGTCTGTGAAAATCCCTTACAATTGATAACAACAATGTATAACAACTACCTCTTGACATATTATTCCTTTTATCTTTTTTATAGAAGAGATACATTCAAGACCCACTGATAAAAAAAAGTCGTTGCAAAACTATATATATATATATATATATATATATAAATATACTTAAAATAATGTGAATTTTCGCTTATTTATCACATTGAAGGTCACGATGAAATTTATTCTCTTAAATTTTTTTTTATTTTACTCCCTCAGAAGCTGAGGAATAATTTTTCTTATATTTTCTTAAGTTTTAATTTTTTTTTTTACTTTTACATTTTTTACTTTTATATAAAAATTGAATTATTATTATAAAATTATTAAAGATTGATTAAAAAAAAACATTGTATAAAAACCGTGAAAAAACGGAGAAATAAAAATTGACGAAACTTTCAATTTGGAAAAATTAGTATTAGAGAGCGCACTAAATATAAAATACCTTTTTGCGTTTAAAATGAAATTTGTAATAAAGTGAAGTTAACTGATGCCAATTGACTCAGAATTAGCATTCATTCAAACCAGCTGAAACATTCAAATGACGCAAATTGTGCATCTCGTTGTCATTTTTCTATTCACAATAATATTCTTATAAAAAAAAAAGCTTTATTTGATCTCATTGTAATAAAACTTTTAATTTAAAAATCAAGTCAGTTTAAAGAATTTTTTTATACTACAAATATATATATAGGTATATACAAATAAAATTATTATAGACCTTCAATGTAGAAGATTATTAAGGATTTCAAATAAATAAATAGAAGATCATTCATTTTAATTAAGATTAAATTTTAAGGTTCATCATTTGTCATTGATTTCGTAAACCTGATATATATTTTCAAATACGTCATAGATTCCTAGAAATAATCTCTAAATCGTCTTTATATGTATTAACATAAATTGACTTTTGTATTCACTGATAATAAAATGATTGAAAATAAACGACAACAAATGTGATTAAAAAATATGCATTTATACTTTTTAATCACATTTTTCCCTTTCTTATTTTCTTTATATTTTCAAACAAATTCACTAATTAATAATAACTATGAAAACAAATATTTTCAAATTATTAATTACAAAAAATATAATTATCTTCAAAAATAGGAACAGTTTTTAATTTACTATATTATTTAATATTATACTCAAAAATATTAACTATTTATAATTATTTTTTAATTATTTGTAGAAATATTCAAAATTAAATTTTGTGCCAGTTCAATACAAAAAAAGCAATTAAAAAAGATAAAAAAAAATTAAAATTGTTTAAAGTAATTAATTTTGAAAATAAAAAAAAACTTTAATTATCCAAAAATAATTAATACCTAATGTTTTTTTTTTTTTTTGTTTCAGATGGCTAAATTGTGGACGATGGTTCACATCATTGGAACAATTGGCAGGTCATGTTGCACGACTACATGCAGCACCTGGACCTCGAGGACTGTTTTACTGCGGATGGGAAGGATGTGCCAGAGGAGAACGTGGTTTCAATGCGAGGTAATTTTTTTTACCAAAGAAAATTAAAAAAGAAAATTAAAGATTAAATAAAAATTAAAAAATTTATAAAAATAATTTCTTAAGGATTGTTCAGGAAATGGTGCGCGGTAAGGTTTTTTCATCAAATGTTTAAAAAAAAAGGATTGCAACCCAAAGAAAATAAAATATCAGTTTTCCAATAAACTTAAAGAAAAACCTTTATATTATTAGTGGATTTATTTTAAAAAGTTTTAAAGTAATGGATATTTTTTTTCTTTTTAAATACTGTGCATATTGCCAACCTAATTTACATTAATTTTTCTTTTTGAGAAATTAATTTAAATTAGGTTGGCAATATATTATGCGCAAGCGTAGCATTCATGAAACTCTAACCTCAAAATTCCCATGATTTTTAGAAGCAAGAGCAATCTGTTAAATTGCACAATTTTTTTTTTTTTTATAAACTACATGGTAAAAAATTCTCAACTCTCTAAATTAAAGAATAACAACCTAACCTAAAAATTTTCGATCCTATTCATACCTTTTTATCTGAATCCGTTAAATGGTAATAAAAAAGCAAATCGTAACTCTCTTGAAGATGCATATATTTCAAATTCATTGCAATAGACGAAAAATTTGTCAAAATGTATAAGATTCAATTGATTATTAATTCCTGTCCTCCAAATTGTTAGTTAATTTAGGAAATAAATTATTGATATTCAATTATTTATTTAGTTTGATTTTTAGAGGAATAAATAGATTTTCCATAAATTTCTTGACGAATTTGAGCACTCTAAGAAATTATAATTATTATAATTTCTTAGATAAATCAACATTTAAATGAGAAATATTGGTGAAGTTTATTTAGAATAGATTAATTAATTTAGGAATAATATGAGAATTTGACCTTAGTTATTTGTAGGAATTGACTAATTTATTTTATTAAAAAATTTTATTTTTAATATTTTTTTTTAGATAAAATTACTAAAATGAATTCGAGAATAATTGAAAGGCAAATCTTTTAAAATTATTTTTTAAAAAAAGGTGAAAAGTTTTGGTTATTTAATTACAATCATAACAGTTGATATAGTTAGCACGTATTTTTAAGAATACAATGTACCTTTAAATTTTGACAATAGCTATTCTTTTTTCTGTTTCAAAATTTATGTGATCTGTGTGACAATTAACCTAAACATTTATGTTTACGATCATTCAACCACATGTTTGAACTTATTAATTTTTCAGAATCGCAATAAGTCAGGGACAGAGATAGGAAAATAAATATAAATTTGTATAATATATCCCCGATGTGAGAGTTAATAAATATCTTTTTTTTTCCTGGGTGAATCATTTCTGAACAATCCTTCAAGAATTGTTTTTTATTATTATTATTATTTTTCAAAAAAATGATATAAATTTTTATTACTCAGGTACAAGATGCTGGTGCATGTTAGAACACACACGAATGAGAAGCCACACCATTGTTTTCAATGTGACAAGAGTTTTAGCAGAGCGGAAAATTTGAAAATTCACGCAAGATCGCACACCGGTGAACGTCCCTATGTATGTCCAGTTGAAGGTTGTAATAAGGCCTACTCGAATTCTTCCGATCGATTTAAACACACAAGAACTCATGCAGTCGACAAGCCCTATTGCTGCAAAGTGCCTGGCTGTCCAAAGAGGTACACGGATCCATCATCATTACGAAAACACGTTAAAACCTATCGTCACTATGTCAACAATAATGATAAAATTCAAGAAAAAAGCTTTGACGAAAGTGGCAGTAGCAACACTGCCGACAAGACCAGATACGATACAACACCCGAGAAACGAAGTTTTGAATCCAGTGAAAAAAATTCCAGTATCGAGAGCTCAGGTTCTAGTCAAAAAGCAAGCAACAGCTTTGAGGAGCAACGAAAATTTGTCGAATGGAACAACATGTACAATGCACAAGAACGAAAAGAACATTTAATGACACCACCAAAAAATTACGATACAGAAATTAAAATTTATCCAATGATTTACGAAGAGAATTACATATTACCAGATCGAAATCCTTTATATCAGACTCCAATTATGAACGAGCGTTCAATATCATCATCGCCAAACACTAGTCCAAAAGATGTTCCCGATATGCTACATCGAATAGGAATGCAATCGACTCCAATTAAAATTGAAGAGACCTCCACTGATCGAAGTGCGATCGTCGATTACAGAAATATTGAGTCAATTGTCAACAGCACGCCCTGCAAAAGAGAGAATACAATAAATTGCGACCCTGTGAGAAATTCTGTGATAAAACGAGCTGAGCATTTGAAAATGGAAATAATGGAGGAACCAGTTCCAAAAGAAGAGCCAAGAACAGAAGATTGCTGCTGTCGTCACAAATGTTGTCATCACAATAATGAAACCATCATTGAAAAAACAAAAATCCTCTCTGACTTGATTCTAAAAGCACAAAATCCATTGTTCAGACATCTATTGGGTTCAGTTGATCTTCAATATGGTTTGCAAAATATGTGGAGCAATATGGTTGACGGTAGCAACACATGCGGACAAGATCTTAGAGTTAAGAGTAGTGAGGTCACTGAAATGGAGCAGGATCTGCCATTAGATCTGACTATTAACAAGTAAATTGTCAGAACCAAAAAAAAAAAAAATATCCATATTATATCAAAAGGTCTAGCTGGTCTAAGCCTTCGCGGGTGAAAATTAGAATTCGATTCGGTTATCTCAAAGATGAAAATAAGCGAAGGTACACTTTGCTCGATACTAATTAAGGTCAGAGTACCATCTCATGTTCTGGTCAAATTTTCAAGCCAAATATATATATATAATGTATTATCGAGTCGATCAAATCAAAAACATGACTTGCTCAATACTTAAAGTACTCTGACTACATTGTTGTGCGCTTCAAGAGAATTTTTCTACGTTTACAAAATTTTGTTTTTATCATTGTACCAGTGAACGTTTTCACTGGTACATGTAAATTTCTTCTGCAAGTTATCAAAGTATATTCTATCAACTATTCTTTTTTTTTTTTTAATAAAATATGATTTTTCATAAGAGTTAACGGAAATGCTGTACAGCCTTTCCATTTATTCTTATGATTTTTTGATTTCGATTTTTTTTTTAAATTTTTTTGTCTACTGTAGAAATTTCCGTTTATATGAAAATCAAATCTTTATTTGGACGAATTTCTCTTTGAATTTGTAAAGCTTTCCGAGTAACAACCAAAGAGTTTTATCTTTAAATGAAAGTAGAGACTTAATTAATTAGTTTCAGGAAAAAACTAGCTAAATCTAAAAGTAGCCTGAAATTAGTTGATAATGAATCAATAATAATAATAATCAAGTAACTAAAAACTCTACTCGAAGGCAAATAAATGTACACGCCCTACATATAAAAACATTGTCAAACAGTTTCATAGGAATTTCAAATTCCTTGCTTTGAAAATTTTCTTACAAAATTGTATATATATATATGTATCTGTATATGTGTAAAAGACGGCAGAAAATTAAAAAAAAATATATATCAAAAAAAATAAGTGCCTTATTCTCAAAGATATGTCAGATTATTCAATAAAAAACAATATTTATACGAAAGGAGTTTTATTAATCTTTATGGCGTTACAAAAATACCTTAATTCCTTAACTCCTCAATTAACTTAATTCGGTGATAGCGATAGTTTATTATCGTTATTTTAACGTCGAAGAAATAGAAAATGATTTTATTTCACTTGCCTATCTACTTTTTCAAACTAAATCATATCACATTTTGTATGAAAATGAATTTCTCGTAATTAAAAAATTTAATTATTAATTAACTACCTGGGGAAATTAGTAATAACAATCGAGAAAATTCACACACCTTTGAGTTGGTAAATTTCACAAAGTGAAACATTTCGTCATTATGTGCGAATACGATGTAACAAAAGATTTTACCTTAAATAACGTCAATTGTTAATTTTATTTCAGGAAGTACCATGATTTCCAACTAGTTCAGACATACCGTCTTTAATAATTTTTAAACACTGAACATCTGCATTTATCGTTGCTATTAACTGTTCCATGCCTTGTTGTTCCATACTGAGATACTGAAAAATAAATTGGTTATTTATTTAATTATTTTTTTTTAAAAAGATTCTAAAAGTTAAAATAAATTATGTGACTCACAGTTTTAATATCATCTTGAGCAATTGGATCCATTGCGTATCTTTCCTGTGTTTGAATATCAACATGTCTCCTCATTCTTAATTGCGATAACATTTCACTGATTCTACCTTTAAATTGTGTTGGTGCACTAATCTGTGAGTGCATTGATTCAAACCTATTGGTCAAAATCTCTTCTTCTGGTTGTAAGGAGAGACCAACTTTTCTAGTAATTTCTTGTCGGACTAATACCTGGAGGAATAAAATTTAAAAAATCATAAAAAAAACTATTTATTTATAAGAAGATATTTGGATTTTTGAAAGAATGGTTTGTAAATAATTATTTAGAAAGAAAGAAAAAATCCTAAGCAAACCAATAAGAAGAAAGCGACGAGTGGATCTACAATTGTGATCCGAGTAGTAACAGGAACAACGTATGCCAACGTACTGAGCAAACTTCATTTAGTAAAAACAACTATTGCGACTTTAATAACATAAAATTTATACCAATACCACTTTTGGACATACTAAAATAGTTTGGGTTGTTCCCGAAAGATAAAGTGTCGTTGATTCTTCTATATTCGTATAAATGTCATGTGAATATAGTTCCTCATTCTACCATGCGAATTTCGTTCAAGGCACATACTAATATAGCGTCATACGTCGAGCGATTATTTGACAACTAATTGAAAAAATCGCTCGATGTTGACGCTACATTGGTATGTACCTTGAACGAATCTCGTACGGCAGAGAGGGGAACTATGTTCACTTGTAATTCGTACAATATAGACATAAAATTGCTACAAGTGATCTTTTAACGCATGGGAATTTTTGGAACTATTTTAGTATAACTTTAAGCTTACTGAGAGGGGAGATCTCCTGATTAAAATTGGAGGAAACTGCAATAAGGAGGCATTCACCGCTGAGGTCACCAAAGCGATTGGAAGCATTGAGAAGGTGCAGACCGCGAATCGACAGGTCACACCGGAGATCCGCGACCTGGATTGCCTTACCCAAAATAGGGAAGGTCTAGCAGGCGTTTTCGGAATTGCTCCAAAAGCCAGGAAGCAGGAATGTGACGGTCCTAGGACCCAACTGACGAGAAATGAAGCTCGCAGACCCAGAAGAGGCGGATAGGCTGGAGAAGGTGGGACGCATAAGGATTGGCTTTATATATTGTCCAATAAAGAGAAGGTGATGGTCGTCTGAGCCAACTGGGATTCCCAGGTCCATGTAGGACTATACTTCCAATGTTATGCTGATTCTACACTCACCTAAAACTGAGCGAGCGTTCCGCTTTTCCGTGACGCTTCCCATATTTAACTATATCTATATATATATAAAAAACGTAACTCAAATTCGGTCCGCTCGCACAGTATTTTAGGTGAGTTTAGAACCAGGATTAATCTCTTGAACGTAATGGCGTTCCAATTGGCGTCGCACGTAACGGTGACAGAAGCATCAAAAATGCGAAAATGGCGTTCCTATTTGAATTCAATTTGTAATATCTGTACACATATTTTACTAATCAAAACGCATGTTTCTTATTTTTTAAGATTCATGAAGACAGATGTAACATAAAAAAATTATTTTTATAAATATTTAAATGGTTTTTTCGAAATTTAAAGTCGTCATTTTGCAGTACTCAAGAGGTTAAAGCAATATCTTTGGGTATTTTAATTAATGAGCAACATGGTTTTATGAGAGGAAGATCAACTGCAACTAATCTTTCGATTTTTACAAATTTTCTTTCTTGTGAGTTGGAAGCAGGTTCACAGGTGGATACTGTTTATACAGATTTTTCTAAGGCGTTTGACAAGGTCAATCATGAATTGTTATTGCATAAATTGAAATTTTTTGGCGTGGGAGCGAATATTATTAATTGGTTTAAAAGCTATTTGGTAGGTCGTTCCAATGTGGTTCGTGTAAATAAGTCTTACTCATCTGAATTTTTTGCTGACTCTGGGGTGCCCTAGGGTTCTACACTGGGTCCCCTTCTATTTTTACTATTCATAAATGATATTAATTTTTGTTTTCAGTTTTCCAATTTTCTATTATTTGCAGATGACTTAAAGATTTATCGTATAACTGATTGTTTGAATGATATTGTCAAACTGCAGGCTGACCTTGATAAACTTTTTGTTTGGTGTGAACATAATGGTATGCCATTGAATATAAAAAAATGTAATGTTATTTCCTACTCTAAAAAAAACTACTAAAAACTTATATTTATTCTATTGATAATAACCCGCTTTCGAGAGTATATCAGGTTCGTGATCTAGGTATTATTTTAACTTCTGATTTATCTTTTGATGTGCACATCTCCCATGTTGTTAGTAGATCTCTAAAAATAATGGGTTTTGTGACGCGTAATTCCAAGTATTTCCACAGACTGTCCACTCTGAGAATTCTTTATTTTTCTTTAATTAGACCAATTTTGGAATATTGTTCATTAATTTGGTTTCCATACGCGAGTGTTCACATTCATAGACTTGTGCGAGTACAAAATCGTTTTTTGCATTTTATGGCTAGACAACTTAATGTTTACTTTGATTATTATATTCATGATCATGCTAGTCTACGAACTCAGTTTAGAATTCCTAAGATTGAATCAAAATTTATATTTACTGATCTTTTTTTTCTATTTAAAGTAATTAATGGAATTATTATATGTCCCTCTTTATTGTTTTTGATTAATTTTTCTGCACCAATACGACGTTTGCGATGTGTATCTCCTTTTTACAGTTCATTTCATAGAACGAATTACTGTAATAATTCAGTTTTCAACAGACTTAGTTTTGAGGGTAATTTTTATTCTGAAAGATTGGATTTTTTCAATAATAATGTCACGGCTTTTGTTACCTCTTTGCGTAATTTACTGTATAATGATAATTGAAATTTTTTGTTGTATTCTTTTTTCTCATCGATATACCACTTAACTTGATTAATAATTAACTTTGATTTTTAACATTTAACATTTGGCGATATACTTTTAGTTTATACATATGTAAATCTTAAAGGGTCTTAATTGTTACCCGTATAAGTCATGAATAAATAAATAAATAAATATCTATTTTCAGCGAAACCACTATACGACATAGAGAAACGATTGATTTGACAAGTCTCCTCACTACCAATGCTCTAGAGGGAAACGGTTATGGAAAAATCGACACTATAAGGCCTTAAGACCAAAGCGGAATTAAGAAGACCGAGCGCCCTTCCGAGAGGAGACGGTTAGGATTTTAATTAGAAATTAATTTAATTAAATTTACATTACTCTATAAATTACCTGCAGTACTCTATGCTGAAGTTCCAAAAGTGTTCGACGATGGTCTTTCAATTTTGCTTGCGTTGCTGTATGTTGTCTCTGCAATTCTTGTATTCTTTCTGCTGCCATATCAAGAAAAGCTCTATGCCTCGCAGTTTCTTCTTCTTGACATTTTAACCTATGTTTTACTTGATGGAATCCAATCATTGGAACAGGTATATATAAATCTGGATTAGGATTATCCAACTGTGCTTGTTTCCACAAACGCGGATCAATTGAGCACGGTGGATTTTCGAGATATTCTTTTAGCTGTGTTGGTTCAAGTTTAACAAAGGGATAAATATTATCTACGCCCATTTGAACAAGTTGTTGTTTTTGCATTGTTTGAGTGAAATAAGCAAATAATTCATTAGCGGGAATTTTCCTCGATGTACCAGTTACTCCCTTTTCTGAGACGAAAACTGTGGATTGACATTTAGTCTCACCGGTTGATTTTATTGAATCAACGGTCACAGTGAGATTTGGTTTATTGCCTAATATTGTATTTAAAGAGGCTATCAAATGCTGCTTTCCATCTTTTATTTCTTGTTCCTTTTTATTGAAGCAGAGAACAACGAGACCTTCGTTATTGTCTGCATCTGGCATTCGACTGTAGCCAATAGCTTTGAATCTACATAACGGATTTTCTTGATTTAGTTCTATAGGTGCTGCGTTTACAGAATAATACGCTTTTCCCGTACCCCACAATGCTTGTATCAGATTCCACCTTGCGATTGTACTATCGCGCTCATCATTAAATAATTGACAATTAAAGACTGCATTATAAAGCGCTTCTGAAATAGTGTTTGCGGTTGTTTGTTGTTGCTGTTGCTGTGTTTGCTGTTGTGGTTGAGTTAATCCTCCACCAAAACCCCCAAATCCTGTGCCTAAAAAATTTAATAGAAGTTGTTGAGATAGAAATTTTGTTGAGCTTTGATTATAATTTGAATGAATTCTTACCAGTACTAAATCCACCAAATCCAGTAGCAGTGGTTGTCGCGGGTTTGGCTCCAAATCCACCGAATCCAGTGGAAGTTCCAAAACCTGTTGTCGATGTATTTGTGGTCCCAAAGCCTCCAAATAAACTTGGTGCTGTAGTTGTAGCTGTTGTTCCGAAACCACCAAAACCTCCAAAACCACCAATAGTACTTGTTGGAGCAGGAGTAGAAAGAGCAGCAAAACCTGTTGAGGTGGCTGGCGTGGATCCAAATGCACCTGGTGTTCCAAATCCAAAACTTGTTGAAGGAGTGCTAAATGTATTAGTGTTCGTTGTGGTTGCTCCGAAACCAGTTGCTGTGGGAGTACCGAAACCAGCTGCAGTTCCAAAACCGGCACTTTGAGGAGCTGGAGTTCCAAATAATGAGGGAGTACTTGTCGCCGGAGTACTTGTGCCGAATCCAAAAGACGGTGTTCCAAAGCCAGCTGCAATTAGAAAACAACAATTTTTCATTGTATTTTTAGGGTCAAATCTTTCGAACCTGACGATTCAACGTTATGAATATGAAATTTTTTTAATTTAAGAATAAAAATAACTCTAGATGTGAAGAAATGTGTTTTTAAAAAAATTAATTAATGCAAAACTTCAAGCCACGATGCAATTGACAGTTTTTTGTCATTGTTTGTTTATTTTTTAAATGTCAAAAAAAGATTTATTTGTAAAAAAGAATGTTTTTTAAGTCGTGTTAATTTTTCTTGTATGTATATTTTTTGTTTTTTATTTTTAAGTTTTTAGGTTGTGCCTTTTATAATTTTTTGAAGTGAAAACCAACAAGAATGTCTATTTTTAGTGGTTATACGAAGTTTAAGGTTTATACGAAATTTACTTTGAACTTATGTTGCATTTCAGATTTGTTCATCAAAGTAAATTATAAAAATATATTTCAGTTTCGACGTTATGGAAATTATAGGCAACAACCGCAAATTCATGAACGAAAAAAAAATTCCTTTAAAATATTTAATAAAACATCAATTCATCGACGAGACAATTCACAAAAACAAATTGGAACAGAAATATCAAACGATGTTAGGACTACGGATCGAGTTATCGGAGTAGACTCAGTTTTCGACTAACTGAATAAAAAATTTATTTGATTAAAATAATTGGTTACTTGACTATTATCAAATAAATATTTATATTAAATAATTATTATTTGAATCAAGTCATCAATTATTTGAATCAATTAATTTTTTTATTCAATGTAAACAAAATTTAAAAGTATAACAGTTATTGAAAATTTCAGGAGGTCTTAGCTGAAGAAATTATAACAACTTCTGGTAAAATACCAAATAAAATGTACGAAATAGAAACTACACCTCAAGTATCAATAATAAAATTGGAACAACATTTGCCAAGATCCAGAGGTATTGAAGTGAAAAATGAAACTGATGCACAGCCATCTGTACTTTTTGTTATAGTAATTATCACTGGAAGTTTAATTATCTTTATTTGTATGATAACATGTATAATCAAAAAAGTGAAGAAGAAAAATTACAAGACACTCAGCAAAAAAGATGTTGAATATTGTACATTGAATCGTCCTTTACTTAGTATGTGCGAAGAAAAAGATTCTTCTGTCTGTTGTCAAAATTAAAGAATACTTAAAGATAATCATATCTAAAAGCAATAATTTATTCTCAATCAAACAATAATCAGCAAAATTAGTGTTTATAAAATTGAGTAATTTATTGACAATTAATATTTAAGAAATATCACACATGTGTTAACTTCATAATCTTCAAATCTTAATTAAAAATAAATTCCAAATTGACAATCAAAATTTGACTTACATTGCTTTTGTACTACACATTTCATTTATATAATTTATTTAGTAATCAAGTATAATCAAGCAAAATGGACTTTTTCAGTAGGTTCCAACATTGGAGACCTCATTTTGCAAAAAAAATTAAAATAATCCATCGGGACAATTTTTAAAAAACTAATTTTTAGTGTTTCCATCATGAACTCTGAATAAAATCACCTTAGAAAAACGTACTAAATTAAATTTAATTTCAATTTCAATAAGTATCTTGGATTTTGAATCACTGAATCTGAATCCGATATCAGTTTTTGAAAATTCAAAATTTCGGATCTAATATGGGAACCAAAAAGTTTTAAAATATAGTCTAGATTTGCTTAAAACTCATTACTCGCAATTGCTTGGGGTCGTAATTTAAAAAAAAAATCTTACGAAATTGGATCCCCCACAGCACCTAAAATTTTAGCAATATTCACATTATTTCTGCAATTTTAGGTGTTATGTGAGATTTTGTAATTTAAGGAAACTTATTACGTGAATATTCTCCTATTATAGTTATTTTAAACGAGTGACAATCTAGAGGAATATTCACGTAATAAGTTTGCTTAAATAACTGTGGGGGATTTAATTTCCTAAGACTTTTTTTTAAATACAATCCCAAAAAGTCCTGGGTAATGAGTTTTAAGCAAATCTAGATCATTTCCCAGGTGAAAATGATTCGTATGAAAATCGTTTAGAACACGGAGAAAAAATGAATTTTGAAAATTAGTACTGAACACTAGATATATTTTAAGGCGAATAATTTATTTTTAGAATTCTATATTAAAATTAAAATATATTGAGTTCTAGGATGTTGTATTGAGTCTTAAAAGTCTACCATTGTGAATCCAGGATGAAATTTGATCAACTATTCTAAAACTGTTTGGGATTCAGTACCAAAAGTTTTCAAAATAGTATATAATCGCCACTTGTTTACGTTCATAATTTTTTGTTACTTAGTCTCCCACGTAAAAAGATTACCGGTAAACTCCGCGAAGTAGCTCCGCGGATTTTCCGCGAAATTTCCGCAAATTTTTTTTTTGCATAATAATATATTTATGTTATTATTTAAAGTAATATAATATTAAATTCAATACATTCTATTTAAATTACGTTTTATACTTTAGTTAACAACTGAGACAAGATTTACTGTTAGACACGTCAATTTTTTGAAAAAAAAATATTGATAACCTTTAGGATAGTTTCGTGGTTACAATCGGTAAGGATTTTTTTAAGGATTTTAACATTTCAAGACATGATGAAAATACGAAGCATTAGTAGAATAACAAATCGATGTCACTCAAGAACTAGGCAGCAGCAAGAATACAATTTTTTGGGGAAGTTAAACATGTCGTATAAAATTTTCATATTACGAAGCCATCAATAAGTAACGGTAACGACCGGGAAATCATTTCTTTTTCCAAACCTTTTTAAGAGCTTATAACCTGTATTTAGATTATAAAGTTATTTTCTGAAAGTTTTAATTGTAACCTAATTTAACCCTACTAAAAATTAAAATATATAATGAGTGAAATAAATTTTATTACATAAATAGAAATCAGTATCATATGGCAAATGCATTTTTATTTTTTTATTAATAAAATTTTTATATGAAATGAATTTTATTATTGTATTATAAAAAGGATAAATACAAGTAAAAAACTATTTAATCTGTTATATATTTAACTCTCTTTAATGCAATAATCTGATATCAATTTTGGGATTACTTTTTTAAGTAGAAAAGAAAAATACATACATCTTTACCGGCTATAACCGTGAACCTATTTTTATAGTTTTCAATTTTTTGTTAACAAAATTAGTGTCAAAGTCTTCTCTCACTTGTTAACTAAAAATTAAAAAGTAATTTTAAGTAGAATATACACAATTTAATTTTATATTATTTTAAATAATAACATAAATATATTATTATGCAAAAAAAAAATTTGCGGAAATTTCGCGGAAAATCCGCGGAGCTACTTCGCGGAGTTTACCGGTAATCTTTTCACGTGGGCTTACGCTTCTAGTTTACGTTCTCACTTCCTATTTCTAAATACAAAACTTTAGGACTTTTCTCCTAAAATTCATCGTGGATCCGCATTCCTCAATTACTATACTCAGAAAAAAGATATGTTTGAACCAAATGTACCATTTTTTTATATTTACCCAATTTTTTAGTTAGTTCAAACAAAATTTGTTTAGGTAATAATTTTTACGAGGCCTTAGTTAGGGTCTTTATTGATGTTTATTGATGTTATAAAATTGGTTGACAACGTTTCGATACCTATTAGTATCCTCTTCAAGTCACAATTTTGGAATAATAATGTGGAAAAAAATTTTTTGAAAAATACATGGACGTAAAAATTTTGCAACAAAATTTGTTTAATTCGAATAAATATTTATTTGATCTAAATAACTGTTTGGTTTATTTTAATAAATTTTTTGAACAAAGAAAAAATTTGATTGAGCTAAATAAACGTTTGGTTTATGCAATCAAATGTTTGGTTAACTGTATATCAATGCATTTATTTTGTTGATTTAACCAAAATTTGGTTGCTTCAAACGAATTTTTTTCTGAGTGTAGGACTCAATAGATAATTTTTAAATTTCATTTTTCTCCGTGAATTCGTGTTAAATTCTTATAAGAATTCATGTGGCGTTTTGAAATAGAATTCGTCTGTAATTTAATCCTAATTCGTGCACTTTTTAATTCGGAAAAACGAATACAGAATTGATAAAAAAAATATTCAACACGGAAATTCAAATGGAATTCTGCCTCTGTAATATTTATGCCAAATTTTTTTTTAAAATTCAGGTTCAATTTTCCTGTACGAATTTCGTAGGTTTTTTAAAAGAAATTATGCTCGTAATTTTTGCTATAAATTTTTCATTTTAAATTCGACCACTTTTCTGTAGGAAATTCGTTCAACTATTTGTGCGATTTAGTAACGAATTTTTTAAATATATTTTTTTTTAATTACGCTAGAAATTTGATAGGAATTTCGTACATAATATTTACAGGGAAATAATTCCTATCGAATTTCTAGTGAAATTAAAAAAAAAAAATATTTAAAAAATTCGTTACTAAATCGTACAAATAGTCGAACGATTGTCCTAAAGAAAAGTGGTCGAATTTAAAATGAAAAAATTTATAGCAAAAATTACGAGCGTAATTTCTTTTAAAAAAACCTACGGAATTCGTACAGGAAATTGAAACTGAATTTAAAAAAAAATTTTCCATAAATATTAAAGAGGCAGAATTCCATTTGAATTTCCGTGTTGAATATTTTTTTTATCAATTCTGTATTCGTTTTTCCGAATTAAAATGTGCACGAATTACGATTAAATTACAGACGAATTCTATTTCAAAACGCCACATGAATTCTTATAAGAATTTTGACACGAATTCTAAAAACAATTTTCGTACGAATCATTTTCACATGGGATGAAACGTTCCAGATTACAATAATAATAGAAACGAAATGTTTATAACGAAGATTTATTGCACAGTAGAAAAACAAAATAAAATTGACAATTGTATCCAAATAAAAAAATGAAGAAATTAAAAATTAATGAAATGTTAATTATAATACGTAATAAATTGACAATTATATATATATTTATTACGAAAGAAAAAATTTGAGAAATGTTGTGATAACCTAAAAATATTTATTATATCACATCTACCTGGTTTTGCAGCTGGAGTGGAACTTGCTGTTTGTCCAAAACTAAATGAAGGAGCTGAAGCCGGCGTCGAAGTACCAAAACCTCCGCCAAATGACATTTCTTATATTTATTATTACACTAAAATTAATGTAAATCTCTTTCACTTTTCCCGCCTACGTTATAGAAAAGTGCCAAGATATATACAGAGCAAATCCAAAGTAAGTATAAATTGCAGGTTGTTGTAGAAACATCTTGTTAATTGTCGAGCATTGGTGAACTAAGTTAGCCATATTGCCTTTGCGTATAAAGCGCCATATTTCAAATCTAATTTTTTAAATATCTCGCTCAAATGAAATTTTCAAACCTAAGTATATATTGAGATTTTATATATTTATTTTTAAAGAACTATTTAATGCAATAAAAACGATTTTTTTCAATAATTTTTTAAAATAAATAGTTCTTTAAAAATAAAAAAGATACTAATATACTTAAGGCGCTCTCACACCTTTTTGGCTGCCTGCAGGTTACCATGGCAACGCATGAGAGTGAGTGCGACAGAAAATTTAAAAATTTGAATATTCAAATTTTCTGTCTCACTCACACTCGTGCGTTGCCATGGTAACCTGCAGGCAGGCAGACAGCCAAAAAAGGTGTGAGTGCGCCATTAGGTACGAAAATTTGCCAGGTTCAAGTGAGGCAGCGCCATCTACATTGAAACTAAAATTTTGGAAAATTTCCAACAGCCTTGTCTTGAAAACAAGAAGGTAAAATGCTTTTTCCTTTATGAATAATTGATTATTGGCAATATAAATACACCAGCTAAAACTTTTTTTGAGTTAAAATAATGAAAAAAATTTCATGTCAATAAATTAAATATGAGCATTTTTTTCACAATAACAGTACTTTCTCAGAAATTACAATCAAAAATGCAATTTCCATTTGGAAAATTAATAAACGCTAAAAAATACACCAGCTAAGATTTACCAATCACGAAAATAACAAAAAAAAAAGTTTTTTAACATAACATATTTTACTCATTATGACAGCCGTTTGGCAGGATATAAATGTCACCAGACGTTTCACGATTTTGCCGAAAGGAGGAGATTGGCGCTGTTGCTAACTACCTGTGACCTGAAATACATAATCTACCAAAGGGCTGTCACAATCAGTAAAACAGTGTCAATAAGTTAAATATGTAATAAATTTTTTTTTGTTATTTTCGTGATTGGTGAATCTTAGCTGGTGTATTTTTTAACGTTTATTAATTTTCCAAATGGAAATTGTATTCTTGATTGTAATTTCCGAGAAAGTACTGTTACAGTTTTTGTGAAAAAACTGCTCATATTTAATTTATCGACATGAAATTTTTTTTCATCATTTTAACCCAAAAAAAGTTTTAGCAGGTGTATTTCTTGCTAATAATCAATTATCCATAAAGAAAAACGCATTTTACCTTCTTGTTTACTAGAAAAGGCTGTTGAAAATTTTCCAAAATTTTAGTTTCAATGTAGATGGCGCTGCCTCACTTAGACCTGGCCTTATTTAAAAAATTAGATTTTATCATACTTCCAATGTAAAGTTGTGCATCAGATAATCGCCATTTTGGATTTTCCCCCACCCAATTTAAATTATCTAATGTGATTTCACCCTTATGCTCACATATATGCATAGAGATAATATAAATAGAGTGGAGATGGTCTGTATAGAGGCGTCCGTTTGATAGAAAGAGAACGCGATTTTAGCACCAGTAGGTGTCTCTCTTGCGCTGGTGCTTATTGAAGGACAGATACTGGTGTTAAATCTTTCTTCTCTTTCCAACCCATTCTGTTTATGTCAGGACACTTCCCTCTTACGCAGCCGCCTATACCTTGTCTACTCTATTTATATTATCTCTATGCATATATGACCGCATCTTGAATATATCAACCTTGTGATACATGAATTTGTAAAAACGATTTGTATGTGTATGTGCATGAGACGGCATCATTGTTTTATTTATAAGGAGAGAAAAAGTGGTCATTTAAATTATTTGAAAATTAAATAGTTAAATATTTGAAAATGTCATCACGTTACGATCGAGCAATTACCGTTTTTTCTCCAGATGGTCATTTACTTCAAGTTGAATACGCACAGGAAGCTGTACGAAAAGGTTCCACTGCTGTAAGTCAATTTTTCGGCATTTAACCTTAAAAATATTTATCATCTTTAAATTTTATTTTTAAAAAATATATTAATATTTATAGATTTATATTCTCAAAAATTTATAAAATAATAAATATTTCAAAAAATTAAAAATTATTAAGAATAGAAAAATTATTAATTATAACTAAAATTAAATTTTAATTAGAAAAATTTAATTATCTTAATTAATAAAAATTTTATACATTAAAAAAAAATTAAATAGGTAGGTGTTCGTGGAAAGGATGTTGTTGTTCTTGGAGTTGAGAAGAAGTCTGTGGCTAAATTACAAGAAGAACGCACTGTCCGCAAAATATGCCTTTTGGATGATCATGCAGTTATGGCTTTTGCAGGTTTGACAATATAATAAATTTTCTCTTTTTTCAGAAAAAAAAAACTCTTTTGTATGATTTGACAAAATTCTTTTAAGGAATTAGTACCACATCTTTTTTCAAAAAAATCGATTTTCTAAAAACTGCAGATTCTTGTAGTAGATATATGTAGAAATTCTATGGAAATTATTATTTTGATTGGAAACTTTGGTAACATATAAAAAAAAAAAGACGGGGTACAATGTACACTACCGTCAGAAATTGTGCGACCTCTGCTTTCTCGACGACTATAAAGTAATTTAAATCTGCAAAAATATTAAAACTAAAATTTGTGTCCTTTTTATTTTATAAAAGCTAATAAAATTCTGAAAGAAATGACACCTTGACAAAGAGAATATGTTAATTTTTCAATTAGATATCTAAGAAAAACACAATTTTCAATGTTTTTACTATTCTTTTTATTTCCCTGGCAAAAATTAATATTTTTAAACGTTCTTGGGCTTATTGGAATCGTATTTTGTTATAGGGTCAATTAGGGTAAATCGAAACAGTAGTTATTTCAGTTAAATAAAAAATTTTAAAAATAAATATGGCCTCAAGCCTTGTTGGGGGTGATCTAAGGTTCAAGGTTTGAGGCCGTATTTATTTTTAAAATTTTTTATTTAACTGAAATAACTACTGTTTCAATGTTCCCCAACTGACCCTACAATTCAAATTATTGAAAATAATTCATGTCCACATTCTTCCATAGCGTATGCAAACCGTGAAAGTTGTCTCAAAAAAAGTCAAAAAATTATTATTCAGGGTGTCTAACGGTCAGGGAAACGTCAGGGAATTTTAGAAAATTTCATTCAAAGTCAGGGAAATTTCTGTAAATTTGTACAAAAATTAAAATTTTTTGTGAATTTAAAAATTTGTTAATCTAAAAAAACTTGAATGGTTTTTATTACCATTTGTTACTACTATTAGAAATTAATTTATTGTTAAATATGTCAGTAATCATATTTTTGTCCAAAGAAAGCAGAAATAAGGTTATTAAAAAGTCAGGGAAAAATAAAAAAATGTCAGGGAGAAGTCATGGAAAAGTCAAAGAATTTTTTTCTCAATCCTTGTTAGACACCCTGTTATTAATATTTAAATGACAAAAAATGATTAGTAAAAGTATATGTAAATCTTAAATTTACTTACAGAAATCAGAGAATTTTATGATGTTCTATTTACTTTATTTTTAAACATTACATTTTATTGTAAAATGAACTTTAATTTTTTTACTTTTTTTGAGCCAACTCTCATGGTTTGCATACGCTAAGGAAGAATGTGGACATGAATTGTTTTAAATAATTTGAATTGTATAACAAAATACGCTTCCAATAAGCCCAAGAACGTTTAAAAATATTAATTTTTGCCAGAGAAATAAAAAAAAAAAATAGTAAAAATTTTAAAAATTGGGTTTTTCTTAGATATTTTTCAAAAAGGGCAAATCAAAACTTGCACGATTTTAGACGGTGTTTTTGTTCAAAAATAATAAAATTAATTTCAATTAATAAAAATCTGCCAGACATATGATAAGATTTAACAATTTTTAATTGAATCACTAAGGAAAATTTCAAAAAAAAAAGTCAAATAACTAAATTATTTAATGAAAAATAGTGTTAAAACTCCCCTCCGTAACATCAGATTTTATTCAATATTTCAGTTATTTAGCCTTTTTTTTGGAATTTTTCTTTAGTGATCTAATTGAAAATTATATATGGCTAACAGAATTTTTAAGAATTTCAATCAATTTTATTATTTTTAAACAAATTCAGGGTGTCTAACGGTCAGGGAATTTCAGAAAATTTCATTCAAAGTCAGGGAAATTTCTGTAAATTTCTACAAAAATTAAAATTTTTTGTGAATTTAAAAATTTTTAAATCTAAAAAAACTTGAATGGTTTTTATTACCATTTGTTACTACCATTAGAAATTAATTTATTGTTAAATATGTCAGTAATTATATTTTTGTCCAAAAAAAAGCAGAAATAAGGTTATTAAAAAGTCAGGGAAAAATCAAAAAATGTCAGGGAAAAGTCAGGGAATTTTTTTCTCAATCTTTGTTAGACACTCTGAAATTACTGCGAAAGCATGATTTGTCATTTTTGAGAGAAACAAAAATAAATTTCTAGTTCAAGTAAAACTATTGTAAAAATAATATTCATTTGCTTCTAAAGTCCCTTTCTTCCGATCGCGTCACATATACATGTATATAAAATAAATACTATTGCACCGATTAAGCTAAAATTTTTATGGCTATTGTCCGAACTAAAATCATAATTAAAAAAAAAAATTTAGGTTTGACTGCTGATGCAAGAGTACTTATAAACAGAGCTCAAATAGAATGTCAAAGTCACAAATTAACTGTTGAAGATCCAGCCACATTAGAATATATTACAAGGTATATTGCAGGTAAGCAAAATTTTTCAATAATTACATTTTTCAAACACAGAAAATTTTGTTTGCAATTAATGTATCGTTTTGCTTTAATATCAGGCTTAAAGCAAAGATATACTCAAAGCAATGGTAGAAGACCTTTTGGAATTTCCTGTTTATTGGCTGGCTTTGATTATGACGGAGTTCCCCATTTATATCAGACTGAGCCCTCTGGAATTTATTATGAATGGAAGGTAAATTTTTTTTAAGCTTTTATAATATTTATTATCTTTATTCCTTATTTAAATATCGAAATTCGATTGCTCCTTTACACATAGCAATTTTGTCAATAATAACTAATTTATTATTCTTTAATGAATTTAGAAATTCTGATACAAAAAATAATGAATATTTATTGTAATTAAGGCAAATGCTACTGGACGCAGCGCCAAAACTGTTCGCGAATTTCTTGAGAAATATTATTCAACTGACGAAGTTGCATCTGAAAAGGGTACCATTAAATTGGCTATTAGAGCTCTATTAGAGGTGGTTCAATCTGGTCAGAAGAATTTAGAAATAGCAGTTATGCGCAGAGGTCAACCTTTACAAGTAAGACATATACCGCTGTTTTTTTTTTTTTTTTAATTTTAATTAAAAGTATTTATTTTTGTTTCACAATAAATTATTTCGTTCTGAAAAATATTATAATTTGCAGATGTTAGATACAGATACAATTGGAGGATATGTCACTGAAATTGAAAAAGAAAAAGAAATTGAAGCGGAAAAGAAAAAGCAGAAAAAGTGAATATTTTAATTTTTATAATGCAATTATCCATATTGTTAAATCTTTTAATAAAAGAAGCATTTTGATTCGTGAAAATCAATGGAAATTTATTTTCTTTAACTTTTTATTCCAATAGTAAAAATTATCAAAATAATATTTAGAGAATGTTTTCACCGTGTGGATAAATTTAATCCTCCGAGAGGTTAAAGACAGTAGATATATTCTGCATCCGCGCAGAAACTGTATCCAAACATTTTTTGCAGACGCAGAATATATCTACTGTCTTTAACCTCTGGGAGGATTAAATTTATCCACACAATGAAAACGACCTCTTGATATAATTAATTATGTTGTGAGTTAGACTTTATGAGACCCTCATTTTTGGATGTATTGTCTGGGATCCACCACTACTGTTCTACAATCTAAAATATAATTGTTATATTCTATGGTGCTACTGAGGCCCTGGAATGTTGCAGACATAAAAATATCTATATTATTACGGACAGCAAGGCAGCTATTGATGCTTTGAAACGTTATGTAACTACATCACAGTTGGTTGAAGGATGCCATACGGCACTCAACAGACTAGCTGAAAATTATTTCGTTGCCTTCCTCTGGGTCCCAGGACACAGCGGAAATAAAGTTAACAACATAGCGGATGAACTAGCCAAAATAGAAGTTCGGGAACAATTTATCGGATTGGTATCTCTGACAAATTGATACCTATTCACAAATTAAAAGCCATAAAGTTTTGTAGAAGTTATACAGATTTGATGCATAAGATTTATTTCTTATTTGATGTTTTATTAAAAAAAATTTAGTTTTCAGATATTCTACCTTAACCCTTGGAGCACACACCTCTTTTTTCGAACAAGTAGCACAGTCTGGGTCGCTGTGACCCTGTTTACTTTACAAAACTCCCGCATTTTTGAACTATTGGACTGATCAACACAAAAAAAATATTTTTTTATTCATTGAACCTTGTAAAATAAGAATATGCAGTTTAGAAATATTATTAAATTATTTGCATATTGAAAAAAAATTCGTGAAGTTAACTAATTAAAAAGAAAAAATTGAATTTAAAAAAAAATGTAACTTTTGTAATTTTTAATATTTTAAGCTAAAAATTGGGATTTATATTCTCGAAGTATGTTAGAATAAGGGAAAAAATACCACCTTATTTTATTTTTTAAAAAAGGTATTTATTTTGTAGTTTAACGAAGGTAACTTTTAAGACGATAAAAATGTGATTTTCGATACAACTTTTTAAAACTATACTTTTTTAATAACATATTTACTAGTATTTTATTATTTTCTTTGGATTATCATGTTACTTATTATTCCTTATTAGTTAGTTACCACTATATGGCCTTAGGTTCGTGTTGTATTGCCGACTTTTCAAATTACACTTCATTGAAATTAATGACAGGGTCTGTGTGATCCAGTATGTGCTCCGAGGGTTAAGGAGTTCAATAAAAATACGTGTTCTAAGTTAACGTTTTTAATATTATTTTATTTATTTATTAAATTGAAATTTTTTTTATTAACATTAAATTTACAATTTTTTATATTTGTATGAACCTATAAAATTAAAAACAATTGTCAGGAGACATTGCTTTTCCTCTATGATTAAATACTTGAAACGAAGGTAGATTGCGCAAAGTTTCCCATGATTTATTTTCCAAATCTACAACAGCTCGGATTTCTTTGAAATCTCCTGCAATAAACATTACTCCGTACATAACCACAAAAAGACTGAGAATACCTTGAATGATGATCTGCAAAAAAAATTACATTTTTAAAATAAAAACTCATTCGTAGAATTAATTATTGTATATTTTAACGAATATTGTTAAATCATGTTTATACATTTCATTTTAACAATTTTTGTTATACAATATATAAATAATATATTAAAAAGTGTATACTTACATCTATAGGCAATGTTGTAAATTCTTGTTCAGTTATCCGCAGATAAGAGCGATCTATAAAATTAGAAAATTATTAATAGACGAATGTAATAAAATATTGGAAATTTGTTGATATTATAGAAGATGTTTAGGTTTGAAATAAGAAATGATAAAATTTTTAAGTTAAAAACAATTGATTTAAATGACATTTAAAATTAGGTTGAATATTATAGGGTAAATGCACTAATTACGGCGCGGTTCGAGTCAAAACACCTTTGAAATAAAAAATTCGACATTTATATTGTATAAAGTCAATTTAAGGCTTATTAAACTAAAAGCTTATGTTATTTAGATATTAAAAAATTTAGATAAAAAAAAGATTTTTATAAAAATCGATTATTTAAACAAATATGAGAAATTAAAACTGATACCGCAATTTTCTATTACAGCGCGTTTGTATCAATCACGGTGACCAAAATTACGTGTATTTTAAAGATACTTTGCCCACCGTAATTGAAGACAATGGAAATCTTAAAAAAGTTTCAATTACGACGGGCGAAAAAATTTGATCTCAAATAATTAAATTAATAATTGTTTAAATGTGCATCTTTATTAGTGATTCTATCCAAAAAAGATTAAAATAATTTTTTTAAAATCATTTTGCAACAGTTATATTAAATATAATAATAATAGTTATTTTTTATGAACGCGCCGTAATTGGTGCATTTACCCTAGGTTTCTAACCAAAAATTTGCAAAACAACAATAAATATTTTTAAAAAAAAAACATTAAAAAATTGGAAAAAAATTGTTTTTGAGTAACTTTTCAAAAGAAAAGAGTAATTTTATAGGTATATATCCAAAAATTCGAAAAAACTGCTTAAAAGTGCAAAATAATCTTTTTTTAGGGTTAAAATTACAAAAAACATGTTAAATCGGTAAAATATGTAAGATTTTCTAAACGCATTATGACAAAAGATTTTGATTTATTTGAAAATAAAATTTTCAAAGTCGGTGTCGCTATTCTGCTGTGTTTTCTAAAAACTTAGGTAACTGCAGAATGAAAGATTTCGAGAAAAACGCGAAAAACTGTTTAAACTTCATTGATATGTACCGCAAAGCCTAATTAAAACTTTTAAATGCCGTATTGTTCCTTCGATTCGTTTAAATTTATTCTTTTTAATTATGTAAAAATAAATGTTGTATTTGTTTAAACATTCAATAAATTATTAAAAATGTAGTTATCGGTATGCTGATTCGAGGGTCGTCGCACGAGAAACTTAGGTAACTGGTAGTTACTTGGTCCCTCGTGCTACGATCGCACAGAAAACTTAGGTAACTACAGGGAATATATAAGAATTTTCATCTTTCTTGGCCAAAAATAGTAAAAATATATTAAATAATAAACTATAATTATTTAATAAGCTGCGAAAGTTGTCACTATAATTATTGTTTTTTACAAATATTTAATTTTATGCTTAAATTTATTTTAATTATACAATATTAGAGTCAAATATTGTATTAACTCAGAATATATTAAATAATAATATAAAATAAAATAAAATACATAAATAAAATAAAAATAATATAAAAATAAATAAAAAAAATAATAAATAATAAAGTGTAATTATTTAATAAGATGCGAAAGTTATCATTATAATTATTGTTTTTTACAAATATTAAACTATATGATTGAATTTATTTTAATTATACAATATTAAAGGCAAATTATTGTAGGTATTAAATCAGAATAAGGCGTTCCAAAAAAAAATAACAGACAATTGATACTGCAGTAAATATATTTATCATAAAAATAAAAAATGTTATTACTGAATATTACTTCATTTTCTTAATTTATTAATGCTTTTATGTTATTTATTAAAATTAATACTTAATTTTTCAATAATTGATAAATTATTATTTAGGTATAATTATTTATATATATATAGTATTGGAGTTTTTTATTTTATTATTTATTGTTATTATAAATTATTAATTGCAGAAAAAACATAGTAATTTTAAACAAATGTATAAGATTTTGCAGTTACTTGGTCCTTTAAATTACGATCCTCCTTTTTTGAGGCCTCGTCGCATGGAAAACTTAGGTAACTACAGTGCTCTGATAGCACTCTGTAGTTACCTAAGTTTTCCATGCGACGAGGGCTCGAAAAATGAGGTCCGTGTTTTGAGAAACTAAGGCACTGTGCAGTTACCTAAGTTCTTCAAATCACGACAATTTTTAAAAATAATTTGCATTAACAGGTGTATCTTTTTTCCACGATTCCAACGATATAAAAAACTCATTTTTCGATTTTTTTGCAGTTACCTAAGTTTTTAGAAAACACGGCAGTATTGGAAATTTGTTAACTTAATAAAATAAGGAGATTTTTCTTCTTATATTTGATAAATTAGTCATTCAACTTTTCAGTGTTGTTTCTCTGCCCTTAACTATCTGTTTACTTTTTAAGTTTCATTGACCACCTGTGTTTTTTTTCATTTTCTCTGCTTTTATCGTATTTTTATTTCTTAAATTCATTGACCATCGATGAGATTGAAATTTACTTTACATTGTGTTTTAATTTCACCTTTTTGACTCGGAAAGATTGATAGATTCTATTTTATATACTTTTATCAATAATTGTTAAACTTACGTTGCGCTGCTGAATAAGCAGCATGTATGACGGATAAAAATCCTACGAAAATAAGAATTTTGTGTGCTGAAGTCACCACCATAATTATAAATTTAATTATTTTAAAAAATACACTTTCTTTTTTTTAGTTTATAATGTTTAAATAACCCCTTGTGTATATATATATGGTAGTCATATAATTGTTTGTTTAGATTCTGAAAGATTCTGAGTTGTCACTGGTGACTAGACGTTGTAATAAAGGCCAACGCACAATAGTCCAGTGTGAGAGCTACTGATCTCTGGTGAGAGAGTCCGATGTTATTGTGCGACAGCCCAGAAGTATTTACTTATTCTATTCTGAAACGGTGGAGAAAAATTTAAAGTAAACAATGAATCCTTTGACGTAAGTAAAATAATGTATTTAACAATTAAATTAACCAATTTCACATTGCTCCATTTATACAAAACGCCCCCCCCCGTTGATAAAATGTTAATTAAAAAGCCAGTGGAATAAAATGCTAATTCAAAAGTGTGTGCTAAATGATTATTTATTAAAAATTTGGAATTCAATTGTCATAAAATGCTAATTAAACCGAAAATTAAATATAATGTTTATTTAAGTAAATTTTATTACATTTATTACATTCAAAATATTTAATGAAAACTGATTTTAAGTTTATCATAAGTAAAAAACAACTTTTAATCAAGGTAAAACTACCGTAAACATAACCTATAATTCGTTTGCTTATAAGGTCCCTTTCTTCAAATCGCGTCATATATTTTTTTTTTGGAATTAAATTATTAATTAAAAGTAAAATGTATTATTTTAACGACTCTTACGCCCTCAAACTAGTTACAGAAATTAAGAAAAAGTTCGTAATTTTTAAATAAGTTCATTAAAGTCCAAAATTTTGACAAAAAGTACGAATATATTATTTTAGAATATAAAGCAATAAGATAATGTAGTTTTTAATAAAAAAAAAAAACTTATTTTACAGTTAGAATTTTTTAATAAATGAGAATTCTTTTGGAAAATTTTTTCTAATTCAATAATTTTTAAAATGGTTTGAATCTCTATTGAATCATCCCAGTGGGCACCAAGATATCTTTAGGATGACTTTAGAACTTTCCAAAGTGTCCTAGGACATTGAGTCAATGTTCCAAAGACATAAAAAAGACGACTTAAAGACGCCCAAAGTATATTCTGTGTCTGTCCCAGAACAGTCTTAAGAATGTCCTAAAATTGTCCCCAAAATGTCTTAAATACATCTTCAAAAGGTCCCAGAATGTCCTAAAAATATTCCCGAAATGTCAAAAAAAACGTTCTTATATGTTTTCAGAGTATCCTTAAAATGTTCGAACCATATCCTGAGAATGTCCCAAATATGCCCTGAGAATGTACTAAACATATGCTGAAAATGTCCAAGGAATTTACTAAAAACTTCTAAAATCTTTGATAACCGAAATGAATATTACATTGAAATTATGTATACTTCATATGGATTCATATCGCAATTACTGGTCATATATATTGATCCCTATTGAAAATCTCTGTACAAGATCGTGTACAAAACATATGTTTAATATTTGTATACAAGAAAATGTACATGTTCTTGTACAGGTTCATTTATATCTTTGTTTAGTAAAAATTAAAAACTTTGAAGGCTGCGCAGTAGTTTTCTTAGGACTGCGCAATAATTTTTGGCATGCATAAGTAAAAAGTTTTAATGATTTTAAATTATTAAAATCTCAAATTTAAAAAAAAAAAATTTTTAAATGAATTTGTATAAGAACATGTACATTTTCTTGTATACAAATATTAAATATATTTACTTGTACAAGTTCTCGTACAAGAACTTGTTCCAAATTTTGGTGCCAAAATTGTACAAGATCTTGTACATGTTCTCATCACCAGAACAGGTACAAGCTCAGCTGCTGAACATTTACATTTTCTTGTACAGGATTTTTCAATAGGGATCCTTATGGGCTAATTCGCCGAAAAAAGATGATGTTACAAGAATGTACCAAACATGTTCTAAAAATGTCCAATAAACTCCTTTGTAATATCTTCAACATGTCTAAAAAATATACTGAAAAGTTTCAAATTTTTTCCAAAATTTTCAAAAATAACCATAAGGTTTCTTAAGGATATTTTTGTAACTGCTCTAGGCCAGACATAGAACTTGTTAAGGATGTCTTTATTTCATTCTTTTTGTCATCTATAGGATGCCTCTTTATGGGCATTTTTAGGATGTCCTAAGGATATCTGTAGAACGTCTTTTTAACAATATCCCAAGAACGTTCTGAGAAGGATGTCACTGAGACATCCAGTAGATGTCCGTGCCCATTGAGATTCTAGTTATTTTTATGTAGAATAATTTAGATAAAAATTCATAAGTTTTATTTCTTACCTTTAATATAAATATAAAATATTTGATAAATATCTTTTAGAAATGTTAAAAATATTGCCAAACTTGGACAACAAGAACTAGATGGAAATTTAAAAACTTCATGGCATGAACAATATAAGGATAGTGCTTGGGTTTTTGTAGGTGGCTTACCATATACTTTAACTGAAGGGGATATAATTGCCGTATTTTCTCAGTAAGTATTTTTGTATTTGTTCTTTATAAATTATAGCCTTTTAAAGAGATTGAAGTGAATAGAATAGGGATATATGGCCTAGATAGCACGTAAGCTTGCAGCAACCTTGCACGGCAAACTTGACGTAAGCTTGCAGTGCAAGGTTGGCAATAATGCGCGGCAAGCTTGCCACAATGTTGCTGCAAGCTTACGTGCTGTCTGAGAAGTGAATAGAATGTGGATAGATGGAGTATAAATTATCAATTATATTACTTAAAGGTATGGAAAAATTGTCAACATTAACCTAGTACGGGATAAATTTACTGGAAAACAAAAAGGTTATGGTTTCCTGTGTTATGAAGATCAAAGGAGCACTATATTAGCCGTTGATAATTTTAATGGAATCAAAGTAAGTATTACTTAAACCATGCAACAAAATTAGTTTCTCAATTTTTACACTTTCAATAGATTTTATCAATAATACAATTGAAATTAGATTTTAGGAAGAACAATTAGAGTCGATCACGTTGCAAACTATAAGGTACCTAAAGTACCAAAAAAGCAGGATACCGAAGAAAAAAGGTCTAATAGATGATTACCAGTACGTCATAATTTAGAATTAAATTTCCTTCAAATCTATATTTATAATTTTCTAAATATATTTAGGAAAACTTGTCAGTATTGTTCTTAATTATATTGTTCTACATTTAATTTTGTACATAAATAAAATGATTTTACTAATAGTTATTATTCATTTATTTACACCAGATCCCGTAGTTTGAATGGCCCATGAGTAAAAACGTAAAAGGATCTGTTAAGGACCTTATGCCTTCACTAATAATTGTTGATAAAGAAAACTTGAAATTAGTTTGAAAAATATGGAAGGCTTTAAAAACAAAGTAAAAGGAGACCCTTGTCTCTAGACAATAATAAAAATAAAAGAGGCTCTTGCTTAAATATTATCACCTTTGATTGAAAATATGTCTACAGCTATAACAATTTTGTATCAAAGAAATTTTATTTATAAAACTTTATTGCATATTATATAAATAAGAATATTACAATACGATAAGCGGATAGGTTTAACATCGATTTTCAATATTTACATAAATATTTCAGCAAGTAATCTAAATTAATCGTAAATAATCCCTCAGTTGTAATATTTTCTAAGACTCTGAGTTTTCCTGAACAGGTGACAATCTAAAACATATTCCTTCCACTACTGCTTTTTCACCAACAACTGATTCTGGTAATAGTGACATATGACTCTAAAATTAATTAATAATTCAGTTTTTATAGATGACCCATTTTAATTGAGACTTACCACTGCTGTTTTTTCTGTTGAATTCATGTAACCTACAATCATAGTATTGGTAGAATGACTCCAAAGTAAATCTCCTACTTTTTCATCGGGCATATATCTAATAGCAATTGCACCTCCAAGTTTCTGTTCCAGATCAGATAAGAATTTAGAATCTAAAATTATTTAAATAATTAGTTGGATTCAAAATTTTGAGAAATTTTTTTTTACAAAAATTTACCTAGAAAATCATTTTTCATAGTCTCATGAAAACTCATTATAGGGCACTCAGTATTTGAAATTGCTTCTGCAATAGTGCGAGCTAATGTTGTTCGTATTAGGTGTTCTCCACAACCTGTTGTACTAACTCCTACAGAACTTTTGCCTTTTTCAGCCCATGTCCCACATCCCCATACACCAGCCTAGATTTCAAAACAGTTATTAGAACTTAGATGGAAAAAATTGAAATTTTTTTACAGTTTTTACTGTTTACCTGACCCACTCTTCCCGAATGTTTTAAAATTATTCCTCCACTTGAACAAGCTGAAGCAATATTACCAGAATTATCTACACACACAGCACCAACAGTATCCATTCTTTTTTTAGTCACCTATAATTAAAACAAATTACATTAAAATAATCCCAATTATAAATCGATAAGGGCCAGTTTCACCAACTCCGGTTAAAAGTTAATCAGCGATTAAATCCCTAACCAACCAATCATGAACGGTTAAATTGGCTTTAATCGCTGATTAACTTTTAATCAGAGTTGGTGAAACTATCCCTAAAAAAAATATATTTTTACCCTTTTAATATCGGAACTATGATCTTCCACTTTTCTCTTGTAATGTTTGTATACTTTCTCTGCTTTCACTAAAACAGTACACAAATTAATATATATATATGATCTAACTCTAAATATGGCTCTAATAATTTAAATAAGAATACGATGCTATTTTTAATCTTGAGTATAATATATGAGTAAACTCTGTGTTCACTTTATGTGTGGTAGATTTGTATTTTTTACCTGATATTAAATCATTCGGTGGTATTGTTACAATTCCTAATTCGTCAGCCCAAGTTTTAGCTCCAGACCCAACTAAAAAACTGAAACATTTCTAAGGTTAAATAAATTTAGAAGTTCACTAATTTATAAAACATAAATTTACTTTTACCTTGGTGGAATTCTACCATGTGAAATATTAAGACGTTGTCGTTCGCAAAGCTGTTTTGCAACTACAATAGGATTTTTAATACCACTAACAGCTCCAACAGCACCAAAGTGTAAAGTAGATCCATCCATTACACTAGCATCGCATTCAACTTTCCCATCAAATGTTAAATTCGATCCATAACCAGCATTTGTCATTTCTGAATTTTCTAGAACAATAGTGGCATCAACTACTGCTTCTAGAGTTCCACCACCTCCAATTAACTTCTCTATTCCCTAAGAAATCAAAATTATTTATATGAAAAATATTTTTTATCCCTTAGGCACAAAGCCATTCATTTTTTCAATCTTTCAAAAAGTCATTTTGGTTGAACAAGGTTCTAATTTTATCAAAATTTTATTATTATAATAAATTGGTTCTAATGCATCATTTTATTTTCTATTTCGATTCCTCCACAGTAAAAACATACCTTCTTGCATGCCTCTTTGCACAAACTTATGTATTTATCTTTAAGCTTATCTGAGTGTTGGCCAGCACCTAAAAATAACCAATTTATTAAATAATTTCGTATCTGACATGATTTCGTTTTTTTATTGTAATTTACATACCCACATGTACAGCAATAAATCCATTATTAACATTCATTATTTATGCTCCTTTATAAAATATATTCAAAAATGATTTCCAATGAAGATTCTAATATTCTAAAATAAAAAAATAAACTATTCTTATAGTCTGTTTCAAAAAAGTGCTCGAGTAAAAATTTAAACCCTAATTAAGTTTTCTAAAATCTTATCATAGACCGAATTCTCATTTCTATTCTATAAACGAAAACTGAGAAAACTGGAATAATACAATTAGGATAATAAAAAAATAGTTAATACAGAATATAATCTGATTAATACCCGCCACGGTGAGCTTGGACTAAATTCAACCCAAAAGTTCTTGCTCATCCAATTTTTTTTTCTGATTTCATTTCAATGATGCCCCACGATAATTTTAAGGCAAAAAAGAAAATAATCGGTCGATGAAATTTTTAATAAACTCAATTTTTCGATTTTTTTAAGATTATTGTATACAGTTTTATTAAAGTAACGCCTACAAACTTCAGTTTGACTTAAAATCTTCTCAGTAATATGAAGAAAGATGTCCCGTGATATAAAATGCTTATAATTACTTTAAAACCTTAAAAAATTAAAAAATACATGAAGAAATAGTCATTTATCATCAATTTTTCGAAATTTTTTTTAACTGTGATCTATTTTACAGAAAAATGACATCAAGACGAATTAAGTACTTTAAATTCTGAGTAAAATAAAAAACTATATTGATCTATCTTGCATAGATTTGAAGATACGATCATTTAACCATTTGCGTATCTTCAAATCTATGCAAGATAGATCAATATAGTTTTTTTATTTTACTCAGAATTTAAAGTACTTAATTCGTCTTGATGTCATTTTTCTGTAAAATAGATCACAGTTAAAAAAAATTTCGAAAAATTGATGATAAATGACTATTTCTTCATGTATTTTTTAATTTTTTAAGGTTTTAAAGTAATTATAAGCATTTTATATCACGGGACATCTTTCTCCATATTACTGAGAAGATTTTAAGTCAAACTGAAGTTTTTAGGCGTTAATTTAATAAAACTGTACACAATAATCTTTAAAAAAATCGAAAAATTGAGTTTATTAAAAATTTCATCTACCGAATTAGAATTTACAATACTCTAACGATAAATAATTTTACGCATCAATAAAAATTAAAAAAAAAATTATTGTCATAAATAATAATAAAATTAATTAATAAATTGATATTGATTATAATTTTAATTTATTTAATTAAGTACAATTTTTTATTTGTATTTCAATTAATTATTATTTCTTAACCTTTCAAAATCATCCGTTACATTTCTCTTATGCAAAATATTAATATAATTAATTAATGATTTAATATTATTAATATAATTTTAAATACTTAACCACAACTGCACTGACATTTATTTTATTTTCCAAGTTAATACCAGGATTAATCTCAAAAGTATAATTCTTGATTAATCAGTTTTATTAACCAGGTTAATTTGTCCTATTAGTCAATTTGAAAATATCATAAACCGGTATTAATCAGTTAATACTCTGTATAATCTAGTTTTCTCAGTGAAGTTAATAAATATTTTGTGTTTAAATCAATATCACGAAAACGATATACAATATTAAATTACGCTTTTTGTATTAATTACAGGCCAACAAAAAATTAGAAAATTTTTTTAATGCCACAAATGTCAAAACTGTTTCTAGTAGGTTTTTTCATGCTGAACACAAATCCGTAAACGAAAAGTTTCTATCAGTTCTAGTTTTTGAGAAAAACGGTTTTAAAATGTCAAAAAATCGCGTTTTTGTAAGTCGGTTAAAAATTGAGGAAGTGTTTGAAAATTATTGTCATACCATCTTTTTTAGTACTACTAGACTTATAACTTGTAATAGGGAAAAGTGCAACCAACTTTTTTTTTTTTTTTGTTACACATTTAATGAGATAAATTATCCACCTAAAAAGCTTCAATAATTCTATCATTTAATTCAATTATGTAAATCTTGAATAAGAATTATATTACATTAGCGTTTGAATAAGCATTATATGAACGGAAGGCGTCGAATTATTAATCTAATTTTAGTAATGTTCTTTTGAAATTAATAATTAACATTTACGTTTTATGTGATTATCAAGACAATATCAGTGATTTTTGTTTACATACAGCTCTAAACATTTACCACGAGGCGGTGTTTAGGGTAACACACAATTGGATCCGATCCTTGAACACGGGAACGTTAAGCCGGAGGAGAATTACGTAGTTCAAGTTGAGCGGGAGAAAATACAAGATGGACGAAAGCCGACTTTACATTGGACATGAGAAAAATTAATTTTTTAAATATCTCGCTTAAATTAAATTTTTGAACCTAAGTATATTATGATTTAATTTTCTATTTTAAAAAACCATTTAATGCAATAAAAAAAATTTTTTATTTTTTTATTACATTAGTTTTTTTTTAAATAAAAAATAAAATTCTAATATATTTAGATTCAAAAATTTCATTTCAACGGAGATATTTAAAAAATTAAATTTTCTTCTATAGAGAATAAATATTATGGTTACACTGAAAAAACAAAAAGGAGGAGGGCCCCTAAGGCCTATATTTCGCCCCCTTGGGATTTTAATTTAAATGATTGAAAACTTTTTCTTATAGTAGAAAAAGTAATTTTTCATTGATGTTAGGTGAAAGGAGGGTGTTTTGGTCAAATTAACCTTTAGATTTTGGGGTTTTTGATTTCAAAAAGAGTGTCAAAAAAACATGCAAAAAACATTTTCCAAATGTTGAGCAATTGACTTAAAAATCGTTGCTCGGGGGTTTTCGGGGTCGCTGATTACGAATCCGACGTTAGTTTTTCAAAATTCAAAATGGCGGATCCAATATGGCGGATGACTTTTTGAAAATCTAATATTATTGGCCTGAAAATTGTAACTCGGGGGTTTTCGGGGTCGCTGATTACAAATCCGAGGTCAGTTTTTTAAAATTCAAAATGGCGTATCCAATATGGCGGAATTTTTTTTAAAAATCGTTTGGATTTGCTTGAAACTCTCTACTCGGGGGTTTTCGGGGTCGCTGATTACGAATCTGAGGTCAGTTTTTTAAAATTCAAAATGGCGGATCCACTATGGTGGACTTTTTTTAAAAATCGTTCGAATTAGCTTGAAACTCTTTACTCGGGGGTTTTTGGGGTCGCTGAAAATGAATCCGGAGTCAGATTTCAAAATTCAAAACGGCGGATGCAACATGGCGGACAAATATTTAAAATCACTAAAAACTACTTACTTTAGACGATTATATTAAGTTCTTTCAAAAGTTGTCCGCCATATTGGATCCGCCATTTTGAATTTTTAAAAACTAATGCTTTATTCGTAATCAGCGACCTTGAAAACCCCCGAGTTACAATTTTCAGGCCAATAATATTAGATTTTCAAAAAGTCATCCGCCATATTGGATCCGCCATTTTGAATTTTGAAAAACTAACGTCGGATTCGTAATCAGCGACCCCGAAAACCCCCGAGCAACGATTTTCAAGTCAATTGCTCAACATTTGGAAAATGTTTTTTGCATGTTTTTTTGACACTCTTTTTGAAATCAAAAACCCCAAAATTTAAAGGTTAATTTGACCAAAACACCCTCCTTTCACCTAACATCAATGAAAAATTACTTTTTCTACTATAAGAAAAAGTTTTCAACCATTGAAATTAAAATCCCAAGGGGGCGAAATATAGGCCTTAGGGACCCTCCTTCTTTATTTGATTCAAATAATCGGTTACTTCACATCAAATAATAATTGATATTAAAATATTAAAAATAAAAAGTAATTTTTTTAAAAACCTGACGCAAAAAAGGTTTAAAAAATAAAAAATTGAATCACAAAACCGTATAAAAAACATTATTATTATTATTATTATTATTATTCTAATTACAATTATTATTATATACTTAAGTACGTTAAGAAAATGGATATTTTTATTAGTAAGGCTGCGTCTACAATAGATTAAAAAATATGTAACGATCGTGTAGTGTAGTGTAGTGTAAAGTCGTGACTTAGAATATTGCAAATTAACTGCTGTTAATAAACAAAAACATAATCTCAAATTCAGATTTTTAATATTAATTTAATTATTAATTTTAATCTTCAATATTAAAAATCTGAATTTGAGGTTATGTTTTTGTTTATTAACAGCAGTTAATTTGCAATATTCTAAGTCACGATTTTACACTACACTACACTACACGATCGTTACACATTTTTTAATCTATTGTAGACGCAGCCTAACAAAAAAAACCAATAAATTCAATAGTGTAAATGATTTTATATTGTTTTCTTAGTTTTCTTAAGCGTTTTATATAAGCGCGCTTTTTTCAACCTATAAGAGAGTTGTCGTAGCGCAAGCGCAGTTGCATTTAGGTAGGGTCAATTTTTCTATCCAATAGGCGCAACTATAATTGCATTCATGGTTTGAGTCTTTGAGTTGAGACTTTTAGAGCGCAGTTCTTCCTTTCGAAAGAGAAAAAAAGTTATGTGATGTTATATTCGTTAATAAATATTTTGTGCGATTGATCGGAATTTTGCACTCGCCCATTTTTGTTGATATTATGTCAAGCACATTAGAAAACAAAATTCTCAACTTACAAGAGCGTCTCAGAGCAGAAAATGAATCTCGAGACGGAGATAGGCAATCAAATGAAAATACTTCATGCACTGGCATGCAAAAATCCTCTGTTGTTTCCATTACAAGTCCTGCTCCTAGAAGACCCAGACAACGTAAGTTTTGTCTCAGGCCGATAATTTTTAATTAGGGTTTTTAAAATAAAAATTACACCTTTTCTACTATTTTTTTTTTGTTATAAATATAGGTTATGTCATTCTGCTTTGTTATTTACATACATAAATTTTGGAAGAATTTTAGTATTTAGTGTTGAAAAATTTATCGATTATATTGACTATTATGAAAATGAAACTATATCGTGAAATTGGAAGTAATGTATCGATGTATATAAAAATAACTAATTTTAAAGTGGTGAGGTTATGTTTGTTAAAAGGGTTCACCGCATTTACTGTAGTTAATTTTTTTTAATTTAAACCAATGGGCCAGGAGACCCGGTTTTGTGGACAAAAGACAATTTTAGAAATCGGTAAAACGAATTATATCGTTTTAATCAGTAATAAACAAAAGTAGTTTCTCTGAAAATTTTATAGTCTTAGGACAATTCATTCTCAATCTACACTTGCCTAAAGTTACAAAATCAATTTAGATTTTTATTCCTTCCATTCGAAATCTATGTTCTTTATTTTATCATTATTAAAAAGAATCTAACCTATCTTTTTTTTTCCTTGTACATTTATTCATCGTAAGGAATAAAAATAATAATAGAAATTAATTTATTGTAATTTTGTGAAATACTAAAAATTTTTTTTTTCATAAAATCATGAATTTTTCAATTTTGTAGTACGGGAAGGTTGGAGTAAGGATAGTTAGGTAAGACATTTTTGGATCTAGCAGCTAAAAGTCAATAGGCATCGGAAAAAGAATAGTATCGTTCGAAAACCTGTTTATTTAGCTACAATTTTGTAATACATTATTTTGCTGTGGATTGCAATGCCTTCGAGATATTAGCGGAAAACAAAATTCTTTTTACGAAAAATAATCAAAAAAAGACATTAAATTTGTTTTTTTTTAATTTCATTGGATAAAAGCACCTCAAAACACTTTAAAGCACCACCAAAAAAAATTTTTGGACATAAATAAATATTTAAAACAGTTAATATCTGAAACAGTGTTTTAACGCGAAAGTTGCCTGAAGATTTAAATTAAATCTTTAGTACAGGTTTAGCTTAAAAGTTGCCTGAAAATTTAAATTAAATCTTTGTTAAAGGTTTAACATGAAAGTTGCTTAAAGATTTAAATTAAATCTTTAGTACAAGTTTAGCTTAAAATAAGTTGCCAGAGAATTTAAATTAAATCTTTGTTAAATGTTCAGTACAAAAATTGAAAAAAGGTATAGATATAATTTATTTTAAAACAAATATATTTTTTATTTTGGAAAAATATTTGAAATATAAGCTTTTAAAACAAAAAATTCTAATTTTCGAAAATAATAACAAGAGCATTTGTTTTTTCAGATATTACAAAGGATTCTAAATTTAAGAATAGGCGCGTGTTAACTATTCTTATTAGTCAAATAATTTTTATATCAATAAATATATTTGTGTTCATTTAATTTTGAAGTTCCAATTACTTATTCCATTTCTAAATAGTTATTTATTATAATTGACTGCATAATTTACAATTAATATTTTTTCGATACAATTCCTTTTTTTTTAAAAAAAAAGAAAAGTTATTTCCGCTGAAAATTCAACAAGAAAAAAAAATATATATATAAATTTAACAATTTAATAAACATAAATATAAAAATTTAACAAAATATATAATTTGTAAATAATAAATATATTTTCTTTATTCAATTTTTGTACTGAACATTTAACAAAGATTTAATTTAAATTCTCTGGCAACTTATTTTAAGCTAAACTTGTACTAAAGATTTAATTTAAATCTTCAGGCAACTTTCGCGTTAAACCTTTATCAAAGATTTAATTTAAATTTTCAGGCAACTTTTAAGCTAAACATGTACTAAAGATTTAGTTTACATCTTTAGGCAACTTTCGCGTTAAACGTTTACTCAAATGCGGACATTTACATATTTACTTAACCTGTATTAAGCTTTGCCACTAAAATTTGCCAAAGTGGCACTACAACTTTAATACAGCTTTAGGAAACTTTCGATGCTGTGTGGGCTTTTGGTTAAAACTTCTTTATTAGACCCTAAACTAAAAGAAAAATCCGCTAAAAAAATTCAAAATTTGACCCTTTTTTTTTGAAAATCAAAAAATTTTTTGACTTTTTTTTTTAAGTTCTGTCTTTTTTTTAATTAATTCTTTTTTGGAAGTTAAAAATGTGTATTTTCACCACAAAAAATATTGAGATTTTCTTTTTTTGTTATTTTCGAGATATTAATTAATTAATTAATGTTAATAAAAAATTATAATAATTAAAATTATAATAGTACTGCAACCTCCTCGTGGTAAACCCTAGAAACTATTATTACTATAGGCTAACTGCAGATAAAACAAACAAAAATATAAAGTTTCCTATTATAATCATTATTTAGAATTTTTTAGGGGCCATTCATTAATTACGTAAGGACGATTTTGGCTACGTAATTAATGAATGGCCCCTTACTTTACTTTCGTAATCAGTAACTAAACAAATCGTGAATACAAATTTAAATAAAAATTTAATAATTTTTATAAAATTCGTTCGCCATATTGGATTCTTCATTTTGAATTTTTGAAAACTAATAACAGATTTGTAATCAGTAACCGCAAAAACCCCCGAGTGATGGTTTTAGATCCGATGAATATTTGAAAAATTCGTCCGCCATTTTGAATTTTTGAAAACTAATACCGGATTCGTAATTAGCGATCCCGAAAACCCCCGAGTGACGAGTTTCAAGTGGATCCGATGAATTTTTAATAAACTCGTCCGACATGTTGGATCCGCCATTTTGAATTTTTAAAAATTAATACCGGATTCGTAATCAGCGACCCCAAAAACCCCCGAGTAACAAGTTTCAGGCCATTTGAAATATAAATTGACTTTTGTCCACGAAACCAAGTCTCCTGGTCCACTGTGATGCGGTACAAATTATCACTTTAAATTGTTAGTTTTACAAAGATGTTGCGTTATTTTAATATTTTTGTATAAAAAATGACAAGTAGTTACCTACCATTACGAAAAATTATAATAGGAAATTCCTAATAAGCTTATCATATATTCTCTATCATATTATTTTTACCATTTTTTCGCGATGATAGAAAAATGATAAAAAAAAATTGGGTAATTATGAAGAAAACTGACATGGGAAATTGATAAAAAAAAAATGTAAGAAATTACATAAGAATGCACATGAATTTCTATGTAGAAACATAAATGCAAATTCCCACATCAATTCATACTGAAAATCGTGTCCCAATTTTACATACAGTTTTTTTATGAATTTCCATATGAATTCCTAGAATCAAATTCTTATGGGTTTTTTTAAATAGGATTTTATATAGGATCCCATGTAAGATCTTATATAGGAATTTTCAGTAGGGTTAATTAAAAAATGACAACTATGTAGATACAAAAATTGTATAATTCATTTTGCCATTTAGTTGGAGAAATGGGAACACCAACGCGAATTAGAAGACTGTTGGATTTACCAGTCTTGCAGATGCTGCCACCAAAGATGTATGACAGTGAATTTGAATTAAAACTTCAAGAAATTATGAAAATGAACGGTATTCTAAACATAAATGGCCAAAAATACCAAACAGAAATGAAAGATTTGGAACATTTAGGAGAACTAGGTAATGGAACTTGTGGCCATGTAGTAAGAATGAAACATAAACCAAGTGGTGTAGTAATAGCTGTCAAACAAATGCGTCGTTCTGGTAATGCAGAAGAAAACAAGAGAATAATTATGGATCTCGATGTTGTTTTAAAGTCACATGATTGCCCTTACATCGTGCAGTGTCTCGGTTGTTTTATTACAGAATCCGATGTGTGGATTTGCATGGAACTTATGGCCACATGTTTAGATAAACTTCTTAAAAATGGTAGACAAGCAATTCCAGAAAGCTTTTTGGGAAAAGTAACCGTAGCGGTGAGTTATTTTTATCCGGTAAATAAAGTATTTTAAATCGTTGAACAAATTGGTGGGGTTACTAATGTTAATTTTTTTTTTCTACCTAATAGACCGTGAAGGCATTGTCTTATTTGAAGGAGAAACACGGTGTTATACATAGGGATGTTAAACCTAGTAATATCCTTTTGGACAATGAAGGAGGTGTCAAACTCTGTGATTTTGGAATATCTGGTCGTTTAGTAGATAGCAAAGCAAAAACTAGAAGTGCTGGATGCGCAGCTTATATGGCTGTAAGAATCAATTTTGAAATATATCATTATTTAGACTAAAACTTGAAATAATTACAGAATTTTTAAATGGTCTTTTTAGCCTGAAAGAATAGATCCACCGGATCCCACAAAGCCAGACTACGACATAAGAGCGGATGTATGGAGCTTGGGTATAACTTTAGTAGAATTAGCAACTGGAGTATTTCCCTATCGTGATTGCAAGACTGATTTCGAGGTAAACTTTTATTTCAATATGATTTTGTAAGGGAAAAAATCTTTATTTTTTTAATCAAGTCCAATAGCAGATGATACAATGAATCATTCTCCAAATTACAAGACGTAAAAATTGAATTTTTCTTAAATCAAATATACAAAATTATCAGCAATAATTCAACATACATACTTATTTAGTATGTATGATTTGAGCCATAGTTCTCTTAATTACTGCCGTGTTTTCTAAAAACTTAGGTAACTGCAAAAAAATCGAAAAATGAGTTTTTTTATATCGTTGGAATCGTGGAAAAAAGGTACACCTGTTAATGCAAATTATTTTAAAAAATTGTTAATATTATTAATAATAATTTTTGCATAAATAATTGAAAATACCGGTAACTGCAAAAATTGATGAGTGATAATTTGAGAAACTTAGGTAACTGCTATAAAAACTGGGGTGTCTTTGGGTGTTGTGACGTATTTTGTAGTTCGTGATTTGAAGAACTTAGGTAACTACACAGTGCCTTAGTTTCTCAAAACACGGACATCATTTTTCGAGCCCTCGTCGCATGGAAAACTTAGGTAACTACAGAGTGCTATCAGAGCACTGTAGTTACCTAAGTTTTCCATGCGACGAGGCCTCGAAAAAGGAGGATCGTAATTTGAAGGACCAAGTAACTGCAAAATCTTATACATTTCTTTAAAATTACTATGTTTTTTCTGCAATTAATAATTTATAATAACAATAAATAATAAAATAAAAAACTCCAATACTATATATATATATATATATATATATAATTATACCTAAATAATAATTTATCAATTATTGAAAAATTAAATATTAATTTTAATAAATAACATAAAAGCATTAATAAATTAAAAAAATGAAATTCAGCAATATGTTTATTTCATGATTAATATATAATTAATTTAGTTCAATTATTTAAAAAATTAAAATCGTTTTTAATTATTTAAATAAACGTTAATAAAGCAGCGAACTACATTACCTACAATAATTTGACTTTAATATTGTATAATTAAAATAAATTCAATCATATAGTTTAATATTTGTAAAAAACAATAATTATAATGATAACTTTCGCATCTTATTAAATAATTACACTTTATTATTTATTTTTATTTTATTTTATTTATGTATTTTATTTTATTTTATATTATTATTTAATATATTCTGAGTTAATACAATATTTGACTCTAATATTGTATAATTAAAATAAATTTAACCATAAAATTAAATATTTGTAAAAAACAATAATTATAGTGACAACTTTCGCAGCTTATTAAATAATTATAGTTTATTATTTAATATATTTTTACTATTTTTTGCCAAGAAAGATGAAAATTCTTATATATTCCCTGTAGTTACCTAAGTTTTCTGTGCGACGAAAGGCCTAATACAGGCGATCGTAGCACGAGGGACCAAGTAACTACCAGTTACCTAAGTTTCTCGTGCGACGACCCTCGAATCAGCATACCGGTAACTACATTTATAATAATTTATTGAATGTTTAAACAAATACAACATTTATTTTTACATAATTAAAAAAAATAAATTTAGACGAATCGAAGGAACAAAACGGCATTTAAAAATTTTAATTAGGCTTTGCGGTACATATCAATGAAGTTTAAACAGTTTTTCGCGTTTTTCTCGAAATCTTTCATTCTGCATTTACCTAAGTTTTTAGAAAACACGGCAGTAATTGATAGAGATGATTTATTTTTCAAATAAGGTTAGAGAGTCTTCACGAACTTTCTGTAGGTGCTTTTACGAGAGATTACGAAAATGAGGCTCAGTTCCGCTCTTTTATGTATGTTGAATGATTAATATTGAAATAACTTTTATAGGTATTAAGTAGGGTGGTACAAGATGACCCTCCTTCTCTTCCACCGGACGCTTTATTTTCAAAGGAATTCAGAAATTTTGTTAACTGTTGCCTTACCAAAAATTATAAACATCGGCCAAAGTATCACAAACTTATGGAACATCCTTTTATTAAAAAACATGACTTTACGCTGGAAGGTGAAACGAATGTTATGAATACAACAACAGAGTATCAGTGGTTTAACGGAATTATGGATCAACTTGAACCAAGGTTTGTTAAAATTTAATAAAATTAATTACTATAGGGTCTTTCACATTCCTTGAGGGGGGATCAAGCTGCCTGTGATGAACTGTAAAAAAAAATTCAATTTCTTTATATCAAAACGTGACATTTGGAATGTAGGAGTTTAAAACGTTAAAATGTTTTTATAATGAAACATATTAGAACAAGTTTTTTCCTTTTGTAGAAAACATCTCACTGTAGTTGTTTAATGTTGCATGAATGTAAATAAGAATGTGAAATCACGTGTCTTGTATTTATTTGGATCTGACATTGTGGCATGGCCTACAACAATATAAATAGTTAATTTATTCAATAATTCATTTATAAAAATTTATAAATGGACGTATTTCAATGGTGGATATAAATCCACGATGATAAAATAATTAACAATGACAGCGGAACTACAATTGCAAACAATTGTAAACAGTTATCCAAAACTAGTTACATTTTTCAAAACCGCATGTCTACTCTCTAAATACGAATCAGTGAAAAAGTCACTGGTCTCAAATCAGTCGCTAAATTCTAGCTATTTGAATCAGTGGTTTTCACTGACAGTTAGTGACATTTCACTGGAGAATGGCAATTAATTTAACTGAAAATCAGTGAAATGTTACTGATTCAAATAGCTAGAATTTAGCGACTGATTTGAGACCAGTGACTTTTTCACTGATTCAAATTTAGAGAGTACGAATGTCAGATCTCAATAGCAATAGTGAATATGAAAATAGCAAATAGGGTTTAATATACATTATTCTAAGAAATGATCCGTTTAGTGGTATCCAATTTTAAATTGCAAATATCAATTTATATTTATGGCACTTTATGTATCTTCACTTGTAAAAATATCTAATAGAATTCTTATAGTCTGTGAGTATTTTATTTACTTTTGTTTCTAAATAGATTCTAAACATTTTTATAATTCAATCTGTTTTAGTTAGCTTTCAATGTGTTAAAAAAAACAAATAATTTAAATACGGTTTATGCATATTACATTATAGATTGTTAAGACTGCACCAAATTCTTCTTATAATAAAGCACATTTTTTTCAGGTGAAAAAAATATCAAACTTTAAAAAAAGAATTTAAGACCTAAAGAAAACATACCTTCGGTACAAAATTTTATTCATTTTGTTTAAAATATCGCAACTTCAAAGTGAACAAAAAATTATTAGGTTAATTCGTCAGCTAGTTAATGTTCACAATCCTTTTTAAAGTTAGAATGAAAATCCTGACTTTAAGATTTAAAGAAATAACTCACTCGATATACTCTTATACGATAGAAAATAGAAACACACGCCCAAAGCCTTATAAAAGTTCATTTACTTTTTGCGCAAAAAGAACTGCATTTTAATTGATTTATTATTATTTTGCTAAAATTATTTTACATAAACAAGAAGAAGACTAATAAATTTCTGAAATTTCTAACTTTTACTTTAAACTTCTTTATAGGAGTTTGAATTTTTTTTTTATTTTGGATTTTTGTTACTTTTTTAGCTTAATATTGAAAATTTTACTATAAATTAAATGAAATTTTAACGGTTGAGCTGTGAAAAGTACAAAGTACTAAAAAAAAAAATTTAATCTAGTATATAAGTTAAAAGTAATGGTTAGAAATTACAAAACTTCATTTTACAGCCTTTTTACTGGGCGTCAGATGGCAGAAGCATGCAACCCGAGTCGAAATTTAGAGTCTGTTTAGGATCTAATAGAGTATAGTAAGTTCCTTTTGAATATTTTTAAAACCTTAAAATTCTATCTAGAATTTAATTTTTTAAAAACTATTTGAATGAAAAAATTTAAAATCAATGTAAATAAATTTTTATCAATAATTGCAGAAAAGAAATTTTTTTTTTTTAGAAATGAATCAAAATTTTATACTTATGTGCAGGAACATCTAAATAATAAATTTTTAAATTAATTAAAATTAATAAAGCTTCCATGTATATAAAAATTAATCTATATTTTATGCTACAAAATGCGAGTTCGCGCGTCTTTTACACTATTTCGAAGTAAGTAAATCGATTTCAATAAAACTCAGAATACTTTACATATGAAAAGAAGTAATAAAACATGAAGATAACAAAAGAAGAACAATTCACCATCATTATTCTCATAAAAAGAAATGTTTCTTACAAATATGACCTCTTCTGCCATCTATTAGGATATAGTAGTTATGAGAGGTTTGCCTGTAAATTTGCTGATTTTTTAAATTTCTTATATTTTCTATTTAAAATGCATCTTGATAGGAGTCATTTATCCTAATTGATTTTTAAATTATAAAATTCTAAACATAAATGTTAAAAAAATATATATATATATTTATATTTTGTTACAACACACATGAAATCGCTTTCAAGCATTGCTTGAGAGAAGTTTTAACGAAAAATCTTTTTTTCCCCGCACCTCTACAACAATGAATATTGTCAATATTGATGCATGTTTTGTGAAAGTAGATTTGAAGCTAAATTTTATTTGATTTTGACATGATTTTTGTAAAATATTTATTTACCTAAAACTAAAAAGTGACAATTGAAGTCCAAGGTTAAAAAAATCACGATTTTTCATTAATGTACCCTAGTTTAATTTAAATTGCATTATTTTTTTAGGATACAAGGAGGATTACATCGGCCTACAGGTCATGTCTCTTCAAAAGATACTGTGACTTTTAAAGGAAAAAATGAAACATCAAATTCAAGTAGCATTACCATTGAGTCACAAAATATTAATTGTTTACCTGTTCATCAACGTTCATTTAGCGATAATATAGCTAATTATGTACCTTATAGTCCATATGCTTTACGAAGAAAAGAAAGCAAACCTTTTTCACCTCAAATGATTAGGGACAATGGTGATATTAATCTACAACGTTCATTTTTAACATATCGTCATTTTATGGAACAAAAGAATTTAACTTTCAATAGAACTTCTATTAATAGTCAAAGTAGAGATGATGGAAGATCGTATTCTTCTTACCAAAGTCATACAGAACAACGGGAAAGTAGCGGAGATCTATGGCAAACTGCAAGATCACAGAGTCCTCATGTTAGAGACTATTCACCATGGCGTCGAGAAAATGTTGATCCTCCAGGTGTAATTCCACCTGTTATTGAAAATGGACGTCACACTTCTTATGTACAAAGTCGATTAGAACCAGTGCCTCAGACGCATCTACATTCTCAGGATATTTATGGTAGTCCAATGATTAATCGAAAAAGGTAAGAAATTAAATATTTTAAAAAATTTAATATTTTTTCATATACACCAAAAATTTTTATTGCAGATTTCCTTCTGAAACGCAGTCTCAAAATTTGTATAATTCACATGGTTCTGAATTATTAATGAGACGCTTGGGTCATCAAATGAAACAAGAACCTCCATCTACAATTCCTCAGTTTCCTGTTGGTTCTAAAGAGTCGGCGAAAAAACGTTTGACTTCATATGTAAGACTTCGATTGGGAATCGATCGAGTTCCATCACCAGAACCACCTTCTAGATTAAGTCGAGGGGAATCTCCTCTACCTCTTCGGCGTCATATAATGGAACAACCTTCTCCATCTTTTTCTCGAAGGTCTTTTATTTTTTCTTTATAATACAAAATCTCATCGTTCAGACGAAATCCCCATTTACGAAAAATTGCAAATTTTCAGGTATATTTCATCTTCACCGCCACAACCACCTCCTAGAAGATTATCTGAAAGTTGTTCTGTGCCTGGAAGTCCACAGCATATTAGAGCTTACCTTCGATATACTCCTGAACCTCAAAGAAGGCCACCGCCTTCATAATTTATTAGCAACTTGTACATTGCTCATTGTTAATACCTTGTGAAGCTGATTTTAATTAATTTTTTGTAATAATAACACAGGCCTGCGAGATTTAGTTACAAGAACCTGTGGTACTAATTTTCGTAGGTTTTTTCGCGCTGAACACGAATCTGATGTCCAAAATGGTCCATCACGTCAGGATTTTGAGTAATTTAAGGTCAAATGTCCCAAAAATAGCTATTTTGGCCACTTTTTTGAATTTTTTCTGGGAGAACAAAATTTTTTCTTTAATTATCGAAAGCTCTATCATATGTGACGCTTCACGAGAGAAGGGACCTAACGTGCTTTTGACTTAAGGTTCATTCACTGTGTCATTGCACGGTAAAAGCGAACCTTAAGTCAAAAGCACGTTAGGTCCCTTCTCTCGTGGAGCGTCACATATAGTGCGTATTCTCAGCTTCAAAACCCATTTTTGAAAATTAATTTACGATTATTTTTAAAGAAGTTATAAACATTCAAATTTATAACATTGATTTATTTCTTAAGACCATTAACTCTTAAACGTCTGATTTTTTTTAGAAATGCGATTTTCATCATGCTCTGTATTTAAGAGTATTTGGGGTCGCTGATACCGAATCCGAAGTCGGTTTGTTCAAAATTCAAAATGGCGGACGCTTTTTTTAAAAAAAAAAACTTATCAGATTCACTTGAAACTTGTTTCTCGGGGATTTTCAGGGTCGCTGAATCCGAATTTAATGTCAGTTTGGAAAAATTCAATACGACGAATCAATATGTCGGACAAATTTTAAAAAGAAATTCCAATTTTTTTGAAACTTGGTGTATCTAAGAGTTTTTCTGGTCATTGATTACGAATACTATATTATACTCTAAAAATGTCAAAACTCCAATAACATTTAACTTAATTTATAGACGTATAAAAATTACTTTAACAGTTGAACGCGATGGGCTATCCGCTTTTTCTTGAAAATTAATTTTTTTAAAAACTATAACAGGTATTGATTTGGAATTTTGCAGAAAACTTCCTGAAATAGTAGTGAATAAATATTATAAGAGAAGTTCTTACAGTTTTGAAATTCCCTGCAGACATTTTATCGTCAAAAGTTAGAGAATGTGAATATCGACCTCTTTCAATTTTTAATTAAAAAGAATAAAACGATAATTTTTTTGCCTTTTCTAATGTTTTAATGGCTTTATTAGACCTAATTTAGTATGTATACCAAGTTGTAAACAAATTTATTACTATTTGTGAAAGAAATAATCGTTTACATTTTAAAATTTCATTACATTTGATAAAATTTTTTTGGGCTTTTTGCTTTTATTATCAAAAATATTGGATTTAAAAAAAAATTTCTAAGAGAAAAAAGATATGGTTTTTTATCTTCTATAAAGTAGTGCTTCTGAAAAATCCGAATTTTGAGTTTCAATTTTGAGGTGTTGATTGGCTTCAAAGCGACCGGCCGAGCGTACTGGTTGTTATTGTATCCAGCCCCTCAATTTGTGCTATCCGGCTAAGTCCCTGGATAACGGCTTTGATGCCGTCATGGCAGACCTACGTAGGAAACGTGTTACAATGCAGGGACTCAGAACCCCAGTATCAGCTGTACAAGAATTTAAAAAACTAACCTTAGTTAAATCAATATGAAAATAAAGTCATTTTTTGAGGTTAAAAAAAATCTGATCTGATAGGGTTAAATAGACATCGAATTCGAATTTAGCGACCCTAAATACCCCCGAGTAACAAGTTTCAAGCGAATCTGATGAGTTTTTTTTAAAAAAGCGTCGGCCATTTTGAATTTTGAAAAACCGACTTCGGATTTGTTATCAGCGACCCCAAATACCCTTAAATACAGAGCATGACGAAAATCGCATTTCCAAAAAAATAATCAGACGTTTAAGAGTTAATGGTCTTAAGAAATAAATCAATGTTATAAATTCGAATGTTTATAACTTCTTTAAAAATAATCGTAAATTAATTTTCAAAAATGGGTTTTGAAGCTGAGAATACGCACTATATGATAGAGCTTTCGAAAATGAAAGAAAAAATTCCCAAAAGTGGCCAAAATAGCTATTTTTGGGAGCCTATGTAATCGCTTCTACGAATGTTACATAAAAAAAAATTCGTGAGACGAAAGTTTCTAAATTAATTTTTTTAAATGTTAATAAGTTAAAACTAGCAATACGTTTTTGGAATGATCTAGTAGAAAATGAATTTTAAAAAAAAATATCTATTTTTATCATTAAGTATCTTGTTTCCTATTCTCACTGACATAAGTATGCTAAAATAGAAAGACTGTGAAAAATGAAAGGACTTTGATTTAAATAATAGGTCAGGCTTTGCCAAACTAAGAATAAATTTTTATTTCCCGTTGGACAGCCTAATGCACTTAAATAGACACCTACAATTTTAAATTGTTATCAAATTTTAATTATTATCAGCAGGGGTTATTTTTTTTTTGTTTTACTATACTGCCGTGAAAAACTTAAATACCATGAAAATTCAAATAACTTAAGGGTACAAATTGTTGTTTCTAATGTTAATGAGCCCGTTATTTTAATTTCTTTTTTTTTTGCCAAAAATGTAGAAAATTTTCAGTATAAAAATTAAAGTTACGGTATTTTTGACTGAATATTTACACTGCGGAATAGCCGTCAACTTCGTATAGAAAAATTAGACATAAATAATTTATAAGAATTGAAATTTCTCTAAATGTAAGAAAATTATCTAAAAAAAAAAAAAAATGAAATATAAAGTATACAAATAATTTGGTATGTAATATTTATATTTTGAAAAAGGATAAGAATTGTTAAAAAAGAATTACTAATGATATGAAAATAAATATTGTGACAATATTATAGCTAGGTTATTATATTATAGATGTGTAAAGAAGTCAAATAATTATATAAGTCATAAATATTTATTTAAAATCTCAAAATGCTTGGGTAGAATTTACATAACCTTAAAAAGTATCCTGTCCTTATTTTGGATTCTTGTTCAGCGCTCCAAATGTGTTTAGGGTCGCTGATTACAAATCCTAAGGTCAGACATTCAAAATGGCGGATCCAATATGGCGGTAGAATTGATTTGAATCACTTAGGGGTTAATTTTGGTCGCTCATTACGTTCCTGAAGTTATATTTTCAAAATTCAAAATGGCGGACAACTTTTGCAAAAATGATGAATTTGGCTTGAAACTTGTTACTCGGGGATTTTTAGGGTCGCTAATTACATCGAAAAAATGATTAAAAAAACAAATTTTTTTTAATCATACAGTTAAGAATTAAGTAAATTCTCCTCTTAACGAGTTATTATCTAACAGATAAAAATTTTTTTAAAATAAATCATTAAAATCTAATAGTGAATATTTTTTAAAATAGTTAATTCTTACTGAACAAATTTCTAATTTATACCCATGCGCAGAGATTTGCCCTCGTTGAGGTTAGTGTTCAGATTCCCATACCTGGTGAAATCTTATTCCTATAATAAAATGATAAATTTATTATTTATTTAAAAAAAAAATTCTTTTATCTTTGATTTGCAGTTTAAAAATAAATAAAAAAAAAACTAAAAAGTTATTTTTAGTTTTGTATTTTTAAAAATATTTTTTTCATCAAATATTGATTTGACTGAAACCAAGCGCCAAGTAGTCATCCCCTCTTTGCCTGCAATCCTTGAATCCCGGGACGGAATCAATATGAACTGCACGCGACGAGGCGCTTTTCACAAACACGTTTTCACTTAAAATATAGAGAGAAAATTTTCCAGTGAATCGCGAGTGTCTGTTGCACGATGGATCGATTGACAAAAGAGCACAAATAAAACGGAATATCGAGGACCCAGCGGGTTGGTGGAATTCGAAAATCACAATCAGGTTTATTCAAGACTTGACCTCGCTAAGATTCGCGCTGAGAAAATTACAAATCGAAAGGCGCGAAGAAATGGAGATTAAGGGTCATATATTGTCCTGAAAGGACTTATTAATTTTTTTTCTTTTTTTTTGGAATGAAGAAAACGATTTAAATTTAAGTGCTAACAAATATAATGTTCGTGTTCATTTATCGAAGGCAAGCAACACCTCTAGGGGTGTCGCGAAAGTCATGAGGACATCATTGATCGTTAGGATAAAAATACATAAAATGTTACTAATTCTAATCTTTGCTCTTGTAACCACACTTCCAATCAAGGGATCATTATTACCTTACGATGAAGAGGATAATGTTTTGCACATTGGAGCAATCTTTCCAATTGCTGGAGAAGGTGGCTGGCAAGGTGGACAGGTAACCTTTTTTTTTTTTTAATTCTAATTTTTCATCATCTAAATTAATATAAATTTAATTCTTCTGAAATTCATCTATTATTATCAATTCATCATCAAAATTGATTAAAATTAAATTAAATCAATTTAATTAAATAAATGAAATAATAATTTTACAGAATAAAAAATTTTTCTGAAAAAGTACTAAAAAAACTACTAAAAACTACTAACTTGTCTCTATTTTTGTAATTAAGAAAACATTTGTGGAATAAGGTCAAAATTGTTCCAATTTTGGCTTTGAGTTGCTGCTTTGATTCACTTTTTTTTGACGAATTTTGTCGAATAAGAAACTCAAATTTAGAATAATTCAATTGATAAAAATAATTAATAAATTAATTAATTTATTTTAATTTAATAAATTTATTTATTTCTAACAAATTTTATAAATGTTAAAATTGTTTTTGAAATAAATAAATCTAATAAAGTTTTAATAAAAAACAAAAGAGGCAAAATAAAAATCTTACAAATTATGTCATAATTTTATAACAAATAAATTATGTATAAAATAGAATAACTCTCTCATCGAAAGTTTTAATCAGATACAAATTATAAAGTTTTATTTTTATTGTATACGCTTTGCCGCTATATTCAAATATAATAATAAAATATTTAAATTCATTGAGGAAAAAATTATATTCAAATTTTTTTCAAAACAATTCACTTTTAATTATACAGTAATTTTGTAAATAATTTTTCTAAATTATTCACGTATGTTAATTTTTTTTAAAATAATTTTATTTAAATATAAAATTTGATTTTTCTTCAATTCTTTTTTTTATATAGTAAAATAAAAATAAATTTTAAATATTCCTTTGAAAAATATCTTTTGTATTGTAGGTCTCAGTTTCAGATCGAAAAAAGTTTAAGTACAATCAATCAAAAAAGAAGAGTTCTTTTGTTTTAAAAAGAACAAAGGGTTATAGAATTCTTAAAAATAAGATTTCAACTTTACAATACACTTAAAAACTAACTTTTTTAGAAATTTTTTCTGTTTAAATTTATTATATATAAAAAAATTGTTATTAGCAAAGAACTGATTTTATTTTTTTCGTTTTCAAAAACAATAAAAAAAAAATTCAATTACTCTATTAAAAAATAAGAATTTAATGTAGAATTATTTTTGAAAATTATTTATTTTTTTTTTTTTGAAATAAAAAAAAAGTTTGCCTGAAATTTGATATTATCATTAAATTTTTAATTTTCTATCGAACAGTCTTGCATGCCTGCTGCCAATCTTGCGATGGAAGATGTTAATCGAGAAAAGAATTTACTATCTGGTTTCACTTTGAGACTACATTCTAATGATAGTGAGGTAATTTTTTTAACGCTTATATATATTTTAAGAAAAAAATTCAATAAAATGTTACACATTTAAAATAAAAAAAAAAATTATATTTTTGAAAACATTCAGGATATAAAATAATTTATAAAATATATAAAACAGTTAATTTATTTTTAATTTTAGTGTGAGCCTGGACTGGGAGCGTCTGTCATGTACAATCTTCTTTACAATAAGCCACAAAAGTTAATGTTATTAGCAGGATGTAGTACAGTTTGTACAACTGTTGCAGAGGCGGCAAAAATGTGGAATTTAGTTGTAGTAAGTATCGAATTATGAGATCCTCAATTTTTAAAAATTCATTCCTTTACCATTTATAGGTCTCGAGATATTTATAGAAATGTAATGTACATAAGAAATTTAAATATTTCTCTAATAATATTAAAAACTTTTAGTTTTTAGGTGAATTTCCCATAGAAATCATTAGCTATTTTTCATTTTAAAGGGTGGTACACCAGTTGTATATACTTAACGCAAAAAAGGTCATTTTCAAAAATGTTTTCTTCATAAACCATATGCATTTAAAAAAAAATATTATTCATTACCTAAAAGTACATTTTCTAGAACTTTCATTAACAAATTTTGTTATCAAAAGCTTTATGTGTAATAAGCCGCAACGTAGTGACACCCTTCGGGAAAAACATGAAATATGGTGACCAGAATTCCGCCAGTTTAATTCATCCTAAAATGCAAAAATAAAATTGATTTACATTTCTTATAAGATTGTCTAGTTCCCAATGGAAGGATTAAAAAAAATATACATATTTAACAAAATGACGACTCAAAGATAAACGTATAATTTTCAATTGTAGAAAAAAAAATGTTTTGCATTAAAATAGAAATCCTTCGATTGGGAACTAGATTCACGGTGCGCCAGTATTTTATGAGGAACCAGAATTTATTTAATCTATACTTATATGCGTATAGTAATCTAATAACAGCTGCGACTTTGTGCGCCCTGCATGCTGCTGCCATCTGACGGCGGCAGGAGGTAATGAACCCGTCATTATATTACTTTTCGTTTTGCAATCGTGTTTTTGTATGGATTCGTATAATCTTTAGGATTTAGGAAATTTATATAAGATAAGGATCTCTAGCTGCTTTTGTAAAAAGTGTCCGTCTTTCGAGAAGAAAGTATTTTAAAATCAATGTTTATCATTTTCACGTTTAGTGCCGTTTTTATGGAGCGATAATTAAAAGTCTCTTCTTGCCAAAAAATTTCAAAGATCATTCGACTCTCTTAAATAAATTTTGTCACTCTTAAAATCGTTCTTTTAACATTATAATTTAATTTTTTAAAATCGGACATAAACACTACTACAGCAATATAATTATTTATATGTAAAATTGAAAATAAGTAATTATTTTATCATTTATTACGGTATTTATTAGATTAAATAAATTCTGATTCCCCATAAAACACTGTTTTTATATAAAAACTCAATTTTATTTCAATCGTGCATGTAAACTGATTTTAAAAACTATTGAGAAATGTTTGTTATTCATCTAAGAATCATAATCAAAAAGAATTTTTAAGTGGCAATTCATTTTTATTTAAACCACCTTCTGGCGCATCGTGTCATGAGTGTTGCGGATTCTTTGAAATTCCATAGGGTAAGGGTACTTACTTTAGTATCTCAAAATTTGAAAAAACAGTATAAATTTTAATTAAAAATTTTTTTCACCTTTAACTATTATATAAGTTTACAAATATTGTTAACATTGAAAAAAAGAAGTAAGTAACAAAAATTCTCCACCAGGGTAAAGAAAAATATCAAAAACTACTCCATAAAACGAAAAGTATTAAAATTGATTGGATTTGCCTTAAATTTCATACTCGGGGGTTTTTGAGGTCGTTGATTACGAATCCAGTGTCAGTTTTTTAAAATTCAAAATGACAATTTGAAAATTTAATGCAATTCGCTTGAAAATGGGTACTTAGACGTTTTCGTGTTCGCTCATTACAATTCTGGTGTCAGTTTTTCAAAATTCAAAATGGCGGATCCAATGCGGCGGCCGAATTTTTTAAAACTCATCGAATTCACTTGAAACTCGTCACTCGGGGGGGTTTCTATGTCGCTGATGAAGAATCTGATGTCAGTTTTTCAAATCTAACAAAAATGAAATGGAAAAGAAATTGCAAAAATGGCGCGGCGAAGATTCGTGAAACAAAAAGCGTAAAAAACATAGGCCTGCAAAATTCGACTTTTTTTTTTATTATTGATATTGAAGTCGTTTCCTATGTAATTTTGTGCGCTGAACACGATCCCGTGTCCCAAAATGGCCCAGCACGTCAGGATTTTGAGAAAAGTGGGGGTAAAGAGCCCAAAAACCGTGTTTTTGGGTGTTTTCAAGAATTTTTTTCTCCTTAACCTGACGTGCTAGAAACTTCTACTAGGTCTTAAATTAAAGCTTAAAGTGTGCACTTTAAGACCCATATGCGCAAGTAAAAAAAAAACTTAAGGGATTTTGAGAAAAGTGGGGGGAAAGAGCCCCAAAAAAATTTTTTTACATACTTTATATCGCAGTGGTTTTTTATGTATTTTTGTGCGCTGAACACGATCCCGGGTTCCAAAATGGCCTAAAACGACAGGATTTTGAGAAAAGTGGGGTAAAAAAAATAAAAAAACGCGTTTTTAGGGTTTTTTTAATATTCCTCTCCTTAACCTAACGTGATAGAGACTTCAACCCCCCACTTTTTCAAAATCCCTTAAGTTTTTTTGACTTGCGCATATGGGTCTTAAAGTGCACGCTTTAAGCTTTAATTTAAGACCTAGTAGAAGTTTCTAGCACGTCAGGTTAAGGAGAAAAAAATTCTCGAAAACACTCAAAAACACGTTGTTTAGGCTCTTTACCCCCACTTTTCTCAAAATCCCTTAAGTTTTTTTTTACTTGCGCATATAGGTCTCAAAGTGCACACTTTAAGCTTTAATTTAAGACCTAGTAGAAGTTTCTAGCACGTCAGGTTAAGGAGAAAAAAATTCTTGAAAACACCCAAAAGACGGTTTTTGGGCTCTTTACCCCCACTTTTCTCAAAATTCTGACGTGCTGGGCCATTTTGGGACACGGGATCGTGTTCAGCGCACAAAATTACATAGGGAACGACTTCAATATCAAAAATAAAAAAACCATGCAGGCCTGTGAAATTTGCCTAAATAAATATGAAATTTAGTTTTCCTCAAGAACAAAGATTACAAATTTTGAGTTAAAAGCTCATAAAAATGACAAGTCGGAAGTTAGTTTTTCAAAATTTCACTTTTTGTATCAAATTCAAATTGAAAATAGTTTTTTAACAATATATATATATATATATATATATATATTGTGATTTATTTTCAAAAACATTTTTTTTTAAATACAAAAATGGAAAGTGAAGTTTAGAAGCTTCTAATAGCCGGGAGCCAGCGACAGATTTCAGGTAACAATTTCCTTCCCGGCCGATAATTCGTGAAATAATTGGAGCAATTGTGTCATGAAGCTTCGTAATCGTCAGCTACGCTACCGGCGGTGGGATGGGGAGCTGGTATAGCTTCTCATCCTATATATTTTCAGTCATTTCCTCCCAACTGAAAATTTGTCAGATAATAGTTTACATCATGATTTAAAGAGAAATAAAAACGTCAGCTGGCTGTAATGTGATGAATTATACATCAGCCTGTTATACCCGAACATGTAAAAAAAATTATGTTTACAATGATTTTCTCTCATTCAAAACTTAGCCAGATTATTGTTTATATCTCAATTTGAAGAAATAAAAACGTCAGAAGCTGAAATATAATTCAAAATGATGTCCGTCAGATTGGATCCGCCTTTTTGAATTTTAAAATTTTGATATTAAATTTGAATTTAGCGATCCTTAAAACCCTCGATGAAGAATTTTTAGTCGGATGCTTTAACTTTAAAATATTTTTTTATTCCCACATAAATTTAGAGCACTGAAATTGAAGGAATCAAGTAATTATTTATTCGTGTATTTATTAGTTATCGCGTTTTTGAGTACCACGAATTTTCTCCAGTTTCAAGGAAATTTTTGTAATTTCGAAAAAAAGATGCACGAAGACGAGATGAGACATGGAAATTTCTTTTATTGAATTTTGCGACCAGAAGGAATTTATTAATCCTCTTGAAAAGAGGTTAATTTTTACTTGAGTTAAATAACAAGAAAATATACTCTCATCGCACGTGGTCGGGTTAATTCCAATACGGGTTTAGGGATTAAATAAAAACAATAATTAAATTTATAAATGATGTTAATTTTGCCCGGCGCCAGTCAACTCATATCGACATTTAATTATTTTAAATAAAATTGATTTTTAACGTTTACCCCAATGAATTATATTATACTTTAGAAGTAGTAGGCCCACAGTAAGAAATATGCAAATTTTTTCTATTTGGGAGAAAGCTTTTTAATAATAGTGATTTTCTTTTCAGCTTTGTTATGGAGCCTCATCTCCAGCGTTATCTGATCGAAATCGATTTCCCACACTCTTTAGAACACATCCCTCAGCAACTGTTCACAATCCTACAAGAATAAAACTTCTACAAAAGTTTGGTTGGTCTCGAGTTGCACTTTTACAACAAGCAGAGGAAGTCTTCATTTCGGTGAGATTCAACATCTGCACAAAATTAAATTATAATTAAAGCAAACTTAATAAATGATTTAAATTATTTTTTTCATTTTTTCAAAATAACATAAATTCTCTTTAGACTGTTGAAGATCTCGAAGCTCGTTGTAAAGAAGCTGGAATTGAAATAGTCACTCGTCAAAGTTTTCTATCCGATCCAGCAGACGCAGTAAGGAATCTACGACGTCAAGATGCAAGAATTATAGTTGGTCTTTTTTACGTGGACGCAGCAAGACGGGTTCTCTGCGAGCTTTATCATCAAAATATTTATGGAAAAAGTTATGTCTGGTTTTTTATAGGATGGTACGAAGACAATTGGTTTGAAGTTAATTTAGATAAAGAAAATATTGTTTGCACTAAAGAACAAATGCGTCAGGCTGCTGAGGGTCATATGACCACTGAAGCCTTAATGTGGAATCAGAATAATGAGACTACAATAAGTGGCATGACTTCTGAAGATTTTAGACAGCGACTCAATAAAGTTTTGAGAGAAAAAAGATTTGATATAGATAATAATAGGTACCCTGCAGGATATCAGGAAGCACCTCTAGCCTATGATGCAATTTGGGCAGTTGCTCTAGGTAAAAATAATTGTAAATTAATTCAATTTTATTAAAACTCAATTTTGCGCAAAATACTTACAGAATTTCTTTTTATTGAATATAAATTTCATTTTAGCATTCAATAAATCAATGGAAAAATTGAATAAACTAGGAAAGAGCCTAAAGAATTTTACCTATACTGATAAAGAAATAGCTGACGAAATATATTCTGCCATAAATTCCACACAATTTCTCGGTATCTCGGTAAGAATTTATTTACGTTCAAACAATAGTAATACACTCATTCAAATATTAAACACGAGAGTTTAAGTAAAATCTCTGCAGCCGTTTCCAAGATAATTAAGTTTTAATATTTATTCTCCTGCCAATAACGAACACTTCATTAGAAAATTAATAATAATTTTTCCATTGATTCATAATTACAGGGTTACGTTGCCTTCAGTTCTCAAGGTGATCGAATTGCCTTGACGCAAATAGAACAAATGATTGACGGGAAATATGTAAAATTAGGCTACTATGATACACAAGCTGATAATTTAACATGGTTAAATGCTGAACGATGGATTGGTGGAAAAATTCCTCAAGATAGAACAATCGTAAAAAATGTCTTAAGAACAGTTTCCCTGCCTCTTTTTATATGCATGTGTACAATTTCATCCGTCGGCATTGTCGTCGCCTTATTACTCATCATTTTTAATATATGGAATAGATATAGAAGGTAATTGTCAACTTTCTCTTATAATTTACATTCACGGTATGTACCGACAGAACCCTTATTATGGAAAGAATTGTGCGTCTAATTTCATATTTTGTTCCCCCTTGCAATCAAGATACAAATACTGTAAAAAAAGGACCAAAGTGGATATTTGATATTGTATTTGTTAATTTATTTTCACACTTTTTCAGAGTGATAATGTCTTCACATCCGGTGTGTAATACCATAATGCTAGTTGGAGTAATTGCATGTTTCATCTCAGTTTTTTTATTGGGTATTGATGGCAGATTTATAGAACCTTCGGAATATCCAGGAATATGTCAAGCAAGAGCTTGGATATTATCTATTGGATTTACTTTAGCATTTGGAGCAATGTTTAGCAAAGTATGGAGAGTTCATCGATTAACAACGAAGACGAAAGCTGATCAAGCCAAGGTACAATTTGCACTATTTGATTGAAATTTAATTATTCAAAAGTTTCAGTTAAAAGTTGACGAATTGAGGAAATTGGAAATAAATTCTGCAGGGTCAAATGTTATTTTTAATCGGTTAACGATGACATACAATTTTTTTTTATGAACAACATTAATTAATCAAATAACAAGATATTTTGTAATTTCGACAAAAAGTAGAATTAATTATAGTTTTGAAAAGCTGTCATATAGCATCCCTATAGTTTTCACGCTTTGGATTGCAGTACATTTTTTGGTAAATTAGTATTAAAACACATGTTCATTAACTAATTAAAGTATATGTACCCAAGTAGAAATGTCAATATAAGATGGAATAGAATATTGAATTAGAATTAATGGAATTTTATTTAAATTAATACATATTGTAACGCTAATTTAGATATTAGAAATATTAGTTAAAATAATAATATTCCACAATCCCGTGTTTAAATTATGTACTGTGATTTCTCTACACACTACTTTCCGGCATACGAGCCTCTCTCATGGGGAGATTCCGCTGAAACGATCGAGAAACACGACGACGACCTGATTTGAACTACCTGTTACCTTTTGTATTGTACTCACGAAACATACTCTCGTTGAGATAATCCGCTGGACGACGATGTGGCTACGACTTGACCCAAGGAATGAAGACACAAATAAACGCACGATTATTAACTAATAACAACTATTTATTAACAACTTTGTCACTACACGTATCAGTATTAATAGTCCTTTCTAACACCTTTGTCGGCACACATCCGCCTTACACAGCAGCTCGGATTGATCTCTCGATTGATTATTGCGCGCCCTTATTCTTCCTGCTGGCCCTTGGTCGGTGAGAATCCGGAAATATCTGGAACTTCCTAATTCTTCATTGAACAACGAACCACCTGTACTAAGGAAAAACCGTTGACACGCACAATCACACACACATATGAATAGATCTCCCTATTTGACATATTCGACGCTGATACCAATATAGAATTCACGACTATGTAATGAATATTGGGGACTTATACCTAAATAACGATATACTTCGTTATAATATATACAATAGATTAGTTGAAATAAGAGAAACAATCCTTGTCTGGATTAAATACTCGTCATTCACTGGAACAATGAATGAAGATTAAATAGGAATAGACTATGGAAGAAAACAAAATAGCATCTAAGAAACTTATACGGTAAAGTCCTTTGAAAGCACTGAAAAATTAGATAATTGAATCAATGATATTCTGTGAGTGCCGTAAGGTTTTAGACGAGTAAAATTAGATCAAATCTGACTTTAGGTTTGTGTTTAGCTCATCAAAATACATAGGAGAAATCTACCGCATAGAATAGTTTTTCTTTTTTTGGGTAAAATAATTTTATACAAATTGGGAAGTAATTTAAAGGGAGGAAGTTTCATCTAATATATACTTAACGTGAAAAGAGGGATGAAGAAAATAAAAAATGGGCTAAAAATGTGTGAAGTAATTTGTGGACGAAGCTTTTGTAATGTTGTAACCGCTCAAAGTGGCACGGGAATTAGGGGAGAATTGGATGTCAGGGAACAAACCAATTAAACAAATTATTAAGAATAAAATATCCTAAATTTATTATACGTATATTTTGATTACTACTACTATTCGGAGAACACTTTTGCTAGTTCAAGTCGTTTACAGTTTTTAGGGAATAAAATCTTATTTGCAAAAAAAAAGTTTAATTATGTCAAACGGTGTAATTCAATATTTGTAGATTTCTACTTGGGTAATTTCCGGCATGACTATATAATAAATAGGTTTCTGGAATTTGTGGAGTTCAAATAAACTGGTGAAGTAGGGGTATATTTCCAAATAAAACTTAAAATTATATAAAAAAAAACAGTTTGTTAACATAAAATTTTTTTCATATTATTGCACTACACACGTATTTTTAAGCATGAAAATGTTTAAATTTTAAATATTTTAATATATGTAGAAAAGAATGTTACCTATTTCTGAGGAAAATTTATATTTCAAATATCGGTTTACACTTTTTTTTTTGAATAATAAGTAGTTATTAAAAATTTAATTTTCATCCCTTCCACTTTACAAAAAAATTAGGTGTAATATAAAAATGAAAATCCTTAATTGACAACGCACTTTTAAAACTGCAAATTATCACATTTTATATATAGTATAAAAAAAAATATTTTCCGCATGAATTTATTTTCGTATTTCAAAATGCACGTAAACAATTCCTGCATGTTTTGCAGAACCTCATGCGTGACCCTTTAATTTTTCTAGTTATTTATGGCTAAACAGAAGATTTCATCTGTACAGAAGAAAATTCAACCATGGAAACTGTACACGATGGTCACTGCCCTGGTAGTGATTGACATTGTCATATTGGGCTCTTGGCAGGGGCTGGATCCGCTGCAAAGAAAAATAGAAGAATTTGCACTTGAAGCTCCATTAGCAGGAGTAGATGATGATGCCAGAATAAGGCCTTTACTAGAACATTGTGAAAGTGAATATAATAACACTTGGTTTGGTAAGTGCAATACAAATGAAATATTTTTTAGATTATATGTAAAATATGTTTTGTCTCTTATCTAAAAGCACGATCTTGTTTTAATTTCACACATTGATAGAAAACTTAAGTTATGTTTAAATTTACGCTGAAAACGAAAGAGAAATTTTGATTTAAGAAATTACAGGTGCAATTGTGACTAAATAAGATTAGATCAATATAAGCAAACATACCAAACCCCATATCGCACCATCTTTTTCCCTGGAAGATTTTGGCGTCAACCTACCTATTTCTCATTCGTGTGAGAGACTCCTTGGACTCCTTAAGGGCCGTTTTGAAGTCTCCGTATCCTCCGCTGACTGCGATTTGGCTAATGTTCGCCTTATCGTCATACTTTTCTCTACATAAAAAGCAGCTTGGGCTTCTACTGCAGTTTGCAAACTTATGACCGACTTCTTCTTCTTTTTTAGACAATACATAAAGCCAATCATTATGCGTCTTACTTTCTCCAGCCTGTCCGCCTCCTCTGGGTCGGTGACTACAACCGCTAGCTTCATTCCTCGTCGATTGGGTCCTAGGACCGTTACCTTATTCTGCTTCCTAGCTCCTGGAGCACTTCCGCCAACGGAACCTCTTCTTTCTGGGTAAGGCAATCTAGATCGCGGATCGCCAGTGTGATCTATTGATTCACGGTTTGCACGTTCCCCGTGCTTTCAACTTCTTTGGTGATCTCAGCGGTGAATGCCTTCTTATTGGAGTTTGCTCCGATTTTGATCAGGAGTTTGCTCCATTATCTACTAGGGTGTGTTCCACTCACTAATAAGATTAAGAGTCTTAAGTCCGTCCATTATAGTCATGTTGTCATTCTTCTGAACTTAGCAAGACTTTACTATTTTGGCGATTTCCTCTTCGATTCTCTGAAGACACACTGCAAAAAGAAGTATCTTATTTTAAGATGTTTTGGTAGTGTTTTTAAGACATTAAGACATTTTAAACATCTAAATGCTACCAATACATCTTAAAATAAGATACTTCTTTTTGCAGTGCACTCAGCTTCCTTGTCTCGTTGTCTAGGTCAGACGAAATCAAACTTCTTTCCGCTGCTGATACTAGAAACGTTTTAAGCGCTTCCTCTTCTACTTCCAAGTCTTTCCAAACAAACCCTAAGAAACTGTGTAATTTTTTATTTTCTAAAACTATTTTGTAACCAGGCAGTGTGTTAAGTTAATTCAAATGATCATTCAGACTTGAATTATAACAACATTTGTTGCAAAATATTTTATTTGCAATATAACTTTGTTTCAGGTATAATCTACGGATATAAAGGTTTAATTTTGGTGTTTGGATTATTCTTGGCTTACGAAACTCGAAGTATAAAGGTAAAACAAATCAATGACTCAAGATATGTTGGAATGTCAATCTACAATGTCGTAGTTCTTTGTTTGATTACGGCACCTGTAACAATGGTCATCGCTAGTCAGCAAGATGCCAGTTTTGCCTTTGTCGCACTAGCCATAATTTTCTGCTGTTTCCTCAGCATGGCATTAATTTTTGTTCCTAAAGTTATTGAAGTCATTAGACATCCTAAAGATAAAGCTGAATCTAAATACAATCCTGACGTAGGATTGTCTAAAGAAGATGAAGAAAGGTATCAGAAGCTACTTACGGAGAATGATGAACTTCAAAGGCTCATAGCAGCGGTAGGTTAAAAAAAATTTGTTTTTAACGAAAATTTTTCGTTTGAAAATTTATTAAATCATAGAAATAATTTCAGAAAGAAGAAAAAATAAGAGTATTGAAGCAAAGGCTAGCAGAAAAGGACGCTTCTAAAGGCGGCAGCGCAGGAGCCAAGGACTCGCTGATTGTTGCAGATTTCGTCACAGGAGAAGGAACTTCCGACAGTGCAATTGGTGGGGGCATTTCCGTTCACACAAGATCCTCTCGAGCCTCCGCTTCGGACTTCGAATTTTCAGAATCATACTTGTAAAAACTGCTCCCATTGCTATCATAAACACCGTAAACAATAAACATCTTTCGTTAGAAGGTGTAGTACAAAACTTGGGTTACTCGGGACCTCAAAAATTTTCAAATGAAAATCGATATACATATTTTAAAGAACCACTGACTCGAACTTTAATATTATACATATATTTGAACAGTATTCAAAAAGATAATCATAAGCCTTTTGGCTAAACTTTTTTCATAAACAGATATTCCCAATAAAGACATTTTTCTGATCTAAGAATCATAAAATAGAATATTTTTATTCATAGAAGAATAACTTGTCTTAAAGATTAATTTTCAAAGACCAATTTTGTAATTTTTTTCAAACGAAAACGTGACATTCAACTAGAATAGTAACACAATTGTTATATACTTTTACAATGAAAAAAAAACAAAATTGTTGAGTATTTTCATCTGTATAAAGTCTAATACTTCTAATTAGTACTAATTTTATTACTTCTAATTGGTAAATATGATTTTGTTATCTATTTTTGTTAAAACCAAATTTTTTTTTAAATTTAAAGTTTTATTATAAAAAATATTTATAGTCGCATCTATTGAAAACTTTATACGAGTTATTTAGCAAATGCTTATGACTCACGTTAATTAAAATTGTTTCAAGATTTATTTAAATTTTATTAGCGTATAAACTTTTATTAAATGAACGTACAAAGTTGATGTTAACATATATAATATCGATAAATATAAAACGCATATATGTTGAATGAGTGTCTGAGACTATGAATTAAATTAAACAGTGTATAATTTCACACTGAAAAAAAACAATTGACTATCCCTGTTTTGATGATCGAAAATATCTTTAATAGAAAACTGGCAAGATTCTGATCTACCCTTTTAAATTATTACCGATAATATATAATACAAAATGTAATATTACTTATCGAAACCAGACTAATTGTCTGACTTATTCTAAAGACTGAACTTTTAATTATTTGCTTTCTTATCAATCAAGCGATAAATTTCGGAAAAGTTTTTTACATGTTAATGATAGTAATGATAATTTTCAAACGAAATTATAAGTCCTACTTTACTAGTATCATGTCGGTCGTATTTCTGACTTTTCAATATGAAAAATTGCAGAAAATTTATTTTCTCATTTAAGATATAATTTTTCGTAATAATTTACGTTTTGGATAACGCAGGAATTTTTGCAATAAGTATTACAAAATTTAAAAAATTTAATCAGTTCTTGCATAATGAATTCTGCGAGAAAAGATTTTATTTTTTTTCTCTTTTGAAACGCATTAATGGCATAATTATGAATAAATAAGTGTTGCATAAATCCCTCTACTTTATCCATCGTAATCACAATTTTTCAATATTTATATAAAAATGGTTACTGAAATGATCACCATCCATAAAGAAAAACTTAATACAATAAATTGGTCGAAACATGCAAGTCAAAAAAAAAATATTTGTCTCTTTAATAATTATTAAATTAATAAAAGTTCTTTTCTTATATTATTTTATAAACGTTGAAAAGCATAGCAATCAGCAAAAAAAAAATTAATTTCCCTTTTGAATCTTAAGATTCAAATTTAGAGAACTATCGCGAAAATTTCAGCTTATTACGGGTCCAATCTACTCATAAAAATATGTACTGTAACATGCAAATCATATGAGCAAATGATCAACCGATTTATCATATTTAAAAATGCAAAAATAATTTTTGTATTCGGAAATTGTAAATCATGATTTCCACGTTCGAGCAATTTCAAACAATTTAAGACCAAAATCCATAAATGACCTCAAAAAATCCCAATTATTTTTTTTTGTAATTGCGTGGAAACATTCACCCTAAATAAAAACCTTTCTTAGATATGAAAATCCTTAACACATTTAGAAACCTAAATGATTGCAGTTAAATCTCGTTAGACAATCTTCAATGTTTGATGTAAAAAAAAAAAAATTATCCGTGTAAGCCTCATGAAGTCTGCTCCCAAATTGAATGATATTACAAAAAAAAAACAACACAACTGGAACAATCAACGGAAATCAAAGCGGAAATATGCTAACGAGATTTAAACGCTTTTTCAACGAGACACCATTCATAAATAATTTGGGAGTCTTGATGAGGTAAAATATTTGTTAAATGTAGCCCCATTGCGTGTGGAAGATTAAATATTTGTATATCAGGTAATAATTTATAAAAAAAAAAATTCTCTTTTATAAAATATTATCTGCAAATTTATTGATAGAGAAATAATTTTTACTAATTCAAAAACGAATTTTCGAATTCAAAATTTTAACAAAAATTTCATTGTATTTCCCGGAAAATAATATTTCAGCCTTAGAAAATCGTTCTAACCATTATAAGAATTGTATTCGATACTTATTAAAAGATTTATTGCAATTTAACTTGAACGACAAATAATATCTATTAAAAATCACTCTTTTTGAAATTATTTGTTTTTCAAATTATATAAAGGACACCGCACTTTTTACATTGAAAATGGCTTTCAGACAAATCTTTTGAAACTCTGTAGTTTTGTAGTTTAAGGCTTCCTAAACAAAAAATCCTTATGCCAAAATTCAATCTTATGAGTAGTTTTTTAGCTACAGCATTTTAAAGTTAAAAAATAATGTATTTATGTAGCTAAAAAACTACTCATAGAATTGAATTTTGGCATAAGGATTTTTTGTTCAGGAAGCCTTAAACTACAAAACTACAGAGTTTCAAAAGATTTGGCTGAAAGCCATTTTCAATGTAAAAAGTGCGGGGTCCTTTTGTAATAAATCGAATACATAAGTACCGAATTGTGCCTTTGTTTGGTTAGTGCAATCAAAAGGAAGATTTTTAATTGATTGGCAATTTACGTTTTAGATAGACAACTAATTTAAATAAAAAAATTTGTAGTCGCCGAATGAAAAAAGATGTCGGAAAAAGTGTCGGACTTGATATTATTTATGAATGGATATCAATTTGATACGTTACAATTGCGCTGTTTCAAGAGTATCGTTCTCTTCTTTTCTGATTCTAGAAACGGCTGATTAGATGACATCGGCTGATAATAGAAGACATCGACTGAGCAAAAAAAAGAATTATGTAGATGATAAAGCAAGTTGGAGGAGCAGCATTCTAAAATTAAACTTTGTCGATTAACGTGCCACGTGGATTTTAGTCCTGGTGGATTCTAGTCCTCAATTATAAGAAACTTGTTCAAACTTAAGGATACCTGATTTTTCGTATCAACGACAGTTAAAGATAAGTCTTCGAGTGTTTGTGCAATATAGAAAGTCGTGTGAATAGGTCCTGCGACACTTTTTGACATATTAACGCGATTTGACTGCGATTTGTCATGCCACTGTAGAATACGTGTATATCCTAGAACTGAAAATTGTTTAGGCGAAATGAAAATTCTACAAGTTCGTTCGTGTTTAAATGAATATTTACGTTTGTTTTGTGAGAGGAAAGTGTGTAGAGAAATATTATTCTTATCAATTAAATTAGTTTTTTTTTGTTTTTCATTTTCAACTATATATCTTGTACATTTTTAATTTTCTACTACTTTTCCGAAATTCAGTGAAATATTCAATTATGGAAGAGTCTTATCGAAACTTGAAAGAAAGTACCTTATACATACATAATTATATATATGTACGTTAGACGATGGAAATATTTATTTAAAGTTTTGAACTATAAAATTGGTTGAAGGAACTCTGCTTTTTTATTTAATTCCTTAATATATATATATATATATATGTGCCATTCCAGGAGTTTTTTAGCACTTTTCGGAGTAACCTTTCCAATAAATTAAATGAAACATTTTTTTAATAATATTTATTAATATAAAGGTCCAAAAAAATCACTTTTTAAGTAAAAACAATTGTTTATTTAAAAAATACAATAATAAATAATGCAAAAAATTCACTTTTTTCCTGCAACTCCAAATAAATTGGTTTAAAGATCAAAATTTTCATTATTTTTCAAGCTTTAATACCGCACAAGAAACATAGAGTCCGAGAAAATATTCAACTCACAATTTTTTAAACAATGTTTGTTTACTTTTTTGTATTTTATTTACTGTGAAACGTCTGCTAAAACTGCGCGCGACGTTTGGAAGTTGTCGCTTTCCTTATTGAGCAGAAGCTCATTACACTAGCGTAGTAAAAAAAAATGTTGTGTGAAAAGTGAGGTTTTTCATCCTTCAAAAATGTTTTTTATGATTGTTTACTGCAAAGTAGATAATTAAAAACCATTCAATGTGATAACCAGAAATTTTTACGTTTCGTTTAATGACAACATAACCTCACTTTTCGCACAACATGCTTTCTACTACGCTAGTGTAATGAGTTTCTGCTCAATAACGACAACGACAACTTCCGAACGTCGCGCGCAGCTTTAGCAGACGTTTCACAGTAAATAAAATACAAAAAAGTAAACAAACATTGTTTAAAAAATTGTGAGTTGAATATTTTCTCGGACTCTATGTTTCTTGTGCGGTATTAAAGCTTGAAAAATAAGGAAAATTTTGATCTTTAAACCAATTTATTTGGAGTTGCAGGAAAAAAGTGAATTTTTTGCATTATTTATTGTTGTATTTTTTAAATAAACAATTGTTTTTACTTAAAAAGTGATTTTTTTGGACCTTTATATTAATAAATATTATTAAAAAAATGTTTCATTTAATTTGGAAAGGTTACTCCGAAAAGTGCTAAAAAACTCCTGGAATGGCACATATGTTTATTACTCTCCCTACATACAATAGGGTTCGAGACTCCAAAAATACATCATAACTTAACCTAATACAAACAAATCCTTAACCTAATACCTTAACCTATACGCAACTCTTAAATTAACTTAAACTAACTATCCACCAGTGACAGGGCTTCCGTTTCCCATTTTTTTCGCCCATATTGGCTTCGTCCCCATTAGCGCCCACCCCTTACAATATTCACATTCATTCTTTCATTATTGTTTACTTCTATTCACACAATCATTCACGCTAAACCCTCCCTTTTCTCCTTCCTTATCCTCTCCAACTCACTCATCCACCTTTCACCTTGCCCATTCTCATCTAATATCCATCTCACCCTTTCGTCCACTCCCTTTCCCTCATCCTTCTGTCCCACACAACCATCCAACACATGACCTCATTCTTCCCGCTCATAGCCACACACTCTACACTCCTTTCTCTCTTCATCCATCCAATATTTACATTCCCTCATTCCTTCACCCATTCTAAATCTGCATACTCTATTCCACTTTCCACATTTTCTCACCTTCTCCAAATATTTTGGTCTCCATCCCCCCTTACCATCTTATATCATCTATTATATTTCAATCCTAATATCCTCTTCCACCTCTCCTCTCTGTCTTTTCTTATCCACCCCTTTACCTCCTCTTTCTTTCTTCCCCCCCCCACTCTCTTCCCTCCTCAAATGCTTCTTTTCTATCCCTTTCCCATCTTGACATCTTTTTAACCCCTCTTCCCTTGCCCGTTTTAATTTTCTTCCCACATTCCCTTGCGATCGCGCTTCCCCTCCCCTGTTTAAATTTCTCTTCTATTCCCATCGCCCTCATCCTCTGCCTAGTACTTAGCTTATCCCTACCCAATTCATCCCTTAACATATAACCCGGACAATTCCAGTCGACCCACATTGTCCATCTTAAATATCTCTCATGCATACTCTCAAGCTTTCCTCTCTCCTTCCATCCCTATATTTCCACACCATAACTCATTACCGACCACACCAACACATCAAACAGCCACACTCTTCTTTTCCAGTCATCTCTAAATCTTCTTTCCCCAATTCCCCACACCTGTCCAATCACTCTTCCTGCCCTTCCCATTCTTCTCCTTACATTCAATTCATGCCCCCCATTTTTCTGAAACTAATACCCTAAATAGCAGAACTCATCCACCTCTTCCACTCCTTTCCTATTCATCATCCATTCTTCCTCATCCTTTCCTTTTCTCTTCCTAAAAATTATCACCTTCGTTTTCTCTTTATTCACATTCAAATCTATCTCTCTCACATACCTTTCAAACTCTTTCATTAACAATTTCATACCACTTTCATTATCAGCCAAGAGCACCACATCATCTGCATACGCTAACGTATAAATTCTTCCCTTGCCCAGAATCACACCACCCTTTCCCCTTTTTGCCATTCTCTCTTCCAAATCAGCCATTAACAAATTAAATAAGATAGGACTCAGTGGGCACACGGTGGGTCTGAACCAACTTCAACCCAAAGGTCGGCGCACTTCCAATTTTTTTGTGGATTTCTTTTCTACTATGTCTCCTGAGTAATTTAAGACCAAAAAGAAAAAAATCGTTAGACTAGTTTTTGAGAAAATCGATTTTTTGTATCTTTAATCCATGAAATACTGCTTCTCAGATACAACTTCAACAAAAAGTTCTGAGAACTTCAAATTTTCTTGTAAATTTTATTTCTACATTATTTGTAGTAATTTTAGATAAGAAAGAGAAAGATTAGTTAACTAAATTTAAAGGATATAATCGATTTTTTACATTAGTTTTTGCTGAAAATTCTATTTTTTAAATGAATTTGTATTCGATCGTAATTTAATTTTTTTAACTATCATTAATTTTTACATAAAGTAAATATACAAATCAAAGTTTTTAATACTTCGTTTTAAAAATAATAATTTTTGTTTCGTTGAATCAAAGAAATTAATGGAAAATTTTAACTAATAATTAAAGAAACCATTGAAAAGAATCGTTGACTTTTCAGATATGAAGACTGTTATATTCACATATAGCACGCAGTAATTTTGAAGAATATTCTGGATGACCACGTGATAGTTTATATTTTTGCCAAACACTATTAAAATCGAAGTGGACAGACTCCATCGCTTGTTCACTGTAAACTCCAAGCCCCATTTGTGTTCGGTCGCAAAAATCTTCTACGTGGAAAAACACAGCATGCACTTTTGGTGAAATGGATACGTTTAAACCAATGTAACTTTCTTTGAAGCTTGCAATTTTCTCCTTATAATCTGCGGTTTAAACGTATCCATTACACCAAAAGTGCATGCTGTGTTTTTCCACTTTCCACGAAGATTTTTGCGACCGAACACAAATGGGGCTTGGAGTTTACAGTGAACAAGCGATGGAGTCTGTCCACTTCGATTTTAATAGTGTTTGGCAAAAATATAAAATATCACGTGGTCATCCAGAATATTCTTCAAAATTACTGCGTGCTGTATGTGAATATAACAGTATTCATATCTGAAAAGTCAACGATTCTTTTAAATGGTTTCTTTAATTATTAGTTAAAATTTTCCATTAATTTCTTTGATTCAACGAAACAAAAATTATTATTTTTAAAACGAAGTATTAAAAACTTTGATTTGTATATTTACTTTATGTAAAAATTAATGATAGTTAAAAAAATTAAATTACGATCGAATACAAATTCATTTAAAAAATAGAATTTTCAGCAAAAACTAATGTAAAAAATCGATTATATCCTTTAAATTTTGTTAACTAATCTTTCTCTTTCTTATCTTAAATTACTACAAATAATGTAGAAATAAAATTTACAAGAAAATTTGAAGTTCTCAGAACTTTTTGTTGAAGTTGTATCTGAGAAGCAGTATTTCATGGATTAAAGATACAAAAAATCGATTTTCTCAAAAACTAGTCTAACGATTTTTTTCTTTTTGGTCTTAAATTACTCAGGAGACATAGTAGAAAAGAAATCCACAAAAAAATTGGAAGTGCGCCGACCTTTGGGTTGAAGTTGGTTCCGACCCACCGTGGGCAACCTTGCCTTAACCCTCTTCCTAACAAAAATACCTCCCCTAATTCTTCCCCTATCCTTATTCTCTCCCTCGTGTTGATTTGTGTGATTTGAGGAAATGTATAAGATAATGGAGAATAAAGCGAATGAGAAAAGAGGATTACAACAAGAGGCACAGAGTACACGGAAAATTAGTAAGGAGAAAAAGGGAGGAGGGAAGGATTAAGTTTGTAGAAGAGGTGGAGAAAGCGATCAGGGAGCGTTCAAAAATTACGTAACATTTTTTGGGGGAGGGGGGGGTCAAGCACTTTGTTACGGACAGCAGAAAAAATGGCGCTAATGTATGCAATAACGTGTTACATGGGGAGGGGGGGGGGGGTCAAAATTAAAAAAAAAACGTTACGTAATTTGTGAACGCTCCCTCAGCGAAGGGAAAGAATGGGAGGTAATAAACAAGGAAAGGAAAAGAAGAAATGATATCAGTGGAGAGATAAGGATGGAAGAATGGACGAATTACTTTAAAGGATTAATTGGGGGTACGGGAAATAGGGTAAGAGGGGAGAGAAGAGTAAGGAGTGGGGAGATGGATTATGAAGAAGTTGCAAAGGAGGAGGTATTTGAGGCGATAGAGAGGTTGAGGAGAAACAAAGCGGCGGGATGGGATGGAAGGGGAATGCTTAAAGTACGGAGGAGAGAAGATAAAGGAAGAGATGTGGAGAGTAGTGAATAAGGTGTGGAAAGGGGAGGGTTATCCGGAGAAATGGAGGACGGGATTAATTGCACCCATAGTGAAAAAAGGAGTGGGGAGAAAGGTGGAAGATCATAGGGGAGTGACGCTGATGCCGGTCGGGCACGAAGTGTACGCGGAGGTGATAATTCCTTAATATTGTTTTTTTTAATTAAGGAGAAACATATAAAAATGGAAAGTTTTTTAAATTTTACTAAAAATTTTAATAAAGTGTATAAATGTATAAAATAATTAATGATATGTATATTAACTTAAGATTTTGAAATACTTATTTATTTTTATTATTTTTATTTTTTCACTCAAAACAACTGAAAAATATTTAAGTTGTAAGAAAAGAAAATTTTCAAAATTATTTAAAAAGTGAAAAAAAAATGTTTCATTTTTTTTTATCATTTTTGAAAAACAATAACTTGTAGTTAATGATAGAGTGGAAAATGTTGCAAAATAGGTGAATCAATATATAACATTTACACGTTATATTTATTTTAAAACATACTAAACTTCTTTAATAAATCAATCGATGCGTATAAAAATAATTTCTAGCAATAAATCAGAAATCTAATAAACTAAAAACTAGAACCCTACCAAAAAAAAAATGGTGACTTTTCTCCAACTGATGACACTTACAATTTCAACAATAAATGCAATTATAGCCAATGTGTATCCAATGATCATTAAGTAACAAAGTATTAACAGCAGTTTTTCCTTTTCGATTGCATTTGGTGGTACAACTTTGTCGAATCTTTTGAAATCTTTGTCAATAAAATTTTTGAGTAAACCACGATTTGATGCTCTTAAAATTATTTCGTTAAAACGATCAATGTAGGGAGAAACGCTTCTTGCTGGACAAGTCAGTAATAGGTATACATCAAAGGCTCCTTTAGTATTTTGAAATTCAATTCTTGACCCAGAGCAATAAAATCATTTACCATTAACTCAGCATTAGCAAAAATACACGATACGTTTTTGTTCTTAGCCAAATATGTTAAGCAATTAAATGGGCGGTCTAAACCAGGTATCTTTACAGATTTTGATGCTAGTTTTTGGATATAAGAGAGATAACAATGATTGTGAGACAGGCAGATTTCTTATTTCAATAAAATATATAAAAATTAAATAAATAAGATCTACACTCCCTTGGCGCAGCCGGGTTCAAAGCCGCCAAGGGTCAAGGATTAATAATTTTAAAAAAATTACCGCGGGCGCCAGTCGACTGAAGGTCGACAAAAATATATAATATAAAATAATTAAATTTTACGTTAATTACCTTCAAGTAGAGCAAGAGAAATATAATTACAGGGTGGGTAAAATGGGAGAACCCAAAAGAATAAAATGAGCGAGTTCAATCAGTCGATTTAATTAATATAATAGAAGATCTGCTTACAATTGACGTCTAATAGATTAATTTTCTATAATTTGTCAAGTAAATCTTCCTAAGTGTACACAATATGAACACTCACTCACATACATGTTACATTTTCAAATATAATTTTATACGTCTATTGACATTAACGATCGATCCATGTGCCCGACAAGCACGTAGTTTTACGGCGTCCCTTCAAACGCATGCGTTCCTGTTCTCATAGATCTCCAGGATCGAATCGATAACGAAAGGACCCTAAATGTCGACCTTATTCAAAATTTGAGTAGGCCTCGAGAATGGTACTGTCAGGACTTTAAGTAAATAACAACAAATAAACTTGGCAAGAGGTAATTTTTTGAACACGAAATAATTTTTTAATGCCCATATTATCGAAAAGAAAATTAAAATATATTTCATTTTTAAATAGTCAATTTTCTCTAGATTTACAAGAAACACATACAAAGGAAAATACAATTTCCTATTATCTTACATAAATCTATATTAAAAATAAATTATAATTATTTACATAATTTCTAATAAATCATTTCTTTCTGATATAATTAAAACATAAAAGTCAGATACAAATAATTTAGCTGTACATAATATACAAAATAAAAGTTTTCTTTTTATTATTTCTCTTTTGTTGAAACAGTTCCTTCCACTTTACTTTCAAGTTTTTCGAATTCTTCTTTTGAAACTTTATCAACTTCATCTTCAACTTGTATAACTCCTAAAACTTCTGGTATGTAAAACTGCATCATATTCTGCACGCCCTTTCGAAGTGTTACTACTGAACTGGGACAATTTGTACACGAACCTTGCATTTTAAGTTTAACGATTCCATCTTCAAAACCCTAAAAATAAAATGTTTATACATAGAAATCAAAATATTGAACATTTATAAGGTATTTTTAATATGAAAAAAATATTCCTTTAACTGAATTTTGATTTCTCAAAATCTTTAATATTTAAAAAATATTAATTTTATAATTATTTTGTTTTTACCAATAATTTTTAAAATAATTTTTACATTAAAAAATAATAAAATTATAATTTTATAAATATTTAATAAATGTATAATTATATTTTATTTATACATTAATAATTTTTATCTGTACTTTTATTATATTATAAAATAATTAAAATTAAATTTAATTAATATTTCTCTTATTTGAAATTTGTATCATAAGGCCGTTCGTTAACTTGTAAAAATTTTGCAATTATTTTATTTTCCTTATCAGATCTATTTAATAGGTAAATTCGGTAAATTCGGTTGTTTCATTAAAACAACTTTTAATCACTTTTATCCAATTCCACCAAGAACTATGTTCCCCGTTAGTTAATATTTTAAAAATCTAAATAACTCCCGATGTATTCTTTCAACAATATTTTCTTGAGGGTGTCTAACTGATAAAAATACCGGTTATATCCTCTCTTCTTTTAGTTTACTAGTCCATATCCCTGAAGTAAATTTAGTACCATGGTCAGTAATAATTTTCTCAGGTTTTCCGAATTCTTTAATATGATGATTGAACATTTTATTTATATTCGTGGTTATTTTTCTAATAGGATATAATTTTACACATTTACTAAAAGCATTTATGGCAGATAGTATATATTTGAATCTTCCCTTGAAAGTTGGACCATAAAAATCAATCGATAAAATTTCGCCTGGTTTTTGGGGTGCGTATTTTCTTATTTTCAGCAAAAATTTTTTTTTGATTACAAACTATTTTTCTGACATGAGTCGCAACTAGATATTCTATGTCTTATTATTTTTGCAAAATGTGGATAATAAAAATATTCATTTAACATGCGAAACACTCGCTGTGGACACAAATACATTCTAATTATCAGATTAAGTTTCATTCTCAGATTTACAGTATACACAATTAAAAATATTGATATTTATATACCATTAATCGTAAAAGTTGAATAAAAAAAATTGTTTAAAAAATTATAATCAAAATTTAGATGCAACACATAGATTAGAATTAGTAAAATATGTGAATATGAAAATTATTACTTACCACAAAAACAATATCTCCTCCATCTTCTTGAACTGTTGGTCTGATCCGTGTATCAAGTAACTCTTTTATCATTTGCACAATTTCATCATCTTCTTCATTGATTTCTGTTTTCCAAAATAATTAATTAATATGTTATTGATTAAATACAAAATTTTCCGACATACAAATAATTTAAAACATCAAATTGTTCTTTTATCGAATTTCTATAAGTATTTTTATTAAGTAAATTATCCATTAACAGAATTTCTACACTGAAAAAAATATGCTATTAAATCAACAGCATTTATGACAAAGGTATAAAAATTATTTATGCAAAAGCATATGCTATAGAATCTATTTAATATTTTACAAATTCTATAGCATATGCTAATAATTTTTATATCTTTGGCAGAAATGCTGTTGATTCAATAGCATATTTTTCTCAGTGTATGAAACAAAATTCTTATTTAACAAAACTTTTATTTAATCAAATTTTTATTCGATCTAATTTTTATTTAATAGAATTGTCATTTAACAGAAATTTTACTTGACTGAAGAACATATGACTGAATAAGACTAAATAAGAAAATTTCTATTTCGCCGAAACTCAATTTGACCGAACTTTCAATTGTCCGAATTGCAATATAATAGAACTGTTAAAACGTAGAATTTCTATTTAATAGAACTTTCAAATATCCGATCGCTAAATGTGCAAAATAATAGTGAATATAAATATAAAACTTACGACTATTAGAAACTGGTTGTTCTTCCGTAAGAATCGGTAAACCACTTGCAAAAAAGTCCATAATAGTAGCAAATATCTCTGGTTTTAATAAGTTCCAATCGGTATCTTCATCAATTTTTGTTACAGTTATAAAATCAGAACCATAAAATACAGCTTTAACTCCTTCAATGCGAAATAACATTTTTGCAAGAGGAGAAAATTGGGCAGTAGAAAGTGAAGGAAAATCTTTCGTTTGTCCTTTATCCAAAACTTGAACACCCGGTAAGAATTTTAAGCTATTTGGATTTGGTGTATCTTGTGTTTGGATAAACATTGTTCTTTTATGAACTTTGTACAAGTTTAAACTATTACTTTTAGCATTCTGAAAAAGTTGAGTATTTCGATGTTGGCCATTTGTGTGAAATGAGTAAATATGATTACTCAAAGGTCTGCAAAGTAAAATAATTCTTATAATTTACAAAAAAGTAACGATTACACAGGCACACAAAAAAAAAGTTATCTGTTTTTTGAACTAGACATACCATTTCTATAGTATTTTGGCCCGCTGAAAACGAATATGAAGTCAGAATTGCTCCATCACCCTCTGATTTTTTTTTAAATCGAAAAAACCACCCTTAACCAGACAAATTCAAACTTACGGGATAAAAAAAATAAATAACAGATTTTTTTTATTAAATAGAACCTTACAACTACGTATTTTGGCTCCACTAACTCAAACACAAAGCCAGAACTGATCCATCACCCTCTAATTTTGTTTAAATAAAAAAAAAACCACCCTTAATCATACAAATTCAAACTTAGCTATTTCGTTGTGAGAAAAGTCGAAAGCAAGTACAAATAAAATTTTCTGTACCTATGATACGGAAGAAACCATCATGCCAAAAACATTTGTTTAAAAAAAACATTTGTTATTTAATTTTTTTATCTTCTAAGTTTGAATTTATTCGATTAAGGGTGGTTTTTTTGATTAAAAAAAATCAGAGGGTGTTAGATCAGTTCTGGTTTTGTTTTTGAGTTAGTGGGGCAAAAATAAGGTAAGATGCAAAGTTCTATTTATTAAAAAAATCTGTTATTAATTTTTTTTATCCCCTAAATTTGAATTTGTCCGGTTAAGAGTGGTTTTTCGATTTAAAAAAAAATAGAGGGTGATGGAGCAATTTTGACTTCATATTCGTGTTCAGCGTGCCAAAATACTATAGGAATAGTATGTCTAGTTCAACAAAAAGACAACTTTTTTTGTGTGCCTGTGTTAACATTACCGATGGTAGTAATTGATAATAAAATTTCTCTAATCAATCGATATGTTTTTAAATATTCTATTAACTGGTTATAATGGTTTTGTCATAAAATTAAAATTTTTTTTAATTATTTATTTTCAGGGAAATCAAACTTTAATAATTATTTATTTAATAAACTTGTTGTAAATCTTCTCCAAATTTTTCAATTTTTAACTTTTTATATAATAAATAAATTCAGCAGCTGGAAAGTAAGATATCATATAAAATTTGTACAGCCTTTTCAGTTAGTTCCTAATAATTTAAAAAATGATGCTTTTTAAAAAAATTTAATAAAACTTCTGTATATCGAATCCGCATAAATCGGATTCTTGTTTATATAAAATATTTTTTTCGGTCCCTTCAATCATTATAACTAAGTTTTAGACCCGGATATATCGAATACCCGTCTTTATCAGATAATTTTTCGCCGTCTTTGATATACGTGGGTTTTACTGTACTATTCTACATTACTGCCGTGTTTTCTAAAAACTTAGGTAACTGCAGAATGAAAGATTACGAGAAAAACGCGAAAAACTGTTTAAACTTCATTGATATGTACCGCAAAGCCTAATTAAAAATTTTAAATGCCGTTTTGTTCCTTCGATTCGTCTAAATTTATTCTTTTTAATTATGTAAAAATAAATGTTGTATTTGTTTAAACATTCAATAAATTATTAAAAATGTAGTTACCGGTATGCTGATTCGAGGGTCGTCGCACGAGAAACTTAGGTAACTGGTAGTTACTTGGTCCCTCGTGCTACGATCGCCTGTATTAGGCCTTTCGTCGCACAGAAAACTTAGGTAACTACAGGGAATATATAAGAATTTTCATCTTTCTTGGCAAAAAATAGTAAAAATATATTAAATAATAAACTATAATTATTTAATAAGCTGCGAAAGTTGTCACTATAATTATTGTTTTTTACAAATATTTAATTTTATGGTTAAATTTATTTTAATTATACAATATTAGAGTCAAATATTGTATTAACTCAGAATATATTAAATAATAATATAAAATAAAATAAAATACATAAATAAAATTAAATTAAAAATCGGACAAGTGCGAGTTACACTCGCATTAAAACCGAGGGTTCCGTACCCTTAAACCTAAAATTTAAGGGAGTAAAAGTGTGAAGGCAGGTGGAAAAATTGCAATTTTGCTTAATTTTTCCTGTAATATGAGCATGAAAACACATAGATAGACACATAGTCAAATATATCGAAAATTATCAGTTTTTCCTTGTAAACGCTATGATAATCAACTCCAATCGTTCTCGCTATATTTTCTTGTGATCTACACGTAAAAATACGTAAAAATGTATAAATTTGAATCCCTTGAGATAAAATTTTCTTCTTTTTTTATTCGAAAAATCCATGATTTTTTCTAAAAATATGAGATTTCCTTAAAAACAATATAATCATCAATTCCAATCGTGCTCGCTATATTTATTTTCCTGTAATCTATACGCAAAAATACGCATGTATACCAAATATGAACTGTCTTGGTCAAATAGTGTGTGGGCTAGGAGGATTAAACGCTTTTTTCAAAATTTTTGATTTTTCCTTGACAACGCTATGTAAATCGATCCGAATCATGTTCGCTATATTTTTCCTGTAATTTTCACGTAAAAATACATAAGTGTACCAAATTTTAGCTCTCTATGTGAAAAAATGTGGCCACCAGTGGGGGGGTACATAGTCATTTTTAGGGATTTTTCGTAAAAATTCATGGTTTTTCCTTGACAACGCTATGATAATCAATTCCTATGAGATTCGCTATATTTTTCCTGTAATCTACACGTCAAAATACATATGTATACCAAATTTCAGCCCTCTAGATAAATTCGTGTGGCCGCTAGGAGGGGGGGTACATGCCTTGCTTCACTAGTCTCATTAATAGGGTTCCCCCTTCGGATACGAAACCCTACACGGAGAGAAAAGGCGTAGTGAGACTTACTAGACAGAAATAGTTAAAGCCGAATAGCAGCGCTAACTGATTAACTAGTTATCCTTACTAAACGAATAGTTAGAATTACTATGCCAACTAGTTGGAAAAACTTGGGTGTTTAGTTAACGTCAAAATAGTTTGTCCTACTAGGCAGCCAGTTTGACGTACTAGACGGCATAGTATAATGCTAACGTGGTATTTCTAACTATTTCGTTTAGTAGGCGTTACAAATTATTAAGATGGAACAACTATGCCCTAATAGTCAATGACATTATGATCAATTTTTTTAGCACATACTGATGGTAATAGGGTTACATAATGTTTTATTATTTAGTTAATTAATTAATAAGACAGTACGTAACCCTTTTTATTTTTTTACCTATTATTTATAATATGTATATATAAATAATAAAGTAATTAAATTTTATTATTATTTTAAAAAGATAAAATAAAATTAATTATTATTAATTATTTAATTAATTAACTATATATAATATATATATATATATTCAACAATTTAATTGTTTTTGCTTCCTCATGGAGGAAGTATTGTTTTCGCGAAATTTTTCGAACTCATTTTTTTGACATATCTTTATGTTTTTTGACCTCAGGAATCCAAAAATGACATTTTTAGAAAATGTCATTCCGTATGTGTGTGTGTGTGTGTATATATACATTACATTTTCATAAATATCTCAAATTCTATAAGAGCTTTAGGGCTGAATTTTTTTTTAAATTGTAGATCTCACTTGGGGACATAAAATGAGAAAACTTTGGGACAAATTAATACATATTAACTATATTTTTTTTGACTTTTAAAATTTTTGAAAAATCGTTTTTTGCCCATAACTTGAAACACATGTTTTGAAAGTTGGGATGTTTTTACTTAATTTTGTAGAGTTTTTTAAGACGCATTTTTTGAGCTATTGACGAACAATCTGCTATCATTTTATCCAAAGTTATTGACATTTTAAAAATCATAAAAAATCGTTTTTTGCTTATAACTTTAAAAAAATGTTATGACACCTACAGTTTTCTTAGTCTCATTTTGTAGAGATTTTCAAGACGCATCTTTTGACCTATTAACGAACAGTTTACGATTATTTTATCCAAAGTTATTGACATTTTAAAAATCATAAAAAATCGTTTTTTGCTCATAACTTTAAAAAAATGTTATGACACCTACAGTTTTTTTAGTTTCATTTTGTAGAGATTTTCAAGACGCATCTTTTGACCTATTAACGAACATTTTACGATTACTTTATCCAAAGTTATTGACATTTTAAAAATAAATAATATTGATAAAAACCTGTTTGCATTTTTTGTTCAAAAATCTTTATGTATTATAAATACATAAATACATAATCTATTATATTTCATACACCTAAAAAAATTAAAAAAAACAGTAGTAGAAAAAATTTTAATATCATTTTCAATGAAATTGGCTAAATACCAATCATTTTTAAATATAAAGTTATACACACATTATTTTATTTTAATTTTTAGTTTAATTTTTTACTTATTATTATATAAATAAATATAAATAAAAAATCGTAAACTGATCGCAAAATATCTCCATGAGGAAGCAAAGTGTTCATGGAATGAACACAAAAATACATACTTCAACTTGGCAGCGGTTTTATATATTTAATTATTTTTAAATATTACACACACATATATATATATTTGTGTGTGTGTATATACATATATATATATAATTTATATCGTTTTTCGATCTTCAGGCGTCCCTTTTTACAAAATAAAGGTTGACAAAGTTCCTCGCTGCATATATTAATCCTTCACTCGTAGAGGATTAGCTTAACTCACGCCCGTTACGGGACCTAAGTTTATGAGGGTGCTAATAAAAAGTACCAATTGCCGCAATAAAAAATTCGACATTTGTAAACTACAAAAATGTAAAAGGAATATTTTTGCCTTATTTAAAATGCTTAAAGTATTTTCTGTTTTTAAAAGATTTGGCACATCTGGTTTGTCTTAAGATAGCCAGCTATAAGAGTTTCTGGTTACAAAAGGGACAATTTCATGAGTTTCTCGATACCCGTTTTTTTGTTATAGATTTATGACTTCAGAATGTTCGAGAAACTTTTCAAATGAAAAAAAGTATAGCAAATATTCCAATATTTTCAATATTGTCAAAAATTTCCATTGAAAGGCCCTCTCAAGCGTCAGTTGCTCTTGGGCATTTGTCAGATTCAAACTAAATTCGTGCGTAATTTTTCATAGTTTTCGGAAATAAAACTATGAAAATACTTGTTAAAAAATTTCGAAAATTTTTTTCTAGTGAATAGAATATTCCACCTTCAATATTTTCATCCCTTCATCAAATTAAAACTATTTTTCGATTACGCAAAGTATTAAAATTGTCAATTGCTCCATAAAAAACTTTTATATCAAATAAAGTTATTAATAAATAGTGATTATTTCAATTAAAGTGGTAATTTTAAAAATATAGTGATAATTTGTAATATATAGTGTTAATCTGAATTATATATAGTGTAAATTATAATTATAAAGTGAGAGATAAATAATAAAAATGGATTGCCAAACTGTTCTTCGACAGTGGGGATTTGAAACATATATACCAAAATTTGAAGGTAAGTTTACTTTATGATCAAACATTAACAAAAAGTAAAACTGAATGAAAAAGAAAGTTTTACATGTAATGTTTAATTACAAGGTCGAGCGAAGCGTCGGTTCTTCGATCCAGCTCCTCAATTGTATATAGGGATTTTTAATAAAATAATAAAATTTTTAATAATTTTTCGAATTTATTTCTTTTATTTATTTTTGTATATATTCGTAAGATGAGGAAATAGATCTCGAAGCTCTTGTCGATCTAAGTGAGCTTTCTCTTTGTCAGTTGATACCTAAAGCTGGACCTCGGACCAAACTGATGAAAAAAATTGCAGAATACAAAAGTGACAAATTTAAAAATTTAGAGGTTATTTTTATTTACTTATTTATTATCAAACAATTAAACTAAAGTTTTAATATTATGGTAAATTATTTTCAGCCGATAGAAGTAGACATTGACACTCAAAATCGTAAAAAGAAAAACACAAATACATTAGGTTCTCTTGAAAATAGTGATGAAAGTATTTCAGATACTTCTTCAGATGACAATAAAAGGGAATTGATAATAAAAAATGATTCTGAATTGGAATCTACTGATGATAAGGAAATGCCACTGACCGGAGGTGATGATGACCCTATACCGAGATTTGAAGATCTTCTAGCTAAAGAAAACCCCAATGTAAATATTTTGCAATCAATACTTTAAATTTATATCAGTGAAAATCACATTGATTTATAGTGACTCTCTTTTATCACTATTTAAGTTAGTGGAATTTCATTAAAAATCTGTTAAAAATAATAAATATTTCTCTTATTTTACATTGATTAATTAGAGAAAATCAACTGTAATATATTAAATTAAACATTAAACATTTTAGATTCACTGATTAGTCAGTGAAATAAAATCATTAAAAATCAATGTGCACTCACATATTCAGTTTCAAACATGATTCATAACTTATATCTTTTAATACTGTTTTTATTTTAGACGGTTGAACAAGCTCTTCTTTCTAGACCAAATGAGGCCAAACTAATTTTTTCCAATTACCTAAAAATTAAACAAAAGGGGAAGCGTCTTGCAAAAAACTATGTTGGATTGATATCAGAACATAAAAAGATTTTATGTGACTTGATTATTAAAGAAGAATTAAAGTCTGTGACTCAAATGTTAGTAATTGATTATATATATATATATATATATATATGTATTAAAAATTTTATTTCTATTCAATATTAGTTCTTAACTAATTTTTAACTTTTGTCTATTAGGATCTCGAGTGATCGTTTTAAATTACTTGCTAGTGAAATTGAACAATTATTTCCAAAGGAAAAGGCGGTATGTCCTTCAATATTTTTAATTTAAAATTTTAAATAATATTTTTATATTTTTATAAATAAATGTTTTTTAATTATAGTCTGTGTACTACAGCCCTCATCTTTCTATTAGAAAAAATAACAAAATTATTAAAAAAAGGGCAGCCCGAGGAAAATTATACCATAAATTTACAAATTTTAGGAAAAAGTTAAAGGATGGGGGTTTGATTCAAAATTATAGTTGTGAAACAAGCTGCTAAAGCTACTACTTCACGCATGCATATTACTCAAACCCTATCTGTAAAGGAACAATTGCGTTTCTCTCATCGTATAAGATGTAATCAGGGCCTACATAGTAATTCTGATGTAGGTCCAACCTGCGATCAATATAGTTCGATTTCTCAAGTAGATAATTATTATTATTTGTTTAGAACTTCGTTACCAATAGAACATTCCAGAGATGGAATTGCTGTCGCATTAAACTATATGATTGAATTTATTTTAATTATACAATATTAAAGTCAAATTATTGTAGGTAATGTAGTTCGCTGCTTTATTAACGTTTATTTAAATAATTAAAAACGATTTTAATTTTTTTAAATAATTGAACTAAATTAATTATATATTAATCATGAAATAAACATATTGCTGAACTTCATTTTCTTAATTTATTAATGCTTTTATGTTATTTATTAAAATTAATACTTAATTTTTCAATAATTGATAAATTATTATTTAGGTATAATTATATATATATATATAGTATTGGAGTTTTTTATTTTATTATTTATTGTTATTATAAATTATTAATTGCAGAAAAAACATAGTAATTTTAAAGAAATGTATAAGATTTTGCAGTTACTTGGTCCTTCAAATTACGATCCTCCTTTTTCGAGGCCTCGTCGCATGGAAAACTTAGGTAACTACAGTGCTCTGATAGCACTCTGTACACGGAGAGAAAAATCTGCCTTTTATAGTATGAAATAGATTGCTGCTATTTTTCTGTAAACTTTTCATACTAATAGAGCAAAGATTTGAGAATTTTTAGTATAGTATTTGTCCGTACTAAAAAAGCATAGTATATATGCTTCTATAGTACAAAACATGTAGTTTAATAGCAACAACGCCATGCGAAGATCGCACATAACATCATCCTACTATGTTTGCATAAGTTCTATGCTTTTTCGGGGATAGACTCTTGCAACTGGCGATTAGGCCACGCCCACCTTTACTTAATCGGAACTGCCCTAATCGCCAGTTGCAAGAGTCTATCCCCGAAAAAGCATAGAACTTATGCAAAAATAGTAGGATGATGTTATGTGCGATCTTCGCATGGCGCCGTTGGATTAAAAGTATAATAAGTATGTAATAAGAGGCTATATGACAAACTTTATTAGCATAGACAAGTTTCATGCTAAAAAGACATACGATTGTACTATAATTACTCAAATTTCATGTCTATATAGCATAGAAAATTTCTGTGCATTAAATGTAAACCTTTCTATACTATAAAAGGCAGATTTTTCTCTCCGTGTAGTTACCTAAGTTTTCCATGCGACGAGGGCTCGAAAAATGAGGTCCGTGTTTTGAGAAACTAAGGCACTGTGCAGTTACCTAAGTTCTTCAAATCACGACAATTTTTAAAAATAATTTGCATTAACAGGTGTATTTTTTTTCCACGATTCCAACGATATAAAAAACTCATTTTTTGATTTTTTTGCAGTTACCTAAGTTTTTAGAAAACACGGCAGTATACCCAACTATTTATTTAAAAGAATTTTAATTTACCAGAATTCTTATTTAACTCATTTAATAATTTCTTTAAACTCAAAATTTTCAAAAACTAAAAATTTAAACTTCTGTCGCAATTTTTATTATTTTTTATCGGCAATTTTTTTGTAGGCTTTTTTCATGATTCTGAACAATCAATTGTATGTGATTTTTAAAAATTTTAATGTTTTCATAGACTAAATTTTCTTTGTACCAAAGAATACAACCTTAGGAATGCCATTATTGGCACTAGAAATTTAAATTAAATATAAATTTATTAATATAAACAAAAAATAATCCTTGTAAGTAGACGAGGTAGGCATCGGTAAATTTCTAAAATGGTAAAAAAAATGTTTTTTTTTAATTTTGATAATTCGCAATAATTTTAGATTCCAAATAATGCCAGAAAAAAAATTGATCCCCCCTTAACAACATTAATTTCGATGAGTTGAAATTTTACCGGTCCCTCATCTCCTTAATGCTTGTGTGTCACTTTGAGGTTAAATAGTATACGCATAACTAAAAAAAACATTTTAAACTGTTTTAAACTGCAAAGAACAATTAATAAATTTAAAAGTTTTCCAATTACTACTAATTTTTGAATTGTTATTTGTATGTCATGATTTTAAAATCATTAAATTAAATAAATTTAGTGTTGCCTGACTGGTGCGTAATCCAATTTAATTTCAAGTAACTTATTATTTTAACGAGTTGATTTGACGAGTTAAATAAGCTGCATTTTATATTATTGAAATTTATATTACTTAAAACTTTTTAAGTCGCATTATTGTTTATCTATTTTTCATGAGTTAAAATTATGTATAAAATATTATATTCACACTTACTTCGAAAATATACAAAAACAACGTAATTTTCTTAACATAAGTCGCTGAGTTAAAATAGATTTCATTGAAAAAATTAATGCATCCATAATTTTTTTTTTTAAATTATGTTATTTTTTCTTTTAAAATTGTTATTTTTTCTTTTTAAATGACTTTTCGCCATGAAGTAGGATAAGGAGAGGTAACGCCTGTAGCCAATCGCTAGAAAACTTGACACCATATAGGGGGGACCACAGTAGTACGACTTTCTATTTTCCTACTGTTGACAGCGCTTGCGGTGGGAAATATTTGAATTATATTTTATCACGTGACCTACCGCGAAAAGAGAAACATAACCTGAATGTTTCACATGGTGTTTTTGTTGTTAAAATTCAGTCGTTTGTTTTACACATGAAGTATTTCAGTAATGTGTTAGTGTTTTGAAAACAATTTGCCAAGCGTTGTCTCATCCATTAGGCAATACAACATAATAAATTCCAGTGTCAATATTAAACTATTATTTGATTTTTAAAATATTTCTGACATTTTACAGTTAATGTATTTGCATAATACCTTCATATTCATTAACTTAACCTAACGTTGTAAACAGCTGACTTGCAGCCATGTTGCAGACGATAAATTTTAATTCTTCGCTTTCCTCAAAGGAGCGCTCGCGACATTAGGAAAAAAGAAAGCCTACTACTGTGGTCCGTCTATCTGAGGGCCAATGAATATACGCCGTTACCTCTCCTTATCCTACTTCATGCTTTTCGCATAGCTGGTATGAAGAACAACTTTTTTCCTTTTTATGCTGTTTCTGCAATAAAGGTGTTTTCGAGATCGTGCTATAAGTTTGTGACGTCAGAGTCGATTCTAGGTATGTCAGATAGTTGGAGGGAAAACAGAAGACTTCTTATGAGGAAAAAAAAATGTTTCCACTTTTACAAAATTTTAATATTTTTAAATTTAATATTTTAAACATGGAAAACGCTTGTTGACATGAAGTAAATATAAGTAGTGTTTTGCTAATTAAATGTGTTATGTATTTGATCTAATATTGCATTGGTAAAATATCTGAATTTGTAATTATAAATATAACTTTGTAGGTTAGGGAGGTTTGTCTACTAACTTAAAATCTTTTACTGATGCGGTAATTCGCACTTTAAATAATAAATCTTATTAAAAATTGAAAAAGAAATCAGTATCTATCAGAAGTATCAAAGAAATTGGATTGAAAATCTATCAATTTTTATCCGCAAGTAAATCTTATACCTAATTCCTTATCAAATAAGATTTTGATAAAAATTCCATCAAATTCTATCCTACAAAAAATCTAATAATAATTTTCTATCAAAAGGTTTGTATTCAGTATTTATCCAATCCTATCCGCAAATAAATCTATTAATCTCTATCAAAGATTTTGATTAAAATTCTATCAACTTCTATCCTACGAAAAATTTAATAATTTTCTATCAAAAAATTTGTATTGTATTGAGTATCTATCAAGTTCTATCTGCAGATAAATGTATTAACCTCTATCAATGGTTTTGATGAAAATTCCATCAAATTCTATCCTACGAAAAATGTAATACTTTTCTTTCAAATTTGTTGATAAAAATTGTATTAATGAGGATGTCAACCATCTTTGGGGCCATCCATAAATAACGTTGCACTATTTTTCACCATTTTCGACTCCCCCCCACCCCATGTTGCACATTTTGCATACATTAGCGCCATTTTTTCTATTGAATGTTGCAAATTCTTGACCCCCCCCCTCCCCTTCAAGCGCAACGTAATTTATGGATGGCCCCTTTCCGGGACAGGGGGAAATATAAATTATTTTTAAAAATATGTGTATAATTCAAATTAATTCAAGATAATTCATAGTAATTCAAGATAATTCATTGTAATTCGAGATAATTCAAAGTAATTCAAGGTAATTCATATACTTCAAGATAATTCATGATAATTCACGTTACTTCAGATAATTCAGGATAATTCATATACTTTAAGATAATTTAAGATAATTCAAAGTAATTCAAAATAGTTTACGATACTTCAGGATAATTCATAAACTTCAAGTTAATTCAATATAATTCATAAACTTCAAGGTAATTCATGATAATTCATAGTAATTCGAGATAATTGAAAGTATTTCATATACTTCCAAGTTAATTCGAGATAATTCAAAGTAATTCAAGGTAATTCATAGTAATTTGAGATAATTCAAAGTAATTCAAGGTAATTCATAGTAATTCGAGATAATTTAAAGTAATTCAAGGTAATTCATATATACTTCAAGATAATTCATGATAATTCACGTTACTTCAGATAACTTCAGTTCACGATACTTTAGGATAATTCACAAACTTCAAGTTAATTCAAGGTAATTCATGATAATTCATAGTAATTCGAGATAATTCAAGGTATTCCATATACTTCCAAGTTAATTCGAGGTAATTGAAAGTAATTCAAGGTAATTCATGATAATTCAGTATAATTCATATACTTCAAGTTAATTCTTGATAATTCAAATAATTCAAAGTAATTGATGATAATTCACATTACTGCAGATAATTCAGGATATTTTAAATAGTTCAAGACAATTCAGGATAATTCAATACAAGTGTACACCTTAATTCACAAGTTATTTCCCCCTCGGGTATAACCAAAAATGAATGAAAAGCAAAAAAAAAAATGTCAAAGAAAACTCAGGGAATCTAACATTGCAACTGAATTAAATATATATTTGAATTTCCTTTTTAAATAATTACAAACTATTTCCTATACATGCGCTTCTGCGTGATTTAAAAGCGCGCGGTTTTCAATATGGCCGCTAATAGTCTACTTTTTTTTATCTGCGCGTAGCGAGCTTATCACATAGTTTTTACCGACATTGTGGAAACACCTAAATAGTTAAATCATGGTCGTAAGGACAGTAAACAAAACCAAATACCAATGTTTCTTTCGCAATGACCAACGAGGTCAGAAATGTCATAAAATTGAAAATGATGCAAATGTCACAATTGTTGACGTAATTCCAGAATGACAATGACATTGTCCGTTAGATTAATTTCTTGATGTTAATTTATAAAAATTAACAATTAACAATTAATTTAAAGAAAAGTGTAAATAGTAAGTTATAAGTATGTTCAATTTAGGTGGGAAATTTGGAAAGTGAGCAGTTGTCATTAATGAAAGGAGGACAAAAGAGAAAGTTTTTTTTTCTAAAAGTCCAGAATTCTTTTGTAGTGTTAATAAATTTAGTAGAAGCAGTCATATTGAAGAGGTTTTTTTTTTTTCTTTAAAAAAACGAATTAAGTTTCTCTCTCTAAAAATGTTTGCAAACAATTCACTTATAATTTTAAGAAATCCTCGTATATCTTATTTTCTGCTGAGTAAGTGTCAAGCAGCATATAATAATAATCCTAAAAAACAATTGGAACGAATGAAACAACCGGAAATTGGTTTAATAAAAGCATTTAGTACTAAGGCAGCAACTAGTCAAAAACCAGATTGGAATAGAGCTGTTTCTGAAGCAGAGAAAATTGTTGGTTATCCTACTTCTTTTATGAGTTTACGTTGGCTTCTCAGCGATGAAATTGCTAATGTTGCTCTTCATTTACGAAAACTTGTTGGTTCAAATCATCCACTTCTTAAGACTGCTAAGTAAGTTGTGTATTTTTATTAATTTCTTAAAATAAAAATCTAGAGTCTATTAAAAAAAAAATATATATATCACACAAGTCTTTTTTAGTATACAATGCTTTATATTTCAATTATTTAACAAATTTTTAACTAAAATTCTTCTCTAAATTAATTATTTTCAATAATTTTAATAAAATTCTATAATTTTTTATAATTTTATAAAATTTTAATAAAATTACCAAAAATTTCAATTCAAAATCACTTGAAATTCAATTTTCAAAAAATTTCGATTTAAAACATTCTTAAAACACCGCTGCCAAGTTGAAGTATAAACTTTTTGTGTTCATAAAATGAACATTTTGCTTCCCTATGGAGATTTTCTGTAATAAATTTATGATAATTTATTTGGTATTATAATAATTTTAAAATGGCGTTAAGTTGTATTTTTTTGTGTGTGTATTTGCAGAGATTTATTTTTAACATCAATAACTTCGTAATATTTTACAATAAATGGTTCAATAATAGGTCAATTGATTCGTTTTTAAATATTCTCCAAATTGTTCATAATACTTTTTATTTTTAATTTTTTAAATTTTTTTAATAAATAATTCCAAAAAGGCAGGTTTTTTAAAATGTTAATAACTCTGAATAAAATAACAGTAGGATATTCGCTAATAGGTCAAAAGATGCGTCTTGAAAAACTCTACAAAACTAGAAATAAATATCTATTGGTGTCAAATAAATTTTTTTAAAGTTATGGGCAAAAAACGATTTTTAAAAAATTTTAAAATGCAAAAAAATAATAGTTGATTTGTATTAATATTGCTTAAAGTACTTTCATTATTTATCCGACAGTGAGACCTACAATTTAAAAAAATTTATCCCTTTAGCTCTTACAGTATTCGACATATTTAAGAAAATGTATATATACATTTTCTATTCCATGCCAAATCGGAGACCATTTGGCTTTTGCACCTCAGATCTTTTTGAAAATTTTTTTCCTTTTAGTACTCATGAAGACTAGCTTTCACGATTTTTTTCAAATTTTTTCATCAAGCCCTTTAGGAGATATCAATTTTTGAAAAATTACGTCACTTTTTTTTGAAATGCTTGTAATTTCGCTAAAAATTGACCAAATTGGATCAATCTTATATCAGAATTTTTGTTTTTAAACGTACTTTCCAAAAAAAATATTGAAAGTTATTTTTGAAAAAAATTTCTATTAGATTTTTGAGATTTAAGACTAAAAATTCATTTTTGAACCTGTGTGTATCGATCGATTTTTTTCAAATTTTTTTTTTACAAAAACTGCTCTAAATTTGACGAATTTTGAGCCTAGTCCGATAATGGGAAAACGATGGGAACTATTTTTTTCGAATTTTCAAATTTTTAATTATTCACGTTAAAAAGTATTTAAAATTATTCTAAGAACTATTTTACTATATATATATATATAATTAATAATGTGTAATTATTTGACACCTAGAGATTAATTATTTTAGATTGATTAAAGGAAAAAGATATAAACAAAAAAAGTATTAAACATGCTCAATAAAGTTTTTTCATCGAGCAGAATAGACGGAGACTATTCTTTACTCTATGATTCTGTAGTTTAAAAGGGTTGCAGCAGAAATTAAATGCTCCTAAATTTGATATGGCATAAGAACGTAGAATTATTTTTTTACATGACACGCTATAAAGACTAACAAAATATGTTTTTAGGTTAAATTTGATTGTGATATTTTCGCACTTGTTCCCATGGTGAATATTAATCAGGAGTAACAATGCGCAAGTCGCGTTTTCGTATTCTTCTGCGCACGCTATTACTCCGCCATTTTGAAAATAATTTCTGTTTTAAAACAGGAATCTATCGTTTTTTTCAGGGTTTGATCTTCCTAGTCTGCAAATTTATTTTTTAATTCTTAATTTGTGATTAAAGCTTTCATTCATATTTATTAATTATCGAGTTATCTGGTATTACAGTAGAGACTCCATTATCCGGACCCCTATTATCCGGATATTCGATTATCCGGACAAATTTAAAATTAATTTTTTTTTTTTTTTTAATATAAAGTTTATAAAGTTTCAAGCTCTAGAAACATCTTTACAATGGTTTGAAAAACAAGAAGAGTGCTATACCGTAAGCTTACTGCGACTAAAACAAATCAGGGATATAGCTGCTATGAAGAGAAGAAATTGCTTACGTCAAACGACAATTACCAAATATTTTAATAAAAATTAAATACCATATAAGTCAATTCAAAAACGTGAATTTTTACACGAAACGTTGCGTTTTAAAGTGTTTTAATTATTTTAAGAAAATGTTTATTCAAATATTTTGAAATATTTCTAACTAAACATTTATTAATGTTGACTTTAAAAGTTTTAGTTGTTTCCAGTCTTATTTTAATACATATGCGAATAAATATATGAAATTACGAATCAAAAATTTGTTTAATTCGTACTTTACTCGATTATCCGGATTTTCGATTATCCGGACAAGCGCCTGCATCCATTAGTCCGGATAATGCGGAGTCTCTACTGTATTTTGAAAATCATTCATTTCAAAATTGCTTAATAACTTCTACAAATAAAACAAAATTTTAGATAAATAATTAAAATATTACTTTATTATTTATTTTCTAAACTATTTTATTTTATAAAACTAACAATAATCGTTGGGTTTGAATGAGAGAAAATGATTATTGTTTGATTTCCATACAGATAATTAAAAACGTAAAATTTGAAAATTCGAAAAAAATAGTTCCCATCGTTTTCCCATTATCGGACTAGGCTCAAAATTCGTTAAATTTAGAGCAGTTTTTGTAAAAAAAATTTTGAAAATAATCGATCGATACACACAGGTTCAAAAATGAACTTTTAGTCTTTTTTGGAAAGTACGTTTAAAAACAAAAATTTTGATATAAGATTGATCCAATTTGGTCAATTTTTAGCGAAATTACAAGCATTTAATTATTTCTAAAATATTCCATCTAAAATTTTCATGACGCTAAAGTTACCATCGTTGATTCGACGAATCAACGAACGAATTTTTCGTTTTCAGATTAGTTTAAGGGACAAGAACCAATTTTTTAAAATTGAAACTTCTTTATTTTGGTCCCAAATACATCCTTAAGGCCAGGTCCAAGTCGTGTCAGCTGTTCCATTGAAACTTCAAAGGAACAGCTGACTCGACTTGGACCTGGCCTTAAACACTAAAAATCCTCAATCAAGGCGAGGAAATATTCAACTTTAGGAAAAAATTCTTTTCGTCGATTCAATGTTGGTAACTTCAGTGTTATAAATTTTTTGAAATTTTTCATTCTTTTGGTTATAATTCTAAGATTAATAAACAAATAAATCAAAAAATTAAAAATTATTTTTAAATGTTTAAATTTGTTTATTAATCTTAGAATTATAACCAAAACAATGAAAAATCAAGATGGTTCTTTCGTGACGCAAGGAGTTAAATGATTGTATCTTCAAAACTATGATAGATAAACCAAATATTATTTTCATTTTACTCAGAATTCTTCTTTGGGTCATTTTAGTGTAAAATAGATCACAGTTGAGAAATTTTTGAAAAATTGATAATAATTGACTATTTTGGAATTTTGTATGGTTTTAAAGTAATTATCAGCATTTTTTTTATATCATGGAACATCATCCTCGACGGCAATAAAAAAAATCTAAAAGCAAACTGAAATTTGTAGGCATTAATTTGATAAAACTGTATACAATAATCTTAAAAAAATTATGTTTATTTAAAATTTTATCGATGAATTTTTTTTTGTTCTTAAAATTATCGCGTGACATCACTTAAACGATATTAGAAAAAAGATTGTATGAGCAAGAAATTTTGTGTTAAACTTAGTCCAAGCTCACCATGAATTTTTATTTTAAAGTATTTTATTAGAAATAATTATTTTTTAGACGAATTTTCATTTTTTGAATTAGCAATTTGACAGAATTTTTATTTAACAAAATTTTTAAGGTATAGAAAATTTTTGTTTGGCAGAATTTTTATTTTCTAGTTAATTTACATTTTATTTAAAAGAATTTTAATTTAATCGAATTTTATATCGAATTTTTAAATGGCAGAAATTCCCATTCACCGAATTTTTTATTTATCCGAAATTAAAAATGTCCAAATAAGCAATCGACAAAAACATTTCAGTGCAATTTTTAAAATATAGACTAATCACGATTTTCTTGATAATTTTTAATTGGTTAATTTTAAAAATTGCACCAAAATCTTTCTGTCGATTGTTTTGTTCGGCCATTTGTAATTTCGGACAAATGAAAATTCGATGTCTAATTTTAATAATTTCTTAATATCATTATTGAGAAATTTTTTTAAAATTCGATTATTTTTTAGAAAAATAAATTAAAATAAATAAAAAATAAACTTAAATTCAGTTAAAGTATTTTTAAATTTAACTTTTTCTTTTTTTCTTTAAAAACAAAATGTACTTTAAATTTACAGAAGTTTAATTTATAATGGACGTAATATGCAAGCATGGGGACTAATTGTTCTTTTAATATCAAAAGCTGCTGGTCATCTTAATGTAGATGATATGGAAGAGGATAAGGCAGCAGGTGTTTTACATAGGTATTTTTTTTATACGATACTTTTTTATTTTTAAATTCTCGTTGCATTTTTAAATTTTAAAATTGATTCAAAATTTACAATTGTCTGTATTATTTTACTACAGTCAACGTGCTTTAGCTGAAGTTACGGAAATGGTACGTACTAGTCATTTGGTCCACAAAGGACTAGTAAATATTCAACCTGGCGTTTATCCTGAAACTGCCGAAATGAATGATATGACATTTGGAAATAAAATTGCTCTATTAAGTGGAGATTATTTATTAGGTAATAGTTGTGCGGAACTTGCAGCGTTAAAAAATCAAGACGTAAGTTTTAAATTTTTTCTTTCATCTCTTTGAAAAAAAAGTTGTTAGTAAACTTGTGGCGCAAAAAAAATGGAACAATTTACATATAATAACAACTACAATATTATTTTAGTAATTATTTTAATTCATTAATGTAATGTGTTGAAAAACTTTAATTTTTTTGTTTCAGTTAGTAGAACTTATAGCAAGTGCAATACGCGATTTATCTGAAGCCGAATTTGTTGGCCGTCGAGACAGTCAAAATCATCCTTTACCCTCCATTCCTTCTGCAAATGAAACAAATTATGCTGTAAATGAATGGACGCTGCGAAATGTTTTAAGCGCAGGTTCTCTTTTAGGAAAAGCATGTCAAGGAACTTTACAATTGGCAGGACATGACGTGGAAATGCAACGCCAGGGATATAAATTTGGAAAACATTTAGCTCTCGCTTGGCAAGTAAGAACTTAAGTTTTTTAATTTTTATTTATACACTAATTTCTGATTGTTCAATTTTAAAACTCGGGACGAAATTAACAATGTAATATTATTATTTTAGGCTTGTTTAGATTTAGGTCCATTCATCAGTAAGGATCCAACTCTTCCTTTCAGTTTATGTTGTGCTCCAGTGATGTTTCACATTGAACACGATCAATCTATTCTCGACGAAATAAATAAAGGCCTTGATTCTGTACAAAATGTAGATTATATGAAGGTAAGTTAATTTAATACTAACACATTAAAAGTAATCAGGGAGTTTCTTAATACTATAGAAGATTTTTGAGGTCGCTGATTCCTAATGAAATCTGCTAATTAGAATGTATTTGTGTCCACAGCGAGTGTTTCGCATGTTAAATGAATATTTTTATTATCCACATTTTGCAAAAATAATAAGACATAGAATATCTAGTTGTGACTCATGTCAGAAAAATAGTTTCTAATCAAAAAAAAATTTTTGCTGAAAATAAGAAAATACGCACCCCAAAAACCAGGCGAAATTTTATCGATTGATTTTTATGGTCCAACTTTCAAGGGAAGATTCAAATATATACTATCTGCCATAAATGCTTTTAGTAAATGTGTAAAATTATATCCTATTAGAAAAATAACCACGAATATAAATAAAATCTTCAATCATCATATTAAAGAATTCGGAAAACCTGAGAAAATTATTACTGACCATGGTACTAAATTTACTTCAGGGATATGGACTAGTAAACTAAAAGCAGAGGGGATATAACCGGTATTTTTATCAATTAGACACCCTCAAAAAAATATTGTTGAAAGAATACATCGGGAGTTATTTAGATTTTTAAAATATTAACTAACGGGAAACATAGTTCTTGGTGAAATTGGATAAAAGTGATTAAAAGTTGTTTTAATGAAACAACCGAATTTACCGAATTTACCTATTAAATAGGTCTGATAAGGAAAATAAAATAATTGCAAAATTTTTACAAGTTTACGAAGGGTTTTATGAAATCAAAAAAGTAGTAAAGCCAGGAACATATACAAAAATTGAAAAAGAAAATGTACCATAGTTAAGACTTAAAAAAATATATTCAAAGAGTAGTGTAAAACAATAATTAAATTTTCATTCTAAAAATTTTAATAAAAGTCTTAAGGGAAGTGAAATAAAAAAATATTACATTAATAAATTAACAATAAAAAGAAAATAAATAATTAACATTAAAATTACTATGAACAATTTTCTTTTGTAAATAATTTTGAACTAAAGTGTTAAATACATTATTAAATAATTTTAATAAATTTTGGCATTTCTTAGAACAGGAAAGATATGTTAAAACATCTTTTTAACGTTTCGAAACCGGTACCGCGGTTCCCTCATCAAAATTTCGAAACGTTAAAAAGATGTTTTAACATATCTTTCCTGTCCTAAGAAATGCCAAAATTTATTGAAATTATTATTATCAATTTGGATAAAACATCAATCAAGATTAATATTAAATAATTAATTGAAACACAGTGATTTTTTTAAAGTATTCAGTTCATAGTAAAAATAAATATTTTTTATTATTTTAGATCCAAAATTGAGATTTTGTTATTTCTAAACACACGCGAAATTTTGAAAGCGATTTAATTACAAATTCAAGATGTGCTTACTTATTATTTTGTTTATTTATGATCATTAGATTAACTGAAAGTAAATTTTATTTCCTTTAAATTCAATGAAAAATCCACAAATATTTATTTAATATAAACTATATTAATTGTTAATATTAAAATGTCATGATAAAATTTATTTTTATTTAATATTATTTTCTTTTAACATTTAATTCTTCGAAACAATAAACGATCAATTTTTTTTGAACAAATAGAAAAATTTTTCTCAAGTTAATAACAGAAGCTAACAAACCAAATAATTATTGGAAAGATTCCTCAAATTTGGTTTAGAAAAGCGACAAACATTTCAAGAAATAAAAGATTAAAATAAATAGAGAATAAAGTAAAATAGGGCCAGTTGGGGTAAATGGGGACAAAATTGCTATTTTTCACAAATTACGTAAGTTTCTTCCTTTAAAAGGTAATATTTGCGGGTTTATTTTTTTTTAAAGTTATTTACATTCCCAGGATTAATTTTATGCAGTAGAAAAAAAATTTAAATAAGCTTTAAACGCATGAAACTGACTGTCCCCATTTACCCCAAAATTTCATAAAATTTGGGGTAAATAAGGACAGCATAGTTTCTAAGAAAGATTTAAGAAAAAAGCTTCCTTAAGTATATTACTGTATTAAGGGATGAAAAAACTAGAAAAAAAAATTTGTAGTAGATATATAATAGTTAAACCAATTGAAATTTTTTTTTATTTCAGTATTTTGTCTCGCATTTGAAAAAAACAGACTTAAAAATCATACCAAATTTTTTTTCTTATTCCTTATGACTCTCATAACAGAAATTCACTTGAATTTTTGATTTTTGTTAATTTGGTTAATAATGACAAGCTGTCCCCATTTACCCCAAAAATTCGAAAGCTCAAGGTAAATAGGGCTTGCAATTATTAACCAAATGGACAAAAATCAAAAATTCAAGTGAATTTCTGTTATAGGTGTCATAAGGAATAAGAAAAAAAATAAGAAAAATCGCATTGAGCGATAACTTTTTTTATCTTGCTGCCAATTGTCAAGATAAAAGCTTGACAATACTCAAAACCTCTTGCAGGTGATCTGAGGTTAAAATATTGACGTTGAACTTAATTTTAAAACTGTAAATTAAGCTCCAAAACCTCTTGTCCCCATTTATTCCAACTGACCCTAAATCAATAAGAAAAATTATATATGTATATAATAATAAAATGCTTGGTCTGTCCTTCTGTCCTAACTTGACGTTGGCCTTTTCTGATTTCACGTGTTTTTTTGAATAGTAATCTTATGACGTGTCAAATTTTGACAATTCTTTTTCTCATTTTTGCCAAAGTTGTATAATTGTGTTTCCAAATTTCGGAATAAGTTTCTTTAAAATTCCAAATTCGAAAATTCAATTCACGAAGCTGAAGTTCACAACGTTTACCAACGAAATTTTTTCTAAAGAAATTAATTGAAACTTTAAGTGTTTTGTAATTAAAATTTTAGATGATTTCACTAAAAATTTATTAGAAAATGCGGACAAAATATAATAATTTGAAAATCATTTTTAATTGAAAAATCGTTTCAGATAGTTGAATTTTCAAAGAATATTATTAAAATAGTGAAAAATAATTGAATTTCCTTAGAGTTATAATTGAAATTATTAAATTTCAAAAAAAAAATTTTCGATGGAAAATTTTAGAAATAATTAAATTTTAGATGATTTTAAATTCAAATTATTGAAAATTCAATTAATTTTGAATTCAAATTTTTGAGAATAATGAAATTTTATTTGATTTTAAATTTGGAAAATAATTGAATTTCAGTTCATTTTGAATTGAAAGTAATTGATTGATTTTAAATTGAAAATTTTTTAAATAATTGAATTTCAATTAAAATTTTGGAAAATAATTTTATTTTAGTTAAATTTTAGTTGATTTTGAATTTAAATTTAGAAAACAATTGAATTTTAGTTGATTTTGAATTGAAATTTTTGAAAATAATAGAACTTTTTTTTTTGAATTGAAATTTTGGAAAGTTTTGAATATATTTGAATTTCAATTAAAATTTTGAAAAATAATTGTATTTTATTTAACTTTTAGTTGATTTTGAATTTAAATTTAGAAAACAATTGAATTTTAGTTGATTTTGAATTGAAATTTTTGAAAAAAATTGAATTTTAATTAATTTAGAATTTAAATTTTTGAATAGAATTGAATGTTAGTTGATTTTGAATTGTAATTTTAGAAAATAATTGAATTTCAATTGAAATTTTGGATAATAATTTAATTTAAGTTCATTTTTGATTGAAAATTTGGATAATTAATTTTGAATAGAAATTTTAGAAAATAATTGAATTTTATTTCATTTTAAATTGAAAACTTGGTAAATAATTAAATTTTAAATTGAAAATTTTGGATAATTATTATTGGATTTTTAATTGATTTTGAATTAAAATTTCGGGTAATAATTGAATTTTAGTTTATTTTGAATTGAAATTTTTAAAAAATAATTCAATTATATTGTGATATTTTTTTTTAAATTATAAACAATTGTTAAACATCATAAAAATTTTAATTGAAAAATAATTTTGATAGAATTGAATTTGTGATGTATTTCATTAAAATTATTAAAAATAATTAATTTAGTGAAGAATCATTTTAGTTGAAAATTTGTTAAATAATTGAATTGAAGAAGATCTACATTTTATACTAAAAAAATGTATTTTCATTATTATCATTTAATATGTAATAATATTCTAATAAATTAAATTATTATTAATAATATTAATCTTTAATTTCTTTATAACACAAATTCATGTCTAGAACATTTTTCTGTGACAGTAAAAAAAATTCTAAATAACTTGTAGGTATTATTATTAACTATTCAGTGGTAAATCAAAGTTTGCCAATTTTTTACCTCAAAGAAAGTTATACACGAAAAACAAAACATGGTCCACTCATGATTACACACCCCTATAACTAATTTTTCTATTTCTTACACTTTGTAAATTAACGTAAATTTAATTTTGAATCTCTTACAGGTATATGATATGGTGATTAAGGGACCCGGTGTAGAATTAACAAAACAGTTACAAAAAGAACATTCACTTAGAGCAATGGAAGTTCTTAATGTTTTTCAAGAAAGCGATGCCAGGACAGCTTTATCAAACATTATTGCTGCTATGAGAGACTTTTGATAAAAAAAAAAATTTATTTATACTGTAGAACCATTTTTAAAGGCAGAGGATTTAGTTAGTTTGACTTTCCAAGAATTTTTATTTTCTTAGTTTTTTTTTTTTCAAGAACATTATATACTTATTAAATGAGATATGAAATCACTTAAAAAGTTTGGAATTAGCATTTGTTTTTTTTTGATTTTATAAAAATTGTTTTTGAAACCCTCTGCCTACTAATGTGACTCACGTTATTGTCTAAAAATTGCCTATTTAGGTAATAAATTTACCTATATAGATAGGATATATAATATAGTGCAGCGCTCCAGTGAAAAAAATTGTCAAAGACAGACGGGTAAATTTATTTATATTAGTATATTGAACTATTGGTGTATGTCTATTTTTACGATGTTAAATATTGTAATAATGATAATTAAATATTTAATTTTTGTTAATTTTGTAAACTTTCAAATTTTTCATTAAAAAAAAAAAAAAAAATTGTTAATTATTATTATTGATGTTATTTAGTTAGCTAAAAGAGAAAATTAATTATTTTTATTGTCAATATTGATGTAATTTTCAATCTTTTGGTATATATTATTATATTAAACCAATTTGTGACTTTAAAATTTTTTGATTTTTTATTCGGTAATAAAAATAAATAAAATTATTAAAATTTTTAATTCTTGCAAAATTTATTTACATTAAAATACATTTTAACAGATGAATCTGTGACTTTTATTCTTTTGACTTTTCCAATGAAAGAAGTGACAGAAAGTATTTTAACTTTACTTCCTTTCCAGTAATCATAACTTGTGACTAGTTTAGTGATTCCGACTAATCTATAAAAAAAAATAATTGCAGTAGAGAAATAAAAATATGTTCACATTGCAGTATTTTTTATATTTGAAAATTCTATTTCAAATTCTGTCAAATGAAAAAATTCTAACGCATTTAATGGGAAATTCATATTAATTTTAGAAATCTATTTTTATTATCACGGATATTTAAAAAAAAACACTTACATACCCTATTCAATATTTTCATTATCATCAATTGCTTTCATTGCCGCTAGTAATCTTTCTTTATCATAATTATTTTTTTTTTGAAAAACTAAAGTCTCCGTTGTATTGTTTGTAGTTTTTACAGAATTACAAATTTCACTTTTAATTTCATCATTTAATTCATCTGCAAAATCTTCTGGTTCTGATTCTTCACTTATTGAATATTTTAAATGTAATTTTTCTTTTCGCGGTGAATTTGAATCATTATTTTGCAATGAGCTGACTGATTCAGTTGTAGTAATTAATGAAATTTCTGAATCCTTTATTTCATTATTAACATAATTATCATTCATATTATATGAATTGTTGTCCATTCCATTATCTTGTTTACTAATTACAATTTTATTTTCATTACTTCTTTCAAAACTTTCCTGAGTTAAATAATTATTGTCTTTATTATGTTCTATTATTTCAGTAATGTGACATTGAGAAATAGTTGCAATTGAATCCATTCTATTTGAAATTTTTGATAAATTTAATTGTTGAATAAATTTTTCTACATCTTCTATTATTAAAGAGTCTTTTTTGTTTTCTAAATTATTTAAAGAAACTTTTGGAGTGTTAAAATTATCTCCATCTGAATTACCTAATCTAAAAATGTTTAAATAATTACATTTTATTAAAATTTATTTATAATTTTGTTATAAAAAAATTTCTTTTTAAATTATATGAGTAATTTTACATTTTAGTAAAATGTAGATAAAATTTTATAGAGATTATTTCTCAAAAGTGTGATTTACCTATTATTATCTAAATTAGGATGAGATGTTGATTTAATATTTTGCATTGTACGAATTAAATTAAAATGTTTTCCATGTAACAATTTTTTTTCTTTATTTTCAAGAAGTTCCTCTGTTGATTTCAATTTGTTAAAAGTTTCCTGCAACTTTTTTTGTGTTTCCTTATGCTTTATAACTTCTAAATGTAACTGATGCTTTAAATGTTTAGTCTCTATAGCTAACTTTCTATTTAATGTCTATTTTTTTTTAATAAAATAAATTAGTTAAATAGTTAAAACGAATAAAAAAAAATAAGTTAAAAAAATACAACTTACATTAATAGTTTTATCTTGCTGTTCAATCTTAAAAATTAAATCCGATGTCTTTCGTTGCAAACTTTCTCTTTCTTCTAAATTTCGATCTTTACTTAATTTTAATAAATGTTTATTTTGATCCTGAAATTTAAAATTTTTTTGTAGAAAATATTTAATGTAATATAATTATCGATGGATTTCTTTAATTTTCATAGTTAAATTTAAAATTTAAATAAGAATTTTTATATATTGGAAATACCTGAATTATATGAATTTTAACATCCTTTTCCTTTAACAATTCGCAATTACTTCTATATTGGGACTTTAATTTTTTATATTTAGTTTGCAGTACTCTTAATTCTTCATGATGAGTATTTATTATTCTAGGCAATTCTGCATTTGTTCCTTCATATTTTCTCAATGCTGAATCTTGTCTAGTTTGCAATGTCTTTAAAAGTCTATTTTCATTAGCTAATTCCTGCAGGCAATAATAATAATAGAATAATTATTTATGCAAAAAAGTACAAATTACTGAAGATTTTTTTTTTTATTTATGATAAATAAAATTTTTTCATTAGGATAATATTTGAAAAAATTTTAATATGAAAGTTCTGTTTACATTCAGATGATAATGCGCATCTGTTAATTCATTTTGAAGAGCTTTAATCTGCAACATTTTTGCAGACACAACTTTTTGTATGAACGCACTTTTATTTGATTGTTTTAAATGAATTGGCTGCACGTAACATCGATTTCTAGAATTATATGGACCTCCTTAAAAAAAATAATACACAAAAACTTTAAACAAAAACCAAAAAATTATAAAACTTTTGTATGTACACAAAATGGAGAAAAAAAATCTAATCTATTTACATAAAAAAAATATATACAAACCATTCAATGAATTTAATTGCTTTCTGTTGCTTAATAAAAATGCAGCACTTTTAGAATGTTCTTTTTTATCCGATTTAATTCCAGGGACATAATTTTCTTCTCTAAAATGAAATAAAAAATTGTTCGAAAATTGTAAATTATTTCATTTTCAATGTTTATAATTTAATTAAAATGTAAAGTGTAAAGTAGAATAAATTAATCAAAAAATTTATAAGTGGTTCTGAAATTATAAATTTATATTTATTTTTAAATATTAATATTAAAAATCTGTTTAAACTTTATATGCCCAAAAAAAAGGATGACGACGACACACGTCAAAAAAATTTTTAAAAATCTGTACATAGAAAAAGGAACAATTTTAGTTTCTTATTAAAAATTAATTAAAATGTCTTTGTGGTATTGATTTTGCAAAAAAATTATCTAATTAAAGTTTTACTAAAAAACGTTTAATTATAAAATATATAAAGTGCATGAAGTAACCCTATTAACATAATAAAACTAAAATATATATTAGTAAAATTTTACAAAACTCGGATATTTGTCATTTTATGAATTCCTCGTGATTGGAATTTTTTATGACATTTAATTTTTGAAGTAATAATTATTCAAATTAATATATATATATATAGTTTTTTATACCTTTGTAATCTTGAACTTAAACATAGAGACGGCAATGGAGTTTTACTTGTTTGCATTTTAAATTGCTTAACACCATTTCATAAACATCATTTAAATAAATATGTCCAATTTTTTAATATCTGATAATTAGATTTTTTGAAATTACTAAAAACATAATAACAACACATGTTTTGGTGTGAAATTAATCACCATAAATGTTTTGCGACGTTGCTATGACAACTATTTGAACATATAACTCTATAACTTATAGACTTCGCATATTGATTTCTATAATTTTATTTTTAAATTTATATTATCTATATATTTTAAACTAATTTTATTTAAAGATAATAAAAATTGAGTATATTATTTGTTGTTTGTTTTAAATAAAAGAAAAATAATTATTTGAACATTTCTTTTAACTTTAATGTTTTTTTAATTTTTAAAGAAGAAAATATTTTGCATTTTTGTAAATTAATTAGAAAATTGATAAATTTCACAAATCAGAAACATTCTCAGTACGATGAAAATTTAAAACCATAAGTAAATTTTTGTATTTAAAAATTTAATTATATTTATATTTTTTATAATACAAAAACCAATAATATTTTTAATCTGCACTTATATAACAACGATTGAATATCCTAAATTAAGTTAATTAAATATTCTTGTAAAAAGAAATAATAAAAGTGTTTTCAAAAAAGTTCAAATTTTAATTAATTTATTGTTATAAACAAACGAATATTCAAAGTATATTCATGTTTAGATATATATATATATAAATAAAGTTTAGATTATATCTCAATTAAATGAATCCGTAAAATACATTGTGACAATCTTTATCAACATAATTATTTAAAAATTGAATTCTTTATGTTAAATATTTGTTTACTTTTTTGTCACAGAAATAATAAATGATGAATTAATTGATTTCGATGTAATTTAATATTGTTATTTAATAAATATTGAAATTTTAAAGCAATAAATAACACTGGTCGACAAAATTTAGGTTTTTTTTGCCACAAGAGTAAACGATGGTGATTCTTATAGGATTTTTGACGTAGATTACGAATCTGTAAATGAAATTGTCCCATCACGTCTCAATTTTGAGAAAAACGGGCTCAAAGTGTCAAAAAATCGCATTTTTGGCACTTTTTGAAGCACTATAAAAAAAGAACGCGACGTGATAAACGGCTCAAATATGGCTTAAATAAGAACTAGTACCCTCAACTTTAACCTCCAGAAGCAAAAAACCATGTACCAATAACTCAAAATTGTGGGCAACATTTTTTTACCGCGTGCGCGTCCAGCAGATATTGTTCCCACGATAAAATGAAATAAATTGCTGAAAACGTCGTCAAAGACACAAGATCGATTTAAATTAACTTCAAATTGGTTACTCGGGGGTTTTCGGGGTCGCTGATTACGAATCTGATGTTAGTTTTTAAAAATCCAATATGGCGGACGATTTTTGGAATAACTTAACATATTAGTCTGAAAATCGTTACGCGGGGGTTTTCGGGGTTGTTGATTACGAATCTGATGCTTAAAGATTTTATGGTTTTTTATTAAATTGAGTATATAAAAAGTTTTGAGATTGCAAATTATGAATTTGACTTAAAAATTTTTAAATACAAGATAGCGAATCGATTTTGGCGAGCGAATTTTTAAATAGTTCTTGATTTTCGCAGACTTTAGTAATTTTAGTAATTATTTTCATGCCTCCACGTCATTTATAAGAGGAAACCGTTTTTCTTAATAAAAAATGGTTACTAGGTTTAAAATAAATTTAATTAATTTTTGTTATATTGTCAAACAGATTTAATTAATACGGCGTGAAAATGAAAACAACAGAAAACATCAAGCTTCATTTTTAACGTCTACTTTTTTCGTCCACAAAAAATTAGAAACAAACTGACAGCGAGCTCATCAATTGAACTCCTTGAAAATGTAAAAGAAATAAAATTAAAATCCTTAATGGTGCAAAATAAACGAAACGTCACATTTTTATCTCAATAAAGTTTTTTTTATATTGGATTAGTAAAAAGAAGGTTCATGTAACTGCGTAAAAAAGAAAAAATTAAATTATTCATTAAATAACTCCTTTCAAAAAAATTTGTAGTAATTTAATAGTCAAGCCATGTTAGTTCCGCCATATTGGATTCTGAAAAACTAACATCGGATTCCTATTCAGCGACCCCGAAAACCCCCAAGTAATGATTTTCAGACTAATATGTTAAGTTAATCCAAAAATCGTCCGCCATATTGGATCCGCCATATTGGATTTTTAAAAACTAACATCAGATTCGTAATCAGCGACCCCGAAAACCCCCAAGTAACGATTTTCAGACTAATATGTTAAGTTATTCCAAAAATCGTCCGCCATATTGGATCCGCCATATTGGATTTTTAAAAACTAACATCAGATTCGTAATCAGCGACCCTGAAAACCCCCGAGTAACCAGTTTGAAGTTAATTTAAATCGATCTTGTGTCTTTGACGACGTTTTCAGCAATTTATTTCATTTTATCGTGGGAACAATATCTGTTGGACGCGCACGCGGTAAAAAAATGTTGCCCACAATTTTGAGTTCTTGGTACATGGTTTTTTGCTTTTGGAGGTTAAAGTTGAGGGTACTAGCTCTTATTTAAGCCATATTTGAGCCGTTTATCACGTCGCGTTCTTTTTTTATAGTGCTTCAAAAAGTGCCAAAAATGCGATTTTTTGACACTTTCAGACAGTTTTTCTCAAAATTGAGACGTGATGGGACAATTTCATTTACAGATTCGTAATCTACGTCAAAAATCCTATAAGAATCACCATCGTTTAATCTTGTGGCAAAATTTTGTCGAACTGTGTAATGTAAAAAATTTAATATTTTTAAAAAATGTTTGCTATGTCGACAAAGAGTATTAAAATATTATCAACTAACTATTTCGTGACCATAAAAAAATCAATAAAACATATTTTTTGATATTGAAAAATATTCATAAATTGTGCATTTTGAGTCAAAATTTGTAAAGTTTAGTTACGTTCCACAACTGAAAGTAAATCATCGATAATTAGCTTTAAAAGTTTATTTTCTTCGTAAGTAAATTAATGTAAATAAATGGATATTTTTAACTATTTTAAAATAAAGCAAAAGATATAATTTTATTTTATAATAGTTTTTCATGCTTTATTTGTATAATAAACAATAAGAGTCTAAAAGCTTTTTTTTAGATCTGATAGTTGTTTCCAATGTACATATTCTGGAACCCGATCCCGGGTCAGGATTTTGAGTAAATTGGGGGTAAAGATCCCAAAAGCCGTATTTTAAAGATTCAGTATTTTTTTCTCATTAACCTGACGTGCTAGAGTCTTAAAGTCTCAAAATTCTGACGTGATACGCAATATTCGAACTCAGAATCGTACACAAAAATACATTGGAAACTACTTCGATATCTAAAAAAAATCTTTTTTGTAGTCCTATGTAATTAAAATCCTTATAATTTTATTGATAAATGATAGCACAGACATACAAAAAAAAGTTCTGATCTGGAGGTCAGACTATGTTTACTATATTTTTTTGCGGACTGCGAATCCGCGAGGTCTGTTTCAACCCATTAGATAAGATTTTGACATATAACTGCAAAATCCTGATCTGATGGGGTGAAACAGACCTCGAATTCGCATTTATCGACCTTATACACACATAGTAAACATAGTTAGATCCTCTGATAAGAACCTTTTTTGTGTGGTTGTGTAGTTTTACTATTTTATAAATTTAAAGTAGAAAATATTTACTTTTTGAAAAGAATAATATTAATAAAAAACAAATGGCGAACATAAAAAACTGATATAATTTTAAAACGAATATTAAAAAAAATATGTTTCGTGAATGTGAATGCAATGAAAAAAGCAAGCCAAGTCTTTATCGCATGTATTTTCTTTACTGAAATACATATTATATCTCTGGAAAAGGTTAAATATTTTAATATTCCTTATTTATTTCAAGTTGACAATTTCAAAGGTAAATATTTTTGAAAACAAAATTTTAAAGTAGTAAAAATTCTAATGTCATGTTTTATAGAATGAACACGACATCCTTCTGCTTTACTTAGTTATGTATTTTAAATTAAAAGCAAATTAATTAAAATATAAATATAATAATTCCAGGTCCACTGATAGGAAATCAGAAATCTAAGAAATTACAGATTAAAAAAATTCAGAAGCTGATACATTAAGCTTATCAGCTCGCAATGAATAACACAACAATATTCGCTCAAAATCAATCAAATTTTCAAATTCTTTCTGTTTGCAACTACATTCTGAATTTTAGTATTTTCTTATGCAACGAAGATTTAGTTAAACCAAACATTCTCTTTGAATATCCCCATAAATCCAAAGATGAATACGAAAAGAAACTGCAACTAATACGAGAAACAATGAAAAACAGTGATTTTTATAAAAATGAAACACTCTGCATGAAGTACGTTAATGAAACGTTTCATAACATCATCAGCAAGGATCCATTTTCCAACTATGGGAACATTATTGAGTATTGTTTCTCTAAGAATAAAAATGACAAACTAACTTCAGAGGGAATTGAAAAAATTGTTAATGATACTTTGAGAATTTTTACAGAGTTGGAAAGAGACACGAGGATAATGAACATGGTTCGTAAAAGAAATAAGCGTGCAGGTGATAAAACAAATGGAAATCATCCAAAAAGAATGCGAATAGATAATGAATTAAATGCACAGCCAATAGATTTTACTGATACTAACAATTCTGATGATATACCGGAAACGTCATTAAGTGAGTTTAGAACACCAAATTTAAGCATAATTGAAAATTCGAAATACCATGAGACAGTAAGGGAAATATTTTTATTTAAAAATCAGGGTTTTGCTTTTAGTATGCGAAATTACAGATTTAAACAATTGATGTTTTCTTTGGCTTTAAATCAAAACAATAATTTGCAACTAAATGAAGAAATCAGCGATTTATGGTATATCCAAACCACATATTCAAAAGCAGTAGTTCATTTTTTGCTCAAAATGAAAGGAAAAGAATTTCATTTCAATGATATAACACTTTTGACAAAGCGTACTCCAGATCCATTTGTTGCTGAAACATTGGAAGAATCATCATCAAAGACAGAAATTCGTTATCACTTGCATGATATTTCGCATAATGGATTTGTGGATTTACATAAATTTTACTTTGAATTTGTTGATGATTACATTACATTTCCCAACGTGTTCTTTCGCGTAAAACTTGCTAAGCTTACTAAGGACAATAAAGTTCTACACATTGAATTAACAGAGAACAAGGTGAAAGAAGTAAATAATGAGTTTCTGTACCATATTAACGATGAAAAAAATTTGAATAAAAGGATGTTTTATATCAAAAGAGCTGCAGAATTTTTGACAATTAATGTACCATTACATACGATAGAATCATCAGAGAAACTTTTGATGAATTACATTTTAAAACATACAAATGAAAGTAATCGTCGTCCTAGTTACGATAAATTTGTCAGAGATTATTATCATCATATGAAAGTTCTTTATAAATATAATGATTTTCAGATAAAAAGAAATAAGTACATTGATGATGTATTATTTAAGAATAAATTTGATAAAATCAAATCATTAAATGAAGCAAAAAAAAGAATCAATGAATTATATAATAACCATAACATAAATATAGAGGAAACATTTCAATTGTACAACAATTACTCACTTTATAATACTATGCGATTTGAAGATTATGTATTGTTTTCTTGTCCAGGTTATAAAAATTTAGCAGAAAAGAACATAATACAAAAAAGATTATTCGCAGCATTTTATAGAGTGGGACTTAAAGATTTTTCAATAAACTTAAATCAATATAAGATTTTTCGCTTCGAATTATTTGACGAGAATATGACAAATTATTTTAAATCAAAAATGCAAAATGAAGATTATTATTCCTGTGTAAGTCCAACGATATTTTATAAAGATAAAAATAGAATATTCACAGAATTTAAAAATCATCTAAGGACATCTTCCAAAACGCCGACGATAATTGAAATTACAGTGCACAATTATGTGGGTTTAGTGAATGTTAATATTCCTTTTTTAACTCCATTTCATGTAATAACAAATTGCTTACGGTTTAAAGTATATGAAGTCTCTCCAATTTCAATAGATGGAACAGACGGATGGTTTGTGAGAATGCTCAACAAAAAAATATTTCCAGAAGAGAAGCAGTTGGTTTGCATGGTAAACGAACTCAACAAACTCTTATCCATGCCTATTAAATATTACTCGGATTTGTGAATTTATGATGCATATAATATTAAAATTTTGGGTTTACTTATGTTTTTGGATCTATAAACTTCAGTATATAAATTCTCATTTATTAAAAATGAGAAAAAAATTAACTTATTTCATTGTACACTAAAAAGTTTATTCAAATAAAACTGATTTGTTTCAATTAAATTATTTACTTGTCTATTATCCATTAAGGAGAGGGTCCAATAAAATTCCAACTCACCAAAATTTATGTTGTTAAGGGGTGTCAATTTTTTTTCCAGCATTATTTAGGATCAAACAATTATTTTATACTTTTAAATTAAAAAAAAAAAAAAAAAATTATGGCCATATTTTTTTTATTGTTGAGAATCATGAAAAAAGCCTACAAAAAAATTGTTGATAAAAAATAATAAAAATTTCGAAAGAATTTGATTTTTCTAAAGAAATAATAATTAAAATTTAAATTAAAAATAACACATTAAAAAATTTCCACTATACTATACTGATTCGCTGGAACAAAAATTCAACTCATTGCATATAGTTAAAAGTATATTATTATTTTGTATATTATAAAAAACTTTATTTAGTTTAATATTTTACATTAAAACAATTCAGAATTTCTACATTAGAACACAATAAAGAATGAAAATGGTCAAGTACGATAAAACAGAATATTATTAATTACATAATTTTACAATTAATTTATTATATTATTTTCTCTGATAAAACAATTTTTAACAATCTATATAATTCCATTTGCCTTATTTCTCTCTAATATTTTGAGTAGCCCATAATTTATTGTAATAAGAATTACTCTTCAGCAAATCTGCATGTTCTCCTCTTTCCATTAGAACACCATTGTTTACAACAAAGATTTCATCAGCGTCCATAACAGTCGATAAACGATGTGCAATAACAATAGACGTTCTACCAGTAGTGGCTCGACGTAAAGCTTCGAGGATATTCTATAATTTTTAAAAATTATTTATATGTCTGAAAAATAGCTAGAGATTTTAATTATTATAATATTACATTAATTTTAGACATTTAAATATTCTGTCAGAAAATTACATAATTAAAGCAAAAATCGTATTTTTTGTAAAAATTCATCTGCTTGATTAAAAATAATAAACTACCTGTTCCGTGATAGAATCCAGAGAAGATGTAGCTTCATCAAATACAAGTATTGGACTATTTTTTAAAATTGCTCTTGCAATTGCAACTCTCTGTTTTTCACCACCAGACAATTTTAAACCTCGTTCGCCAACTTGTGTTTTATATCCCTTAGGCCATTTTAAAATACTTTCGTGTAAATTTGCCATTTTTGCAGCCTCATAAACATCATTTTCAGACATTGAAAAATTTCCATAATGAATATTATAAAATATCGTATCGTGAAATAATACCGAATCCTATAAAGTTGTACACATTTCAATGTTATTAAATAATTATTTTTAGTAGATAAGTGCGAAATTTGTATTTTTCATTTACCTGTGGCACAATGGCAATAGATCGTCTAAGATCGTTCACATCAATATCTTGAATATTTTTGCCATTAATATAAATATTTCCACTGTTTGGATCAAAAAACCTATACAGTAATCTTACTATCGTCGTCTTTCTAGAAATCAAATAATAATAAACATCATTAATTTATTTAAGGGATTGACTATTTCAATAACATTAAATTTTTCATGGTACATTTCAAATCCTTAATTTATCCACAGTAATCCATCAAAAAGTTCACAAGAATTTTAATGTCAAAAATCAAAATCCGAAAGAAGTCACAAAAAAATCTAAAATTGTTCTACGCACGAAATTCGCAATTTTTTGTTTAATTTTTTGCCATTTTTAAAACTTTCTTTTATTATCTAGTACTAAATAAATAAACCTAGTAATAAATACAAATATTGGTAACATACCCAGTTCCTGAACCACCAACAATTGCAATTTTCTTTCCACTGGGAATTGTGAAAGACAAATCATCAAATATCGTTTTTCCTGGGACATATTGATATTTTACTTTATCAAAAACAATGTCAGCATTCTTAGTGCTAATATTGAATGGAACAACTGTAGCCTTATTCTGTCAAATGTATTATCAAATTATAAAAATTAAAGGATACTTAGTATTATAATTAATTTTCTAAATGTCAATTGTTTTAAGTATTTAGCACCTTTATAAGAGGATCTAGTGTCATTAAATGAAACATAGACTTCATGTCGATAAAAGCTTGTCTTACTTCCCGATACACTGAACCCAAAAATCCAAGTGGAATCGAAAGTTGAAATAATAAACCATTTACCATAACCAAGTCCCCAACAGTCAAAGTACCTATTTTCAAGAGAAAAATAAGAGTTTATTTTAATTCTAAAACTATCCAGTTCTAAAATGTCAGAGAGAATTTTATATGTAAACTTAATATAAAGTAATTATAGATAAAACAATTTATGCGTGAAGCTTTATTTATATAGATTCATGTAAATTGTTTTTATTTTATAAACAGAAACAATAATTTCGTCGTCAAATTGGAAAATTTTTTTTAATAATCCAGGTACCTAGCAAGTAAACCTTATTCAAGTTCGTTCAATTTTGTTTATACGATGGAAGTGAAAAATCTGTATAACCCTTGATATCCAAGGCAGATACCTGGAGCCTAGTGCTTCGAGGTTATGTGGGGATGACCGTTGTTGTACTGGTCGCCCCAATAAAAACCACACCCTTCGGCTGGACTAATCTTCACACTACGGAACTACCGTCAAGCTTTAAACTCCGTAGGTGAAGGTCCCTGGGATCTCGCTATCGCAACCCTTACCTATCTGGCCTATTTATTCTACGTTCGTGCGAAAGTCTTTTTGGACTTCTACTGCAGTTTGCAAACTTATGATCGACTTCACCGCATTTGAAGCACGCCTTATAAACGCTTTCTATGTGATTATACACCATGCACCGAACGACCATCACTCTTCTTTTGATTGGGCAACACATACAGCCAATCCTACTGCGTCCCGATTTCTTTTGACTGCTCGTCTCCTCTGGGTAGGTGACTACAATCGCGAGGTACATTCCTCCTCAGTTGGGTCCTAGGACCGTCACCTTTCTGCTTCCTGGTTTCTGGAGTACTTCCACCAACCCCTGTTGGACCTCTTCTTCCTAGGTAAGGCAATCCAGGTTGCAAATCTCCAGTGTGACGAGTCGATCCACGGTCTGCACTTTCCCTATGCTTCCAACCACTTTGGTGACCTCAGCGGTGAATGCCTCCTTATTGGAGTCTCCTCCGATTTAAATCAGGAGATCTCCCCGTCTAGTAGGCCTTGCGCCTACAACCTGCGTGTGGCTGACGTCCGGATTCACTTCCCTTCGAAGTTTGCTCAGTACGTCGGCATACGTTGTTCCTGTTGCGACTGGGATCACCATTATAGATCCGCTGGTCGCTTTTCTCTTACTGGTTTGCTTAGGATTCGGTGTTACCGTCTCTTTCGCAATCTTTTTTGACAAGAGGTGCCTCCTCTTGCTGTTTCTTCTTCGCCTCATGGATACGCTCTCTTTTTCTGTTTCGCTCTTCTCGAGCACCACCAAGTTTGTTATCTCCATTACCTGCTTTGTCTTCGCCTCACTGACAAGATCCTGAAGAGTCTTAATTCCGTCCTTAATTGTCATGTTGACATTCATCTGAACTTCGCAAGGCGATCTTCTCTTCGATCCTCTGAAGACACTCAGCTTCCTCCTGCCTAAACTTTAAACACTTCTCGCATTTTCCTTCAATTGTCTCGTTTAGGTCAGACTTCCTTCCCCGTCCCACTTCCTCTACTACTTTCAAGTCTTTCCAAACGGACCTGGAGAACCTTAAAAAAATGAATGCCCCCGTGGTCCATCCTCCTTATGGCATTGAATGGTAGACCATGACAAGGTCTACCAAGAATTTACAAGACTTTTGATACCTGACAACCATCAGCAGGGATGGTTTGTTCAATTTAAAGGCATCACTGATTACGATTTTGAATTTACTTTTTCCTATTTTTGTAAATGTCATGCATATCCAAGTTTAAATTCAAATAATTACTGATTTTATTTTCTTCTTGCATTTACAAACTAGCATTCAGCAAGTCTCATTGTCTGTTAGCAACTCCAAACAAGAAAATCGTAACTTAGAATAAAATTTAATTATCTGCTTCGTTCTGTTATGTCATACCCTGTTGAAAATTCCTATGTTAGCCCACACAGCACCGAAAGTTTCCTAAACCTGTATTAAAGCTGTGCGTGCCAAGTTGGAAAAATTTACCGTAAAGCTTAGCACAGGTTGTGTAAATATGTAAATATTTGCAATTGAGTAAATGTTTAGCGTAAAACTGTACTGAATCTTTAAATTACGTATTTAGTACAGGTTTAGCGTAAAACTGTACTGAATCTTTAAATTACATATTTAGTACAGGTTTAGCGCAAAACTGTACTGAATCTTTAAATTACATATTTGGTACAGGTTTAGCGTAAAAGTTGCCTGAACATTTAAAATAAATCTTTTGTAAAGTTTTATCATAAAATTTGCTTAAAAATTAAAATTAAATCTTTATTACAGTTTTAGTGTAGAAATTGTCTATAAATTTAAATTAAAGCTTTATTAAATATTTAGTGCGAAATTAAACTACAAAAAGTGTTAATTACATTTTCATTAAAGTTTTTTGTAGAAATAATGTTTTTTTCAATAAAAAAATTATACTGAGCGGAAAATATTAACTGCAAATGATGCTATCAATTCATATAAATAAAAAAATAACTAGTATAGTGGGAAATGGTATAATAAAAAAAAGGTTTAAATACAATGAACACAAAAATATTTATTAATAAATTAATTAATGGTAGTGATATGGTGAATCCTTAAAATCTCCTGAACATCTGAAAAAAATGCACTCATAAAAAGAAGTTTTTATAAATTAGAATTTTTTGTTTCAAAATTGTATACTTTTTATGTTCTTTTTTAAATAAAAATTTCATTAATTTCAATAAATTAAAATTATTTAATTTAAATTAAATTATTTTTACCTTTTTTCTGCAATCCACTTAGGATTGGCAGCTTTTTGCTAAGTAATTTTACCATTATGCATCAGACACTAAAACTGTAATAAAGATTTAATTTTAATTTTTAAGCAAATTTTATGATAAAACTTTACAAAAGATTTATTTTAAATGTTCAGGCAACTTTTACGCTAAACCTGTACCAAATATGTAATTTAAAGATTCAGTACAGTTTTACGCTAAACATTTACTCAATTGCGGACATTTACATATTTACACAACCTGTGCTAAGCTTTACGGTAAATTTTTCCAACTTGGCACGCACAGCTTTAATACAGGTTTAGGAAACTTTCGGTGCTGTGTGGGAGAACACATATGGGATCCCATCCAGGATCTCTTGTGAGTTCTTATGTGGGTTCCCATACAGGTTCACACATAAGATCCTGTATGAAAAGGTTCCTGGGATGAACTTGCGTGAGATCAAGCGCACGATCTTATGTCTCTGTAAAAGCAATAACACAGGATCCCATGAGGTTTCCTGTGTAGGTTCCTATATGAACAACACGATAAATAGGAACACACATAAGAACTAACAAGAGATCCTGGATGGGATCCCATATGTGTTCTCACATAGGAATTTTCAACAGGGATAGATTAAATTATTTAAATGATTTAATTTATTTTTTATTCAATTTTCCTAATCTAATAAACTTATAAGTTTCTCTATAGTAATTACGATTTAATTCAATTTAATTAAAAACTGGATTGATACGACGTAATAAAATGAATGAATAATTCATATGGCATAATAAAGTACTCTTTATACTCGGCTTATTTGATTCAATCTCAAATTTCTTATCATCTGAATTTACCTTTTGATATCATCTGTATTACCATATTATTCTGGAACTTTTTCGTCTTCTAGTTTATTGTTCTGACACTTAGCTATCCCACTAGTCATTTAAGAAGAAAAAACAGAAAGTTAGGAGAGTAAAAAATATAGTGATATCGCTAAGGGAAAATCAGCGCCCAATTAGTCGAATACATAATATAATGTCAACTGGCTCCCGCGGAATTGTTTAAATAAATCAATTAATGTGGATCCCTAGCGGCTTGAATCAGACTGCGTCAGGTGAACGCTGTCTAGTTTGCAATGTCTTTAAAAGTCTATTTTCATTAGCTAATTCCTGCAGGCAATAATAATAATAGAATAATTATTTATGCAAATAAGTACAAATTACTGAAGATTTTTTTTTTATTTATGATAAATAAAATTTTTTCATTAGGATAATATTTGAAAAAATTTTAATATAAAAGTTCTGTTTACATTCAGATGATAATGCGCATCTGTTAATTCATTTTGAAGAGCTTTAAGGAAGTTCTCTCGCAAACAGAAATGACGAAGAGTTAATTATCAAACTTGATAAACTGATAGATAATGGTTTAAAGAAGATGTAGTTAAATTTTTAGAGGTCTAGGTGGATTTTGACAAAAGATATAAACAATTTTCTCTTTTCACATTTAACACGGGTTCTTATGGGAAATTGAATTTTTTGGTCTGAAATCTCAAATTGTGAAAAATCTGACGAAAAGATATTACTGGAACTTTATATACATAAAGTTTAATAGCCAATGTTCACTTACTTTTAATAAAATTGATCAGACCTGGCTTAGGAGACTCACAATTAATTATTTTGTCTAAAAAAACACCGTATTTTGACAATCAGAAATTACTTAGCACAACGCTTGGCAACGTTGCGTCTTGTAGGTTAGGTATAGAAAAAGCGCGAAATTTGAAAGTAATATAAGTAGTATATACATATAATAGTATATTCTTCAAAGATTCATAATAATTTGAATTTGCTTATAAAAAATTAAGATTTTTAAAATAATAAATTATTATTATTATTATTTAACGAAAATAAATCAAACAATAGCAGACGACACGAAACGGAAGGGGGGAAATATAATCCAACGTTGCCAAGCGTTGAGCTAGTACTACGTGATACAAATGAAAACTTAAATGGGCATTGATTTGACTGACGTTGGAGGGAGAGAACTTCCTTAATCTGCAACATTTTTGCAGACACAACTTTTTGTATGAACGCACTTTTATTTGATTGTTTTAAATGAATTGGCTGCACGTAACATCGATTTCTAGAATTATATGGACCTCCTTAAAAAAAATAATACACAAAATCTTTAAACAAAAACCAAAAAATTATAAAACTTTTGAATGTACACAAAATGGAGAAAAAAAATCTAATCTATTTACATAAAAAAAATATATACAAACCATTCAATGAATTTAATTGCTTTCTGTTGCTTAATAAAAATGCAGCACTTTTAGAATGTTCTTTTTTATCCGATTTAATTCCAGGGACATAATTTTCTTCTCTAAAATGAAATAAAAAATTGTTCGAAAATTGTAAATTATTTCATTTTCAATGTTTATAATTTAATTAAAATGTAAAGTGTAAAGTAGAATAAATTAATCAAAAAATTTATAAGTGGTTCTGAAATTATAAATTTATATTTATTTTTAAATATTAATATTAAAAATCTGTTTAAACTTTATATGCCCAAAAAAAAGGATGACGACGACACACGTCAAAAAAATTTTTAAAAATCTGTACATAGAAAAAGGAACAATTTTAGTTTCTTATTAAAAATTAATTAAAATGTCTTTGTGGTATTGATTTTGCAAAAAAATTATCTAATTAAAGTTTTACTAAAAAACGTTTAATTATAAAATATATAAAGTGCATGAAGTAACCCTATTAACATAATAAAACTAAAATATATATTAGTAAAATTTTACAAAACTCGGATATTTGTCATTTTATGAATTCCTCGTGATTGGAATTTTTTATGACATTTAATTTTTGAAGTAATAATTATTCAAATTAATATATATATATAGTTTTTTATACCTTTGTAATCTTGAACTTAAACATAGAGACGGCAATGGAGTTTTACTTGTTTGCATTTTAAATTGCTTAACACCATTTCATAAACATCATTTAAATAAATATGTCCAATTTTTTAATATCTGATAATTAGATTTTTTGAAATTACTAAAAACATAATAACAACACATGTTTTGGTGTGAAATTAATCACCATAAATGTTTTGCGACGTTGCTATGACAACTATTTGAACATATAACTCTATAACTTATAGACTTCGCATATTGATTTCTATAATTTTATTTTTAAATTTATATTATCTATATATTTTAAACTAATTTTATTTAAAGATAATAAAAATTGAGTATATTATTTGTTGTTTGTTTTAAATAAAAGAAAAATAATTATTTGAACATTTCTTTTAACTTTAATGTTTTTTTAATTTTTAAAGAAGAAAATATTTTGCATTTTTGTAAATTAATTAGAAAATTGATAAATTTCACAAATCAGAAACATTCTCAGTACGATGAAAATTTAAAACCATAAATAAATTTTTGTATTTAAAAATTTAATTATATTTATATTTTTTATAATACAAAAACCAATAATATTTTTAATCTGCACTTATATAACAACGATTGAATATCCTAAATTAAGTTAATTAAATATTCTTGTAAAAAGAAATAATAAAAGTGTTTTCAAAAAAGTTCAAATTTTAATTAATTTATTGTTATAAACAAACGAATATTCAAAGTATATTCATGTTTAGATATATATATATATAAATAAAGTTTAGATTATATCTCAATTAAATGAATCCGTAAAATACATTGTGACAATCTTTATCAACATAATTATTTAAAAATTGAATTCTTTATGTTAAATATTTGTTTACTTTTTTGTCACAGAAATAATAAATGATGAATTAATTGATTTCGATGTAATTTAATATTGTTATTTAATAAATATTGAAATTTTAAAGCAATAAATAATGTAAAAAATTTAATATTTTTAAAAAATGTTTGCTATGTCGACAAAGAGTATTAAAATATTATCAACTAACTATTTCGTGACCATAAAAAAATCAATAAAACATATTTTTTGATATTGAAAAATATTCATAAATTGTGCATTTTGAGTCAAAATTTGTAAAGTTTAGTTACGTTCCACAACTGAAAGTAAATCATCGATAATTAGCTTTAAAAGTTTATTTTCTTCGTAAGTAAATTAATGTAAATAAATGGATATTTTTAACTATTTTAAAATAAAGCAAAAGATATAATTTTATTTTATAATAGTTTTTCATGCTTTATTTGTATAATAAACAATAAGAGTCTAAAAGCTTTTTTTTAGATCTGATAGTTGTTTCCAATGTACATATTCTGGAACCCGATCCCGGGTCAGGATTTTGAGTAAATTGGGGGTAAAGATCCCAAAAGCCGTATTTTAAAGATTCAGTATTTTTTTCTCATTAACCTGACGTGCTAGAGTCTTAAAGTCTCAAAATTCTGACGTGATACGCAATATTCGAACTCAGAATCGTACACAAAAATACATTGGAAACTACTTCGATATCTAAAAAAAATCTTTTTTGTAGTCCTATGTAATTAAAATCCTTATAATTTTATTGATAAATGATAGCACAGACATACAAAAAAAAGTTCTGATCTGGAGGTCAGACTATGTTTATTAAATTTTTTGGCGGACTGCGAATCCGCGAGGTCTGTTTCAACCCATTAGATAAGATTTTGACATATAACTGCAAAATCCTGATCTGATGAGGTGAAACAGACCTCGAATTCGCATTTATCGACCCTAAACACACATAGTAAACATAGTTAGATCCTCTGATAAGAACTTTTTTTTGTGTGGTTGTGTAGTTTTACTATTTTATAAATTTAAAGTAAAAAATATTTACTTTTTGAAAAGAATAATATTAATAAAAAACAAATGGCGAACATAAAAAACTGATATAATTTTAAAACGAATATTAAAAAAAATATGTTTCGTGAATGTGAATGCAATGAAAAAAGCAAGCCAAGTCTGTATCGCATGTATTTCCTTTACTGAAATACATATTATATCTCTAGAAAAGGTTAAATATTTTAATATTCCTTATTTATTTCTAGTTGACAATTTCAAAGGTAAATATTTTTGAAAACAAAATTTTAAAGTAGTAAAAATTCTAATGTCATGTTTTATAGAATGAACACGACATCCTTCTGCTTTACTTAGTTATGTATTTTAAATTAAAAGCAAATTAATTAAAATATAAATATAATAATTCCAGGTCCACTGATAGGAAATCAGAAATCTAAGAAATTACAAATTAAAAAAAATCAGAAGCTGATACATTAAGCTTATCAACTCACAATGAATAACACAACAATATTCGCTCAAAATCAATCAAATTTTCAAATTCTTTCTGTTTGCAACTACATTCTGAATTTTAGTATTTTCTTATGCAACGAAGATTTAGTTAAACCAAACATTCTCTTTGAATATCCCCATAAATCCAAAGATGAATACGAAAAGAAACTGCAACTAATACGAGAAACAATGAAAAACAGTGATTTTTATAAAAATGAAACACTCTGCATGAAGTACGTTAATGAAACGTTTCATAACATCATCAGCAAGGATCCATTTTCCAACTATGGGAACATTATTGAGTATTGTTTCTCTAAGAATAAAAATGACAAACTAACTTCAGAGGGAATTGAAAAAATTGTTAATGATACTTTGAGAATTTTTACAGAGTTGGAAAGAGACACGAGGATAATGAACATGGTTCGTAAAAGAAATAAGCGTGCAGGTGATAAAACAAATGGAAATCATCCAAAAAGAATGCGAATAGATAATGAATTAAATGCACAGCCAATAGATTTTACTGATACTAACAATTCTGATGATATACCGGAAACGTCATTAAGTGAGTTTAGAACACCAAATTTAAGCATAATTGAAAATTCGAAATACCATGAGACAGTAAGGGAAATATTTTTATTTAAAAATCAGGGTTTTGCTTTTAGTATGCGAAATTACAGATTTAAACAATTGATGTTTTCTTTGGCTTTAAATCAAAACAATAATTTGCAACTAAATGAAGAAATCAGCGATTTATGGTATATCCAAACCACATATTCAAAAGCAGTAGTTCATTTTTTGCTCAAAATGAAAGGAAAAGAATTTCATTTCAATGATATAACACTTTTGACAAAGCGTACTCCAGATCCATTTGTTGCTGAAACATTGGAAGAATCATCATCAAAGACAGAAATTCGTTATCACTTGCATGATATTTCGCATAATGGATTTGTGGATTTACATAAATTTTACTTTGAATTTGTTGATGATTACATTACATTTCCCAACGTGTTCTTTCGCGTAAAACTTGCTAAGCTTACTAAGGACAATAAAGTTCTACACATTGAATTAACAGAGAACAAGGTGAAAGAAGTAAATAATGAGTTTCTGTACCATATTAACGATGAAAAAAATTTGAATAAAAGGATGTTTTATATCAAAAGAGCTGCAGAATTTTTGACAATTAATGTACCATTACATACGATAGAATCATCAGAGAAACTTTTGATGAATTACATTTTAAAACATACAAATGAAAGTAATCGTCGTCCTAGTTACGATAAATTTGTCATAGATTATTATCATCATATGAAAGTTCTTTATAAATATAATGATTTTCAGATAAAAAGAAATAAGTACATTGATGATGTATTATTTAAGAATAAATTTGATAAAATCAAATCATTAAATGAAGCAAAAATAAGAATCAATGAATTATATAATAACCATAACATAAATATAGAGGAAACATTTCAATTGTACAACAATTACTCACTTTATAATACTATGCGATTTGAAGATTATGTATTGTTTTCTTGTCCAGGTTATAAAAATTTAGCAGAAAAGAACATAATACAAAAAAGATTATTCGCAGCAATTTATAGAGTGGGACTTAAAGATTTTTCAATAAACTTCAAGCAATATAAGATTTTTCGCTTCGAATTATTTGACGAGAATAAGACAAATAATTTTAAATCAAAAACGCAAAATGAAGATTATTATTCCTGTGTAAATCCAACGATATTTTATAAAGATAAAAATAGAATATTCACAGAATTTAAAAATCATCTAAGGACATCTTCCAAAACGCCGACGATAATTGAAATTACAGTGCACAATTATGTGGGTTTAGTGAATGTTAATATTCCTTTTTTAACTCCATTTCATGTAATAACAAATTGCTTACGGTTTAAAGTATATGAAGTCTCTCCAATTTCAATAGATGGAACAGACGGATGGTTTGTGAGAATGCTCAACAAAAACATATTTCCAGAAGAGAAGCAGTTGGTTTGCATGGTAAACGAACTCAACAAACTCTTATCCATGCCTATTAAATATTACTCGGATTTGTGAATTTATGATGCATATAATATTAAAATTTTGGGTTTACTTATGTTTTTGGATCTATAAACTTCAGTATATAAATTCTCATTTATTAAAAATGAGAAAAAAATTAACTTATTTCATTGTACACTAAAAAGTTTATTCAAATAAAACTGATTTGTTTCAATTAAATTATTTACTTGTCTATTATCCATTAAGGAGAGGGTCCAATAAAATTCCAACTCACCAAAATTTATGTTGTTAAGGGGTGTCAATTTTTTTTCCAGCATTATTTAGGATCAAACAATTATTTTATACTTTTAAATTAAAAAAAAAAAAAAAAAATTATGGCCATATTTTTTTTATTGTTGAGAATCATGAAAAAAGCCTACAAAAAAATTGTTGATAAAAAATAATAAAAATTTCGAAAGAATTTGATTTTTCTAAAGAAATAATAATTAAAATTTAAATTAAAAATAACACATTAAAAAATTTCTACTATACTATACTGATTCGCTGGAACAAAAATTCAACTCATTGCATATAGTTAAAAGTATATTATTATTTTGTATATTATAAAAAACTTTATTTAGTTTAATATTTTACATTAAAACAATTCAGAATTTCTACATTAGAACACAATAAAGAATGAAAATGGTCAAGTACGATAAAACAGAATATTATTAATTACATAATTTTACAATTAATTTATTATATTATTTTCTCTGATAAAACAATTTTTAACAATCTATATAATTCCATTTGCCTTATTTCTCTCTAATATTTTGAGTAGCCCATAATTTATTGTAATAAGAATTACTCTTCAGCAAATCTGCATGTTCTCCTCTTTCCATTAGAACACCATTGTTTACAACAAAGATTTCATCAGCGTCCATAACAGTCGATAAACGATGTGCAATAACAATAGACGTTCTACCAGTAGTGGCTCGACGTAAAGCTTCGAGGATATTCTATAATTTTTAAAAATTATTTATATGTCTGAAAAATAGCTAGAGATTTTAATTATTATAATATTACATTAATTTTAGACATTTAAATATTCTGTCAGAAAATTACATAATTAAAGCAAAAATCGTATTTTTTGTAAAAATTCATCTGCTTGATTAAAAATAATAAACTACCTGTTCCGTGATAGAATCCAGAGAAGATGTAGCTTCATCAAATACAAGTATTGGACTATTTTTTAAAATTGCTCTTGCAATTGCAACTCTCTGTTTTTCACCACCAGACAATTTTAAACCTCGTTCGCCAACTTGTGTTTTATATCCCTTAGGCCATTTTAAAATACTTTCGTGTAAATTTGCCATTTTTGCAGCCTCATAAACATCATTTTCAGACATTGAAAAATTTCCATAATGAATATTATAAAATATCGTATCGTGAAATAATACCGAATCCTATAAAGTTGTACACATTTCAATGTTATTAAATAATTATTTTTAGTAGATAAGTGCGAAATTTGTATTTTTCATTTACCTGTGGCACAATGGCAATAGATCGTCTAAGATCGTTCACATCAATATCTTGAATATTTTTGCCATTAATATAAATATTTCCACTGTTTGGATCAAAAAACCTATACAGTAATCTTACTATCGTCGTCTTTCTAGAAATCAAATAATAATAAACATCATTAATTTATTTAAGGGATTGACTATTTCAATAACATTAAATTTTTCATGGTACATTTCAAATCCTTAATTTATCCACAGTAATCCATCAAAAAGTTCACAAGAATTTTAATGTCAAAAATCAAAATCCGAAAGAAGTCACAAAAAAATCTAAAATTGTTCTACGCACGAAATTCGCAATTTTTTGTTTAATTTTTTGCCATTTTTAAAACTTTCTTTTATTATCTAGTACTAAATAAATAAACCTAGTAATAAATACAAATATTGGTAACATACCCAGTTCCTGAACCACCAACAATTGCAATTTTCTTTCCACTGGGAATTGTGAAAGACAAATCATCAAATATCGTTTTTCCTGGGACATATTGATATTTTACTTTATCAAAAACAATGTCAGCATTCTTAGTGCTAATATTAAATGGAACAACTGTAGCCTTATTCTGTCAAATGTATTATCAAATTATAAAAATTAAAGGATACTTAGTATTATAATTAATTTTCTAAATGTCAATTGTTTTAAGTATTTAGCACCTTTATAAGAGGATCTAGTGTCATTAAATGAAACATAGACTTCATGTCGATAAAAGCTTGTCTTACTTCCCGATACACTGAACCCAAAAATCCAAGTGGAATCGAAAGTTGAAATAATAAACCATTTACCATAACCAAGTCCCCAACAGTCAAAGTACCTATTTTCAAGAGAAAAATAAGAGTTTATTTTAATTCTAAAACTATCCAGTTCTAAAATGTCAGAGAGAATTTTATATGTAAACTTAATATAAAGTAATTAAAGATAAAACAATTTATGCGTGAAGCTTTATTTATATAGATTCATGTAAATTGCTTTTATTTTATAAACAGAAACAATAATTCCGTCGTCAAATTGGAAATTTTTTTTTAATAATCCAGGTACCTAGCAAGGAAACCTTATTCAAGTTCATTCAATTTTGTTTATACGATGGAAGTGAAAAATCTGTATAACCCTTGATATCCAAGGCAGATACCTGGAGCCTAGTGCTTCGAGGTTATGTGGGGATGACCGTTGTTGTACTGGTCGCCCCAATAAAAACCACACCCTTCGGCTGGACTAATCCTCACACTACGGAACTACCGTCAAGCTTTAAACTCCGTAGGTGAAGGTCCCTGGGATCTCGCTATCGCAACCCTTACCTATCTGGCCTATTTATTCTACGTTCGTGCGAAAGTCTTTTTGGACTTCTACTGCAGTTTGCAAACTTATGATCGACTTCACCGCATTTGAAGCACGCCTTATAAACGCTTTCTATGTGATTATACACCATGCACCGAACGACCATCACTCTTCTTTTGATTGGGCAACACATACAGCCAATCCTACTGCGTCCCGATTTCTTTTGACTGCTCGTCTCCTCTGGGTAGGTGACTACAATCGCGAGGTACATTCCTCCTCAGTTGGGTCCTAGGACCGTCACCTTTCTGCTTCCTGGTTTCTGGAGTACTTCCACCAACCCCTGTTGGACCTCTTCTTCCTAGGTAAGGCAATCCAGGTTGCAAATCTCCAGTGTGACGAGTCGATCCACGGTCTGCACTTTCCCTATGCTTCCAACCACTTTGGTGACCTCAGCGGTGAATGCCTCCTTATTGGAGTCTCCTCCGATTTAAATCAGGAGATCTCCCCGTCTAGTAGGCCTTGCGCCTACAACCTGCGTGTGGCTGACGTCCGGATTCACTTCCCTTCGAAGTTTGCTCAGTACGTCGGCATACGTTGTTCCTGTTGCGACTGGGATCACCATTATAGATCCGCTGGTCGCTTTTCTCTTACTGGTTTGCTTAGGATTCGGTGTTACCGTCTCTTTCGCAATCTTTTTTGACAAGAGGTGCCTCCTCTTGCTGTTTCTTCTTCGCCTCATGGATACGCTCTCTTTTTCTGTTTCGCTCTTCTCGAGCACCACCAAGTTTGTTATCTCCATTACCTGCTTTGTCTTCGCCTCACTGACAAGATCCTGAAGAGTCTTAATTCCGTCCTTAATTGTCATGTTGACATTCATCTGAACTTCGCAAGGCGATCTTCTCTTCGATCCTCTGAAGACACTCAGCTTCCTCCTGCCTAAACTTTAAACACTTCTCGCATTTTCCTTCAATTGTCTCGTTTAGGTCAGACTTCCTTCCCCGTCCCACTTCCTCTACTACTTTCAAGTCTTTCCAAACGGACCTGGAGAACCTTAAAAAAATGAATGCCCCCGTGGTCCATCCTCCTTATGGCATTGAATGGTAGACCATGACAAGGTCTACCAAGAATTTACAAGACTTTTGATACCTGACAACCATCAGCAGGGATGGTTTGTTCAATTTAAAGGCATCACTGATTGCGATTTTGAATTTACTTTTTCCTATTTTTGTAAATGTCATGTATATCCAAGTTTAAATTTAAATAATTACTGATCTCATTGTCAGTTAGCAACTCCAAATAAGAAAATCGTAACTTAAAATAAAATAATGTCAACCGAGGGGCTGTTCACTGAAAATCCAATTGAACAATATTGGAGAATTCATTAAAGATTTTTAGGATTGCTAGTTATTTTCGTAATTCCTATTTTGAAAATAAGGAAAATAGTGCTTTTATTTTATTTGAAGTAATTGAGAGTTACTTGCAAGAAAAATAGATTAATTGTTTAATTCGGTAGTATTTGAGCAATTGACTATACCTTACAAATTCCTTCTTTGCGCTGCTTCGTGTTGGAGACTAGATAAAGTATGTGACGCTCCACGAGAGAAGGGACCTATCCCCGAAATAACATCAGGCCGCCGAATTCGCTCGTATTTCTCCGTAACCATTCGTGACTCGCAACAATTCTTACTGCATGACTTAGGATTTTACTGTAATCGACGAGATTTGTTGGATTCGCATAGTATTCGACAAATTCGAACGTCCTTTTCAGTAATCGCCGGTAATCTCCACTTAAAATACAATTTATTCAGAATCAAGAAATTTATATTTTCTTATGTTAATTGATGAATATTCGGAAGATACCTAGTATATTATCTACATTACAAATCGGGTATTCGAGAGTGAACAGCCCCTCGATGTCAACTGACTCCCGCGGAATTGTTTAAATAAATTATTAATGTGGATAAACTAGAAAATTTCTTGTCTCAGTAACTGGTAAAGACGCAAATAAAATCAAAATACGCCACAGGAAAATATCCTATTATATAAACCAATCCTTGTCAGGCTTATATAAAGTTTCAATCTGACATTTAGAGAATGGATATATAAATATTCAACCTATTGCTTCAGTTATACAAAATACAGTTAAATTAATAGACTGGATAGTAACCATTTAAAATATCTTTTGCAGTTAACACCATTATTAAACTTAGAGCTGAACTAAATATAGCCTGTTGTCCAAAATTTAGAAAGGCCAAACTTGTACTCGTCTTCATTGAAGCAAACTCATATTTCTTTAGTGAAACATCATACCTTTCTGCCTCATATTTTTCGTTGTTGAAATACTATAAGAAATAAATTTTATATAAAGATAATTTATAAGACTAAAAAGAAAAATTTACAGTTAACTTGGAATTTATAGGTTGAATATAACTAATTCAAGAAAAAGATTTAATTCCTTCCGATGGTACAATAAATCATCCTAAATGTTGGTAAACATATTTTGTAACCGTTTTTTTAAATGCGTTACATATCTATTTGCTATTCTTTTGTAAGATAGTATAGTTAAAACATAGTGAATGTTTCTATGAAACCGTATAATAAAGACTTACTTTTACAGTTTCATAGTTGAGAAGAGAATCCATAGCCTTATTACTTGCATCATTTTCTGCTTCATTCATATTTAATCGAAATTTCGTTCTCCATCGTGTAACTGCAAGTGTAAAAACTGCATAAGTAAGAACGCATCCTAATGCTATACTTGCGTATTCCGATCCACATTTTAGTCCTAAAATCGTACTGACCAAAATTAATTCGAAAACTGTAGGAACAACGTTAAATACCATTGCAGTCAATACAAAATTAATGCCTCGACTTCCTCTGTCAATAGTCTGTAATAATTTTTTTTTATCGTTAAATAAAGAAAAATTAATGATCCAAACATTGAAAAATATTTACAAAAACTTTTTCTAAAAGCATAAATCATCATCTTAGGTATTTACCTTAGTTAATGCACCGGTCCGTCGAGACAAGTGAAATGATAAATCAAGATTATGTAAATGTAAAAATACATTTTTGGCTATTTTATGAATTGAATTTTGAGCAACTTTTGCAAATACTGCATTTCTTAATTCATTAAAACCTGCTGCACCAGCACGAGCAATACCATCTGTGTTAATAAAATATTATTTAACTTTTATTTAAAGCAACTGCCTATTTATATTAGATTATCAGGTAATTAATATTTCATATTATTTAAGAGCATTAAAATAAGTAATAGTTAGTGTCTTACATCCGACAAGAATTGAAGTGGCTACAGCTGCTATTGCTTCTGGAGATGATCCTAAATTCTGAGTTGTAGTCATCGTGTCTATTCCATATTTAAAAAGAAAAGGAACAGAAACATTTAATAATTTTGCTCCAATCAGTAAAGAAATTGCAATTTTTACTCTATTCCTAATATCTTTTTCATTCTACAAAAAAAAAGAATTTCTCAAAGTTAGTAAAATGAAAATTTTACTTCTCAAAATAAAATTATAACAAAGAAATTACACCTTTGGCCAAATGTGAGAGAACATTGCTGTTATCATTTGAGATGTGGTTATAGACGGCGAATTTTTAGCACCTATTGCTTCTCGATCTAAATTTGAAATTCCAGGATGAAAGCAATGCCTTTTCTGTTGAACTGATTTGCCATTTATTATACCTACAGAGGCTAAAGCATTTTTTACTGGATTAAACAGTATCTTAGAATATAGAACACTTTTCTTCTTTTGCGCCTCATTTAGAGCATTACCGTTGCAATACTGAAAATAAGATTAACGATATTCATTTTTACTATATTTACTATTTAAAAAAGTCTTACTTTAATTGAATAAATGACCTACAACCAAAAATACCGGTTACTATGCTTTCATATGCTATATAATATTTTAAGTTTTTCTACACAGTTTGATTTCTAGAACATAAAACCAAAACTATGTTCCACTAGTGGCCCTCTGCCCTACTTATATGAATCTTTATAAAATTAATTGAGCTGAAGAACGTAACGTTAATTGTTTAACGGTTACAACAACCAATTTATTAAAGTTTGTTCAAATTTTAATCATTACCAATCGAAAGAGCATTAAAAAATGTGCCAGAATCCATGAGTTTTATTCCAAATTTGATGTCGGAAAGATTTGAAAAATCAAAATTAATTTAACCTTTCTCAAACGTTAACGATTGCGTTATCGGGTGCTTATTAAATTTTGATTTTTCATATCTTTCCGACATCAAATTTGGAATTCCACAGTGGGCCAGAAGGCGTTCAAAACTGGCCAAAAGTCCAAATGTCTTTAAAAGTTCCTGAAACTCGTTACTCGGGGGTTTTCGGGGTCGCTGATTACGAATCTGTAGTCAGATTTTCAAAATTCAAAATGGCGGATCCAATATGGCGGACTATGTCTCTAAAAATTGATTCAAATGGCCTGATATTTGTTACTCGGGGTTTTCACAGTTGATGTTTATAAATCAAAAGTCATATTTAAAAAATTGTAATAGGTAATGTATGCTGAGTTTCTATTTCGCTTTAGTTGAAGCTCGTCAGTACTACGTAAACGATTTTGTTAGTAGTATACCGGAGCAAGGTATATTTACATTATTTACAGTAGAAATTATTTACAATATGAACTATTTACATCATTTACAGTAATAATTATTCAGATTATTTACATGAATAATTACAAGATTTGAGGTATCAAATAATTTATTTGTATCAAATAATAGTTACTTAATAACCTTTAAGCCAATATAATTTAAAATAACATATTAATTTATCTTAAGAAAATATACGACTTCACCCCTAAAGGTTTGAAAAGACAGTATAATCTCATGATCACACTATGCAGTGTCCACTAGTAGCATGGAATATTTTGGAAATTTTTTAACTTTTATGGCAAAAGTAGCAAAAAGTAGCACGTCTATCTTAAACTATACGTTTCAAAGAGTGCTTAGAGACCTTGACTGACTTTATAGGAAGCGGAAACTAGGGGAAGAGTCATTCGGAAATGAAACATGTCATTTACGACAGCAACAAAGAAAAGAAAATAATGTCTAATCAAGACAACTGAATATGTAACTGTTTGATTTAACTGTTAATTTTAGCTCTATTGATGTTGATTAGTAGAAAATTTATGTTTAGAACCTAAAAATCCAAGTAAAAATAATTAAAACAGACATATTTGGTGTATAAAAGGTAGAACAAAAATTTTGAAAATTGAAGATGTAATCGAGTAGTGCTAATACAATAATGTATTATTTGACAAAATATTTTGGATATTCGTAGCAAATCTATCTCTGAAAATGATTACATAATTGTCATCTATCAATTTAAACCTTGACTTTTAACCAGTTTTGAACGCCTTCTGGCCCACTGTGCACTCTACAGAATGCATGAAAAACTTTTTGAGGATGATGCTCAATATCGGTTTCCACAGAAAAAAGAAACGAAAACTAGATGCGACTATGGTTCAAGCAAAGCAGCTGTATGTTGCCCCTGTTTGGGCTTCGGTCCTAAAGATCCACAGCATATCTGGTATAGACTTCTCTCGGCTCAGAGAGAATAGTGTAAGCCTTCAGAACGGCGTCTACTTGCTCTGTTTTGATACTCGGAAGATTACCACCAATTGATTTATTGGCGATGGAAAGGCAGGAAATTTTCCAGCTTAACAAAAATTTGGCGGGTACTTCAGAACGTAGCGATAGACTCAAAGCAGAAATACGTAGAGAGTCCAGAAATAGACTCATTCAGAGATGGCAGGAGAGATGGGAATGGACCTACCCCGTCTGATTCCCTACCTCGCCACATGGTTATTTTGGTCAGTACTTTTATAGATTTAAAATAGCAACAGACGCGAAATGTGTGTACAGCAGCGGATTGGGTGACGACGAAGCAGCACACGCTCTTTTTCTGTAGGCCACTGGCGTGAACTTAGACAAACAATGTTTTTAGCAGTGGGCACTGAAGTCACAGCTGAAAATATGGTTTCAATTATGTTGCAGAGCGTTGACTCTTGGAAAGACGTTGAGTCCTTCATTACGCAAGTAATAAACAGGAGGATGAGGTTGGTCTGAAGAAATCTTGCGGCTCGACTGAGTCCTCGTAGAGGACGGAGGAGACCTTAATTGGATTTCCTCCCTCCTCCGTTGGCACTTAGTTTAAGGATTTAGGTAAAGAAGGAAGGTAAGGCGATTTCCACTGGCGATGTGCATAGTTGGACCGCAATTCCGTCTCCCAGGTGCGAATTTTCCGTCGGCCCATGGTTGGGCTAACTTTGCAAAAGTTGGGACAACTTCACCTGCCAAAGGGTGGGCCAACTAGCGAAATGATAACGATTTACCACCCATTGGCACCGATGGTAGGCCCGACAACTGATCCCAAAGTTGGTCCGACAACTTGTCCCAGAGTCGAACCAACAAGCTGCATAACCCATAGCTGGACCAACTTTCCGACCATCGGGCCAACCTACACCCAAAGTTTGGCCAACCAAACTTTTTAAGTCTTTTAAAGTATGTCTCCCGTAGTTTTGTCGACGGTTAGTCCAACCTTCACCCAGAGTGTGACCAACCATAGCGTTTAAGTCTTTTAAACTACATTTGCCGAACTTTTGACGATGGTCGGGCCAACCATCACCCAGAGTTTGGCCAACCACTGCATTTAAGTCTTTTAAACTACATTTCCCGAAGTTTTGACGACGGTCGGGCCAACCATCGCCCAGAGTTTGGCCAACCATAGCGTTTGAGTCTTTTAAACTACGTTTGCCGAAGTTTTGACGACGGTCGGGTCAACCTTCACCCAGAGTTTGGCCAACCGAAGCATTTAAGTCTTTTAAACCATGTTTCCCGAAGTTTTGCCGACGGTTGGCCCAACTCTGGTTTAAGTTGGGCCAACGGTTGGCTTTACTCAGCATGCCATAGTTGGCATGCAAAGTTGGCACGACCTTGGTTACTTGTAAATACCCAGGTTGGACCAACTTTGGTTACCAAACTTCGCTTGCCAAAGTTAGGCCAACCTAGGCCCAACCATCCAACTCTGGCAGCCAGCCTAAATTCGCACCTGGGCTGTGGAATTAAATAAATGTGTGGTTTTTAGTGGGTCGGCCAGAACAAGAGCGGTCATCCCCACATAACCTGCGAGTATTGGCTCCAGGTACTCGAACCACCAATGGCTATAAATGCTTTCATTCTAAATTTAATTCTTTATTTTCTAAATCAAATCGTAATATTTTTAATTTTATTGAAGCTTCAAAGGACGTGCAATACAAAGTCTACATAAAAATGAAAAGTAGGGGTAAAAAATGCAAAGAGAGTATTGCTTTTTTAAGTAATAATTTTATATACAACTTATAAAAATATTTACAAATACATTACTACAAAAAGAAAATATTATTTTGATGTCGCAAATTGTGTGTTAAAATAACCCGCAACAGTTTCTTTTTGTACGCTTTTTAAAAAAAATTTAGATTAACAATTTATTTAACTTTTTTAAGCAATGGCCTAAAACATTTAAAAGTTCTTCTACAAAATTTATTGCAATTAAAAAACTTTTACTTTTACATTTGACATTCTTCATTTTTTTCAAACTTTGTTCTAGTTCATATTTCTTTTTATTAAGTATCTTTAAACCAAAAAAAGCTACTTTTGATATATCATCAGAATCAAAGCGTTCACAATAAATCTTTGTATTCCATTCTTTTTGATGTGATAATGTAGATAAAACAAAAAGTGTATTTCGCGCATTATAACTTAATCCTTCACAATTGAAATACATATTTACATTCATTTTTTGTTTATTCAGATAATTTACAACATTATTTGATAATCGGTTAAATTGTTCTATATCCAACATTTTAAACATAACATTATCTAATGGATTTTGAGGATTTATAAATCCATATTCCATATAAAGTTTAAGATTGTTATGTGCTCCATAATTTATAAATACTTGCGATCCTTGTTTATATGATTTTTGAGAATTGATTACATAAAATTCTGATTTACCTCGCTTAATAAATGAAGCCGTAGAAACATTTTCACAAACATGATTAAAAAGATCTAAAAATGGTGCCAATGCTAAATTGTCATTTTCAACATTAATATCAATATTATCATTGTTGTTTAAATAAACAGCTCTTGTATTAACAGTGTAATATCCCCAAATAAATGCATTATAAGTTAATATTTTATGTAAAGGTAAATTACAATGTAAACAAGACTTCTTAGCAATTTTTAATGATTTAACTATCAAAAGATATGAAGTTTTAAGTTTCTTTGAAAGTAAATCCAAATGACTTTTAATAAATTCTGGTAATATATTTTTTTCACTCTTAAAACAAAATTCTGGATTAGTGTAAGATATCGGTAAAGTATCAATATATGGTTTCCACCATGAAAAATTATCTAAATGTTTCTCGTATACAATAAAAACAGCAAGAACACTTTGAGCATCGTAAATAATGTCTGGCAAAAAAATATTGGATATATAACTCTTTGAAACTGTTTTTGTCGTTATGAGAAATTGTTTTGGCAATTCTAAGAGATCATCACCAGCTTTAATATCTCTCAATGTCATTAGACCTCGACCAGTTTCTGAAAAGATATGAGGCACTAAATGACATTTAAACATTTCATTATTAACTAGCATCCAAGATTTTAGATTAGCTGAATTTACAGTACAATCAACAGTTTCGTTTTTGTCATATTGTTCCTTTTTCTGTTGACGTTTTCTTTTAATTCGACCCATTTTTTAAATCTGTAGAATGAAAACAATGATATTTGTAAAGTAATTCGAATACTTAATAATAAATATTTGAAACTACTTACAATTTTAATTTATACTTGCATTTACAATTAATTTCAGGTCAATGTATTTACTTTAATTGGAACTAATATTAAACTGAATTCTGAAACAGAAATACGCTTAACTTCAGTGATGATATTTAGAGCAATTAACTCTCTTTGCAAATTAAATTTGAAAACTATTTTGCAAACAACATAATTTTAGTGTTACATTTTCACTATAGATGCCCTAGTTTCACTAATCGAACACAAGCCGAAATAGAATTGAAGAACAATTACATGATTATTCTGAAAAGTGAAATATTAAATTTTAAAAATGTCGACCACCATATTGGATCCGCCATTTTGAACTTTTGAAAACAAAATACCGGTTTCGTAATCAGCGAGCCCAAAAACCCACGAGTTTCGAAGCAAAATAATTTGAATAATAAAATTTTTTATTTGTTTATAATAATTAACTAACTGTAAACTAATTGCCTTAGTGATCGTCGCGTGAAAGCATTAGTAATCGGCAATAATATTAAAATATGAAAACAAAACTTTTTAAATTGATTTTCTTATATTAAGTATAATTATAGCAATTATTATTAGGTATTTGAATGGATATTTTTAAAGTTGATGCCTCTAAATATTATAATAAAAAGTAGTCAGTTATAAATGAAAATAATTATTTCCTAATTTATTTTCGTACGTAGTATCAAATTTTCTTTGTAATAATTACATTGTAATATACTCAGAATTCACTTGAAGGACCTCAATCTTCTTATTGTGTTAACTGATTTTATTGAGTTGACTTTTGGTGGGGAAAAAGTATAATTTATTTGGAAATTTTATTATTGTCAAAGGGTTTATTGCAACCTTGTAATTTTGGAGTAGTGTTCCAATTCAGTTTGAATGGCTTGGATTTAGCAATCTTAGTTTCTTTATCCTTTATTTTTTTGTGCTAAATTAATTCACTTACAAGTAAATCTACCCAAGTGTTATACTCTGATTTGAATGAAACTTGGCACGTTTTTAGAACTCGCAAAAATAAGAGATACGTATTTTTTTATATGTGCTTAGATGAAGGTTTAGGGGGTAAAACCACCCCCTAATGTGCTAACCCCCCGCCCAAAAAAAAGGCATAATAATATCCAGGGTTATCAAAAGTATAATTAATTTCCATTAAACATTGGATCTAGGGGTTTTTTAAGTCGCTGATTACGAATCTGAGGTCAGATTAACAAAATTCAAGATGGTGGATTCAATATGGCGGAATAATTTTTAAAAATTTATCGGATTCTATACAGTATTTATTAATTATAGTATATTAAAAATCAACAATATTCTACACATATAAAATTAATTAATATTACAAACACTATTTTTAATATTCGAAAATTTTAGTTTACTTTTTGTTTATTTCTGAATATTTATAAACTGAATTATCGGAAATTTAAAATAAATTATTAATGGAAATTATTTATATTATGTTAAATTAATGATTTTTTATGTTGATTAAACGTAATTCGTTCTTTATTCTTTGCAAAGATTTACTCATTATTTTCAAAAATTCGCGCGTCTTAGTTAACAGTTCAATGTTTATCCGCAAGGTGGCAAGATTTCGATTCTCTCACTAACAAGACGCGTTGCGGAGTATATATAAGAACAGATGATTTTTGAGATAGAAATATTACGAATTTTCGCCCTTTTCCCCAGGTAAAAGGGAATTTTTTGCATGCAAACCGTATACATAAGTTGTTTTTCAAGGCTAACAAATAATAAGGTTTTAAAAATTATATCAACCAACCTTTTTCAAGGCTAACATATAATAACACTTTGAAAACTATATTAATCGGTTTTTTTGAAAAGCCACAAAATAATTATATTGGATCCGCCATTTTGAATTTTTGAAAACAAACTTCAGATTCGTAATCAGCGACCCCAAAAACCCCCGAGTAAGAATTATTAGTCGAATCCGATAAATTTTTTAAAAATATTCCGGCATTTTGAATTTTTGAAAACTAACTTCAAATCCGTAATCGGCAACTCCAAAAACCCCCGAGTAAGAATTATTAGTCAAATCCGATAAATTTTTAAAAAATATTCCGCCATTTAAAATTTTTGAAAACTACCTTCAGATTTGTAATCGGCCACTCTAAAAACCCTCGAGTAAAAATTATTAGTCGAATCAGATAAATTTTTTTTAAAAAAAATTCCGCCATTTTGAATTTTTTGAAAACAAACTTCAGATTCATAATCAGCGACCCCAAAAACCCCCGAGTAAATAGTTTCAATTGAATTTGAGCATTTTTTTTAAAATTCCATACACAAGATTGTTATATTATAAAAAAATTGAATTTGGTCGACATTTTTTATCCGTCATTTTGAATTTTAAGCAAATAAACTTCACCATCTGAAAGCTTCAACATTTTGGACGCGATATTTCAAGGTTTTACGAACTTCTTCGGACTCATAGTATACCTTCGAAAAAAAGTGTCGGTAACTTTTTGTTTTTTAATTTTGAGTACAGATTCTGAAAGAGCGATGTCCAAGACGTAAGGAATAGATCTTATGGATTTTTTTAAACCCCTGTTCGACGAGAAAATTACGATCAAAAATTGTCTCTAAAAATGTGTCCGTCCCGCCTTTAAAGGGTTAAGGAATTATTAATAATATTAATAATTTATTTAAAAAAATTTATGTACTTTCAAATTTTTATTTATCGTCATTTCTGACAATTACAAAAAAAATTCTAAAATCCATTAAGATTTATAGGCTGTAGACAATTTTGAGTCCCGTTTTTTTTAATTTGTCCCACTGTATAGTATAAAAAAAATTTAGGTTATGTATTTACTTAAAAAATATATTCTTATATTTTATGACAGAAATTCTAAATTCACGGAGGAAATAATTTAAAAGAATTTTTATTAATAAATATTTTATTGAAAATATTTCATTATTTATTTCAGAGTAAATTTATATTTAACCGGTGAATGTTTTTATTTCTCTATATACACATGTCAATATTTTTTTTTTTAGGCTTAAAATAAACAATTTTTTTTTTATTTTGTCAACACTTAATTTTATATTGTTCATTCGTCAACTGTCAAATTAATTTATTTATTATCAAATAGAAATATAGTTTATTATTGTGTAAAATAATAAATAAAAATTACAATTACCCTAATTCCAATAACCGAAAGTGAATTGGAAGATCTCTGTGGAAGATAAGTTGTCCAAAGTATCATGCCATTTGTGCTGTTAGTAGTATTAATAAATGATCTTTTAGAATAAAATGTTCGGTTGTTTTTAAAATAATGAACATGCTTTGAAAAAACAAATTTTAACATATTTTTATTATTGATGTGTACACTTATATAAAAACATTTCGATTTAAACACGGAAAGAACAATCAAACTAAGAAGCGTCACTGCTTTAATTTCTATCGCACGTGCTTTAAGTTGCTTTTACAATAACTTTTTGACAAGAAAAAAATGCATTAAGGTGCTTTTATACCTTAAATTTCGATCAGATGAACATTATTTCTGGGCCGTGAAAATGCGTTAGGGCCCACTCACACCTTTTGGCTGCCTGCCTGCCTGCAGAAGTTGTCATGGCAACGTGAAGGAGTATCAGAGAGAGAAAATTCAAATTTACCCGCCGTGAAAATGACTTTTAACGCATTTTCACGGTCGAGAAATAATGTTCATCTGATCGAAATTTGAGGTATAAAAGCACCTTTAGGTATACAAAATTCAAATCGAGAGAGGGAAAATTCAAGATGGCCGAAAGCTGTGTGCCACATTCTCGAGAATATTACGTTGTGGAAGCAGCCTCAAAGAACCTTATTTATTGAAGAATCACCTTTATTCTTGTGTCACCGACTGCGTCATGGTTTTTTGACATTTCGTGATGTGGTTATGTTGCATGTTATGATGTGTATGATTTTTGTTTTTTTATTTTCAACAAACGTGTTTTTGAATAAAATTCAGGTTAATTTTTAATATTTTAAACAATTAAATTGATTTAACAACTATCTTATAAAATTAAATTACTTTGTTATATTATATTATTTTTTAACCAAACCCACATAACCTTGCCATGCGGAAGCCAAGGTATCTGTATACAGATTTCCCAAAAGTCTCTAAGCAAAAAAAAATATTATTAAAATAGTTAAAAATTAATAACAAAATGATATTAAAATTATAAGAAATTAAAATTAATAATTATAAATATTATTTTTATTATTACTGTTTTAAAAAATTTTTTTCTTTTGTTTTTAATCTTTTGTTGACTTACTTTATTTTTCAATCGAATTGTAATAAATTTGAGGCTATTTTAATATTTATTAAAAACGCAATAAAAAAAATTCTTTTACAGAAATGTGTAAATGAATTTACATTCGTTTTTTTTTATTAAAAAAACCTCAATTTCGAAAAATTGACGCTTGACCCCTTTTGTCATTTTACTCTTCAATTAGTACTTTTCTTAAATTAAATCTTACTTTTCTAATAAAAATCAAATATTTATATTTTTCTACACTGCCGTCGGAAATTGTGCGACATCTGCTTTTTCGACGACTATAAAGTGATTTAAGGCTACAAAAATATTAAAACTAAAATTTGTTTCCTTTTTCTTTTATAACAGCTAATAAAATTCTGAAAGAAATGACACCTTGTCAAAGATAATATGTTAATTTTTCAATTAAATATCAAAGAAAAAAACAATTTTCAATGTTTTTACTATTTTTTTTATTTCTCTGGCAAAAATTAACTCTCTAAATCTGAATTAGTAAAAATGTTTACTAATTTAAATTAGTGACTCACTTTTTGCTTCTGAATTAGTAAAATTTTACTAATTATTAGTACCTTTTACTAACAATTAGTAAAATTTAACTAATTCTAAAGCATAAAGTGAGTCACTAATTTAAATTAGTAATCATTTTTACTAATTCAGATTTAGAGAGAATATTTTTAAACGTTTTTGGGCCTTATTGGGATCGTATTTTGTTATACAATTCAAATTATTTAAAACAATATTCATGTCCACATTCTTCCCTAGCGTATGCAAACCGTGAGAGTTGGCTCAAAAAATTAAAATTCAATTTTACAACAAAATATAATATTTAAAAATTAAGTAAATAGACCATCTTAAACTTTTCTAATTTATGTAAGTAAATTTAAGATTTACATATTTTATTGATCTATTTTTGTCATTTAAATATTAATCATAATTTTTTGACTTTTTTTGAGCCAATTTTCACGGTTTGCATACGCTAGGAAAGAATGTGGACATAAATTGTTTTAAATAATTTGAATTGTATAACAAAATTCGATTCTAAGAAGCCCAAGAACGTTTAAAAATATTAATTTTTGCCAGAGAAATAAAAAAAAAAGTAAAAACATTGAAAATTGGGTTTTTCTATATAATTGAAAAATTAACGTATTCTTTTTGTCAAGGTATGTCATTTCTTTCAGAATTTTATTAGCTTTTATTAAATAAAAAAGAAAAAGTTTTAGTTTTTTAATATTTTTTGGAGCTTTAAATCACTTTATACTCATTGGAAAATCAGAGTTCGCACAATTTCCAACGGTAGTGTATATATGTTATTGTAACAAAAATTTTGAGTTTAGAATGGACCAAATGACTAAGGATGAAATTAATATTAGACGATTATTAAGAATTTGTGAATCAATGGCTAAAAATGATATAAGTTCAAACTGGAAACTGGAAAAGGTATTTAAAAAAAAATTTTTAAAAGACGCATGAATAAGCACTAAGGCTTATTTTTTAGAATTATTATTTCGTATGTTAATAAAAAGTTCATGCGTTTCTTTTTTCAGTATATAAAAACTTTAGATGGCATGATTGAAACACTAAATAATTCTGCATTGTGAGTATATTATCTATATAATTAAAAATAAATTAAAAGTTAGATTATTTTGTTATCAATAAGATATAGAATATTCTTTTTATTTTTCTTTTTTTTTTACTCACTTCACATTTAGCATTCAGAAGCTAAGATATGTAGATTTCCAAAAGATTCCCTAAGCGGAAAAAAAATAAAATAATTTTTTTTTTTTTGAAGAAAGACTTTTGTAGAATTAATTTATAATAATTTTAGTAAACCGCCAAAGGATACTGTAGGAGAATACATAAAGAGAGTTGATTTTTTAAAAGGTATAATTGGAACTGTAAAGCTTAAAGACACAGTAGAGAAAGTAGTTGCCACTCAAATGGTTTCGTCTGTTATACACTCTACAGATGATTCCCATAGTTCAAACATAATGACGCAAATACACCAGAAGACAAGTTCCAAATATAATAAAGAATTACGTTCAGAATTATTTAAGTCTACAGGTTGGTAGTTTAGTTGTTCTTTGGTTAAATTACAACTATATTTATAAATTTAGAACATAAAATAATTTGGAAAACGAATTACAACTTATACTTATTTGTACTTCTTTTTTTTTTATTTTCTTATTATAATTTTGTCATTATTTTTGTTTTTAATTTTTAGGTAAGAAAAGTCAAGAATCAACAGACTCTACTTTAAATTCTGATGATTTAGACGCAGTCTTAAAATATAATCGCAATATGCATGAAAATATTGCAAATAATATTCTTCTAATGACAAAAAGTATGAGAGAGCACGCAACAATAGCAAGTGGAATTATTCGAAGGGATATAAAAACATTAGAAAATAGCAATAAAGTAACTGAGGGAAATCAAATGAGTTTAAAGTCTGAGTCTCTTAAACTTACTGAACATACAAAATCAAATTGGAGGTGTTGGGTTTGGATAATGGTTGCTTTTGTATTGATAGTATTTTTCAGTAAGTAAAAACAAAAAAAAAATAAGTGTTTTAATATTGAAATAATATTCAATAATTATATTGAAATAATTTATGTTTTAATTTTCAGATATGATCCTTTTCATGAAGGTTGCAAAAAAGAAAATTTAATATATTTGAATATTGTTGTTGTTATTTTAATTCGTAATGGAAGAAAATCTTATGTGTATAAGAACAGTTTTAACTATTTGGTATAATATTTAAATGTTTTCTTTTTAAATAAAAGTCATTATGCATTTCTTATTATTGTACAGTAATGGAAATATTAATAAATTTTATGTATTTATTACAACCTATCTATTACTACTCAACCTTCTGTGCCAAAAAATAAATCTATTGATACAATAATCTACTTTTGTCGAGAATTAAATAAATCTTTGACAATTCGAACTCCGGATCCCTGGTATCTGTTATCCAGAGCACAAAAATACGAGTTTTTTTTTGAGCATTTGTGATAAAAATTTACATTCATTTTTACATTATTTATTTTGTATTTTACATTATTTTTTATTTAAAAATTAATATATACTGAGAAAACAATATATTAAATTTAAATACAAAAATAATTTTTAGTGATTTTGTTTCTTAATATTAATATATAATAGATAGAAAATATATACTACTTTATGTTAAAAATTTTTTTTTGTTTGAGTAACATTCTTACTTCAAACGACTTTACTACTTTTTATTTCTTAATGATCTTAAAATTAACATTATTTATTATTTAAAGATGTTTTGTTTTGAGGTTGATAATAAGGTTTTTCCAGTTGGGATACATGATATATTATTAACCACATTTGAAAAGTGAAAAATGAAAATAGAACTCCAAAGAAAGTTACGTAAAAAAGGCAAACAGTAGCTGTGTTGAAAAAAATGTAAATTATTTTAAAAAAATTAATGAATTAGAATAAAATTTCATTTAATTTCTTTCTTACCCCATTCCTGCAAATTACGTCCAAAAAATGATTTCTTTTCAACATTCCAAGTAAAACGTAAAAAGTTTTTGAATACTCCTAAATCTAATTCTGGTTTTCTGCTTTCATAATATGCTTTGTCGTGTAAAATCAGCATAGTCAAGTAAATTATTTCTGGATTTATTTCAAATTGTTTATAACAGAAATTAACCCCAAAATACTGACATATATATTAAATGACAAAAGAAATAAGAATTCCCTAAAAATTTATTTATTTATTTTTATTTATTTCTACGAGAAGCAAAATATAAATATTTTAATGAATATAAAAATTATAATTTTAATAAATACTTAGGTTAGCAAAGTTTATATATGAATTTATAAAAAAATTAAAAACTAATAAATATAAATTAAGAAACTATACGAAAATTATAAGTATTAATAAATTTAACAAAATTTAATCAATATAAAAATATACTTATAAAATTTATTTGATATTGGAAGCAATTAAAATATATTCAAACCAAAGTATAATAATCAATGAAAAAACAATTTAAAAAATATAAAATTAAGAAAATATTATTTAATATTTAATTGAATTACGTTGCTGAATTACACAATTTTTCCGAGAATTATACGAAAATTTCTACAAATCGTGAGTCAGACAGTTTGCAGCCTTGTCATTATTTTCTAACATATACAAATATTCACAAACATACGAAATAATTCCATCACATAATTGAAAGTTCAATTTATAATAAACATACTGTTAAATGTAAAATGATTATTTAAAATTAATTTTATGTGATCAACAAATGTAATTAAAAAATAAATACACATATAATTTTTACTCTGCAAAACTTTAATTTCATAAAATGTTTCAACCTTACAAATAGATGCTTTATTTAATAAATCATATAATAGCTAAAAATTGTTCACAATTAAAAAATAAAGAACGATAAGATATTAACATTTTTTTTTACAAAATATTTTTGTTTACATCAACAAAATAATGCGTGACGATAAAACAGTTCTAAATATACATAATAAAGCACCGCAATAGTAGTATTTGTTAAGTTATAATTTGTGAAACGTTCCATATCGAAAAATGAAAATTTCTGTGATTCGCTTGAAATATTGTTTAATTATTGTAATATTGATTCATTTAAACAAATAGAATTTATAAAAAGTAGAGCAGCTCAGCAAAAAAAAACAAATTTAGGCTAATAGATATGAATTGACTTATGACAAATCACACTTTCTGATCCATCATAATATTTAACATTTTAGACACTGCTGACATTTTAATTCCTTAAAACTACCACAAAAGATTAAAATTTTTAAATAGTGAATTTCAAAGCATTTTTCATGTACTTTTTCTGTTGAATTTTATACACTTTCTTTTTCATAATAGTGTTACGCCCGTAACTTATATTATAATATAATAATATAATATTATAATATATCGTAATATCATAATATTTAATATATTATATTTGTTATAAAATGTTGTTGATTAAAGGCTCTGTTATGATCGGTAGCAGTATAATTAATCAAATCGACGAATTATTAGAACGTAAGTCTATCCCCGTGTCTAAACCACGGTATTCCGTCAAAGAGACAGGTCTCACTGAAGATATAAAAATCTCGTATTCAGATAAAAGGAAGAATAAGGCTGCAGTCCCATGGCAGCGTTTTGTGTTGCGTTTTGTCACTAGACCCTGAGTGTAAACATAGCAAACATATATCTGCATCTCTTTTACACTCATGGTCTAGTGACAAAACGCAACGCAAAACGCTGCCATGGGACTGCAGCCTTAATCAACGTATGCACCATCCAGTGCACCGCCAACATCAAACGATGATTATAACCCTTCAATTATGTTTGAGGAACCGGATCTCGGATCGATTTATTCCAGGTAAAGTAAATAGTTCGAGGAAGCATATGCTTCTCTCACCGAATTTGCTACCATGGCAGAAGATATATATATATATCCCCGACAAAGTGCAAAAATCACTAATATCTTGCGAATCACCAGAAAAAAGGACATTGATTTGGTTAATGGAGAAGATGAGTGGCGAAAAAGATTAATTATGACAAGCGTCCCGTATTCACCGACACCACAAGCGAGTCTCGATATACGAGCCTCTTTGATCCAACAATTAAAATCAAAAAAGGAAAAATCACAAGACTATTAGGTTTGTAAACCACATGAGCCTGAAAATAACCATGCTGGAAGTGAGGACATAGAAAGAGATAGGAAAAAGGAGATAGACACACGTTCAAACTGGAAAAGAACTTGCTTTAAAAATACCTCAATTAACACTCCCACCTCAATATCCATCGGAATGGTTTAAAGCACATCCAAATTCTACACCTCAGGCAAAAATCAAAATAAAATCAATGGATGTCGATTCTACAACTGATATAGTAGTTTATGGTCTTTCGAAGGGAATTTTAGATGTAGAATCAGTGAAATTGCTCAGGTATTACTTCTTCAAAGAAGTTTATGCTGAGTTAGACAGAAAAGGCATTTTTTGATTCACACACGTTCAAACTGGAAAAGAACTTGCTTTAAAAATACCTCAATTAACACTCCCAGCTCAATATCCAATGGAGTGGTTTAAAGCACATCCGAATTCTACACCTCAGGCAAAAATGAAAATAAAATCAATGGATGTCGATTCTACAACTGATATAGTAGTTTATGGTCTTTCGAAGGGAATTTTAGATGTAGAATCAGTGAAATTGCTCAGGTATTACTTCTTCAAAGAAGTTTATGCTGAGTTAGACAGAAAAGGCATTTTTTGATTCACACACGTTCAAACTGGAAAAGAACTTGCTTTAAAAATACCTCAATTAACACTCCCAGCTCAATATCCAATGGAGTGGTTTAAAGCACATCCGAATTCTACACCTCAGGCAAAAATGAAAATAAAATCAATGGATGTCGATTCTACAACTGATATAGTAGTTTATGGTCTTTCGAAGGGAATTTTAGATGTAGAATCAGTGAAATTGCTCAGGTATTACTTCTTCAAAGAAGTTTATGCTGAGTTAGACAGAAAAGGCATTTTTTGATTCACACACGTTCAAACTGGAAAAGAACTTGCTTTAAAAATACCTCAATTAACACTCCCAGCTCAATATCCAATGGAGTGGTTTAAAGCACATCCGAATTCTACACCTCAGGCAAAAATGAAAATAAAATCAATGGATGTCGATTCTACAACTGATATAGTAGTTTATGGTCTTTCGAAGGGAATTTTAGATGTAGAATCAGTGAAATTGCTCAGGTATTACTTCTTCAAAGAAGTTTATGCTGAGTTAGACAGAAAAGGCATTTTTTGATTCACACTGTTAAAAATCTTTGAATAAGATGGTATATCCAAACTTTCGTATTTAAACTGTTAAAAATCTTTTAAAAGGACAAAACTTTTGTTTTATATATACTGAGTTTTGGGCACGCAGTATATGTAACGAAATGAAGAGCATCTAGAATTGTATGATAAGAAAGGAATCTATCTGACCATTTTTTTTATGAGACCGTAAACTTTAATTTGTATTTGGAATAAGAGTGTAATAAATATTTTTTAGATCTTTAATTTCAGTTTTTTTATTTACTGAATTATTGCATTTTAAAATGTGAAACATTTCTTAAAATAATAAAAAAGTGATTTTACATCCAATGAATAAAGTTTAAAATTGTCTGGAATAATCATATGATTAACGTTTTTTGTAAATTCAAAACTGTATTTTATAAAAGAATAAGATTTTCTAATGGTTTTTTGTATTGGAATACCAATATATTTAGATAAATTATACAAAGGTGACCCGCAAAAAGCAGTGAAAGGTCTCATTGAGTTATTGATCTTATGAATTTTGGGTAATCTATAAAATTTAGGGGCAAGAGAATTATGAGATTTTTGATTTTATACCATAAAATGAATAACCTCATTCTTTTCATACATACTTGGTTTAACAATATGACATTCGTATCACAAAGTGGACATGCATATCGCCGCACATCAATAAGACTGTTTATTATGCATCCTGTGGAATGGATTTAACATTCTACGAATTCTGTAAAGATGTTTATCATCTTTTTGAACCATATGCAGCATCACTAAACGTTGAAACCTTTGAGAAACTTCTCAAGTATATGCCCGGATAATTCTCAACACAAGACGAAGTACCACGCTTTCTCCGTCATATGGATTTTCCATCATTTCAGAGAATACAGCAAGAGATAGAGTACTGGCACGGACCTCTTCCATTCAACCCAAAATGGGATTATGCTCATTCTTTCTTTTCGCCTGACCACCACTGGCCAGGAGGAATTACCTTGCAACAAGCAAGACTAGACAAAGGATACATTTATCCTTGTACTCCTGTCTTACCCCATAGGACTATTTCGTCCCTTCAGGACGACCACGTTTTTATTTTTTTTAGTTTAATAATTTTACTACTTTTCATTTATCTTTTCTTTTTCTTAAAAAAAAAAATTAAAAACCAAAAAAACCTAATAAAACCTAATAATACATTAAAGATAGAATTATACAACATAAAAGTGACTGTAGACTCGATAAGAGAAACACTAGCACTAGGTACTCATTCTCATGAAAATGATCACATTTTTAATTTTGAAAATACTTATATTGTTTGTTTAGAATCCAATTATAAACGCAGATTATTTAAAGAAATGTTTCACATTTTAAAATGCAATAATTCAGTAAATAAAAAACTGAAATTAAAGATCTAAATAATATTTATCATACTCTTATTCTAAATACAAATTAAAGTTCGCGGAATGACTAACAAGACCGAGCATCATATTCGAGTAACAGATGAAACGACAGTCACACATACTTTGTAGCGCACGCATCGTGTTGACTTTCATTTTTTTAAGATAATTAATAGTAAATATTAAATCATGAGTAATTAATTTATAATTTAATAGTTAATTAACTAATAATGAGCAATTACTATTAATTATCTTAAAAAAGTCAAACACGATGCGCGCGCAACTAAGTCCGAGGCACTCGGACTTGGTCTTGTACTTGCTCTCGGACCTATTGTAAAAGCTCCTCAAGACTTTCTTTGAAATATTTCCCGCCAAGAACAGAACAAAGGCATAGCTGTTTGTGTTTTGTTTCAAAATTATTCGTTATTCCGGATGACATTTTAGTCCGAGTGAGTCTAGTCAGAGTGTAGTTTTTAGTTAGAGTGTGGTTTTGTTGCGGAGTTATCAAAATGGTATTCATTCAAGAGCGGAAGGAGGAGGTTTTTTTTAAATTTGCTAATAGTGTTCGTTATTCTATAGTTTTCCGTATTCGGGTGAATAGGCTTCGCGGAAATTACTGTTTCGACTCCTCCGCTGATGAAGAGCCTGCAAGTGTCACAGGAAAGTAGTTAAACGATAACTCGGTTTTGACTGCTGATGCAGTAAAAGGAATTCCGTCAGAAGGTATCGGTGTTGCAGAAGAGAACAATTCCGCGGATGTTAATGAACAATTGGATAAGTTATATCTTCCCCATAGGACAAATTCTTCCCGATGGGATATTCTTTTGCCTTTTTAGCCTATAGACTTGTATATAAAAGGCAAGATGAATCTACGGAAGTCAGTTCTTCTGCAAACCGCCTTGTTGTAACCGTAGTTCTTTTCATACCAAGTTTCAACGATCAGTTTTCTTCGATTTGCACAAATAAGCTTTAATTATAAATTCGATTAATTGCACAAGTGAAGTTAGTGTAATACCTTTTAAAATTCTTGTTCAAAATCTATAACGACACAGAGTATTGTGCAAATTAACAGAATTGCGAAAGCAAAATCGTAAAGAAATCTGTGTATCAACTGCGAAAACTCCTAAGAAGAACTCCTGACATATTTTGTCAGTATCACTCAAAAGAGAAGGCATCATAGGATAGGAACCTCCTGACATATTTTGTCAGTATCATTCAAAATAGAAGGCATCATAGGATAGGAATCAGTCGCGCAGCTGATCGATAGTACCATAAATCACAAGGGCAAAGTGCATCGCTGGCTTCCCCCTTAACCGTTATCAACCTGTGGTTATAAGATATACGTTTTGTTGCCGACGTCTGTATTCCGGACAGCAAACCCACAAAAAAAACAACTTATATCTCAGTGGGTGAGTTTCTCTACATCTTCTCTTTTCTTGTAGTCTATTCCTTAGACTAATTTTAATTCATTATTTCAGTGAATGATGATTATTGGAATAAAAGAAAGATTCTTCTCTTAACTCAAATGTGTTGAATAAAGTTTGTTAAATATATTTTTAACTAAATTTATTCACCCCGTTCTCTTAGTTAAAAGCCTTCCGCTTTGTAAATAAATCTGGAAAAATATTAAAATAATTAAATTATCTGTCCCTTCCGGACAAAACAGTTAATTAAAAATTCTTTTTTTTGTTATTGTTATTATTTCAAAAAAATAATCCTTTTTTTTGACATAACAACATCAATGAACTCAAACTTAGCCCGCATCGTTACCCTTATAACAAGGGTAATAGGAGGTAGAGAGAACGTGATCGACATTTCGAGCCATCGCTCAGAGAGGACCTTCGAATCGCCAGGAAATGTACAGCCACCCTCATCATAGCTTGATTTTCCTAATCGCGACAGAATAAAGACAGGGGAATTGGGGGCTATTAGACGACCTTCTTTAGCGACACGGGGAGGGACGGGAATGGTTCCTATAGAACCTGGTAACCTACAGGCGGCTGCTACGATGGTTGTCAATCCACATCGTCGTAAAGGTTACGACTAGGGCGAATTTGGGAGCAAGTTGGCAGTGATAGAGTTGGAGCGGTTTCTCCATAATAAGCCTTTGAAATCCTAAGTGGAGTTAGAAAAGATGAAGGAAGAGCATCGAGAGGAGATTGAAAAGAGGAAGAAAACTATAAAGAAGAAGGATATGGTTATTCCAGGGGACGATGACAAGATGGCGCAACTATCACGAACCTTGACATCTCCCGGTCCTCCGAATCGAATGCCTAACGGAGAGGGGCGTCAATTGTTCGTAGAAAATTTGCCACCAGGAAGTAGTGAGACAGAGATAACTGTTACGTCCGTCACTTATATTGAAATATGTTCTAATATATTGTAATATCATAATATGTAACACATTATATTGGATATATAATGTTGTTGATTATAAGCTCTGTTATGATTAGAATCATGTATTTTTGCAGTTCAATGACATTATGTTTTGCTTGCGGAAAGAAAGATAAACGATTGCATCGTCATACCTTATAAAAACAATTAGATCATAGAGGGATTAAATAATTAAGATCATACGACAAAAACAAAGTCAGAGAGATGATCGATACGAATGTCTGACTGAGAGGAATGAACCAGGTCAAAGGGCACTTTATCATCCACAATTATTCATTGACCTTTCGCATCCTAAAAAATTTTTAAAAGAGGAATTAGGGAATAATTTGAAGGGTTTTACGTAACATTACTCAGAGAGAATCATTAACGATCGATTTAATTCACTTGTTTTTGCCTACAGAGCCATCTCTGAATAGTACATCCACAAGTATTAAATCCTACAACTCTAATCAACAAATTAAAAGAATTTGAAAAGCATTGTAATGTTAAACACAGTTTATTTTTAACCAAAACAAATTACCAAAACTTAATCGACATCTCAGAAATTAATTTTGCTATATTAAAAAACAAACTAGTTTATTAAATCCATTTGCCAGTCATCGAAGATAAAGAATACACAATATACCATTTAATTCCAATTTCAAAAAAATCGAACTCCGTATTTTTAGCTATTATACTAGACCAGGAATACATACTTCTAGAACAAAGACGAACAACTTTCATTCCTATAGATGAAAATTCTTTAAAACTTTGTAAAAAGCTTACAGATACCTTCATATGTAAGAGGAAACAACCCTGGTTTTTGCTAAGCGAAACAGACACATGTGAATCAAATATAATAAGATACTTCATTAAAGTGAAAAGTTGAGGAGGGACTTTCCACGGGACCGTTAAGAAATTTTTCTAGAAAAATTCTTAGGAATTTTCCTGGAAAAATGCTTCTCGAGTCCCTACTTCCTCAGCTTTTCACCGACGTAGAGAACTCGGGAGTGCCCTTGGGCGTTTTTATTATGACAGTACAACTAAATTGTGTCTAGCTAGCGACCCCATTCGGACTAGCGGGGTAGCACTCGACGCCCTTAGAAGGACTGCGTATTTTTGGTGATATTTCACTGCAATTTAATCATGCGACGAAGCAGATATAACTGCTATAACGATCCTCGGATACCACAGGGAGTTGAGTGGTCCGAGGATCCTCGGGAGCGCGAAGTTGAGTATGGTCGAGCCCTGGGTGCAGCCATGGGCGGACCAAGCTGGTTCAACTCCGATGATGACGACCCCAAGACGTGGCAGGAATTGGCAGAGGAGGAGTGTATTCCGCCACGTCTATTCGATAAATGAATGAGGAGTCGTAGGAGAGCAGGCCTCGATTGTAGATACTCCATTAAACAATTAGAACACCAAAAATGCAGATTCTCCCCATTTAAAATAGACACTCTTGCATATATATTATTACGTGACGAAACACAAATAATTATACCGGAAAATTCTATACAATTAGATTGTCAGTGTACATCGAAAATTTTTCAAGTTATTGTAAATCAACCTACCCGCATCGTTAATAACGAAAGTTGTATAATAAATGGATTAAATATAATTATTCGAATTAAACCACAACTCACGTACAGAACAAATATAAAATATATGAAAATTGTAAGTTTACCTTTTAACGCAGATCAATTAGAAATCATCAAGGATAAATTGTTACCTCTTCAAAGAGAAGTTCATCCTGCGATTCTTAAAGAAAATTTAGTCAAACCTTAGATGATATTGAAAGTGCCATGACTATAGAATAGAATCAGATAGAAGAACAAAATCATGAATTGAAAAAACAGCAGATACTTTAACCTATATAGGAATATATATAGAAACAACCGAAGTAAATTGTATTCCAGAAATCTAGTTTTTAATAATCAAGTATTATTTAAAAAAGCTAGTGTTATATTTTCTTCGACAAACAACACTCGGGGAGAATTATAAGTTTTTTTCAGAATAGGAAAAATTTATAAAATTATAATTAAAATAAAAGAAAGAAAATAATTCTTTTTTGGACATAATATCTTAGTTAAAAATATAAAATATTAGACCCGTGAATTCCGGTTAAAAAGTACATGAAAAATTCTATAAATGTCAACACATAAAAATTGTAAATTTATGTCATAATTATGCGAATTTGAAAAATATACTGTAACTTAAAACGTTAGAATTTTAATTTTCACTACCTTCAACATATTCTATTAAATAACCTAAGTTTCTAAAGTTTCAAGACAACCCCAGAACAATTCACGATTCGATTGTGACGTTTCGTGAAGAACGTCCCACATTTTCATAGTATATTTTTACACTTTACAAATCGTTTATAATTTTTTATAAATAAGAATACTTTTTTCAAATTAAATTAAGGATAATTAGTCATAAATGTAATTAATTAATTGCATTATTATATTAATTAATTAATCATATTAGAACAAAGTGTAAAATTTCACAATTCATTATAATAATTTCAATTAAATAAATTGATTGTATATGATTTACTAATTTTTATAAAAATGTTGGTTATTTAAGTAAACATATTGCAGTAATATTCTTAGTAATTCTTTAGGTAACGTTTCTAGGCAAACTTAAAACACCATTGCAAGGCAAAGTAGAGATAATATTCTACGACAATATTGAGGAAATATTGACTCAAATAATTATAAAAATATTTAATATTATATGAATCTTAAGAACAATATTGCGCCAATATAGAAGTACAATATTTCCTCAAGGCTGATATAATTAATATTGCTGCAATTTGTTTTCTGGTAGTATTTGATATATTTAGAATTAATCTTCTTTACAAATCTATAAAACAGACAATAATTTATACACACACACACTCATATAATATGTATATGAGTGATTCTTCTGAAATATTCCTTTTTCATGTGAATGTGAATCAATCAGTGAGAAAGAAAAAGAAATATGGAAAAAAAAAAGGGGAAGCATCACGTGTACCACCATTCGATGCTAAGTATATGGATCGTAATCTCGATAAAATAATAAATTTGTACAATTACGTTCAATGTGTGGATAATTTTGATACAGACAATACAGAATTTTTAAAGACTTTAGTACATCAAGGATTAAAAATAAATGGAGAAATTACCCCCGCAAGACTAAATTCGTTATCGCGGTACATTGAAAGTTTTGGAAACTTCTAAATAATTGTTACTTCTGAAACTTATATTATTATATTATATGATATATTATAATATCATAATGTGTAATGTATTGTATTTGTTATATAATGTTGTTATTAATTGATTATAAACTTTGTTATGATAAGACTTATGTCTTTTTAAGTTAAATGAGATAGTATTTATAATTCTGCTTGCGGCAAGAAAGATAAACGATTGCATCATCATAGTACAATAATGATGTTTCCGGAGGAGCTTTTCTGACTTGGAATGAGCGGAAAATATTGAATGATTCTCCAACTATCATGCCACAGACTGCCTTGGTTCCAAAATTGGAAGATCAAACGTCTATTGTTGAGAATAATGAAGCAAATGATGAAAAAGATATGACTAATATGAATAATGAGCCTACGACGAGAGGAGAAAAGAGATGAAGAAGGAATGACGCCAATCAAGTCATCAGGAATTATTCATTCATTTTATTACTTCGCCTCAATTCAATTTTTAATTAAACTGAATTAAATTGAGATAAATGTAGGAAAGATTATACGATAATTAGATTAGTGAAATTTTAGATTAATAAATAGTCATTAAAAATGTAATTTATGACATAACACTTAAGCAAACCATTACTGGAGTAGAGTTAGCAACTGTTAACCCCTATGATGATAAGGAGGTAATTGACGGTGCTAAACTTTTGGGTGACATTGCTTCCTTGACCAGTTTGTGATCTTTGGTATACTAAGAAGATACAGTACCTTCACGCAGATAAAGAGATGCACAGAGATAAATTTCTGACTTTATCTCGACTAACATCTGCAATAAAAACGTTTTAATAATCACTCCCTGATCATCTACAATTTACTCAAGAAAAATAATTGATTACGTTGATGAACTCTTTGGAGTAACAGAATGAGAAGCTGCTACATCGGTCAATAGCAGTTGTCAAAGTTGTGGACATTACCTTAAAACATCAGAAGGAACAATGAAAGTTGTCAAAGTGGTGGTCACTAATTTAAAACAACAGATGGAACACTGAAAGTTGTCAGAGTGGTGGTCATTAACTTAAAACATCAGATGGAACAATGAAAATTGTAGCATTTTTTGTTGCTACAAGAAATGTAAAAGAGAAATTAAGGAATAGAACGGTATTCTAAGTTTACAGTATTCTAAGTGTTACGTCACCGTTACTTAAAATAAATAAATAATAATATGCAATGAAAACGTTTTAATAATCACTCCCTGATCATCTACAATTTACTTAAGAAAAATAATTGATTACGTTGATGAACTCTTTGGAGTAACAGAATGAGAAGCTGCTACATCGGTCAATTTATTTATAAATGAACAGGTATTTATAAATACTTGACATTTATAGATAAAGTTAAATAATAATGTTTCTACTGTTATAAATTCTAATCACAATTCGGAAACAGATCACAGGTGTTCAATTGAATTAACTAAGATTATACCAAGAACTATTGGAGAAATTCTTAGAAATATGTAAAAACTGGACCAACAGAACAGAATAAAAAAGTGATGGAATATTACGGAAGGCAGTTTTCATCAAGCCACCGTGAGAAAAGAAAAATCTATAAATATAATTTTTTTTTCATTGGACACATATTTCGAATTGTGATTAAAGGAATAATAATTAAAATGCGATGCGTTCTTCGGACGCATCGACATCCAGTGTAGTTATAACGGAGTGCGCGAAGATTTCGCAGCATATTTTAGCGGCGTCAAGACTTATTGTATCGCTCTTGAAGAGAGTAAAGTGTCCACAAGAGTAAGTCACCATTTGCATTTTTTTTTTGAATTTGATGAACCTTTATTGATAAATGATTTGAGGGAATATATGGTAGAATGTTTTGGGGAATCTATAGATATACAGCCATGTAGGTCTCGTCGTAATGCATTAAAGTATATTACGAAGGAGGATAAGGATGCTTATTTTAACTGCAGATTGTCTTAGTTCCAATTTGCGAAAACAAAAGCAATTATATTTATATTATATTTGTTGGTAAAACTTCGTATGTGGAAAGTATGATTGGGGATATGGGAAATGTATTTTTCCCGGGCGTAGGTAAATTTTTCATGCAGGGATATAGATTAGAAATTCATGAAGTAATAGTATTTGAGGAATTCGATGGAAAGTTTTTTGTTCATTCAATGTTAAAAAGATTATGAGAGGGGGCTAGATATTCTTATCCGACGAAAGGTGGTTCAGATTTAAATATAACTTTTGATGGGCCTATAATTTTTGTATCAAATGATTTTTTCGATTGTGATGAGGCATTAAAAGGTAGATTGTTGTTTGTTAGTGCGGAGACGCCGTATTGGGAAGGCGAGAAAGTTGAAACGTGTGTATCGGAGGAAGAGGAGGGGAGTCGTGAAGCGGAGGAAACCGGTTCGTCGAGTCAAGCGGTCGCGTCGATATAATAAGTTTCGGAGTCCAAGAATAATAAAAACTTATTTGCCAAGTACTGGGAAAGTTATTTTTAAAGATGTAGATTATTTGAGTGCAACTTTTGATTTTCCTAATCCAAGTAGTCCAGTATATCCTAAGTATCAGAAATTATATCCTGGAACAAGTGATCCTCCTTTGCCGGCTTCAAAGGCACATATATTATTGCAGTATAGATGGTTGAAACCTATTAAGGTTGAATATATTATCGATAGAGTAGCAGTAGATACGAAGTGTATTAAGTATAATAAAGTAGGCGAAGCATGGGTAAAAGATCATAAGTTCAGTGGGAATGAAGAAGTAATTAAACATCATACATTATGTTCAGTATTCTCAGAGAGGACTGCTAGTCCAACACGGGGATCAGAGCCAGATTATTTAGTTACTACAGATATGTCAGGTGTAGCGCGTCAATATCCGAAGAATTTACGTAGGAAGTTTGTTTATAAACCGTATTGTACGAAATATAATCCTGTAACTGAGGCAGTAGCGTCAGATAGATTTATTAATACTTTTAATAATATATATAATCGAGCTTATCCTTTAGTTAATATTAATACTAATTGTCTGTATTTGGGTGCGTATACTAGAATAGAACATTCATTGGATGACGAGTTTGGATTTACAACGAGAATGTATTATCGTTTAACGAGATATTATCATTTTAAAGTTTGTGGAAAAATAAAGACTATAATATAAAAAACGAAATCGAATTAATATACTGAGAAATTACCCTTCCTCTTTAATTACAGATGGATCCATTAGTACTACCACCACTTTATGTTGGAGTGTGGAGAGATATGTGTGAAAATTTTTATTTATATAAAATGCCGCATTTGTATAAGTGTACGTTGTGGGCATCTAAATTGCAATATAGAGATAGAGCATTTATTGTTGCTGGGTGGTATCAAAATGGGTGGGCACCGCAGCTGTTGGGCGATTTATTATTTGAGATAAATGTTCATATGAATGATGATAAATGGCGTAGAATGATAGATTTATTTTCATATTTTAACGATAGAAGAATGGGATACGCAAGAAGAGAGAATGAAAGAAAAAAATATATATTTATAATAAAATAAAAAATTATTTGTTGTTGATAAATTGTTTAAATATTCATTCATTTACCTCGTCCCAATTTAGTTTATTAAAACTGAATTAAATCGAGATTTTAGCTCAGGGAATATTACAGGTTTAATTTAGAATAGGAAATTAAAGTAAATAAAAATAAAAATTCTTTTTAGGACAGAACATACTTCTAAACAAAATAATGTTATTTAAAATAATTAATAAAATGTAATGTTTTTAATAGTTAATAATGTAATCCGTTTTAATAAAAAATCATCTCGGTATGTCGATAAAACGATATTCTCTTTCTTACTATCGAGTTTCGCTTAACGTTTCGTTTAATTCCATTTCTTTAATTCAATAATATATCGTATATAACTGTTCAATCTTTGAAAATGAAACAATTAATTTTTTCTATTTCCAACTGACAAAAAGGAATACTTCTGCAGAATCACTCATATATATATATATAAATTTCTTACATACACTTTTTACATTTGTAAAAAAATAAATGAAAAATCTAGAAATATGAAACTCTTATAAACGCTACCTCATATTTTAAATAGCTTTTTGATTTATAAATTACTTATCTGTATCAATGAAGAAATTAAATTCCACTTTATTTATATTGTTATCAACTTTCCAGAACACAATGGGCATGGATGAATATTAGGTTCTTGAGTACAAGTACCACGGCAATCCTTAATTTCAGAAAGAAGACCAACAACCGTAGATTCATCTTCGTCATTTACGTTGGTTTTAACTTCTATACTATCTGAAGGAAAACTTTCAGCAAGATTAGAGTTAAACTTTAATTCTTCCAAATGTTCTGTAAAAAAAGAAGTTTGCTATTAAAATTAATTACTTATTGTTAACGCAAAAAGTCATTTTCCCTACTTAAAAATTCAGGTAGAACCAGATATAATCCATTTGAAGTTAAATTACCATCAATTAATTAATTAACCTAAATTTACCTTTAGTATCACAAGATGATTGTGGGTTTTCAATTTCTTGAAATGCATCTTTAATGGCAGTCGGTTTTGACTTCAATAACTTAGCAACGAGAAATTTCAATTTATTTATTTGCTCTTGTTGATAGTCACGTTGCTCCGAAATTTGTTTAAAAGTTTGTTCTCTTTCTTTAGCCCTCCCTTGAAGTATGGAGCGTTGTTTTTGATAAAGTGCGACATATTCTCCTAAAAATTAGTTTTAATTTAGAAAAAAATATAGTCTACTTTATAAAATTTTACTAAATAGAAATTCGATAATTTGAAATTTGATAACACAAAAATTCTTATATTTTCAGTGTTAAGTAAAAATTTCCATAATCCATAATTATATTAAATAATTATCGTAAAAAACAAACCTATCGTCTCCGTTTCTTCTTGCAATTGCAGCACAAGATGCTCTAATTTTTGCTTTTCATCTGTAAGTTCAGCAACTCTGTCCATTGTTTCCTTAAATCTGTCTTCTAACTTTTTTATAAATTCAGGTATAATAAAATTTTTGTTGTCATATATATCAGTTTCAACTTTGAGAGATTGATCTAATTCATTTTGATTGGAAATAGTAGTTTGATTATTGGTGTTATTAGACTCAGTATTTTCCTTATTTTGTATTGCTGATTGTTTAATTTGTAAACTTAATTCTTCTTTCAGTAGTATATTTTCTCTTTGCAAATTTTCAATTAAATTCTGTAATTTTAAAATCGTAAATGTCATAACTTATTGAAATTACAATTTTTAATCGATTTTTTAATTTAAAGTAAAATTTTTAGAATACCTTAGCGCTATTAAGTTCTTGAAGCAAATCATTTGATTCAGAAGATTCATATTTTGTCATTTTAAAAGGAAGGTCAGTATTTTGTAGTTTTTCACTTTTCAAATTAATCAAAGCAGCGTCCTTCTCTTTTAATTGATTTTCTAAATCTTCCAATGTTGATTTATATGCAGTAAGTTCAATATTTAATTGTTTACACGAATTGCGCTCAGACTGAAGTTGTTCAGTTAAATCTAATTTATTATTGCTCTAACAAAAAATTTAAAGTTAGTATTATTAATATACTCGTATATCATTTATACTGATTAGTTTATTTTAAAATCTTACTAATAAAACAAATGCATCATGCATTTCGTCAAGCTGATGTTTGAGTTGTTGATTTTGATAAATTGCTCGAGAAGCTCCTAGCTGTTCGCTTTGAAGAGCTGTAGCTAGTGCTGATGCGTCTATACTGTCATTCTTTATATCTGGTAATTCTTGTAATTCCTTATTTAATGCTTCAATTTCAGCGTCCTTTAAACAATATTTAAGAAAGGTTAAAAAGGAAGTATGATTAAAACACCTAAAATAATTTAATAATAATGTAAAAATTTAAATATGTTTTAAATAGACACCAAGAACACTGTGACGTTGCCTTTTTGAAATTCTAAATTGTTTTTAAAAATATATCGTCACTTCTGTTCTGTTTCGACACATCCGTCTACCCCTTTTTCGAAGAAAGTTACCGAACTATTAAAATTATACGGAATTAATTTAAAAACCTGTCCTCAATTCTTATATCTAACCTAAAGATTGTCATTTGACAAATTTAATATTCTCATGATAAAGCAGCTCTGACATCTTAAGGAGTTTGAACTTAGCTAACTTTAAAATGATCCGTATGATCTTACTTTGGAAGGCCTTACCCGAAAGAGAATCAATCTGAATATTTTTTGAATTAAAAATGTTAATCTCAAATACTGATTTCCTAATGCTAATGTCTACATCCTCCGCTGCCTGCGATATGGCTAATGTGCGACTTATAGACATACTTTTCTCTACATAAGAAGCAGCTTGGGCTTTTACTACAGTTTGAAAACTTATAATCGACTTCACTGAAACACGCAGTCTGTCCGCAGCCTTACAAACTCTTTCTATGTGATTGTACACCAGGCACCGAACGACCATCACTATTTTTTTATTGGGCAACATATAAAGCCAATCCATATGCGTCCAAATTTCTCCAGCCTGTCCGGTCGGTGACTACAACCGTGAGCTTCACTCCTAATCGGTTGGGTCCTAGGACTGTCAGTTTCCAGCTTCCTGGCTTCTGGAGCACTTCCACCAACGCCTGTTGGACCTCTTCTTCCTAGGTAAGGAAATCCAGGTCGCGAATCTCCAGTGTGACGAGTCGATCAGTACGTCGGCATAGTTACTTCCTGTTGCAACTCGGATCACCATTGTAGATCCACTCGTCGCTTTCTTCTTATTAGTTTGCTTAGGATTCGGTGTTCTCAATCTTTTGTGACGAGGTGGCTCATCTTGCTATTTCTTCTTTGCATCGGCGTCAGTCCTTTCCGGACTGCCAGAGCTTTTTCTTCGTTTCTGCGCCTCTATGACTGTGCGTCGAAGCCGCTTCTCATGGATACGATCTCTTTTCGTATTTCGCTCTTCTCGGTTCATTTTCGCATTGCCTATAGCGCCACCAAGGTTGCTATCTCTATTATCTGCTAAGGCGTGCTTTGTATTTACTTCACTGACAAGATCCTTAAGAGTCTTAAGTCCGTCCTTAATAGTCATGTTGACATTGTTCTGGACTTTGCAAGACTTTACCGTTATGGCGATCTCCTCTTCGATGTTCTGAAGACACAGTTTCCTCCTGCCTAAGAATTCTTTATTCGACCACTCTTTGTCTTTATGAATGGACCAACTAATGTTTTCATTATAAATACACATTTATCGCTTGCACGCATATAAATCGTCACTAAAATTTATTGTGTGATAAAAGTGATTTTTTATCCGTTATATAAATATTTTATTCTAATTTTAGCACAGTGCAGTAAAGTAGATGTTAACGTTTTGGTACAAGCTGTTCAGGAGATACGATAACGATACGAAAGGTGGACGCTTTATTCCTAACTCGGCATAGGAATCGTGACAATGGATTGACTAGCGATTGAGGCTTTAATTTATTATAAATTTTATTAGCTCCGGAAATTTATTAACTCGCAAATTAGAATAGTTTTAATAAACTTTAACTTTTATTGATCAATGTAATACTAATTATAATTAGTATTACATTGATAATATAATAATAATTATATATAATAACATTATAATAATAATTATTATTATAATCGACAAATTAATTCCTTTTTGATGCAAGCGTACACCAATTTTATTTATCATTATTTATTTATTTAACAAACATATGAGGCAAAATTCCTGAAATGTCCGAACAAAAAATTAAAAGTTCTCGAATTTAATCCATACTTTTCTAAAATGTTGTTATTGTTGGTGAAAGTCTAAAAATCAATTATTATTGAATTTAATAAAATAGTTTTTGAATTACAACGTTTTTAATTTTTGACTTTTGAAAAAAAAATTTTTTTTTAATGTACAATATTTATAAGTAGAATGCATAAAAGTTAACATATATATAATGATTTTTAAAGCTTTTTTGACGAGCTACACGCTGTTAATAAATTTTTTTTTTAAAATAACATTTGACCTTGAGATTCAAGGTCAAAATGTTAATTTACGTTTATCTCAAAATCGGATTTTTTAAAATTATTTTTAACTATCTCAATGGAAAGCTTGACTAATTACCTACAAAACATGTAATTTTTAGAGTGGGATCTTTTAAAGTTTTTGAGATATTAATTAATTAATTAATTAATGTTTATAACAAATGAAATATATTACAAACGAATAAAGTTACCGTAATTCTGAAGTTAGTAATTATAAAGTTAACGTAATTTCGCATCCAACGAGCCCTATATGAAGTATTTTGGATAAGTAGATTGTTAATAAACAATTAGTTAACATTGCAATTGTTTATAACCAATCTACTTATCCAAAATACTTCATATAGGGCTCGTTGGATGCGGAATTAGCTTAACTTTCAATTGGTTAGTTTAGATTTATGATAACTTTATTTGTTTGTAAGATATTTCATTTTTTATTGTTATTTAACTAAAATTGAACAAAAATACTTAATATAGGGCTTTTGGATGCTTGTTGTTAGTAAAAAATAAAATATTTTACAAACAAATAAAGTTATGGTAATTCTGAACTTACCAATTGAAAGTTAAGGTAATTCCACATCCAACGAGCCCTATATAAAGTATTTTGGATAAGTAGATTGTTAATAAACAATTGCAATGTTAACTAATTGTTTATTAACGATCTACTTATCCAAAATACTTCATATAGGCCTCGTTGGATGCGGAATTACGTTAACTTTCAATTACTAACTTCAGAATTACGGTAACTTTATTCGTTTGTAAAATATTTCATTTGTTATAAACATTAATTAATTAATTAATTAATATCTCAAAAACTTTAAAAGATCCCACTCTGAAAATTACATATTTTGTAGGAAATTAGTCAAGCTTTCCATTGAGATAGTTAAAAATAATTTTAAAAAATCCGATTTTGAGATAAACGTATATTAATATTTTGACCTTGAATTTCAAGGTCAAATGTTATTTAAAAAAAAAATTTTATTAACAGCGTGTAGCTCGTCAAAAAAGCTTTAAAAATCATTATATATATGTTGACTTTTATGCATTCTACTTATAAATATTGTACATTGAAAAAAAATTTTTTTTTCAAAAGTCAAAAATTAAAAACGTTGTAATTCAAAAACTATTTTATTAAATTCAATAATAATTGATTTTTAGACTTTCACCAACAATAACAACATTTTAGAAAAGTATGGATTAAATTCGAGAACTTTTAATTTTTTGTTCGGACATTTCAGGAATTTTGCCTCATATACGGGCAACAGCCCTTGAGATACATGAGTATAGTAACAAATAATAATGATAAAATTATTCATTATTATTTAGTAACAAGCCACGTAATCTCGAGCAAAATATATTTTTGCTTGGTTCAAAAAAATCAATATGTAATATTTTGTAAAAGCATACTAAATCAGAATACAGAAAGCGAGCAGAAATTACCGGTATATTTAACTTATTTCTGATATTGGTATAATCATGACTGCGTCTGTCACAAGTATAAGTCATACCCAAGCAAAAAGATGCGAATCTAAGAAAGCGATTTTGTACACGATCAATACGCCTGATGTGCAAATCGTAATATGGAAACCAGATCAATGATGCAAATTCCAGAATTGATCTGACCAATGAAAAAAACAATACTTTTAACACTAAAGAATTTTTAAATAAATTAGCGTTTCTGGTGATAAAGCCAAGAACTTTTAGAGCTTTACTAATAGTAAAAGAAATGTGGTCGTTAAATGACAGATTTTCACTAAATTGAACGCCAAGATCACGTATCATATAAACCCTTGTAAGAGTAGCATCCCCAATGGAGTATTTGTGCCTGGTAATGATTTTTTTCCGTGATAAGGATAAAACAGAGCATTTATCCAAATTCAAATGAAAATTATTACCTTCACACCAAGTCAACACACCGTCCAAACCTGACTGGAGCAACTCATAATCTTCATGAGCATGAATCACTTTTATAATTATCATCATAATTAAAATTTTTGGTTGCTAAAGGTGTTAATAATTTTTAAACAAAAAATAAGTATAATTACCTTTTGATTCAAGGCAAGCTGAAGAGATTCTTGTTCCAATACAAGATTGTCTATGTTTTTTGTTAGCATTTCCACTTTATGTTCTAATAATGGTTTAAAAGATTCTACTTGTTCTCTTTCATGCTGCAATTGTTGTTCCATTTGCAACAATTTTTGAACATAATCTTTCTCTCTGGCTTCTAGTTCTTCAATGCGGTTATGACATTGATTTAACTACAATTAATTGTTTTCAATTAGTCGTTTTATTAAACAATTGCTAGAATTGAAAGTGATAAATACAAGCCTAGTAACTGTAAACTATTCAAAAAAATTGTGATCAAATATGGAATAATATTGAATTTAAAGAAAATCAAAAGTTTATTTTTCCCAACAACATTCTACATATTTGAATTCCTTTCGATTTTCCAAATTGTATAAAACAACATTTGTATTTTTATATATTTTTATTTATATAATTTTAAAAATTAGTGTACTGACCTCTGTTTTAACACACCTAAGACGCTCATCTGACTGTTCCAAATAGCTTTTATATTGTATATTAGCTTCATCTTTTTCATGACTTAATGCAGATAAATTATCCTTTAATTGTGCCAATTGTTGTTCATATACTATAACAGCTTGGCGATCATTTTCTAAACTTTGTAGTTGATCTGAAGTGGATATTAACTGTCAAAGAATTTAAAAATGTTAACATCTTCAGAAACTCAAATTAAACTCAATTAACTCAACTCTAATTAAAATATTCTTTTATCATTAAAAAATTTTAAAAAAGAAAAATATAATAATTTTACCTGTCGTATTTTTATTTCATTTAGAGAGAGCAGGCCATTTTTTTCCTGTAATTCCTGTTGAACACTTGATAAATTTGTGTTGCTTAAATTTAACTTTTGCTTAAGTTCAGAGCATTCTAGTTCTAGACCTTCCTTATCTTTCCTACAATAATCAAATTTATTATGAACATTTTTTTAATATAATACATTTATGAACTACGTAATACGGGATTAAATTTCTAAAATGTTTAGGCTGAAAATTTAAATTTATCGAATTTAGTCCAAACTTTGACAAAATGTCATGGTTAGCGAAATCTAAATATCATATACTATTGAATTTGATAAAATATATTTTGGAAATATGTTATCAAATTCAATAATATTTGGTGTTTAGACTTCAAGTAACCATAATAACATTTCTAGTGAATTTTTGCCTCGGACGTTTCAGAAATATTTCTCTATATTTATAGTATACCTTAAGCTAGAACAATCATCCATCAATTTTTCATAATTTTGCTGCAATAATTGATAAGTTCCATTTATTTCCTCATGATTTTTTTTGTATAAAGTAGATTCCTTCTCGTGCTCAATCATTTCAAATTGACGAGATTTTAATTGTTTGTTAAGATCTTCAATCAATTCTGAAATAATATTTTGATTTCAAAAAAAAAGCTTTTGTCTTTTACAGGGTGTTGAGTAACTTTGGAAAAAAAATAATTTAAAATTGTAACCATCACTACGAGTTAATGAATTTAAATCGCAATTTGACGTTTTAACAGCTCTGCTTTTGTTTAATAAGTTCCATAATGGATGGCGTTAGAAGCTGTAATGATCGGGGGTTTTTAAAACAAAAGGATCCGCTGGCCGAATAGAAAGGGTACTTGTTCACTTAATTCTTATATGTGGCGTGAAGCGCCATGTATGTTTTGATTAATTTTGGAACAAATTCTTACTATGATCTAGAGGAGAGCTGTAGTCATTAACGAGTGCTTATTTGAACCTTCGAAAGAGAATACATTGTTTGAATAAAAGAATAATAAAAATATAAGAAACTGAATTTAGCTAACGTCGCGCTTAATCGCTGATGTTCGGTTGGTCGATCACAGTGCTCTCTACACTAATGTCCTGGACATTTTCCTCTCTATAGAATGCGTAGCTACCTTTAACATAACGCGGTCGCGTTTATCCGGAGGTTTTCCCAATAAATTATTATCTTAGATGTGAATGTAAATTATATTACGGGAAACGAAAACTAGGGCGTGCACTCAGAGGTAATTGACTCCAGTAAAAACTAGAAGGAAGTCTATTAGGATGAAGGATTAGGTATGTACCAGATAATCTTGCCTGTCGTGAACTAGGAACATCTACGAACTTTCTTGGGGAAATATCTTAAACCAGGTGACACCCTGAGTCAAAGATACGTCCCTCAGCTTCGCTTGTAGGTGAAAGAGATGCTCCTCTACTTATCAAGGGCGGTCTCTACATCCTGTCGCAGAAGCTCCTACAGAAGACGTACGTCTCCTACCGGAGACGGTACTCTAGGATCTTGGTTATAACGTCATACTCGCATCCTCTCGCAGACGCTCTTACAGAAAGATCGCAAGGATGACATTCTAGGTAATACGAAGGTATTTTCATAAACTCTCGTAGAAGCTCCTAAGAGAGATCGTGAAAACGAAGAACAAAGAAGTCAAGGAGGTTCTCTTGACGCGGTGGCTCCCACAGTCAAGAATACCCTCCTTTGCTCTACCTGTATTCAATGAGAAGCTCCTCAACCAAATACAGGTAGCCAGGAGTAAAATTGGTTTCAGTTAGTCAAGAGTAGCTCCTCCAGGCGAGTCGGAAGGCAACTGAGGGAAAAGGTGCGAGTCGCCAGGTATATGTCTGTCACTGGCAGCTAGATGACAGTGTGTGGTGGTGGAGGAGTGACACTACTAGTTAAGCTGTCTACTTTTTCTCTCTTCGCCGGGCGACTATACTACGATATCTCTATCATTATAAAGTTTAATTTGGAATGTAGTGTAAATGGGACTTTAATCGGATGTACAGTTTTGTCTTTAGGTCTAATAATTGTTCACGCCCCACCTTTCCTTAATATTAATAAAAAATTAAATTTCAAAATGTTTCATTACCAGTTTTTTGCTTAATTATTGCATAGCATTGATCAACAGTTGCTTTTAATTCAGCTTTTTCCGCAACTAAAATTCCAGTAGTGTGCGTGTGGAGCTGAATCTGTTGCTTTAGAGGGTTAATTTCTTGTATAATTTTGTTTGTACTCTCTGCATTATTTGCAGCTATAATCGCTTCCATTTCCGAAATTCTGCAACTCTGATAAATATTTATATATTTTTATTTTCGTTAACATTTAAAGGAGTTAAGAAATTTTTTCTTAAACTGCGAAGTTATTATAAAAAAACATTCCTAGTGAAGAAAGTAAATAAATAATTTATGTAGGTTTTGTAATGATTAAGATATCCTCCTTAGTGTTATTTGATACTTACATATCGACTAACTTGGTCATGCAGCTCACTAATAAGATTTGCCTGTTCTTGAAGACAGTTAGTTAAGAATTTATTTTTGTCTATTAAGTTATTCATGGTTGTTGCTTCATTAAATTCATTAACATCAGTCAACACTTGTGCAACTGAAGAAGCCATTTGTAACAGATTTTCTTTTTGTAGAAGCGAAGAATCGTATAAATTGTCCATAGTGTTTCTATCCTCATTATTAATATCTTTTAAAGAAGTATTAGAACTAATAATAGCGCTTGAATCATTGGATTCACTAATTTTGGTTATATTACATGAATCATTATTCTGAGGACGTAATACGCTTTCTTCACTTACTACAGATTGAACCGATTGAAAATTATCTACGGTATTATTTGTGTGGTATATAAAATCATTTGCAGAAGTAAAATTACTGTTACTCTCTATAATTTGAGGTGGATATTTTTCGTCTTTCACATAATTTACATTCACAGAAGTAAATTCAGGTGAATTTATATTTTCAACAAGTTTCTCAGATGAAAGTGAATTATTTTCACAGTTTTCAGTTTCAAAATTAATGTTATCACACTGAAAATAAAATTTTAATATATATAAGTAATTGAATACTAAGAATGTATTAATTGTTTAGAAAGCGTTCACAAATTATGTAACATTGAACAGAGGGGAGGTGTTTGTTATAGGGTGCCTACTGAAAATCTACTTTCTATTTTTATTCCACTTAATCAGTTAGTTAATTAATAATTAATAACTTCATTATTAAAATTTCTGCCCTTTCTTTGGTAGTTTGTTAAAGTTAGGCGCCATAAATGTTTATTAAAGAAATATCTATTGCAAATTTTGGAATCATTAGATAATTAGATCAATATTTATTTATTTCATCACTTACATCAGCGATCCAAATGTATTAACAATTTTTTTTAAATTAATATTTTATTAAAAAAATGAAACATTTTTAATCTTAGATGATTTTAGGCTCACAATTTAAAAAATATATTTAAGAAACATGTTTGGGTTTCTTACTACAGCAATGTTACAGAAATAGTGGTGCTTTAAGGAAGACTGTCATCATCCAAATCATGGATTATATTCAGTTATTTTTGCTGTATAATATAAAGCAATGGCAATTCCTAAATAAATAAAAATATACATATAAATGTTTCCTTACCTTCGTAAAATGTTCTTTTGTGGCTTCATTATTATTCTTTGCATATTCATTATTTGGATATTCACTACCTTGATGTCTGTGACTATTATCTTTTTTGAAAAGTTGATACTGTTTCAACTATAAATAAAATTAATATATAAAGAATTAAAAATTTAATAAAACAATTAAAATTTTTTAATTGTATTTTTTATTTTACTTATTTATTAGTCTATTATTTGTTTATACAGAATTTATTTTTATTTTTTTATTTTTAATTCTTCTCTTTTGAAAGACTCCTTGAAGAGGAAAACAATTCGATTTCGAAACGTTGGAGTAAAATATTTTTTTAACGTATTTGTTCGAATGTCTTCGTTTTATTTCTCCTTTAATGAAAGTACCCTATTGGGTAAAAAAAAACCATAAGGATTCTTATAAAAAAACCATATGGGAAATTTAAAACTAGGTTGTACACCCCTTGATGCAATATGCCCATCCATTTTCTTCTGAATTTAACCTTAAATGTCTGAAAATTGGACATCTTGTCTTAAATATCCAGAAATATGAAATTTTCAAAAACCAACACCAGATTCGTAATCAGCGACCCCAAAAACCCCCCGAGTAATGAATTTTGAGCAAATTAAATTGAATAATAAACTATTTTTTAAAGAGTCCCATAAAAACCCCCAAAAATGCAAAATCAGGGAAAAATAGTTAGAAAATGTTTATTCATATTTTTTATAGTGTTGTTAGACCATTGTGAAGACCGAAAAGCAGACCCATTTTTAAGAATTTTTTTCAAGAACAGAATAAAATGAATTAAAAAATCAATTATATATTATTTTTAAGTACATATTAAACTATTAAAAAATTTTTTTCAAAAGGTAAAAAAATTAAAATGGCGGCGCTGATAGTTGATCCACAAAAACCCTTCTTTTATGCATAGGTGTACGGTTGGTAGAAAATCTTTTTCAGTTTTTGACTTAGAACAAAAAACCAAATTTTTTCTTAATTTCTAACTCAAAATCTATAGAAGAATGTTATCTTGAAGCTGTAAACCAATTTTTAGCTAATTTGTTTAAAAATTGTACGAGAAAAGTTACCGGCCAGTTTGAAAAACTTGGTTTTGAGAAAAACGCGTAAACGCATGTCTCTATGATATACAGAATCGTATATTTGGCACCGCGCGGATGTAAAATTTAAGCTTTTAAAAATATTTCACCTCTATAATGATTACACAGGCACACAAAAAATAAAAAACTGTTTTGCCGAGACACTACACTATTATCTTTCCATGTATTTTTTGCCCACTGAATCCGAATTCGAAGTCAGAATTGTCAGATTGATTTTTATTTTTGAAATAAACTCAAAAAACTGCTCAGAAAGAAAAATTAAATCAAAAAGTTAAAAAATTTTGAATGTCACTGCGATAGTGTAATTCCATGTATTTTTTGCCGTTGAATCCGAATTCAAAGTCAGAATTGATAGATTCGCTCAAAATTTTGAGATAATTATAAAAAAAAAAAAACTCTTCAAAAAATTTTTAATTTAAAACTTAATTTTCCACAATTGTTTAAACAATTTAATTTTTTTAATTAATTTTATCTATAATTGAAAAAACTAATGTGAAGACTATTATATTCACAAACTTTTAAATACCCGTGTAGAAAATAAAAACTGGTCCTAGCTTGGTCCTATCTATTTTGCCCTATTATTAACTAGGTCCAAGTTTGGCATTCTAGCCTGGTCCTACAATGGTTTGTGATGCGATTTTAGCCTGGTCCTAACTTGGGTGCCTAGTTAAGACCAGTTTTATTAATAAATAATAAATAATTTAAAAAATTAATTTTAACCACAATTAATACTAACTTTCTAGAAGGAATATCCTGTAAGTTTTAAATTAAACTCTAAGAGTTGAATTAAAATTTGAACCCTATGGGAATCGAACCCTAGTCACATGACCTAAGAGACCTAACGAACGCTTTAACGACCGCGGCTACCGAACCTAATTAGATATTTTTATTTTATTTGTCTATATAAATTTTGCAGTATATTTTTTTAATTCCATTTTACAAAAATACTTGAAATCATCCAGAACTTTTCCTGTAAGTGTTTTATGTTGTTAAAAAATGGATTTAAAAAATTATATTGCATTGTTTAATTGTTTAAACAATTTATTGTTATTTATATTAACTTTGTTTGTATAGTGCACCTAGAAAGATGCAGCTTCTTCCTAATTTTACAATTATCATTTAATTTAATTTAATTCAAAAATTGTTTAAACAATTTATTGTTATTATTTATTAAATTTTTTGTAGTGTACCTAGAAAGATGCAGCTTTTTCCTAATTTTATAATTTATCAAGTTTATATTACTCTATCTGATAAATTACAAAATTAAGAAAAAACTTCATCTTTCTAGGTTTACAAAAAAAGTTAAATAATAACTATTATAACTTTATATTTTGTTTGCTAAATTGCAAAAATAGAAAAAAAACACTGCATTTTTCTAGGAAAATTATGAAAAATGTTGATAAATAGAAACAATTATTTGTTTAAACAATTTAACATAATATAGAATAAGGATTTTCCCTTCCGGAATGTTTAATAAAAAGTTTAGAAAAATTCGATCCTTGGAAGGAATAAAATAACATAAAAATGTATGTTATTAATGTTGTTTATTGTCACAAAACAAGAGAAACGACGTTTCGATGACTTGGTTCGTCATCATCTTCAGGTTAAATCAATAATTAGTTGAACCGTTACATCTTAGCGTTAGAAAATTTTTTTTTTCTGAGCAAAATATAATTTTCTAACGCTAAGATGTAACGGTTCAACTAACTATTGATTTAACCTGAAGATGATGACGAACCAAGTCATCGAAACGTCGTTTCTCTTGTTTTGTGACAATAAACAACATTAATAACATACATTTTTATGTTATTTTATTCCTTCCAAGGATCGCATTTTTCTCAACTTTTAATTTAACATAATAGTTGTTGCAAATTTAATTCTATATTTTATTTTATTTATAACCTTTAAATTAATAACTACTAAGAGAAGGTAACAAATTTATAAAATTGTGCTACTGTCTTTGTGTATTTAAAAAAGTCATAAATTATGAACAATAAATTGTTTAAACAAATAAAAATTCAACAAAATATTTTTGAAATATATTATTTGGCAATATGTATATAACAATTAAATAAATTAACAAGTATAACTATGCTGCCGTGTTTTCTAAAAACTTAGGTAACTGCAGAATGAAAGATTTCGAGAAAAACGCGAAAAACTGTTTAAACTTCATTGATATGTACCGCAAAGCTTAATTAAAATTTTTAAATGCCGTTTTGTTCCTTCGATTCGTCTAAATTTATTCTTTTTAATTATGTAAAAATAAATGTTGTATTTGTTTAAACATTCAATAAATTATTAAAAATGTAGTTACCGGTATGCTGATTCGAGGGTCGTCGCACGAGAAACTTAGGTAACTGGTAGTTACTTGGTCCCTCGTGCTACGAGCGCCCGTATTAGGCCTTTCGTCGCACAGAAAACTTAGGTAACTACAGGGAATATATAAGAATTTTCATCTTTCTTGGCAAAAAATAGTAAAAATATATTAAATAATAAACTATAATTATTTAATAAGCTGCGAAAGTTGTCACTATAATTGTTGTTTTTTACATATATTTAATTTTATGGTTAAATTTATTTTAATTATACAATATTACAGTCAAATATTGTATTAACTCAGAATATATTAAATAATAATATAAAATAAAATAAAATACATAAATTAAATTAAATTAAAAAATAGTAAAAATATATTAAATAATTATATGAAATAAAATAAAATAAAAAAAATAAAGTGTAATTATTTAATAAGATGCGAAAGTTATCATTATAATTATTCTTTTTTACAAATATTAAACTATATGATTGAATTTATTTTAATTATACAATATTAAAGTCAAATTATTGTAGGTATTAAATCAGAATAAGGCGTTCCAAAAAAAAATAACAGACAATTGATACTGCAGTAAATATATTTATCATAAAAATAAAAAATGTTATTACTGAATATTACTTCATTTTCTTAATTTATTAATGCTTTTATGTTATTTATTAAAATTAATACTTAATTTTTCAATAATTGATAAATTATTATTTAGGTATAATTATATATATTATATATATAGTATTGGAGTTTTTTATTTTATTATTTATTGTTATTATAAATTATTAATTGCAGAAAAAACATAGCAATTTTAAAGTATTGTAGAAGATTTTGCAGTTTCTTGGTCCTTCAAATTACGATCCTCCTTTTTCGAGGCCTCGTCGCATGGGAAACTTAGGTAACTACAGTGCTCTGATCGCACTCTGTAGTTACCTAAGTTTTCCATTCGACGAGGGCTCGAAAAATGAGGTCCGTGTTTTGAGAAACTAAGGCACTGTGCAGTTACCTAAGTTCTTCAAATCACGACCTACAAAATACGTCACAACACCCAAAGACACCCAAGTTTTTATAGCAGTTACCTAAGTTTCTCAAATTATCACACGGAGAGAAAAATCTGCCTTTTATATAGTATGAAATAGATTGCTGCTATTTTTCTTTAAACTTTTCATACTAATAGAGCAAAGATTTGAGAATTTTTAGCATGAAACTTGTCTATGCTAATAAAGTTTGTCATATAGCCTCTTATTACATACTTATTATACTTTTAATCCAACGGCGCCATGCGAAGATCGCACATAACATCATCCTACTATGTTTGCATAAGTTCTATGCTTTTTCGGGGATAGACTCTTGCAACTGGCGATTAGGCCAGTTCCAATTAAGTAAAGGTGGGCGTGGCCTAATCAAGCTCACCGTGGATGTTAATTTAAGCGATTAAAAACAATTTCAAAATCGCCCTCGAGAGATCTTTTAAAATTTATTGATGAGTGTTTAAAAAAAAATTCTAAAATCCATTAAGATTTGTAAGCTGTAGACTATTTTAAGCCACGTTGTATTATAATATTTTGTCCCACTGTGCAATGTGTTTATAATGAACACACAAGTAAACTTGGCTGCGGATATTTTTTAATTATGTTAGAGAATGTCGTCATTATAAAATATAAGCTGGACAGATTCACCCAACATATTTTATGAAGTAATGATGATAATATTTATTCGAAAAAAAAAATACAAGTGTCAGACTATCAGTACTTTATGAAATTATCCACGTTTACCAATTAATAAATCTTTAAAACAATTTATTCTGCCATATAAAGTCCGACATGTTTTTGAGGTTAGAAAAAAAATTATAATATAATAAAGAAAATCTGATTTCAGATTCGTATTTTGAGTTTCAAAATACTTAGGGAGGTCTTGTCTAAGGTTTCATTATTTTGTGGGGACGTGTTAAGAAGTAAATTTAAAAACGTACCTTCTTGCGTGCAGCACATAATTTTTCTTTATCCATCTTGAAAATTTAATTATTTCCAAGATTCCGAGAAATTACTGTTACATAAAAATAGATTGTAGAATTTACAATGTTAATTGTAATCCTAATGTTGTAGAAAATGTGAAATGTTGGACATTTTACACATTTTCTAATATAGGTTATGACCACGAAGTACTACACGTACATAAGTTCATTTTCATGACAGATCCAAAAGTTGAATCAGGGCGCTTCCACAATCACATGTAGTCCTAAAGACAGTAAATTACGTCAAGAAGAGAAAGAAGATTACGGTAATTTACCGGTAAATTACCGGATCGTTTTTTCTCTGAGAATTTATGAGAATTTTTACTTGTACTTTTATCCTTGTCTGACACGTGCGTTGTCATGACAACGTGTATGACGAGGATAAAAGTACAGACATATGTTCCTGACTGTACAATTATTATTATAATGAAAAATATCTTTGTTACAATATATAATATATATATATTAATATATTAATATTGATATAATATTACATTATTATATTGAATCAGGTACATTTATATGCCTGCACTTTTATCCTTGTCTAACACACATGTTGCCATGACGACGCACGTGTTAGACAATGATAAAAGTGCAGGCATATAAGGTTATTCAAGTTGGGTGGGGGAAAGCCAAGATGGTTGCTTGCTGGTGCACCTATCAGCCTATCAGCAAGCAACCATCTTGGCTTTCCCCCACCCAACTTGAATAACCTTATACCCTACCGAAAGAGTGGTACTGGAATGGTACTGAATTGGACTTGGCTTGAGTTCCACTTCAGTACCACTACCTGATAACCCATAAGAAGACATTTTTAAAGTACTTTAACAATAGTTTTAAAGGTATATAAGATCAACAAACCGTCTCTCGCGAAATACGTGTAAAACAGCAAAAAAAAACATAATAGTTTGTAGAAAATTTCTGTTAAGTTTGGAAATTATATTGCAATCCCTCCTTGAACAATAGACCCCTAGGTCCTTTGTTGAAGGATTAAAATTTTAACCCGAGTTTTATTGCTTAAAAAATTTGTAATTTTAATAACTCAACTTTAAAAAATATATATTCAGATTCGTTAATATTTCCAGATTATGAATATCTAAAATTTATCATAAAATAATTACATTTAAAAAAGTTATAATTTATCTCGTATACCTTAAGTTTGATAAAAAAATGGACATCATTTTTGAATTTAGCTGACAAAGGAAATATCATATGCATAATAATGTATGAAAATAATATAAATCCATGAAAAACAAATATAATATTGAAATAAATATAAAGTTTTAGTTTAAACATATTGAAAAAGCTAGTCGCTTTTCACTTTTATGAGGGTATTAACGGTAACTCGACCCTTTTCGCAGGTAAATTTCCCAGTTCCATTTCAGTACCAAAATGCACCAAATTAGTACTGAGTTGGTACTGAGCCCTCAGTTCCAATTTCCCAGTACCATTCCAGTACCACTCTTTCGGTAGGGTATACCCGACTGTCATCTTGTCAGTAAAGGAGGTTCTACAATAGATGCAAAACCAAGTCCAAGTACAAGTACAAGTGCAAATTTATTGTACTTGGATGCGCGCGCAACGTATTGCCAACTGTCGCTGAGGCGCAGTTGAAAATACTGGTTTGCGTCAGTTTCCGTTCTCTTGGTGCCGGCTCTTTAAATTTTTTGTTTAAAATTAAACAACGTGGGATTCAATTTTTAATTATAAATTAAAGAAATTAAATATAATTGCTGCAATTGCTGGTTGCATTTAATTAAGTGAGGTAAGTAATCTTAAAAAAATAAATAATATTATTTTGAAAATAAAAAAATTGTGGGTTATGTGTACATAACCTATATGCAGTTTTAAAACATTGAAAGTAATTTTACATTTTTCACAGCGTAATAAAATTGTAATTGTTTAATTAATTAATTACACATAACCCACAATTTTTTTATTATCAAAATAATATTATTTATTTTTTTAAGATTACTTACCTCACTTAATTAAATGCAACCAGCAATTGCAGCAATTATATTTAATTTCTTTAATTTATAATTAAAAATTGAATCCCACGTTGTTTAATTTTAAACAAAAAATTTAAAGAGCCGGCACCAAGAGAACGGAAACTGACGCAAACCAGTATTTTCAACTGCGCCTCAGCGACAGTTGGCAATACGTTGCGCGCGCATCCAAGTACAATAAATTTGCACTTGTACTTGTACTTGGACTTGGTCTTGCATCTATTGTAGAACCTCCTTAAGAACACAGAGAAAATTAGGGTGCAGTCCCATGGAGCAGATTAGCAGATTAGACGTTGACCAATAAAAAAACAGTCTCTAACGGAAATGCAAAAATTTGCCGCGAGAGATTAACTTTTGATTGGCTGAAATCTATTCTGCTAATCTGCTCTATGGGACTGCACCCTTACAGTCTATTATATTCAATGTTCAAATTATTCATTTAATAACATGTCGGTCGTTTATTTATAACTTACATACTATAAAAATACATATTTAAATTTAAAAAAGGCAATTATCAATCACTTAAATGAATATTCTCATAAATTCTCTTTTTTTCGGTAATTTACCGCAATTTTCTTTCTTACCTTCTCAGGTTTCAATTTTACCGAGAATTTTAAAACACTAATCACATGCATTTTCATTTTGCTCTTGCTTTCTGCGCGAGCAACATGTTTATCAGTCGTCAAAATTATTTAAGTAATTAATTACAAATTAATTACATGTAATTAAGTAGTAATCAATTAATTTGTTTAATGTATAATATTATTACTACTTAATTACATATAATTAATTAGTAATTAATTACTTAATTAATTTTGACGACTGATAAGTAGGTTGCGCGCGCAGAAATCAAGAGCAAAATGCAAAGAGCAAAATGAAAAAGCATGTGATTGTGGAAGCGCCCTCAAGTTGAATGGAAGGTTTCCATTGTTTCGACCCCACTCACCATTTGTCATAATTCTCGTCAGGTACCGTACCCTGCTCTAGTGAAAATTTAGTGACTTTATAGTAATTTTTAATTTTAACAATAAAATCACTAAATTTTCACTAGAGCAGGGTGTGGTAGACTGGTAGTTGACTCTCACTCTTTCACTCTCTTGGAGCATTTACACCTTTGATAAAAAAAATTTTTTACTTTAATTTTCCGAAATGCATTGTCCATTATCAATCAGATTGTGAACAACCAATCAGGTTTGTGTATTTCGGAAAATGCAAAATAAAAATTTTTTTTACCAAAGATGTAAATGCTCCATCAAGGCCTACGCAGAAGAGAAACATAACCGGAATCGTAACCGTAACGCAACCGGAATAATGAGTTAGGACCTGAGCAGAATAGAAACGTAACCGGAATCGTAATCCCAAACGCAACCGGAAGAATGAGTTAGAGAAGGATAGACATATTGTTTGTCCTTCTGTAACTCATTCTTCCGGTTGCGATTACGAATCCGGTTATGTTTCTATTCTACTCAGGCCTATATACCTTATATTATTATGGGTTTTTTCGGGAGTTGCTGACAGTAAAAAATTACCCAATCAGAATAAACATGCTGATGGATGAGCCAATCACAACATACTGACAGTATACTCACAGCAACTCCCGAAAAAACCCCATATTATAGATAGGTAGCCTCACTATATATTAGGTTGTTCAAGTTGGGTGGGAGGAAATCTAAAATGGCGATGAAGCGGTGCACAAACAAACATAAGAAATGTACAGGATGAAGTTGAATTTTTTTTAAAATCTCGCTTAAGAGTGTCGAACGGTCTCTGAAATTCTTTGGCATTTAATAATCACCCTATAAAAACGGCACTGAACGTGAAAATGATAAACATTGATTTTAAAATACTTTTTTCTCAAAACGCGGACATTTTTTTCAAAATCGGAAAAAATACCAAGGATCCTTATCTTGTAAATTTCTTAAATCCGAAAGATTGTGCAAATCTATACAAAAACGCAATTGTAAAATGAAAAGTACGAAAGAAATATAATTTTAGGTTTTATTACATCCTGCAGCCGTTAGGTGGCAGAAGCATGCAGGGAGCACAATGTCGCAGCTGTCATTATATTACTTTCGTACTTTTCATTTTACAATCGCATTTTTGTATAGATTTGCACAATCTTTTAGATTTAAGAAATTTATAAGATAAGGATCCTTGGTATTTTGTCCGATTTTGAAAAAAATGTCTGCATTTTAAGAGAAAAGTATTTTAAACTCAACGTTTATCATTTTCACGTTCAGTGCCGTTTGTATAGGGCGATTATTAAATGCCAAAGAATTTCAGAGACCATTCGACATTCTTAAATGAAATTTTGGAACCTAAGTGTATTAGGATTTTAGTTTCTATTTTTAGTTACCTATTTAATGCAATAAAAAACGTTCCAATAAAAAACGATTTTATTTTTTTAATAAATTTTATTATTACATTAAATAGGTAATTAAAAATAGAAACTAAAATCCTAATATACTTAGGTTCCAAAATTTCGTTTCAAATTTTTGTTTGTGCACCGCTTCATCGCCATTTTGGATTTCCCCCACCCAACTTTTTATTAAAGCACTAAATAGTTCTTTCAAAATAAAATCCTAATAAACTTAGATTCGAAAATTATCTATATGTAAAGTTATATGCACTAGATAGTCGCCATCTTTCATTTTCCCCTACCCTACTTGAACTACCTAATGAGGCAGTTCAACTTGTGACGTAGCGTGACGTCACTTTTCAAAATGGTGGCTTGTTGGAAGACACTCAATGCATTGAAAATTCAATAAAGCATATCAGTTTTTTAAAAATAACTTTTGATAAATTATGTTTTGAACCCAAGTGTAATTTTAAAATATTTTTTATTTGTCAAGATCTATTTTTTAAAATAATAAAAATTGAATTTCTGATTTTATTGTTTTAAAAAATAGATATCGATAAATAAAAAATAATTTAAAATTACACTTGGGTTAAAAAATTATATTTTAAAAGTTATTTTAAGAAAACTGATACGCTCCATTGACTTCAATAAGGTTATTCAAGTTGGGTGTGGGAAAGCCAAGATGGATGATTGCTGGTGCACAAACATCCGGCCTATTAGCCTATCAGCATTCATTCCCACGAGAAATACGTGGAAATGTGTGCTGATAGACCGGATGTTTGTGCACCAGCTTGGCTTTCCCCCACCCAAATTGAATAACCTTATGCATTGTATGTCTTCCGACGAGCCGCCATTTTGAAAAGTGACGTTACGCTATGTCACAAGTTTCAATTTTTTAATTGGGATCAGAAATCACGCGAAACTGACCCACCCCTGAGCCTTCTTGTGACAACCATCTTGGTTTTTTTTTATCTTTTTCTTTAGCATATATTAGAGAAAGACGGAATGAAAACATGGCCACCACAATAAGGCTCTCACCAGATGACGTATCGCAGTATTTCAGATCCTAATTTTATTAATAGTTTCGAAAAAAAAATCGCAGTCAATGATTCCAGTAATAGCCTAAGCACAACTGAGTCGGGTACGCAAGTCGGATACGGGATATGTCGGTTCTTTTTAACTGTACAAACCATTTCACAAACATCGTCATTTTACACTTTCTTGTAGCAGAAAACGTTTTAAAGCAAAATTTGCTAAATTTTTCAATCAAATCATCTTTCTATCACTATTTTAAAGTGTTCTTACATATTAAAACAATTATTTAATATTATATTTCTTTAAAAAACATTTTTTGTTTAAAACAATTCAAAAATACCCGCCGTGAAAATGACTTTTCACGCATTTTCACGGTCCAGAAATTATGTTCATCTGATCGAAATTTGAGGTATAACAGCACCTTCATGCATGCAGAAACATTTGTCCGGTCACACTTCAACAAAATCTAGTGAATGTTTAGTAACTTTCTAGTTACAACCGAAATTTTTGGAAAATTACTAGAAAGTTACTACACTGACAAAAAAAAGGTATTGAATCTATAGCACGCATATTCACATACCTTCAAAAGCAAATATAATTAACTTGATGCAATATGTAGTTCATATTATAGCACTGCTACTGAACCAAAGAATACAGTTTCTGATTCAATAGCAGTGCTGTAAAATGAACTACATATCGCATCAAGTTAATAGCATCTGCCTTTGAACGCATATGAATATACATGCTATAAATTCAATAGCATTTTTTTCTCAGTGTAAACATTCACTAAATTTCGTTGAAGTGTGACCGGTCAAATGTTTCAGCATGCATGCACAGTACATGCATGAGATAGTGTGACCGTACCCTGAGGGTCACTTGGCCGGTCACACTTTGATAAAATCTAGTGAATGTTTAATAACTTTCTAGTTCTAACAGAAATTTTTGGAAAATTACTAAAAATTTACTAAACATTCACTAGATTTGATCAAAGTGTGATCGGCCAAATGTTTCTGCACGCATATACATCAGATAGTGTGAACGTACCTTAATTCATTTGTTGAAAATTTATTCTGAATTACATACTCACTTTAAGTAATAATTATTGTTAATACATATATTCTAATAAATGATTTTTTAATTTGATAGGCATTTAAAAATTATAAATTAAATTTTTATTTTACAATAATAGAGATTATGCTTGTAATTTAAAAGTTCGCGGGTTTCAAAATGGCCGTCAATCGTTCCATTTTTGATCTGCGCGTGACATGCTCAGTTTGGTCCAACATTGATGAGACCTCTATATGTTAGATCATATAACTTTGCTTTGCCCTCCTACACAAAATCCTGTTGGATGGTGTAAAGTAAAGTTTTTATGGTAGAGTTTTACGCGATGACTTTTCTTTAGAATATATATATATATATATATATATTTTTAATGGAATTTGAATAAATTTTGATCAATAGGTAACTAAAAAACTCAAGTAAACACATTTCTTTATTGTGATCTTTCAAGTACTTATATATAAGTTATGTCAATCGGCCGAGGCAAAACAACATAAACAAAGCGAGACCATTTTTATGTCTATACGGTTTAAACAAAACTTGTAATAGTGGTTTTTTGGTGATAGAATACGAGGGTGAATCTAGTGCAATAAACGTGAAAATTTAAAGGACTGTTTAGTTAATGTTAAAATAATAAGATAAAACAAAAAAAAACTTTTGTTTAATATCACAATACTGGAGAAATAAATTGATGAGTTGCATGCGTTGTGTATGCGTTCCATTGTTAGACGCTTAAGAGTTTTAATGCACTCTGACTGTTGATATTGTGAATTCTTATACGTAAGGAATTTATCTAAACAAATAGTTTCGGTTAATGGATGAATCTAGCAGAATGCTACAACACGGTGGATCCAGCGTTGGTTTAATGGGTGGAAACCAAGGGCAAGGAGGACCAAATACTGGTGCATACGGAAATATGGGTCCTACTGATGGATCTGCCTCTCAAGGAGGAGATCAAGCTGTAGAGGCCAGAAAGCAAGATATTGGTGAAATTCTTCAATCAATTATGAATATTACAGATCAAAGCTTGGATGAGGCACAAGCAAGGTATATTTCATTTTAAATTAATTTCCAACACTCACATTTTTTTACTTTCCTGTAATTTAGTTGGGACCCAGGTGAAAATAACTTGTGAATTAAGATGTACACTTGTATTGAATTATCTTGAATTATCTGAAGTAATTTGAATTATCATGAATAACTATGAATTATTTGAGTTATCACGAATTAACTTGAAGTATATGAATTATCATGAATTACATTGAATTACTATGATTTATCTTGAATTAACTTGAAGTATATGAATTATCTTGAATTATCTGAAGTAATGTAAATTATCATGAATTACTTTTAATTACTTCGAATTACTTTGAATTATCTTGAATTTACTTGAAGTATATGAATTATCTTGAATTATCTGAAGTAACGTGAATTATCATGAATTACCTTGAATTACTTTCAATCACTTTGAATTATCTCGAATGAACTTAGAGTATACAAATTATCTTAAATTGCTTGAAATTATTTTGAATTATCTCGAATTACTATGAATTATCCTGAATTTACTTGAAATATATGAATTATCCTGAATTATCTGAACTAACGTGAATTATCATGAATTATCATGAATTACTTTTAATTATTTTGAATTACTTTGAATTAACTTGAAGTATATGAATTATCTGAAGTAACGTGAATTATCATGAATTACCTCGAATTACTTTCAATTACTTTCAAGTACTTTGAATTATCTCGAATGAACTTGAAGTATATAAATTATCTTAAATTGCTTTAAATTATTTTGAATTATCTCGAATAATTACTATGAATTATCTTGAATTTACTTGAAATATATGAATTATCCTGAATCATCTGAAGTAACGTGAATTATCATGGATTACCTCGAATTACTTTCAATTACTTTGAATTATCTCAAATTAACTTGAAGTATATCAATTATCACGAATTACTTTGAATAATTTAGAATTGTCTCGAAATACTATGAATTAACTGAAAGTATATTGGTTATCCTGAATTATCTGAAGTAACTTATCATATGAATTACTTTGAATTATCTTAAATTTCTATGAATTATCTTGATTTAATTTGAAGTATAAGAATTATTCTAAATTATCTAAAGTAACGTGAATTATCATAAATTACTTTTAATTATTTTAAATTACTTTGAATTATCTTGAATTAACTTGAAGTATATGAATTATCTTGAGTTATCTGAAGTAACGTGAATTATCATGAATTACCTTGAATTACTTTCAATTACTTTGGATTATCTCGAATTAACTTGAAGTATATCAATTATCATGAATTACTTTGAATAATTAAGAATTGTCTCGAATTACTATGAATTAACTGAAAGTATATTGGTTATCCTGAATTATCTGAAGTAACGTGGATTATTATAAATTACTTTGAATCATCTCGAATGAACTTGAAGTATATGAATTATCTGAATAATCATGAATTACCCTAAATTATCTTAGCTGAAGTAACTTGAATTATCATGAATTACTTTGAATTATCTTAAATTTCTATGAATTATCTTGATTTAATTTGAAGTATATGAATTATTCTGAATTATCTAAAGTAACGTGAATTATCATAAATTACTTTTAATTATTTTGAATTACTTTGAATGATCTTGAATTAACTTGAAGTATATGAATTATCTTGAATTATCATGAATTACTTTAAATTACTTTGAATTATCTTGAATTACTATGAATTAACTTGAAGTATATTGGTTATCCTGAATTATCTGAAGTAACGTGGGTTATTATGAATTACCTTAAATTACTTTGAATTACTTTGCATTACTTTGAATTATCTCGAATTAACTTGAAGTGTATGAATTATATATGAAGAATCGTGGATTATCATGAATTATTTTGAAGTATGCAGTAAGGTGTACACCAAATTTTTTAGTTGTTTCCCCTTCGGTTGGGAGGCATGAATATTCTCCAAATTAGACCAACCGGAATGTTTGGAGTGTCAAATTAAAAATTATCGAATTTACATTGAGTAGAATTTTAAAAAGTAGATTTTAAAGCGATTCAATTTTAATATTGAAAAATTTCTGTTTAACAAAATTCTGATTTTATAGAATTTCCTATTTAATTGAACATATTATCATCAAGCAGATTTTCCAATACATCGATTTTTCAAATAATACAATTTTCATTTAACAATATTTATAAGAAAAGTTTTCATAAAAAAAAATTTTATTTATCAGAATTGTTCTTTTGTCAAATTTCTAATATTCGCTTAGAAGTATTTTTATTAAATGAATTTCCAATTAAAAGAATCCTATATTAAAATTCTTATTTAACAAAAGTTTTATTCAATAAAATTTTTATATGATCTAATATTTATTTAATAGAATTTTCATTTAACAGAAATACTATTTAGCTAAATTTGTAAGTCAGAATATCTATTTCACAGATACTTGATGTGACCGAGGTTTCATTTATCTAAATTTTCATTAGATAGAATTGTTAAAACTTCGAATTTTTATTTTATCGAACTGTCACATATCTGAACATACACTTCGCAGAAACATTTCAGCGGGAGTTTATAAATAAACTAATCACAATTATCTTGATAATTTTTGATTGGTAGACTTTAAATCTCCTTTTGAAATGTTTCTGCGAAGTGTATGACCTGATATATGAAAGTTCGATCAAATGAAAATTCGACGTTTTAAGTATTCTATCTAATGAAAATTCGAATAAGTAAAACCTCGGTCAAATGAAGTATCGGTGAAATAGAAATTTTAACTTACAAATTTAGCTAAGTAGAATTTCTGTTAAATGACAATTCTATTAAATAAAAATTAAATCAAATAGAAATTTTATGGGGTGCATGATTATCCCTTAAAAATTATTACTGAGAATTTTAATTTTTAACAATTTTATTATATATAATTATTTTTTTCATGAATTTTTATTTTTCGAATTAACATTTATCAGAATTTCTTTTTTAAAGAATTTTTAATTTACAGAATTTTTAGATAATTTTATTGAATAAAAGTTTTGTTAAATAAGAATTTTGTTCTATAGACATTCTTTTAATTGGAAATTCTGTTAATAAAAATACTTTAAAGTGAATATTCGGATAAATAGAAGTTGGACAAAAGAACAATTCTGATAAATAAAAATTCTTTTTTATGAAAATTTTTCTAGATATCGAAACTAACACCGAATTCGTAATCAGCGATCCTAAAAACTCTATTAAACAACGTGAAAGTTTAAAATTTCCTCTGCAGAATATATTTAACCATTTTGGCACCGATTTCTGCTAATTATACTTAAGTCATAAAAAAGTTAAAATTTTTTCAAAAGTTTTATTTTTAATTAAATAAAATAATTAAGATTAATGATCAGAATTATAAATACTACAATTTTTTTATGCATTCAAATTTTTTTTTCAGAAAACATACATTGAATTGCCACAGAATGAAGCCTGCTTTATTCTCTGTTCTCTGCGAAATAAAAGAGAAAACTGGTGAGTTGATTTATTTATCTATTTTCATTAAAATAATTTGAAGGCACGAAATTTTTCCAAAATCTTATTTGTCACATTTTTTTATTTGATAGAAATCCATGTAAATTAATTTATTTAATTGTCCGACTTTTAAATTTCCAATTTGACGAAATTCTATTTGACTAAAATTTGTTATTAATTGAAACATTATTTGATGAAATAATAATCTTGGGGGCCATTCATTAATTACATAAGGATCCTTAGGGGGATGGGGGGTTTATAAAATCTCTACATGGTCTTACGTCGGGGTGAGGGGGGTGTAGAAGCTATTCTTACGTAAGATTTTGCCAAGTATTTTCCATTTGTATTGTTGTAATTTTTTTAATTCCATTAATATTGTTAAAAACTTACGTAAGAAGGGGAAGGGGGGGGGGGTCCGAAAAATCTTATGTATCCTTACATGGGGGTAGGGGGTATCAAAATTAGCCAAAATCGTCCTTACGTAATTAATGAATGGCCCCTTGCAGAAGTATTTCAAACGTATCTTTGAAAAACCGAGCACAAATATTTTAATAATTTTCTGATTAGGTAAATGGAAATTTTCTCAAATAGAAAATTAGTTAAATATATGAGCCCGTTCTCACCGTGTGGATAAGTTTAATCTTCCGAGAGGTTAAAGGCAGTAGATATATTTTGCGTCTGCGCAAAAGTTGTATACAAACATTCTGCGCAAACGCAGAATATATCTACTACTTTTAAACTCTCGGAAGATTAAATTTATCCTCACGGTGAAAACGGCCTCTATATCTATCAAATTGAAATATTTTCTTAGGGTTTCCAGCGGACCTGAAAATCCTTGAATTTTATAACAAAATTTAAAAATTTTCTAAAATAATGATATTTATATTTCTTAATAGTCGGGGAGCTAGCAACAATAAAAATATTTAAAAATATTTAATTGGTCAAAATATTTTATTTTTCTTTAATAAAATAGTGTATTAACATTAAATAATGCATTATTTATATTAAATAATTTAATTAATTAGAATTAATAAATTTATTGTATCAAATACTTTTTATTTGTATCAAAAAAATGAAATATTTGAGTGAAATAAATAAAATAATAGTTGCAAGTAACTCATTATTTTCGTTTCAAATAAACATTTAATTGATTAAAAATATTTTTTTATTTGTCTTGATAAAATAGTGTATTAGTATTAAATAATTTAGTTGACTTGAATCAGTTAAATAAAGTTATTGTATCAAATACTTTTTATTTGTTTCAATAAAACGAAATATTTGAGGGAAATAAATGAATGAATAGTTTCAAGTAATCTATTATTTGTATTAAATAAATTCATTTATTCAATTCAATTAATTATTTAATTGAACCAAATACGATTTATTTGGTTCAAATAAATGCGATTCAAATAATTCCAGTTATTGACAAAGTCAATTTAGTTGCCATTTTTTTCAATTTCGCGCACCGTGCGTTGTAATTTATAATTTATTTATCATTATAATTAAAAAAAATATTTTCATAGTTAAATATAGTATTTTTATAGTCTTAACGAGATAATTGCCTAATCATATTTTTGTCTCTATAATTATCTAATTTTACAATAAATTTTTTCTGTTCCCCTCGTAATTAGTTTATTTCATTATCGTATATAATAGACCATTCCATCAACAAAATTAGTGAATTTTTTTTTATTAATTTCTAGTCATTCTTCACTAAAAAAAAATATATATTTTACTAAATCAGATAGTAATATTGTACTAAAAAAAATGCATTATTGATGTTATATATTTTTAATAATGAAATAATATTGATAATCATTATTTATAATAATTTCGGTTAATATGTAAAAGAAATTGAAATAAATTTTTGTAAAATTTAAAATCCTTAGTTGAAAATTGTGGAGGAATAAAGAGAGAAGTCTTGTTTCTCTTTAGTTGAACGGAGCAAGGTAAAGGAGTTAAAGCTTTTCAATGTCAAAAAGTCTTGTTCACCTTGACTGCAGGAATTCTATCTGCATGTGCAGGGCCGCATTAAAGGTTTCAGAATATGGTAAAAAGATGTTTACCTAAAAAAATTTATTTTAAATATACAATAATTCTAATTTATGATGGAAGGTTTTATTTAATTTTCAAAATGTGTTATTTTTCAGTTAAAAATTTAAATCTTCATCCTTACGATATAAACGTACGACTTCATTCTATTCTACTCTCAATATTTATATATTACTACTAAAAGTGCCTTCCCCAAAAATTACATTTATTTGCATCCATGAAAAATGAAGTATTTTTGGAAAATAGGATTGAAAAAATACCTGTATTTATCCTTTTTTTAAATTAGGTCGTTTACTGTTTTTTAACAAGCAAAAAAAAAAAAAAAAAAACTAAAATCGAAGATTTCAAAACATCTTTAATATGGAAAAATAAGCAATTTTATTTCAAACATTGTGTTAATTTTTTTTTTGTGATCATTAAACATACCTTTAGTATAAGGTACAATTTTTAACCACACCTTTATTTTGAATTATTAGATAAAACTATCGTGAAAAGTAAATTTTAAAAAATATCTTTTTTACATAAATTTAGAAATTTTTTGTACAACTTAAAAAAATCGTAGATACCAAATTTATAAAAAAAATCTATCAATTTTTAAAAAATTTGTCTCTTATATTGAATTTTTAAAATCCGACATCAAATTTACCCTAAAAATCCTTCGGTAGTAAGTTTCATAAAAAACTATTCGTAATCAGCAACACCAAAAATCCCCTAGGTACCTTTATTTACCTGTAGAATTTCTATCGTAAAAAATACATATTATATGTTTTACAATTTACGACTTTTACTACGTTGTTGTAAAATGGATCATTCATAACCCTCTGCAGTTTATTGACTCTCAAAAAACTAAGACATTTTCATGAAAATTTTTCTCATTATCAAATAAATAAAAAATAAAAAAAACTGCGTATTTTTATTAAATCAGTTGTAGCATCTGATTATTTTAGTATTGTAATATAAACAAGTCAAAAACCCGTAAATACTTAAAGATAGGTATAAGCTAGTAATAGATGATTACTGTCGTGTTTTCTAAAAAACTTAGGTAACTGCAAAAAAATCGAAAAATGAGTTTTTTATATCGTTGGAATCGTGGAAAAAAGATACACCTGTTAATGCAAATTATTTTTAAAAATTGTTAATGTTATTAATAATAATTTTTGCATAAATAATTGAAAATACCGGTAATTGCAAAAATTGATGAGTGATAATTTGAGAAACTTAGGTAACTGCTATAAAAACTGGGGTGTCTTTGGGTGTTGTGACGTATTTTGTAGAACTTAGGTAACTGCACAGTGCCTTAGTTTCTCAAAACACGGACCTCATTTTTCGAGCCCTCGTCGCATGGAAAACTTAGGTAACTACAGAGTGCTATCAGAGCACTGTAGTTACCTAAGTTTTCCATGCGACGAGGCCTCGAAAAAGGAGGATCGTAATTTGAAGGACCAAGTAACTGCAAAATCTTATACATTTCTTTAAAATTACAATGTTTTTTCTGCAATTAATAATTTATAATAACAATAAAGAATAAAATAAAAAACTCCAATACTATATATATATATATAAATATACCTAAATAATAATTTATCAATTATTGAAAAATTAAGTATTAATTTTAATAAATAACATAAAAGCATTAATAAATTAAGAAAATGAAGTTCAGCAATATGATTATTTCATGATTAATATATACTTAATTTAGTTCAATTATTTAAAAAAATAAAATCGTTTTTAATTATTTAAATAAACGTTAATAAAGCAGCGAACTACATTACCTACAATAATTTGACTTTAATATTGTATAATTAAAATAAATTCAATCATATAGTTTAATATTTGTAAAAAACAATAATTATAATGATAACTTTCGCATCTTATTAAATAATTACACTTTATTATTTATTTTTATTTTATTTTATTTCATATAATTATTTAATATATTTTTACTATTTTTTAATTTAATTTTATTTATGTATTTTATTTTATTTTATATTATTATTTAATATATTCTGAGTTAATACAATATTTGACTCTAATATTGTATAATTAAAATAAATTTAACCATAAAATTAAATATTTGTAAAAAAACAATAATTATAGTGACAACTTTCGCAGCTTATTAAATAATTATAGTTTATTATTTAATATATTTTTACTATTTTTTGCCAAGAAAGATGAAAATTCTTATATATTCCCTGTAGTTACCTAAGTTTTCTGTGCGACGAAAGACCTAATACAGGCGATCGTAGCACGAGGGACCAAGTAACTACCAGTTACCTAAGTTTCTCGTGCGACGACCCTCGAATCAGCATACCGGTAACTACATTTTTAATAATTTATTGAATGTTTAAACAAATACAACATTTATTTTTACATAATTAAAAAGAATAAATTTAGACGAATCGAAGGAACAAAACGGCATTTAAAAATTTTAATTAGGCTTTGCGGTACATATCAATGAAGTTTAAACAGTTTTTCGCGTTTTTCTCGAAATCTTTCATTCTGCAGTTCCCTATTTTTTAGAAAACACAGCAGATTAGATGAATAGTAACAGATGATGAATATTAGATTTTGGATTATGATATAAATGTAAAATTACATTTTTTTTGCAGTTCTCTCACTAAGAAATACTCAAGAGGAAGAACCACCTGATCCTCAATTAATGAGGTTAGACAATATGCTAATAGCAGAGGGTGTAGCAGGTCCTGAAAAAGGTGGAGGAGCGGGTGCTGCAGCTTCAGCATCTGCGGCAGCAGCTGCAGGTCCTCCTGGTCAGCCCGATAACGCTATTGAACATTCTGATTATCGTGCTAAACTTGCTCAAATAAGACAAATATATCATCAGGAACTGGAAAAATACGAACAGGTATATATTTTTTTCAAAATTAACCGAAACGTCTTTTTTTTGGAAATAATCGTTTGAAAACAATGGAGAAAATAATTTACCTTTTCCAATATTTTAATATATTTAACATAAACATTATTCGTTATTAAAAATACTGATATTTTTAGGCATGTAATGAATTTACAACACACGTAATGAATTTACTGAGAGAACAAAGTCGCACAAGGCCTATTACACCGAAAGAAATTGAGAGAATGGTTCAAATAATTCACAAAAAGTTTTCAAGTATTCAAATGCAATTGAAGCAATCTACTTGTGAAGCGGTTATGATTTTGAGGAGTCGATTTCTCGATGCCAGGTGAGAATAGAATTGATTATTTAATTTGATTTTAAAATCTTTAATGTTGAAATTAACTGTTAATGTTAATTAATAACCTAAGTGGAATCATTTGTTTGGACTTTAATTAATAAACAATTTTTTTTTTCTATTTTAGACGTAAGAGACGTAACTTCAGCAAGCAAGCGTCAGAAATTTTGAATGAATACTTCTACTCACATTTGAGTAATCCTTATCCTAGTGAAGAAGCAAAAGAAGAACTTGCACGAAAGTGTGGAATCACTGTTAGTCAGGTGAGCAAATCATATTTTCGTATTTAACAATAAAATGTAGAATATTTTTTTGTAACATAACAAAAGTTTGGCAAAGAATTATAGATTTAATTAACTAAATTATGAACACATGCAAAATAGGATCACTAAAATAAACCAAAGAATAATTTAAAGAATTACATAATAATAAATCAAAAATAGATCCATGAGAATTAAGAAAAGTATTAATTTAAATAAAATTCATTTTTTTGGGAAAGGTCTCAAAGAACCTGTTGACATTGGCTTAATTTTTTATATTAACTAAAATTTTAAAACTTGCTTATTTTATAGTGTACTTTAAGTTAACTAAGTTCTCAAATAAAATAATTTATTTATTATATGAAAAAAAAATTATAAAAAAACATATATCTTTTTTTGCTTTTTTTGTTCTATGTTACCTAAACGACCTTTTTTGTGCCTTAAAGTCGATCCAAGACCTACAATATTATTATGTTAAAAATTAAATCAGCAAAACCAAAAAAATTATCAAATTTTCAACATCGTTAATAAAATGTCTTTTATTATATTAATTTTTTATTAATATCTATTATTTCAGGTGTCAAATTGGTTTGGAAATAAACGAATTCGTTATAAGAAAAATATAGGCAAAGCTCAGGAGGAAGCAAACCTGTATGCAGCTAAGAAAGCAGCAGGTTAGTAATTGAATAAATAACATTTTATTATTAATATAATTTAAATTTTGATTCAAGGAAGAACATCCCAGTAAAAAAAAACTAATTCAGATAAATTGAAATGAATTAACTTTTTTCTTAAGGTCCAATTCGTATTTTTCGCTAAGCAAGATGTAGTGAAGTCCTTTGTATATTCATTTCAATTCGGACCAATAAGTTTTCATCGGTTGAGAATGTGTCTTGCGGAGAATTCTTTTCACTTTATTCTTATTCTTCCAATTTTCTCCTAGTTTCAGATAATCGTTAATATATTACTGTTCAAAATTGTGTGTTTTCAATTCATACACTTTTTTATAATTATTACGCAATGCCGTGTTAATCTCAACACCAAAACTAGGCGTTGGTTCAAAAGCTAATTAGCGGGAAAACCCACACCAACACATACTCATTTTCCTCAATTTAGACGGCAACACACAAATACACTCACAAAATCATCACGCGCGCAATACACACAACCAACGCGCTGCGTGTACGCACATTTATTATTCTCATAGCAATCAACCGGAAAAGTCGTTCTCACCGGAAATTTGCGATCAGCAACCATTTTTCACAAAAGGTTAAAAGTCAAGCTATTTCTCCGTGAAATCATCACAACAGTTATTCTCATTCTTATTGTGTTCTCAAGATTAAACAATTAAATTAATCGGTAAAACTCATATTAACTATTTTTTGCTTAACCACAGCGTGGTCACGCCATTTTGCACTTGTGTGCTCATTTTGTGTTCTGCAATAAAAGTTTTGAATTTTTTTGTATTTTGTGCCTAAAAGTAAATTTATTTCCTCCACTCACTCCTCATAACAAAAACGGTGAATCTCAAACAATCTCCTCAGTAACATTTTGTATGTTTATTTTTCTCATTTTGTTTCCGCCCGGAGAGAAATTAACAGTGATGGCGACTGTCGCGCCATTTCTGGTGACTATACCGTTTAGTAGATTTTCGACGAACTAATTTAACAGTGGGATTTACTAAACAGCCGTTTTGTAGCTGTGACATATTAACTGTAGAGTAGCACCAACTGTTAACAAAAAGTTAAAATGTCCGCCTTTGTTGTGAATATGCTAAACATAACCTACTCTACGTGATTTAAATTTACTGTTTCTTGTAAAAATAAATAATAAAGTATAGATGAAGTTTAAATAAACTATCAATAATTTCTAAAAATTTTAATTTAGTTTGTGAAATTGGAATTATATTGTGTAAATAAGTAAATTTGAACAATCTCAGTATATATCGTATTTATTTATTAATTACACTTTTTTCTAAATATAATTAAAAAAAATGTTAATATAAATAAAATTAATATTTTATTAGATAAAGGAAGTTTATTAAGGTATTTTAATTAATTTAATAAATAATTTGAAACAATTTAATTAAGAATATAAACTTAAAATATATGTATATTGTTTTTCATGGATAATAAAAAATAGTTATTTGATAAAATTTTTGTGAAGACTTAAGATTTAAATTGAATATTATAGAAATCAAAATTTAAAGATTTTTCAAAATAATTAATGAATTATTATTATATTAATTAATATGAACATTAATAATATTATATTAATTAATTATTATTATCTTTTAAATATAATCAACTCACTTGTTTCAAACTGTCGCAAACAATATAAGTGTCCGCCATTTTCATAACATAAAAACTGGTCCAAAGTGGGGAGACTGAGCAGTCGCATTTAATCAACGGGTAGTGTTGGCAAAAGAACCGTTTAGTAAATAGGAAATGAACGCTGTTTAGTAACAGAGTATGCCAGTAAAGTTATCCTAACAATATTTTTGCCTATTAAACGCGTTTTGTAGCCATCACTGTAACTCTTCTCTCCGTGCGATTTCAATTCCATATATTTTTGATCCAGCCTCTTTAATTTCCCATTCAAATATTCACAGTGCAAGGGAATGAATTTTTCAACTTTTAGAGGCAATTTTTCAAAAACTTTATTTTTTAATTTGGAAAATTCTCCTTTAACAATAGGCGATGTAGTTCTTTATTTTATTTATCTGCAGGATACTGCTATGAATTTTTTATATACCGAATTTAACCATCTAGGTACGGGTGGGACTTGAGCGTCCCATAGATTTAAAAATATTATTTAACAATTTTACTGAAGAAATAAATATCTAATACTTACAGTGGGTTTCAGTAGGTAAAGAAGAGTGTTTTTGTACCATCGAAAATCGTTATTCAATTGTTATAACATTAAAAATATTATAATTGTCAATACATTTCATGGTTAAGTGAAATGTTTAAGTTTGATGCAATAATTTTTTAAAAGACAATAATTGTTTATAGTTTTTATGGTAAAATAATTACATATATTTTAAATTGATGATATTAGCCCTGGTGGGATTTTCAAGTTCAATAACAAAAAACAGTGAATTTACCCTTTTTTTCAATTCCAACAATTTTCCTCCAAATCCGAAGCATAAATTAGATAAACTAAAGCCTTAACAAAAAATTCAATGATAACTTTTAAACACCCTCGGCATTAGAGGGTTAAGGTTATATTTCTTTTACATTTTATTGCTACCAATTGCTTCGGTTTTTCGTGAAATTTGTTTGTAAATTTTAAACTAAGTCTAACACTGCAACCATTTTCTTCGTGTCCGCTTGTTTCTTCTGTATTTCACTGAGGGCTGAATATAAACCAGAGTGGTGTTTTCCAATATTAGTTAACGGTACCTATTGTGCCACCCTTCACTAATGTTATTCGTCCAACTATATAAAATTCTTCTAAATATTTTAGAAGACAAGAAGGCAAATACAGAAGAAAACAGATTTTTTCAGACTAATTCTAAAATGGTGAAGACTTAGGTAAAAATTAATGGCGAAACTTTAGAGGTTCCGTTTACGAACCATGTATCACTTTTTGATAGAAATTCTAAATTTCTTCTTGTTGAAAACACTTATACTCTTTCCGCCACCTCGGAATCAAAAATCAAAATTTTTTCACCTGATAAATTTTGCGTAAATCTTTCTGGAGTTACACTTAATGCTTCTAGTGACACAGGGTTGGGACGTTAGTCCGAGCGGCGATAACTTCGCATTGATTTTATTAGGATTGGTCGTTCTGGAAGTTGAGATAAAACATCACACGGAATGTTAATAGCCGGTGGCTGCTCTGGATGTTCAGCAGCTTTTCGTTTCAATTGACGTTTAACTTTCTTAGATTCAGCTATTAAATTTATTTTTCTAAAATTTCAATAAATTCAGAAAATAAATAAATACAGCTACAAAAACATTTACATAAATAATAAAATAAATAAAAATAAATTTAAAAATATAATTCAGTGTAAATAGAGGATAAATTATTGCACATCCTTTGAGATGATATTTCAATAGTCGAAAATTTAATTATTAAATTATTATAAATTATTTGAAAAATTGTAGTTTAATAAATATTTAAAATAAAATAATATTAAGAATTGAGTTTAAATTTGGATAAATATAATTTCTGAAATAATAGAGAAAAGATATTTATAGGTAACATAATGAAAATATAAACAGGAAATATAATAGAAAGAGAATTCTCCGAAACGATAAACAATCAATTGTTTAAAGTAGAAGAATTTTGAAAAGTTAATAACAAAAGCTAAAAAACTAAATAATTATTGAAGAGATTTTTACTTTGTAAAACGACATATACTTTAATCCTTCCATGTCACACTTTGTTTTTTGTTCGCGGAGGTCACACTGGGTAGTCGACACCCTTAGTCATTTTTAAGTGGCTGTAATTTGGAAATGGTTAATTTACAGAAACCAGCAAAATTTTTGGATACATTTCAATGCTTATGAATGCTTTACCTTTTTTCAGGAGCATCACCATACAGCATGGGTGGTGCTAGTCAAGGGACACCAACGCCAATGATGTCACCAGCGCCACCTGGAGGACCTCATGACATGGCAGGCTATGGAATAGAAATAAATGGCGGTGACTATGGTTCTCAGCCATATAACGACGGTTCCATTTATCCCATAAACCAGGTAAAGAGAAATAAATTTGAAAGGGATATTCATAATAGTAGTTGATTGCAGTTTATTTCTGCATGCTTCGTGCTTATTTTAAGCTTGCTAATTAGATTATAAATTGTATATAAATTTATATAAATTCAAATTTCATTTATTTCGTACAAAAAAAAAGTTTGAAAATAATAAATTTATTTAATTAAATATATTATTTTCAAATTTTATTCTTCTAAAATTATCAAAAAAAAAAAATTTCAAATTGCTTTTTTAAAAAAAAAATACATGGGTTAAAATATTTCATCCACTTTAAAAAATTTTAAGTCTTATCTACCATTTATTTAATTCTTTAATTACTTTTAATTATTTTATATATAATATTTAAAAATAAGAAGACAAATTGAGCGAAAATTAATTTTTGAAACTACTTATTTTTATGAATATTCATTATTATGTATTCTACATAACATAATTATTGTTATTATATCATTTTTTTTACGTAAATTTGTTGGTAAAATTCAAAATTAATTTAATCATTTTATTACTTTTATCAATTATTTTCTATTTACTTAAAATTTATGTAATAAAAATTCAGATGAATATGTACCGTAAATCGTCGACTTCTTTCTAATTACAAAAATAAGAAAAAACTTGTTAGAATAATAAAAACAAAAGAAATTTTAGTGTACATTATAAACGAAAAACTTCGAACATAATAAAGTTTTTTTTTCAAAATTTTATTTATTTATTTATTTATATTTGAATATTGAATTAATTAATTTTATTTTGTCTTTACTAACAGTATATTAAAAATTGAATTATTGGTTTAATTTTGTGAATATTTTATAGACGTTAAACGCACAGGTGAGTTTTTTTTTTTAAATTAATTTGAGTGTTGTGAATGTTTATTTTCTCAAATTTATCAGAAATTTTTACCAATTCATAGTTGGTAACAGAATTTAAAAAAAAATTTTACGTAACTCAAATCTGTCAGCAGATTTTGTTTCTAGATGGTACTGGAAAGAAAAAAATCTAAAAAGTCAAAAATTCACTTAGCGCTTTTTTTATAGCAAAAATAAGATTTTTTTTGGCTTCATTTTCAAACTTAGTTCTATAGTTTCTTTAGCAAAACTTCTTTTCCTTAGCGATAGATTTTAAAATAAAATTTTCCTAAAACTGTTTGCATTATTCAAGAAACAAATTGTTTGCATTGTGTTTTATAATTTATAAGAAAAAATGTTATTTAAATTCAATTATTTATAAAAAGTATAAGAATTTATAAAAATTTATTCCCGTAAAAAATTTTGTATCAAAAAATGTAACTTTTTTTAATATTTATAGAATTAAAAAGAAAGAATTAAACATCGTTCAAAGGCAAAATAATTTTGTTAACAATTAGTTTCGACAAAAAACCACTTTAAGGATGATTAATGTTAAATATAATTTTTTTTAATTTTAATGTAATACAAATTTCGTTGTTAGTATTCCTTTAAATTTATGCAAAATATCATCTATTATGCTTTTTTAATGCAGATATGTGACGCTCCACGAGAAAAAAGGCCTTAGGGGCAAAAAATTTTAGGTTATGTTTGTAATTTTGAAATTGAAAACAAAAGGATCTAAATACAAAGGTTTAGGTCTTTATTAGATCCAAAATATTCAAAAGAAGCTGTTTTTGATTGAACATTATTCAAAATAAAAGTTTAATTAAGCTAAAACTATCACTGAACATAACCTAATATTATTTGCCTTTAAGGTCCCTTTTTTATACAATGGTTTAATAAATGAAATTTATTCGAATATGGAACAATTTTTTTTTGCTTTCAGGAACTATCACCTTGAAATTCTTAAGGAAACAATGGAAGCATATAAAACATAAAAAGGGGAAACTTTCCGCGAAATTTGATCACCTTTCTAATCTGTGATCTTTAAGGCTCACCAAATGGCGAGAAATACGAACTGCAATCGATATTAAGCTCTAAAATTACTATAAATCTTATTGGTCTAGGAGTGTTCTACAGTATAGCTATAAAAAAAATAATAAATGAGTATTATAAGAACAATTTATTTAAATCAGTAGAATTCATTATTTATTTCAATTTTTGCTTTCTAAACTGATTTATTTTAATAGTTTAATAAGTAGCAAAAAAAATTATAGGTTATGTTTTTTTCGAATGAAAATACATACAATTCTCAATAAAAACCATTTCTTTACATTAAAAATATTAAATAGCAACTGTTTTTTTAATTTTAAATCAAAATAAACTTTTAATCATGATAAAACTATATCGTAAACATAACCTATAATTTATTTGCTTCTTCAGAGCGCATTCACATTTAAATATAATTTTTTTTTCTTTTCTGTCTATTGCTAAATTATAAATTTAAATGTTGGAAAAAAAATTAGCTATTATATTTCTTAATTCTTTATCGCTGTGCCGCAGATTTAAATTACATGGGTAAAAAATAGTTCCTCATTTGTGTAATTTTATGATTTTGTGTAGTAGAAATGCTTCATTATATTATGCAAAATAGTGCGTATTAAAGTAAATGGAAGATGGCGAGTTTTACCATTTTTTTTTTCATGAAAAAATGACGAACTGATAAAACACAGATTTTGTTAAATTTTGTCATTTAGATGTGTTCTTTAAATAAGCGAATCAAAAAAATTTTTAAAAACTAAAGTATTTTGCAAGATATTTACAAAGTAATTATAACACTTTTGCAGGAATTTGTAGAAATTTTTTTAGAGAAAAAGTTTTATAATAATTATAATTATAATAATAATAATAATAATAATAATAATTGAAATTGAATATTAATTTCATGAAAGAATAAACAATTTTTTATTGTTGATTTTCTGAACATTTCCAAATGACAAAATATAAATAAAATTTTCTATTATATCTTAGAAAGAAAAATTTTTTCGTTTTGAAATAACTACAGTTACAAGTTGCTTCATATTGATACATATTTCTATTGTAGGAAATATTTTTGATTTACAATTTTATTTCTTTTTTTATAGAACGCACGAATATTTCCCACACTGAATTTATTTGAAATTTCTATGGTGTCAAAACATAATTATTCTTTAATCTAATTAAATTTTGAAAGAATTTAAAAGGATTAAAATTTAACCAAATTTTAAAATTCGCGCAAAAACTTTTGTCCCGGATGGTCAAATGAAAATTTGGTGATTTGTTAATTCAGTCAAATGACAGTTCATACAAATGAAACTTACGACAAATAAAGTTTCGATAAAATAGAAATTCTGCTATTTAAAAATTTGACTAAGTAGAAATTCCATTAAAAGAAAATTCCGCCAAATAATAATTCGTTATTATAATAATTTATAATAATTCGTATAAAGTTTGTAAAATAAAAATTTTGTTAAATAGAAATTATATTAGATAAAAATTCGATGAACTAAAGGAATCTGTTTAAAAGTTCGACTATAAGAACACCGTTTAATTTCCAACAAATTTAGTGTGGGAAATATTAAAATCCTTTAAAATTATAATAATCGTACAAATCATTATATATACTGTCAATGAAAGGTCTTTATTTAATAAAGAATCTCAATGCAAATGAATATCCGATTTTTATGCTAAAATAAAGAAAAAAAATTCTATTATCTTCTCAAGAATTTTAATATTGCAAACTATTAGAATAAGATATATAATTGTGAAAGATGTAGTTGTTAGGATTAGAATATTTTAGAAGTCTGAAAAACACTCCTAGGCATTTTACCGCGGCTTTAATGGAAAATTTCAAATAAAGCTTTTATAACATGAATTGTTATTTGAATAACAATGGAAGATACGAAAAAAATACAAACTAAACACTTTGGTCATTAGACTCAACATGAATGATGTATACGATTTTTCAAACCTATGGTTACAAAAAAAGATAGTTTTTAGGAAAATGTAATGAAGTAGTGGAAAGTGGTACACAGGTGGAATTAGAAGAATTTCAAAATTAAATTTCATCATTTTTATATTTAATAAGACAGTATTTTTATCTTGTCTTTCGTTGTCTTTTTAAAAAATTAAAAATATTGTAAATCTCAATTTTATTCACTTTTCGATGGACCATGAAATAAAGATATAAAAATATGTAATATTTTACAAAAAAAAAAAAATTATTATTTCACATTAAATAGTTTTTGAATTTGAAGAACATGGAAGAAACACGTGCACCACTTTTCTCTAACAAAATCATTTAAAACGACGGAATCTAATATATTACCTACTGTTTCGACTATTATTATTGGAATATCATTTATATTTATTAGGGCAACTATTAATCATAATTATGAACTTATTTAAAATGTCCTTTAATATACTTGTATTCTTTTTTTTTATCTCCACCACCGCTGCCTACTACTACGATATCACCATTTATCACTAATATTACATACATTAATATTTTATATTATTATTACTTTATTATTATAATTATTATTATTACTATTATTTTAAAAAAAAAGATGTAAAAACTATCAACATAAAATTATAATTGCCTCCGATAAATTGATATTTTGTACTTCTTATTAATATATTCATTGAGTGATAAAATCAGAATTACTTTTGTATTTGATTAATCATACTTACGTTGTAAAATTAATTGTTTTGATTTTTCAATAATACAATGTAAAACAAAATAATTATTATGGATTCATGTAAAGAAAGATATCGGCAAATATTTAACTTCCATAGGCACTACATTCTGTTTGTGGTGATTGTACCAGTGAATGAAAAATTAAAGTAATAAAATATATAGTTTAAAGGGGTAAAGCAACTGTCACACTTTATGTGTTAATTTTTATGTAATTTGTGCCATTTTTTATTTTTTAGATATTTTAAAAATAAGCTTGAATTGAAAGGTCAAAATAAAGAAAAACTGTTTTAATTGGAATAGGTATATTTTGATATTAATTTTAATTCATTAAATGAGCTATGTATTCCTCGCTCGCTCAAAATGTTATACTTATTTTTATATACTCATTATAGTAGATATATTTAATTATTTTAATTATACCTACATAAATTTATATTTTTTGAAATTTCTATGATGGATAATTTTAACTCTATTCTTATCGTCTTTTTCAAAAATGTTTTCTTAATAAACTATCAATCACGAAGTAGTATAAGGAGACCCCACTGTCCGGGAAGGCTGAAGCCATTTTCCCCGTTTCTCTTACAATTAACGGAGGTGTCGAACCCTAACGGGGAAATTTGATACCTCCGAAATTTCGTCTGCTAAAAGTGACATAAGCGATGTAAACATGGAGAATCTCCATGGATATAATCATGATATAATTATTTATGTTGTGTAAAAACACAGTAACGAAGTAAAATTAGTAACTGCAAGTGAATATAAATTATTAAACTGTGAGACGAATATAATTTTTGATCAGTCAAAATTAAAGAGTTTAATACGTTTCAAGTTCAAATAAGTAAAAAGTAAAATTATATTCTCACCAGCGCGACCGGGTTCAAACTGCTGGGCTCTTTTATGAGAAATAAAATAATAAAATTTAAGCACGCGGACGCCAGTTAATTTAAATAAAATTAACAAATAATTATACGAGCAAAAGAAAATAGGAACCGTTTAGGAACCCTCACAAAAAAATTAAAAAAATAAAATCAAGCCACTTCCAGGAAATTTGTTTATTTTCAAAAATAAAAATTAGACATCATGAACACTTACTTGAGTTAATCGAATATCGACTCTTCGTCGGTTTCAGTCGCAACATACAATTTGACGATATTACAAAATTTGTCGAATATATTCCTTTGCAACACACTACAATTATCAAACGCACTACATTCAGAATGGTCGAACAAAGAGTTCGTGTACCGGCGATTTTCGACAATGCGTCCAATTAGTCAAATATTGGCGCTTAGATCGATCTAAGGTCGCAGGGGCGAATTATTGACCTCAGACTCCTTACCCTTATTTTAAGATAATCGATCAACATAATTGTTTATTTCAAAATATTCAAAATAACGTCAAGAATAATTTTCCCGTCACAACTGTTTAAATTTTATTTTAATTATGGTTCGACACCTTCGTTAATTGTAAGAGAAACGGGGAAATCAGCTTCAACTTTTTATGGGCTTAATATAGCAGTGGCGTCTCCTTATACTACTTCGTGTTATCAATTTTTTAAAAATATTTATTATCTAAAAGTACATTTCTAGAACTTTAATTAACAACAACTTTGTTTTATCAAAACCTTTATGGATAATAAGCAAACGAAGTGACGCCTTTGGGAAAAACTATAAAATCCGGTGACCAGAATCCCGCAAGTATATATAGTTCATCAGAAATGCAAAAATAAAATTGATTTACGTTTCTTATAAGATTGTTAAGTAAATTGGATCAATGATTTTCGACTTTAAAAATGTCATTTTGAGAAAAACGCATTTAAAGTTTCAACATACTTTTTTGTTTAAAAGAATTTTTTTAAAAGAAAATGCAAAGAAATTGATTTTTCGAAAGTTACAAATGATGTAATCCTCTTAAGTAACGATGTCTTTAACTTTATCCACGTGATGAATTCTGATTCTCCCTGAATAAAAATCTTCACTAATCCCTTAATAGATTTTTTTTCAAAAACTACCTTTTGTAAACCAGACCAATCGAATAATAAAGTTACGTTTTCGAATTCAGCTGTATATTCTGGGAGGCCTTTCGTCATTACTTCTGTGTGTTTCCGGATCGACTTCGTTTTCAGAACTTTGTTCTTCACCGCCTGTTTCCAAATTATTATCATTTCTGGTGTTATCCGCGTTTTCCCTACCACTGCCTTTAAATTGCTCGTTCTTGTCATTGTTATCGTCATCTCCATCGATATCTATAACGTTCTCTGAATTATACCCTACTAACGAATTAATATCCATTAATGCTCGAATAATATTTTGCCTGAGTTGCTCTTGGCTTGAAGAATAATCTAACCGTAAAATGTTGCAAATGGATGTTAAATCTCTTATTAGAAAAAGAGATATGGAAGGTAGAGGAATAAGTAAAGACGTTTACGGTGCAAAGGAGGGATACTCCATTCTTGGCGTTGTTGGAAATGAGTAAGTTTCCAGCGTCGAAATCCAGTGACAACAGTGCTGCAGTATTTAACACCTTGGGTACTGCAGAATCCAGTGCCACTAGAAAGATGGACCATGGGGCACCCAATTTCTTAAGGTTCCCCATGTCCGTTTGAAAAGACTTGGAAGTAGAAAAGGAAGCGCTTCAAGCGTTTCTAGTGTCAGCAGCGTAAGAATTTTGATTCCGTCTGACCCCGACAACGAGACAATCGAAGAAGAAAGCGATAAGTGTTAGGCAGGAGGAACACCTGAGTGTCTTCAGAAGATCGAAGAGGAGATCGCCAAGATGATAAAGTCTTGCGAAGTTCAGAAGAATGTCAACATGACTATTAGGGACGGACTTAAGACTCATCAGGATCTTGTCAGTGAGGCGAAGACAAAGCACGCCATAGCAGATAATGGAGATAGCAATCTTGATGGTGCTATAGGCAACGCGGAGGTAAACCAAGAAGAGCGAAACAGGAAAAGAGAAAGTATTATGAGAAGCAGCTTTGGCGCGCAGTCATAGAGTCGCAGAAACGAAGAAAAAGTTCTGGCAGTCCGGAGAGGACTGACGTCGAGGCGAAGAAAGAAAAAGCAAGAGGAGGCAACTCTTGTCAAAAAGATTGCAAAGGTAACTGTAGTACCGAATTCTAAGCAAACCAGTAAGAAGAAAACAACAAGTGGATCTACAATGGTGGTCTAAATCGTAACAGGAACAACGTATGCCGACCTACTAAGCAAACTTCGGAGTAAATCCGGACGTTAGCGAAACGCAGGTTGTGAGCACAAGTCCTACAACGAAGGGAAATCTCAATAAGGAGGCATTCACTTCTGAGATCTCTAAAGCGGTTGGAAGCATGGGGAAGGTGCAGACCGTGAACCGACAGGTCACATTGGAGTTCTGCGACCTGAATTTTTTTACCTTCGAAGAAGAGGTCTAACAGGCGTTGACGGAAGTGCTCCAGAAGCCAGGAAGCATGAATAATATTCAATGCTAACCGTCTCTTCCCGGAAGGGCACCCGGTCTTCTTTTAACGCCGCTTTGGTTTCTACGGACCTTACAGCGGCAGTTCTTCCATACCCGCTCCCCATGGTGCATCGGTAGTGAGGAGGCTTGCCAAATCACCGCCGTTTCACCATGCTGGTAGTGTTTTCGCGGGAAAGTAGATAAGCTTTGTTAACAACGGGAGTATTGTCCTTAAGGACCCAGGAATCCCAGTCAGCCTAGCCGACTCTAGCGAAATTCTGTACGGTCACATACTAGAGTTTGAAAGGTAGCGGACGGATCGACTATGTTCTTTAAGTGTGATGAACTCAATCATAAGTTTGCCAACTGCAGTATAGAAGCCCAAGCTGCTTTTTATGTTTGCGATAATGCAAACATTAGCCATATCGCAGGCAGCGGCCTGCAACGGCAAAGGCCGCGAAAGCTAGATCTCAGGGACCTTCACCTACGATGTTTAAACCTTGAGGATTAACTCAACCAAAGGGTGTGGTTTTCAGTCGATAATTCCTCTATCATTAAATTTTTTTGCTAGAAAATAAATATGCCTTTACCAATGGTCTTAAATATATAATACGTTATAAATAACTATTAATGAAAAATTTATTTATCACAGTAGAAAAATAATTGTTTTTATTACATTTTAATTCTTAATTAACTTCCATCAATAAGTTAATTTTACGTACATGTAAATCATTAGTTGTTTTTTTACAAAATTTTATAATAAAGTATAAAAAAAATAGTTAATATACTATTAAAAATATTTTGAAAAAAGGAACATAAACTAAATCTAACTCATTGTATTGTTTCTGTACATTTTCTGCACAATACATTAGAGTGATTATAAATTATTCTTCATCTGTTTTTTATTTTGTACAATTACACTACCTCATATGGCATATACTTCGTATCTCCCATATTCTATTTTTTTTGTTCTGCAATATAAAATATATGCGTAAGGTATTTTTCTTTAGAAAATATCTTTTTTTCTGTGTTGTTTTTTTATACATAGTAGAGTGATTTTGTATATATGCTTTTTTTTGTGCGAACATATTATTCAATTGTAAAATGTAGTGATCGAGCCGTAGAATTGATGGAAAACTACTGCGCAAAATATTCGAATATGATGTATATAAATTTGCAGAAAAAATATACAGGATTTCATAAAGAAATCTACGTTAACTCATATACCAATTCATGTCCGTAAGCCACGTATATAATTATGTAAATGGATTCTGGTCAGCGTTAGATGAACCTAAAAAAGAATCTAGCAAAGTTTAAAATTCTTTCAATTATTGATTTTCATAAGAATAATTTTGGTTAATAATTGAATTTTAAACTTAATTTTTAAATTATAAATATTATTTTACCAATTATATAACTGCAAAATTTAGTTTACGTACCAATTCGTAGTTTTTATAACAGGCAGAAAACGTGTTATTTTATTCTTTTCTTTGATGTGAAAGCAATCTTCAACAAATTGACAAGTGGTGCTTCAAGTGCAATTGATACACAAAATGACAATAAATATGAAGCCACTAAATTTCCAAAGTATATGATTAACTAGAATAAAACAACAAAGGAATTGGATAGAGGATATTCTCATCCACATTAGTACTTATATTTATAAGCATTTTTTTACCACTAAGCCATTATGTAAATGGAAAGGACCATCCATTTGAGTACTTGTAATCATCATAATCACAGGATGAACCAGATAAGCACAGTATGTTAACCTTGAAAGTGGATGCATTAACCGTATGGATAGAAGACTATCGATTATTGGAGCTGACCCTGTACAGCATTGTATGACAATAAAAGCAATAGCCATCGCCCAAGCTGTATGACCTAATGATGCATATATGGAACTTGTGAGAATACTTAAATTTCCAGGGTAAAGACCATATACTACAGACAGCATTATCATAATAGAAATAATCCAACAGAGAAATTTCAGGTACTGAAAAAAATACTTCAATTATAATTTGTTTACAAGAAATAATTATAATTTAAACTAGAATATTAGTGTTCATTTTTTATTGTATCATAAATTTATATATTGTAATGATCTGGGTTTTTGAAGCCAAAGGATCCACTCGCCGGATGGGAGCAGAGTACTTGTTCTCTTAATTCTATATGTTTATTCTTATTTATGTTTCAATTAATTTTGGAACTATTTATTACTATGATTTAGAGGAGAGGTATAGTCATTAATGTTTATTTATTTAAACCTTCGAAAAAGAATATATTGTTTAAATAAAAGAATAATAAAAGATACAAAAATAAAAGTAAACATTATAACGTCATACCCGCATCCTCTCGCAGACGTTCCTACAGAAAGATCGTGAGGATGACGTTCTAGGTACTAGGAAGATATTTTTACAATTTCTTGCAGAAGCTTCTACAAAAAAATTCGTAAAAACGAGGAACGAGGAAGTCAAGGGGCTTTTTTTGACGCGGTGGCTCCTACAGTCAAGAATATCTCCCCTTGCTCTACCTGTATTCAATGAGAAGCTCCTCAACTAAATATAGGCAACCAGGAGTAAAATCGGTCCCAGTTAGTCAGAGTAGCTTCTCTAGGCGAGTCGGAAGGCAACTGAAGAAAACTACTAACTACGCTGTCTACTTTTGCTCTCTTCGCCGGGCGACTATACTACGATACTTTGCTCGTTACAATATATGTATAATGATTTAAAATCAAACTTACATTTGGAATATAAACTTTGCATTTGCTCTTAAAGAGAATGTAACCAGTGACAGTACCAATAAAATATGGTCCAGCTCGTAACCAAGGCTTGTCGTATAGTTCATCGAAAAGTGCAAATGGTTCTTGAATTCTGCAAATAAAGTGAAAAATATAATTATAAATCTATTACATTCAATTAATATAATTTAGAAGCATTTTAATTAAAAATAGTTATCCTAACATAATGCAGAATGTCTTGGGGATATCATTTAGGAAATTAGGATTTCTGTAATACATCCATGGGCATCCCTATGGCATCTTAAAGATATCCTAATTTCCCCGGACTCAAATGATATACCTAGGACATCTAAAAGATATCCTGAAATATCCGTTGCTGTGAAGGTAAAATTTATATATTTTCTATTGATCACAAAAAATAATAAGTAAACAAGTTGTAAATTCAGATGTTCATTATATGAACATTTTGCTTCCTCTTTACGATCAGCAAAAAAATTTGCTTCCTCGTGGAGAAAGCATTAACATTGAAATAAACATACAAAAATAATATAATAATATAATCTCATATAACATGTTTCTATATAGAGAAAATTTGTTTCCGCCATTTTGAAAATTTTTATGAACGAAAGGACTACAAAGCTTCCTTCACGAGGAAGCAAAAAGAAATAAAAGGCCACGGTGGCAATTCTAAAGAACGAATCTCGGTTTTGTTATGAAAGATGGGAATGATGCTCTGCGCCGATTGCACCATTAGGAGGAACCAATTCCTAGATAGAAATTTCCAACAGGATATTTTATTTAAAATTTTGACTAGCGAAGAACTAAGTGCATTTCAAACACCAAAATTTGAGCTTTACTATTGGCACAAGATGAAATCTGATAACATATTTAAAAAAAAATCATTTATGTGTGCCTAGTGCAAGAAAGAAATAATTTCTTCATTTATGGACTCAGAAAAATGTTCGAGGTGCAGATCTCTATATATAAATCCATTAATGGAAATCTTACTAATATTTTTGTGATCAACAAAATCAATAGATTTACCCATTTATATAGTAAATAAAAATAAATTATATCATATTTGTAAATTAAACATACCTAGCAATGTAGTCATTGCTGTAAGCAATAGAGAATGTTGTAAACCACGAAGAAACAATCAAAAGGAATACAATAATTGCTACAGCTTTCAGATATTTAATAGAAAGTAATAGTAAAAATATTCCAAGAACATAGAACTGAGTGTCATTTGCCATATACCAGCTCCACAGCATGCACTGAAAAATGTTGTAAATACGATTAATTAACTGTCCAATAAATTACTTTCACTATTATTCCCTCGCATCCTTCTTTAATTAGCATAATTATACGTATAGCAACAGTTTCGCATATTAATTCTTAGGTAATCTGGCTTCTAGCCTTAGTAACATCCCTTTGCAAGCCTACGACGTTCTGTAAAATTTCCCTAGATATGTCTAATTGTAATTTAAAATTGTATTTTATAAAATAATAATGCTAAAAAACCTGCTGTAATTCTTTTATAAGTTGTTCTAAATAGCTTATAGGTAAAAACGGAAAAAATATTATAATAACTTTTTTCTTCACTCTTTCATCTATTAATTATAAATTTTTTGATGAACCCTATTTTTAACGTAAAATTTATAATGTTTTATTATACTTACACAGATTTGAAAAAAAATATTATTTCTCAATTATCTCATCCCGAAAATAATTTTCCAATCCGTATTATACATAATAAGGTCTCAATTTCATTTATTGCATCTCTTTAGTGGCTACCGTCAGATACCCTCCGGTACCGCAAACGCTAGAAGCAGACAAAGGATAGGTCAGAAAGGCATACGAGGGACGCGATTAATTAAAATATAAAGTATTTGAAATCATTCTTCACGTACTTAAAATCAATTTTTCAAACAAGTTTAATTTAGTTATTTATTTAATTTAGTTTATTTAAAATTTTTGAAATTGAGTACTTCAGATAGCTGACAATTTATATTGCACAACAATTTCCCATAGTTTCCTGCCAAACAAAGAATTTTATTTTATAAATGCGACAGTTCATTTATTTACTATCACTGATTTATAATTATTATTTAACCAATTTAATGTAGTAAACTAATAGAATTACTTGTAATCTTCAAAATTTTGCTTTAAAATTCATATAATTTCACAATATTTGAATAAATTTGGAAAAATAATATTTCTAAATTTTTTTTTAGCGGGAACCGGCAGGTATCTTCAGGTATCGCAATGCTGGATGCAGAAAAGGGATAAAGAACGTTTAAGTTAAACTGCAGCCAATAGACGAATTAATGGTTGCTCATATTATTTTCATCTATTGGGAGGCGGAATAGATCAGACAATCAGAAGACTCTGAATGATCGTCTATTCTTAAAATAAAATTATAAAACTAGAATCGTTAAACGATGTACTTTAAAGTTATTATTAGGTATTTTTTTTTGCCTAGGGATTCTTTGGAAATTTGCACACAGATAGCTTGGCTTCCGCATGCCAAGGTTATGTGGGGTTGGTAAAAAAAGGGAACACTAAACAAAATAAGCTGGCGAACTACTACCAGTCCTGACCCACTAAAACCCGTCAACCCTTCTTGGGAGCCCTTAATCCAATCAATAAAGAAATTATTTGATTTCCCTCGACAGGATCTATTAATACCGATCATTATAGACTTTTAAAACCATCATCTTCGGTGAAAATGACTGCCGCATATCAACCCTTATTCTAGAAAAATGAATTTGGTATAACTGGTATCGTTTCTAACTTAAGTGAAAAAGAAGCCTGTGTGACCATCTATCAATTACAACTAATAAATCACAAGCAGTCTCTTTGGCTGTCTCCCTTGACTGCATTCAAGGATTTACCCACGACCTCAAAGGTCTTATCCGGTGGGACATCAAGCTCCAACCCATAAAATTGACTATATATTGCTGGCAAGTGACAATGCTAGAAAAGGCACATAATATCTAAATTGAAATTTAATTTGTAAGGTCATTGGCTATTTCCAGCAACAGAAGTTTAAAATAATATTTCAATTAAATGAAAAAACATATTCCATGAATTGATAATTCCCTCACAGCAACGAATATTTTAGAACATTCTACGGACGCTAAGCATTTTACGAAGCATTTACGAGGAATCGGAAGCGACTAGTTTCGCTCATAAAACACCCGGTATGGCGAAACAGTTCTAGATTGACATGACTTGTGTTCGGTCCGATCGATCTAGGAGCAGGCAAAAGCCTATTTTACTTATTTAAAAAAACAAAATTAAATAAAATAATAATTTTAATTATAATAATTAAAATAAAACAATGAACTCTGATTAAAAGGTAAAAAACAAATTAAAGACGACTGGGAACCTATATAAGGGAACTATTTCATCAAACTATCAACCAGCCAAATCCAGACAGCGGCGACGTCAAAAGTTCTGGCGTTAATTCATATCAAGAATTTGAGGAAAACTCAAATGGAAACAAAACTGAAAATTTGCCTGAAATGAAGGATGAAATGAAATGTGACGCGATCTAAAGAGAGGGACATTAGAAGCAAATTGGTGTTTGCGCAGGAGAAGCAAAAGAAGAGGCGAGTGTGTTAATTATTTTTAATATAGATTTGAAAATTGTGACAAAATATTTAAGCATTAAAAGATTTTTAAAAATATAAATAAGTATCGGAAAAATGTAGCGGCTGGCTTTAACTTCATCCACAAAATCATTATTATTTCATCATTATTATTATTAAATGATCCATACTATTTTGTAAATAATTTATTAACTAGTAACAGAATTTATATCTATAAAGTACAAAAACGTTTGAAATCGATATCAAATTTTGTCGGCAAACGGTCTCGAGCATGTGTTTACAGGTTAACCGAGATGAAATGCTATAGTACGGTTCAGTCAGGGCGTCTCTCTCTCAAAGTCGAGTCGACCCGAACTTCGAGCGCCTCATACATTCAGTATGCGTGAGAATAGTAGTGCATACGTCATGGAGAAAGAGAATCAAGTGTCTCGACGAACAGCTGATCTTTAACTTGTAATTATATAAAAACTATTTAACGAAAATGTTTTCTGACTTCGGGTAATGAAAGAGGAACCTTTAATTAACCTTAAACTGCAATAATCCAAAAATTGATTTTTTGCTTCTAAGGTCCCTTTCTTCAGACCGCGTTACATATAATTTCGAAAAATTTCTGCGGTAGGTGTATCACCATAAAAAGCAGAAGGTTCCAGAGTCAACGAAGATCAAATCAAAAAGACAGGATCTTACAATTCGATCAAGGCGGAAATAACCATCAAAAAATTGACTGTGCAAATAAAAGTGGTAGACGACAACGACAGTACGAATTCTGTTCTTTTAAAAACAAAAGAGAGACTTAATAACAAATACCATCAAGTCGAAGCTATGTTGGAAAAAAATTTTAACCTTGCATGTAAAAATGCAGGAGAATTTTAAATTCTGGTTAAAACAACGAGAACTCAATGGACAAAAACTTAGATAATCATATAGTTAGCCACAAGTCGAATGCACGCAACTTTCAGAGACATTTTGGAAAGTACGTAACTTCCACAGCCGTTTTGGAAATTACGTAACTTTGTGGTGCAGAGCAGAATGTACGTAACTCTGAGAAACGTTTGGAACTCTTTAAAACGGTTTTTTGTGTTTTTGCAAAATACAAATTACAATATTTCTGCTCGGAACATAATATAGGATGATTGTAGATTAAATAATTGAGATTTTATTGAACATTGCCTTACACTTTTTATTGCTATGTTTCGAGCAGAAATATTGTAATTTGTATTTTGCAAAAACACAAAAAACCAACATAAGCGAGTTCCAAATGTTTCTCAGAGTTACGTACATTCTGCTCTGCACCACAAAGTTACGTAATTTCCAAAACGGCTGTGGAAGTTACGTACTTTCCAAAATGTCTCTGAAAGTTGAGTGCATTCGACTTGGGGCTAACGATATGAAGAAGTTTTGAGAAATCAATGAGAATCTAGTTGCTCGCTTTAAATCTGCACAGGAATTGGAGTGCGAAAACAATTTTTCTGAATCGTTTAGACGTGCGGAAGACGGCAGATTTGAGGTTAGCTTACAATTGAAAAAGGATATTCGATTATTGGGTGAATCTAGGTCGGGTGCTGAGAAACGACTGTTGTCCATGGAGAGGCGTTTTCGAAAGGATCAAACCATAAAGTTGAGGTATCATGAATATATGGATGAGTTTCTTGAGTTGGGTCATATGACTAGGATATTGGATCAGGCGGCTGGTTTCAAAATCTATTTGCCGCACCATGCAGTCGTTAAAGAATCATGTACTACTACCAAGGTCAGAGTGGTGTTGGACAGTTCATTCAAGACAACATCAGGAATTTCATTGAATGATTGTGTAATGGTTGGTCCAGAATTGCGCTTATCGTCGTGCTCAAGGCCGACTGGGATGCTTGGGTCCTTAAGGACTATAACTCCCGATCTTAAAATAAGCATATCTACCCCCTAACAAAAGAACTACCGGCATGTTGAAACGGCGGCGATTTGGCAAGCCGCCTCGCTACCGATGCACCATGGGAAAAGAGGAGGGAAAAATTGCCGTTGTAAGGTCCTTAAGGACCAAAATGGCGAAGAAGACCGGGTGCCCTTCCAGGAGGAGACGGTTAGCATTGATTCCCTTCGCCCGTGCAAGTAGAACTTGAGCGGAAGAAGGGAATCCAAGTACCCAGCGGGGACCTCGTGGAGGTTCCTTCTTCAAGCTAAGCTCCACCCACCGATGGTCTGGTAGGTCACACACACTCATACAATAGGTGCCCAATGAAATGGCGGAACGGTTAGTAACATTCATCTTTGACCCGATGACACCCCAACAGGAGTGGGCGTGAGTTAGCGAGGACAAGAATCCTGCACTTCCAACGGGAACCGCGTGGAACATCCGCTCCCAGACCGAAGTGTCAGACCGCAGTCTGAAACCACAACGGTCTCACCCTGCCTCCAGACGAGGAGGCGTACTGCGTTCAAATTTCCCTCTTTAGTCGCCTCGTACGACACGCGATGGGATACGGGAAGACAAATTCTCCGGCCGGACTTCCGCTGACACCTTGCACGGGGAGGGTCCCATTTCACATGGTGAACACCTGGCAGGCGTAGTGCGTTCATACATAATCGGTAATGTCCCATCTCAGCGTCTCCGTCGAAGCGGTACTTAGCTAGATGGGTACAACCCTCCGCACCCCTTTTAGTCGCCTTTTACGACATGCAGTGGGCTACAGGCGCCCTATTCTGAAGCCGGGAGCGCCACGGCGGTAATGGTTGGTCTAGTTGATCAGCAGAAATTGTTTTTAATCATTCTTCGATTCAGACAACATTAATTCGTGATTACCGGTGATATAGTCAAAATGTATCGCCAGATTTGGGTCAAGCCAGAGCATAGGAATCTTCAGTGCATTTTATGGCGGAAAGATCCAGATCAAACAAAGAGATAACATATCAACTCAACACAGTGACATTTGGAGTAAAGTCGTCTCCTTATCTGGCCACAAGGTGTTTGCTTCAGCTTTCAGAGGAATGTAGAGACATTGCCTCACGAGTTATCAGAGAGGATTTTTATGTGGATGACATGCTCTCTGGGGGAGAAACTAAAGAGAAAATTGAAGCTATTGAGTATGAAGTTAATGCTGTATTACAATCTGCTGGTTTTTAATTACAGAAAATTTATTCAAATAAAATTGAGAAGTACAAGGAAGTTAGAAATCATGATCTTACTGAAATAAAGACTTTTGGTTTAAGGTGTCAAACTGAAGGTGATTATCTAATATATCAATCAAACTATGAACGTGAAGAAAAAATTGTCACAAAAAGGATGATTTTATCAGTTGTAGCGCAGGTTTTCGATCCCTTGGGGCTAATAGGACCATTTTCCGTTCGATCAAAAATACTGCTTCAAGGTCTGTGGAAAATGAAAATAGGATGGGATGTTCCCATTGCCACTGAGGTAGCAAAGCAATGGATTTTATACTGTGAGCAGCTGAAACAAATTAAAAAAATTAAAATTCCACGGCATGTTTCGGTGGAATCACCGCAGGAGATCGAGGTTCATGGCTTCTGTGTTTCATCCCAGGTACCTAGTGCCAATCATCCTCGCCTTCCTAGACTCTTCTACAGGTCCTTCTGTAAAAAAGTCATCTCCCATTTTCCTTGCGACGCAATTCCGGATAAATGCAGGTATCTCCTGTTTCATCTGAACAACAGGATTGATTCTCTATCTCAGGGTACTTCCTGGATTGAGGTGATATTTTATGGAAACATAGTTCTCAGTATTTTGCATCGGGCATGAACATCAGGTAGCGTTCTGATGACTAGCTCTCTGATTGATCCTTGATCAATCTCTAACGTACACGAAATCTAGTTTCGTTCGACGACGTAAATCGGGAAGTAAATTTCTGGAATAGCTTCGGAGAATAGTCGGAAAAATAAGGGAAAAGGGAATTGACTTATTCTCAAACTAGAATTTGCCCATATTTGAAATTAGCGCGCCATTGTTAATCGTTTGACTCCTACTATTACTTCTTGATTTTTATTACACATGCGCGAGAGCTTGAAGCTGAGCTCGCTCTCTTCTGTTTTTGACGAGACGACTGTCGTTTTTATTTAATTTGATTTTTGTGTGTGTCGTTCTCTCTCTCCTCTGTTTACGGTAATCCCGAACCTGAGATCAAAAAGTTTGTCCCCGAGAATGACGCGGATTGTGAACTTAGAAAATTGAGCTCTCCCGTGAAGGTTCATAGTTCGATACGGTCATCGAGGATCCGGGTAATTGTTTTACATGGCGCTAAGGAAGTTCATCTAAACGGGTCACCAATGTCCGTTTATAAGTCCAAAGCGTAGGATTCCTAAATCCAATGATTATGGGTCGAAAAAGTTTTGCCATTTGTGTAGTGTTATTTTAGAATAATGTTCTGATTGATAATCACGTTACGATGTATTCAAAAATTAGGATATCCCTGGAATTTCTTCTTCTTCCATGGCACATCCTAGGGATATCCTAATTTCCCCGGACTAAATGAAATTTCTAAAATATCCGAATGCTGTGAGGGTTATTGAATATTCTTCCAGGGAACTAACTTGATAATATTTTCATAGTGATAATTGTAAAACGTGCCAGTATTCTGCTTTTTAGTTATGCGTATCTTATTTATAAAAGATGTTTAAAATTCTCAATTACTAAAATAAAATAAATAAAAATAGAAAATGCTTACCATTTCTGTTCGAGGAAATAGAGAATTTAAATATAGAGCATTTCTCCACCAAAATTTTTCACAAGTTAAGTGATCAATGATGCCAGGTGAGAAAACTGTTTTTGACAAAGCATATTTTATGGCAATCTCGTTCATTCCAAGGACAAAAAGATAAGCTGGAGTCAGACTTTAAAAAAGAAAATTTATAATAAATATAAATTTTTTAATTCGTAAAGGAATAACTTAAGTTTAAATAAATAACATTTAAAGTCAAAGAGGAGCGTTATTCTTATTAGAATTTGAAATAATATTGCTCGTCAGTGTTAACATACGTTTGATACGCAATATTGTCTCACAGTGTTACTTAAAGGCGAACTGACATTATACCTAATGAAATGATTTAACAAATTTTTATACACATTCTAACTTACCGGATAAAACGATAAACGATCATAATCATAAACTTGGTCAAACTTGTCGCAAGAAAACTCCTATTTTCATTTTTCATATTATTCATCGAGCGAAAAAAGAGTATTGTTACCAGTAGACCACTGAAATAAAAATTATATTACATTTGTAATAGGTATTAAATATAATTAATTTATATGTTAATCTATAACAATCGTCTTTATTCTAAATTTATACTAATCACAGTTACTGATTTCTAAGCTCACATAAAATTTTGAATTCGTTTTCTTCTTATTCGAAACTTACACTAATGAAAGTTACCGACTTCTCAGCTCAGAGAGATATAGAATGGAAAATACATTATCGTTGTTTAGTTATGAAATTTTGACTTTTATATAATATATATGAAAACAGTCTTACCTAATAAAAAAAAATGTGTCGACGGAAAATGTAGCATTACTTATAGTCTGAAACATAACGTTTCTCTCAGTTACAGTCCTTAAAGTTTTGTTATCTGTAAACAAAAAATCCATTTAGTGATTGTAATATTTTTACAAATTTTGTTATTAACGTATAGAATTATTGTTTATACCATTTTTAAAATAGTTGTTCTTACCAGCAATGGAAAAAACTTGAAGATATGTGTGAACCAAAACGACCCAACCCAAGGAAAAAACTCGAAGTCCATGAAGACAATTTAAGCTATCCCTAGCTGGAGGATCTGTGTTTATAATTTTACTACCATTGATAATTGGATTGAAGGCCAACAGGCACCGGAGCCACAAATCTGCAATACAAATTTTTATATGTGAAACAAAATTAAACGTAATAATAATAATTGAATCTTTTGCTGACAATATTGAAACATAAGTTCTTATTTTCATACAATATAAAATTCCATTCGCCATGTGGCCACAACACGACCCAAGAATGACGCCCATAGTCGACACCGCGTGCTTCTCGCTGAAATACTTCAACGAGACGCATGCGCCAAAGGCAACATTCCAGGGACGTAATAATAATTAAACGTCCCCTGAAAAATAAATCAAAATTTGTTGCACAGTTGCAAAATAAAGATTCCTTTTACAATATAAACTTATGTTTGGAACGTCACTTATAGGGGGATCCCAGGTAAAATGATCAAGGTTCAAAAAAATTTTTCTCCGATCACGTTTAAACTCGGGCATTTGTAGTACTCGTTAATCATTGGTAAACATATTTTTTCATTTTAGTTCAATATTTTCCAAGGGGAAAGAAGTAAAAGTTTTGGGTTTTTACGGGTACACCGCATATTTTAATAATCTTTTTTCTTAAATATCAAAATAAATTTTTTTTTATCAATATCAGTTTCGAAAGTTTTTTTGCTGCTCTTTCGATTGGTAATATGCATTTTTGAAAAATAAAATATAAAGTTTTTTACCTTCTTTTTTTACACGTTCTAAGCGTACGTTACTTTCATTATCATTTGAAATTTTACTAAATATTTGTTTGTTACAATGATTATGAATGTATATCTTGTGATCTTGTGGTAAGTTTTCCATGTATTGACAATTTTCCACATTATTAGTTGAAGTATTGCAAAAATTTGATTCATCCATATTCGTAATATTTCCATATTCATAAAATCCTGAGCAAATCATGAGAAATATTATTACTGCCCCAACACCTCTAAAAAGAAACATTTTTTCATAGTTAATATATCATAAAGGCTTTAGATTATTTATAATTATAATGTTTTAAGGGTATATAAAAGTCGATGCAATTATTACATAGAGTTTCAATGCAAAAATCGTATCGACTTTGACCTGCCCTTAAGTAGATGGTAATGATCAAAATTTTTTTAGACTAACACAAGAATAAAAAATTTTTTGTCCTGCAATAAATTGTAATCAGATGATGGTACTGGTTTAACGGCAAAAATCAAAATCTTTGGTCCACTGGATCGATGATTAATATTTCCTTCACTTTCTACTCTATGAGCAATTGTTTTCAACATAGATGTCACGGAAGTCACATTACACGTTACCGGTAAACACAGCCCTAGAAAAAGTTGCCTTTCCTAAAACAAATATTAATATCTAAAATTAAAAATGAAAATAAATTTTAAAGATAATTTTTAAATTTTAACGTAAAATTATACATAAATTACTAAAAACGTTCAAACTATTGTATATAAAATAGGATATATCAACCTACTAAAGGTCAAAGCAGAATAAAGTCGGAGAACAGGGAATGAGATAGAAAAAAACAGAAATAGTTTCTGTTCTTTTCTGTTTCATTTTTTAGTCTCCTATTTCCATATCCGTCAATTCATTCTACTTTGGCCTTAAGGGATATCTGTAGACTATAAAGAAGTGTTGTACTAAAATATAATAATAATTTAAAAATGTGGGTGCCAACTTACACGCACTTTCCCAACTTTTCATTTCTTACCCTGACATCAAATTGCTTTGGCATTTGTAAAAACATTCTGGCAACATAAAATTTGACTGGAAAAGGAGGTTTTTCATTTGCAACATCAGTAGCCTCTTCTTTTGTACTATTGAGTTCTGAACATAAATTGCTTGAACCGAGCCAAAATCCATTCCCAAAGAAAAACTGCGAGGCATATCTTCCACTAGCGTCCGACACTAAAAACATAGTAAAATATAATATATAAAAGCAGTATAACCTATAATGCAAATCTACATCCATTTGCGATAATAAATAGTGACAAGACTTTTATTAAAGGGAATTTCGCAAAGAATATATTCTTCTTTCGCAAATACATAAATGTATAAATCCATGTGAAATATTAGGTTATCCGGTGATGTGAGAGTTCTTATAAATTTCCAAAATCCGAAAGATTGTGCGAATTCATTCAAAAACCCAATTGCAAAACGGGAAATAGGAAAGTAATATAATGACGCAGTCTGTAGGAGGTTCATTACGTCCAGTCGCCATCAGATGGCAATAGCATATAGGGAGCACAAAGTCAAATAAATTTAACTTAAATTTTATTTATCAATTATAATTTTTAAACGAAATTCTTTGGTTTTTTTTAAAAAAAAAGAAAAAATTTTGTATAATTTTTATTTCAGAATTACAATTTTTTTTGTTTTTGATAACTAACTACTGATTAAAAAATATATAAAAATAATATATTTTTATATAATATAATATAATGACAGTTGCAACTTTGTTCTCCTTGAATGCTGCTGCCATCTGATGGCGACTGGACGTATTGAACATCCTACAGACTGTCATTTAGGATTTTGGAAATTTATAAGACGAGGATTCAACAAAAAAATTTGTTATTGTCAATTGAACTTTTTTGTTGCTTCTATATCGAACAAAGAATTTACTTTGGCCGACAAAATTTTTGTTAATGATAGCAACCTAATTTACAACAGTTTCTAATAAATGTAAACTTGATAAAAGGAGCTGTAGCTGCCATAACGTCGTTTATCTCAATAAATTAAAAAAATTGTCCGAGAATCTATATTTATTAATTAAATAATACAAAAATTTTCAATATTAAGAAAATATTTTTATAGAATAAATAAGTTGTTATAATAATAATATAATTACATTATAATATTGTGTTAATTATAATTAACACTATTTTAAAAATCGACTTTCCAAGGTAAGAAATTTTGTAATGATTTATATTTTTAAACAAGTTTGACTTTGAGTTCTTTAAAAATAATGTTTTGACTTTTATGGAAATTGTTGTGTATATATGTAAAGTAAAAGTCGTTGGAAAAAACCTAATGCAAGAAAATTGTCTTGCGAAATTATGGTTGCCTTACTTTAACCTTTACAGACATTTTATTGGCAATAATCATTTCGTTTCTATGAAAACAATAAAAGAAAATTATCTTAATTGGGTTAAAAGCTTAAAAATAATAATATGTAATATTCTAAAGTTAAATGAAATATTCTGAATCTCATAATTTTAATTTCTATAGTAGTATTTAAAAAAATACATATTACGTCATAAATATTATGATTGATAATTAAAAATTCTAAGCATTTATATTTACTAATTCTATTTTTATTTAAAAAAGACTATTTTTATTATAAAATAAAAATTGTCATACATTATTAAATATAAAAAAAATAATTATATTTTAAAAACATTAATATTTTCTGAAGATAAATAATTAATTTATAGATAAAAATTGAAAAGAGTACCGATTCAGTTGAGATTACTGCAATTAACCAACTTTTTTTTTGTCATGTAATGGTAAATATTTTATAAGAACTATTATACCGATATTTTGATATTAACTACTTAATTTATATTAAGTTTTTCATCATAGATTCTTTTAGAATTTCTGAAAAAAGTGAATCTCCTCCTCCACTCTCTCACAGTAGGAGTCAAACGCCATGTTTTTCAATTTCTAACTGGAACGACACATTTCTCAATATTCCAATGAATTTTCATTATTTTACTATCAATGTACGTTTATATATATATATTTTTTAAATATTATTTAATTATCAACAATCTCTAACAGAGTCTAGATATTTTGAAATATAAACAATTCGAAGTTTCGAAAAAATTCATAGTATTTCATGAAATACCTAAATATTTTGAAATTCGAATATTTTATTTATTTTTTAATATTTTTTGCGATTTTTACTATACTAACAGAAGTAAATCTATTTTTGTTATTTAGCAATAAATTTTCTCTGTAAAAAGAAAATTTATTTTTTGTCAACAAAATTATAAGTGTAACTTAAGACTACATTTTGTTACGATGCAGGTAGTAAAAATGCACTTTCTACTCGAGCCAAGTCTGGGTGACTTACATAACTGACAATGAACTTTCTGTATTTTCAGTGGGTTTTCTGCAAAACAACATATATATGTATAAGCAATTTAAAATACAAAATCATCTTTTAAACATATTTTTATAAAATTTGCTTTTTGTTAACAGGAAAATTTTGTTAATATTCTTTTCTAAATAAAATATTGTTTATTGCTAAATGTTTTTGTTATTTTAGCAAAATTTTTACTTTTATAAACTTTGGAAATTAATGAAAAATTGATTGCATGAAGAGTAACAAATTACCAAATCAATTTCTCTAGTCTACATATTACGTAATACAGTATAGAAAATTATATTTTTATAGAAATTGTAAATAGCATAGATTTTACTACAATTATTACACTATAATATAACAGGACGCTTACATGATGAAATATTCAAAAACTAAATAAATAAAGCGCAACTAAATTGCTTTTATCACTTTAAGGAAAATATTACGTGATGAATTAAGCCATACGATTACGAGTTAAGATGCATGGATAAAAGGCGAAAGTTTAGAAGCAATAATCGACGAATGAGAAAGTAATTCGCGAACAGAAATGCAGAATATTCAATTTGTAATATATAGGAAAATATTATAACATGAACTACTTTTTTAAGGACATAACTAGTAGGGTAGAAATTAAATATAATATGCCTACGTTCAGGTGAAAAAAATCTTCTTTTGTCGCTGCTAGAATTTGAGAAATTCACATTATTTTAAATGAATGTAAAATGTTGCAAAAATGTTTTTTCCTGTATGTCGATTATGTAATATGATTCAACTTTGATGGTAAAGGTTTTTTCTTATTTTTTTTTATATTTTACTGCCTATATATATCGTAACAAAATGTACTAAATTACAATTATAACTTTTACATAATAACGATTTTCTAGTTTGTTTATTTACATATTTAAATGAATATTAAATATATTTAAAAGAAGTATAATTACTAAAATTATTTACTTTTATTATTGATTTAATTTGGATTAAGTGATTTAATTTTTTGAAAAATATAAAATCAATTTTCTTTCTATTTGAGTCGAATTTTTTTTCAATTAAAATTCTAATACTTTTTAAAAAAAATTTAAATCACAAAAAAATTATACACTTGTATAAGACACCCTTATAATATAATGATTGAGTTATAAAAATTTCTCACTTTAAAGAATATAGAATTGAATTTGAAAAATTATATATAAAATAAAAAATTTGATTGTAATTTGAAAAAAATTATCATCAGCCCTGATATGTAAAATGTAATTAAAAAGTACAATATAATTAAAAAAATTTTTTTTAAAATATAGAATTATTCTAAATTAAAATAACAAGTATGTTTCCTGAACATTTTCTTAACCAGAACTGGTACAAGTTCAGCTGCTGAACTTGTACATTTTTTTATACTAAGATCTTGTACAGGGATTTTCAATGGGGATACAAAAAAAAGGTTTCGCAGTTCAATATTTTTTTAAGACAAGTTTTTTTTTAAATTTAAAACAATTATGGTATCCAAAAATTATTATAATGTTCTTAATTCAAATCTAGTGCATTAAAAAACATTATGAAAAATGCTGAACACTCGTGGATCAAAAAGTTTCATTAGATTGATTTTTAACATTTTGTCCGCTATATTAGATTGGGAGTTTTGAATTTCGAAAAACTAACATCATAATCATAATCAGCGACCCCAAAAATCCCCGAGTGACGATTTTAAAGCGAATTGTAGTTAATTTTCAAAATGTCGTCTGCCATATTGGATCCGCCATTTTGAATTTCGAAAAACTCACTCCATATTCGTAATCAGCGACCCCGAGTAACCAGTTTCAAGCAAATTCGTTTGGTCATTTCATAGTGCATTCTTTAAGTGTGACACTTTTCTAAAAGTTTGCAATTAAGTCGTTATTTTGAAGACGCCATTTTGAATTCTTTGATTTGATTAGAAAATTTGTTTCTTTCGATCTCAATAATTGGTGACTGTTTGTTAATCTATAGAGTTCCACAAACCCCGGCAGTCTACAGGTTAACAAATCTTCAAAATAAATTACATAAAGAAGATCTGCATCTACATCGTACAAAATGTGGGAACATAATTAAAAATGTGCTTAATCCACATTTGAGTTCTAATTTTACATTAATAACATTGACAATAATTTATTTAACTTGTTACTTGGTGAGTGTAGAGCCATCCCAGTGGATACCAAAGATATCTTTAGGATGACTTTAGAAAGTTCTAAAGTGTCCTAGGACATTGCATCAATGTTCCAAAGACACAAGAAAGCCGACTTAAGGACGCTCAAAGTATATTCTGTGTCTGTCCAAGAACAGTCTTAAGAATGTCCTGAAATTGTCCTCAAAATGTCTTAATTACGTTTTCAGAACGTCCCCAGAATGTCTTAAAAATATCCCCGAAATGTCAAAGAACGCCTTAAGAAAGATTAACAGTAACTACATCACACTTGATTGAAGGATGCCATATGGCATTCAACAGACTAGCTGAAAATAATCGCGTTACCCTCCTCTGGGTCTCAAGACACAGTGGAATTAAACACATAGCGGATGAACTAGTCAAAATAGGAGCTAGGGTACAATTTAACGGGCTTATTGGTGTCTTTGACAAATGTCTGGTCCCGGAATTTAAGCGGTGGTAAGATCCAGAGCATCAGAAAGAGTGGCAGGCAAAAACAGGTTGTAAACAAGCCAAGGTATACCGAGAGTTAGTGCAACCAGCACCGATGACACAAAATTTCTTCCAGTCAGCTTCCAATTAGCAATGCGACCGGCCTAAGTCACGATTGCTCCTCTTGGTAAGAGGAGCTTTCCAATCCCTTGAAAG